CTATTTTTTTTTTTCTCTTATAAACTACTTTCCCATTTGCCTCAACTTTGGTTGTAAATACAATATTAATAATTGCACTACAGAATACATTGAATATATGTTTACAGAAAAGAAAAAAAAATAATTAAAACAATTGTTATATACTTTGTTGAAAAAAAAAAAAAAAAAACGTTAGCATTCATTTCAAAAGGTCTTTGAAACAAACTATTTTTTATTCCTAGCTTCTTATTTTTTTTTTTTCTTATCCAATTCAAGAATGTTGCTTTTTTTAAATATATCCGGGAAAAAAAAACTACACCAAATCAATTTAATAACAATTAATTGCAATTAATAACAAGCATGATTGCACTTCTAAATTTGAGGCGGACTTAAAAAAAAAAAAAAAAAAAAATTTTTTTTTCCTTCTTTTGAATCAGCCACAACCATATCATACATTAAGCAACGGATCTAGGATTGGAAATAAAAACTTAGCCAAAAAAATATTTATATATATATAAATATATAAATATATAAACAAATGGAACAATAATAATATTATAAATAATAAAATTCTTGAAGATAATAATAATAATAATAATAATAAAATTCTTGTGGTGCCATTTTATTTAGTTTTAGTTCCTTTCACGTTGTGTGTATGTGTTTTTTTTTTTCATTTATTCATCTTGTTACCCAGACAAAACACATGCAATTCGTTTGATCAAAACTCGCAGAGTGCAATGTTTTAGCTTCTATTTCTAAATAAAGTGAATAGAACCTTTAAACTTTTCATACTGCATGTATATTTATTATTTTCATAAATAAACAAATAATAATAATAAAAAAATAAAAAAAAAAGAACTCAAACTGAACTTTATTTTCTTTAAAGACAAAAAAAACTTGTAAATGTATCACGATCAACAAACCAATTACCCCACCCACCTCTATTAACCTTTTATATATATTTTTTTTTTCATCTAAATATATGTCTAAAGAAGGAAAGTACTAATTCTAGTCCATCGATCTCAAGTTAGTATCAAACCGTTCAAATGGGACCCATTCTTGTTACAAACTTCCATTAGTTCTAATTTTTTTTTTTCCCACAAGTTATGGTTTGTCTTTTTGTTTTAATTTTTTTTTTTTTAATTAGAAATAAGTTGTATATATATTCACTAAAAATTTATAAATATCAATGTAAATATATTATATATATATTTTGTCTTCACTTTCCTACAATTCCAAATGCATCTTCTTCGTCTTTTTAAAACTCTTATAGAAGAAGAATTACTAGTCTTCATTTACCATTTACCAGCGATTTGGGAAACAGTGCAAGACATGATACATATTCAGCCTTAAGCCCTAATGTGTCCCAACTAGTAAATGTCCTCGAATTCATATATATATATAAATAAATCATCACTGCATGAAAAGAATTTTTTTCAAAAAAAATATTAATTTTTAATAAATAAAAAAATAAAAAAATTCTCTCCTCCTTTTTTCATTCTTTCGGGATTTAGGTCCCGTTACTGATTACTGAATTTATAATAAAGTGCGGCGTGTAATTAATTTAACCTCCTCCTCATTTTGTTTATTTCTTTCTCCTCGATAAAAAAAAAAAAAGGGGGTGAAAAAGAAACTCTATACCATTTGTCGGGTAGATTAAAGCTTGACATTTAACTCCCAAGACTTAAGCTTCAAAGTATAACGGCTTGAAAAAAAAAAAAAAAAAAAAAAAAAAAAAAAAAAAAGTTGACTTTAGTTACTTTAAAAAACAAACCCTCAAATTTAATATTTTAGTTCTCGAGGAAATAAAATCTTCCGTTAAAATATCCATCAATGAAAGTTTAAATCGCATAAGGGATTATGGTCCAAAGAAAGCTCTAGAGTGCTGATAACCTTAACATTCCAAGGTTTGACCATCATCATCATCATCATCATCATCTTGATAACAATATCTCTAAGAATTAAAGTCAACATTATGGTTTTGAAGAAAAGAACCTTTATATACAACACCCTTGTTTTTTTTAACTTTTTTTTTTGTCTAAATTAAAAACAACCTTTTGATTCCCCTATTTGACATGGAGGTTAACTTTATTTGGAACCAAAATGAGTTGATAGACTGTTTTTTTATTTATTTTCTTTTATGATACCTCCTTTTTTTTTTTTTTTTTTTTTTTTTTTGAAAAGTGCTATAAGTAATCAAACAAAATAGGAATATCCCAAAGTTCTTTATTGAAAAAATAAAATAAAATAAAAATGTCGTGATATTTTTTTTTTTTTTTTTTTGAGAAAAAAAGGTCAGGCTCAAAGGATAAACATACCAATAATGATTTGAAAGGAGAGAAGTTCATGTTTGTAACATTGAAACGTACAGAGTGTTTATGTCTCTAAGAAAACAAACTGTTAGCCATGATGTTTATATGTCAAACAAAAAAGTTTCAATCACAACGTGAATAGCGACCGTTGAAACCTTCTAATACAAGTTTTTATTTTGAGTTTTTAAGACAGTTTTGAAAAAATAAAAATCAAAATCAAAATCAAAATCAAAATTTTTTTAATTTTTTTTTTCTCTTTTCTCTTTTCTTTATTACCAAAAAATCCATAATATCCAAGGCTTGGTTGTTGTTGTGTGTTGTGTAATATGGCAACCCAATTTAGTTTGAATCCCGCTATATACATAAACATAAAAAAAAAAAAGGACATCAGAAAATAAAAAACGAACAAAAAAAATAAAAGCAGCCACCATTATAATCAGGCGTTTTAATGTCTTAAAGTGATGTGTTACGCCGCTTAAGTGAGAGAAAGAGAGAAAGAGAGAAGGAGAAATTTGAGATATCGTCTAGCTTGATTTGTTGATGATAATATATATAATAATAATAATAATAATGTCTTTTGTTGGCAATTAAAATAAAAAGGGTCACTGGTGCCCAATCAGGATTAGCAACCAAATAATACGAAAATAAGAAAGTATATGTGAACTGGTATTAGTTCCTTTAATAGGATTCTTTGATCTAAATATCTATCTCTTCCCCTCATTGATTTCAGTTCAAATTACAAGAATGAATGAATAATTGAATAATTGAATAAAGGAATGAAAAAAAAAAAAAAAAAAAAAAGTTAATTTAAGAATAATTATGGTTTGAAAAGGGAAACAACTACAATCGGGCATTAACACCATAGCCAAGTTTAGTTTTATTAAAGTGTAAAACTCAAGCATTATAAAGGCGAGAAAAATGCTAAAAAGTATATAATAATAAGTTCAACCGTCTTCAAATGTAAGATTACCATTCTGTGAGTTTAAAAAAAAAAAAAATAAAGAAATAAATAAATAAATAAAGAAAGAAAGAAAGAAAGAAATAAATAAATAAATAACTGAACTGATTTTGGAAGGAATAAAATAATGGCATTTCATTTACTTTTAGAAAGTATAGGTTGATTATGGTTAATAATAAATTTGGAATCAAAATGAAAAACGAAAAAAAAAAAAAAAAAAAAACTTGATTTTTTACTACACTTTATATAATAAGAAAAGGATAATCCCCACAAGCAGTTTATTTTCAATAAAATCAAAGTTTTTTTTTTTTTTTTTTTTCAAAAGAGAAAGTATATATCTTGATTTAGAGATAGAAAGATAGAATAAAAAAAAAAAAAAAAAACTTGAATAGTTTTTATAAGCTTAAGTGAACTGAAACCTAACGTAAAAGTTTAACAGAAAAGAAAACAAGGTTTTTTTTTTGTAGTTAAAAAACGTTCGGATAACCATGACTAGAAAACAAAAAATTAAAATTAAAATTAAAATTAAAAAAAAAAAAAATTGTTCTCGGGAACCTTACATTGAAAACTATTCTCTCCCCTTAATTAAGCTCAGGGTTGAAATATGAAATCTTATTAATGTAAACGGTATCGGTTGAAGGACCCTGATTTTTTATAAAAATTTCAGCATTGGTGATATTAGAGATTTCATAAGATATTTTAAAGTTATTATTATTATTATTACAAGCTTTTTTTTTTTTTCTATCTATCTATCTATAGATCTATCTATTTATCTATTTATCTTTCTCTTTATTCTCAATGTTTCGTCTAATAAATATTTTCCCTTTTTCGGACTATATAAATTTCTTATTGTTGGTTGTTGCTCAAATCTAAACTACCCAAATAGTTAACTAAAAAAGTCTTTTTTTTTTTTTTTTTTTTACTAGTATGGCTTAGTGTTGGCTCAGCGAGTTTCATCTTTGCCCTGACGTGGGACTATTTATTATTTATATATAAAATATTGCATTAGCGTTATTTCTTCTACTATATTATTAAAATTTACGTCATAGTTAATATGTACGTGTGCCTTTTATCTGCAGGTCAGCCTGGTTTTAAAAAAAAAATTTTTTTTTTTTTTTTTGTTTAAATAAATAAATAAATAATAAATAAATAAATAAATAAAATTCTTATATAAAAAAATATATTTATTTTAAATATTTTAAAATGTTTAAAAATATGTAGTTTAAAGTTAAAATAATTTTAACTTTAATCATTTTTTTAAAAAAAAATTATTATTATTATTATTAAAAACCCTAACCCATATGTAACAAATGTGTAACATAATAATGTGTTAATTATTGTTATTTTTATATGTTCGATTCCATAAAGACACAACATATTTTTATTTTTATTTTTATTTAATTTGTTAATACCTTCTCCTTTTTTTTTTTTTTTTTTTTTTTTTTTTTTTTTTTTGGCCCATCCAAATTTTTGTCTTTTTATTTTTTAACCTGCCACCTGGAATTTCCACACAGCTTTTTTTTTTTTTTTTTTTTTTTTATCCATTCTTAAAGACAACAAACAACTCATATAAACCAAACCCCCTCTATGATTTTCAAATACATTTTAATTGAATAAAAAAGAATTCTTTATTGAAATTGGTTAAATATCTCTCTTTATTTTTCATTTTTCATTTTTCATTTTTCATTTTTCATTTTTCATTTTTCATTTTTTTTTTCTTTGTACCATTCCATATTCATTCCATATACAACATGCAATCACCAGTAAATAACGCACCAACTGGTGCCCATACCCATACACCAACAGCAAGCACCGACATGACTGATCCCCCCAAAAGCCCCGAACAACAAGAAATGAGCGTTTTAGCAGCCCAGTATGATTCTGATAAAAAAGGAATCATTCAGTCATGTTTTTCAAAAAAGGACCAATCCAATCGATGTAAGTTATTGAGTTGTTAAATTTTTTTTTAACTTTCTCCTAAAACTGCCCATTCATGCTAACAAGTCTAGTGATTGAAACTTATATCACTCATGTTAGAATTACTGAAGATTCCCAGTATCCATATAGTCGCCCACCCCCCAACCAACAAGAATCTTTCAAGAAGAGCCGTATTCTCATCATTTCAGTTCGCTTAAGTGGCCGTGTCCGTGTTCACAAGGCACGCCAAAACCCGGATTTAACTTTCCAAATCGGCAAAACGTGGAACCTCGAAGAACTGACTTCCATTGAAAATGATGCTCTTGTCCCCACTGGATTTATCATGAATCTCGGCAAACATTACTATTGGAATACCCATTCTGCCCGTGAAAAGGCCGTTTTTATAAACAGTATCATTCGAATCTATACAAAGTATACAGGAGGAAAAGTCCCTGAGCTAATTAACTTTGATAACTTTGGAACACCTCCTGGAAGCCCTCATTCTTCTCGTTCCGGTGGTCCTCCAACCCCATCTCACTCTCATTCAGCTGTAGCTGCTGTGCAAATCCACCATTCGCCTACTATTCCTATTCAACAGCCACGACCTTCATCTGAAAGACGCCCTAGCATTGGTGCTCAAAATGCTCTAGCAAACCAACGAGAAAGACGGCCTAGTGTCGGAGCTTCACATGTCCTTTCAGGTACTACTGGCCAAATACCTTCGAATCGAAGACCTGGATCTGCAGGGACTATTCAACCTTTGAACCGACAGACAGAACGGTCTCCGAGTGTGCCACTTTCAGGGTCTCAACAACCGCCACCCCAGTTTCAAAAGGAAGCGGGCCATAATAGTATGGGAGCCTTTTATGGGAATAATCAGCTTGCCCAAAGTCAAGACAGTGTCACTATTCCACCCAAGTCTAGCTCGCGGAATCAGCAAATTCGTAGGGTGGAGTCTCAGCCTAGAATGAAGGTTGTTGCTGGCGGTCCTTCACCCATGAGTATCCCCAGCTCTCGCAGCCAAATGAACCTGACCAATGTTCCTCCGGCATCTTCTAAAAAGGATGGAATCACTGCGGCCTCTGTTGCTGCTTTAGGAGCTGCTGGTGCTACCAGCGCAGCAATTGCAGCTGCCTCTGCAGCTGCCTCTGCAGCTTCTGCAGCCAAGGTGGTTGGAGCTGGACCTACTCCTACTGTTCCGCCTGTCACCAGATCCATGATTGATATCGCATCTGAGCCTGTACAACAAGCACCACCCAAATCCATGGTTAATATCAACTCTGGGCCTGTGCACCAGCAGGCACCACCTAAATCTATGATTAATATCAACCCTGAACCTGTACAGGTTTCACAACCACAAACTCCCCCTACTATCATTGTTCCAGCAATTACCCTCAATAGTGACGAAAACCCCATCCAGTTTCATTCCCCTGAATTTGCTAAAGCACCCAGTAATATCAACTTTTCAAATTCTGACGCTCCACGGGTTGTTGAAGAACAGTTTAATGAACCAAGCGCCAAGTCTGAGGAAGAACCTATTGATCCTAATGATCCCAATGGGTTAGCTAGTGGTATTGTGTTCCAGCCCTTGAATAGAAGATCTTCAATCCAAAGCATTAAGGTGTTTGCTCGACGCCGTGAAGAAGAAGAACTTGAGCCTGAGCCTGAACCAGAACCAGAACAAGAACCAGAATCAGAATCAGAATCAGAACCAGAACCAGAAGATGAGCATGAAGAGGAAGCTTCGGGAGCTGTTCCTGCTGATGAACAACAATCTGAAAAGAAAAACCTTGTCAAGTTTAATGTAGAGACTGAGCACTCTAACAAGTCTCAGGCTTCAGTTGCAAGCGACGCTGATTCCTTAAACTCGACCGAACAAGCTCGGAAGAATGAGCTAATGCGCTCCAGAATGACCTTCATTGCGGCAAATAATGCATCCGTGATTGAAGAGACTCTTGAAGAGCTCAATTGGACAGGTCGCAACGACGTACAGATTTTGGAGTACAAGATTTCAAACGAGATTGCGTCGTTGGAAACTCAAAAGTTGCGTAATATTGTCGACCTTGATGACCGTCTTGATAGTCTTGATGTGAGCTTGGAGCATGCCATCAAAGAGTGCGACCGACTGGAAGCCATGTTTGCATTTTTTTCTGTCCAGCTTGGCAGTTTTGCAGACCAAATCTCACATATTGAAGGCCAAGGCCAGGGTCTGCAAGTTCAAACCCGCAATCAAAAGGTTTTGTGGACGGAGCTCAATGATATTATTCATACAGTTACGTTATCCAACAACTCTCTCAATGGCCTGAACTCGTACAGCCTGCAGTCCAACAGGGACTTGCCAGTTATTGAAGACGTGTTGATTGACTTGTATGGTGCAGTTAAAGCTGTCCGATCATCTTCCAAGACTGTTGATGAGCCAGCAAACTCTCTTGGAAATATGAGGGCGCTTAAAGAAAAGAGACATATTTACGAGCAAGCGGCAGCCAACTTTATGCAAAAAGTTAAAACGAGTGTTGACCAGCGGGTTTCAGTGGCGATTTCAGAAGCTGAGAACCAGATTGCTCCTAACAAGGGGGCCAATGCTGAGCCAACTATCATTACAATTGAAGAGGGCATTTACAAAAGACTTGTTCCGTTATCTGCAGTCATTCTTTTTGTTAAGGATATCGATGAACTCAATTATTTCAACATTTTGAGAAGCTATGAGAACCTTGTCAAGGGATACTACGAAGAAACATTGAAGGCATACTTTGCCAAGTGGACGCGCTTGATTGGCAAGATTAATACATTTGCTGAAAACTTGTTCTTGTCCAAGGATGGGTTTGAGTCACATTCTATGGGGGGCTCTATTACTAGCACTATGATTTCTAATAGTGCAAGCACCACCAAGCTTATTCGATCGCAAACATTGGCCAAGATCAAGACGCATAACGACAAGGGCATTGACCGCAACAATACTATTGCGTCATCTTCTTCTTCGCATATTAATGGTGATTCGAGTAACTTATCGCTACTGATGAAGCCAGGAACTGTAAAGAACAGCATAGTTAAGGCGATTCGTAACGTTAAATCGCTTGTGATTAAGCAGCAGGTGATTTTGATTGAGGTTTACCATTTGTCGTCGTTTTCTGGGCTACGATTCCCTGAGTTTATCAAGGCGGCTCCGTTGGCAAAACGCCAAATTGAAGCCAATCATTTAGAAGAGAAAATTTACGGGATTGATTCTGACCGGACCAAGGCGCAAGATTTGCTCAACTTGATGTCTGGAATATTTAGTCCTTTGCATGAGCAAATGGTGCGGTTTGCTTCAGATATATTAGAGAAGAGTGTGATGGATTGTCCTGCGGTTGTTACAGCATTGGACATTGTTTTGAGGGACTTGCAAACAACAAATTTGGACTTTTTAAATCTCTTGTACCAGCGCCTTCGTGACCGCGTTGTTGGGATTTGGAACGCATATATTAATGACCAAGTGGCCAAGATTGGGCAGACCCACATTAGCAGTAAGAAACGGTCTGGTCCGATTTCTGCTGTGCGAGTGTTTTCCGTGTTTTGCCAGCGTGTTGAGTATGATCTTGCACATGAAGTTGCTGGGACCAAGGTAATAAGTGCGAATGAGCTTGGAGTGAGAAGTCTTGTGAATAACGGATATGATAAGTTGGGTAAGGCGATTATTAATACTTTGCAAAAGGCCAAGGCTTCAATGTCGCAGGGAGATATTTCAGGAGTTGGTTTGGAAGGCAAGTCTGGAGGTGGAGATATTGACTACGAAGATAAACAAAAGATGAACTACCACATTCTGATGATTGAGAATATGAATGTGTTTTTGGATGGGTTGCTGACGTTTGATAGAAGCAACACAGCAATTCACAGTCTGCGGGATGCGGCGAGTACCATTTACTATAAAGAGATGCAGATGTATGTTGAGTTTGTGCTGCATCGGCCGTTTGGCAAGTTTATGGATTTTCTGGATAATGTTGAGCAAGCTCTGCGCAAGAACCCAGACGATAGTCCTGCCCGTAAGCCTGGGCTAAATCGGAGCGCGTTAAAGAAGATATTAATCAACTTTGATGCTAAGGAATTGCGCAAATCGTTGGAGGTACTGCACAAGCGGGTAGAAAAGCACTTTATGGAGGAGACTGGAGGTGCATCGACACCTAGTGGTGGTGGAGTAGCAGGAACAGGAGGATCAACAGTTGGATCTACAAGTGCGGCCGCAATGAGTACTAGTAGAAAGCTTGTGGGCAAGGTTTGGGCTGAAACAGAGCGTGAGTTTACAGGGATTGTGCGACGGTTCCGGCCGTACATTGAGCGGTATTATAGCATGGCTGGAGATTCTGGGTACGTGTGTAAGATTGATTTTACAGACACGGACATTAGTGAGGCATTCCGGAATGCAATGTAGATGAGAAAATAAAATAAAATAAAATAATAAAATAATAAAATCATAAAATAAAATAAATGATGTAAATAGATGAATGAATTAATGTGAATCTGTTGCAAAAGACCCAAAGAAGGATGTGAATGTGAATGTGAATGTGAATGTGAAAATGATGCAAGAGATAGAAAAAAAGGGTGCGTGGCAGTAGCCGTGGGGAGGATTATTGTTGGGCTGGATGCGCGCCTAAATAAGATAGTAGCAAAATAAAAAAAAAAAAAAAAAAAAAAAAAAAAAAAAACATCACCACCAGCCTTTCCCCTCCCATCCTCCCCCCTTTTTGTCTTCTTCTTACCAACTACTACTGTTTGTTGATTTCCAAAACATTTAAAAAAAATTTTTTTTGTTAAAACAAAAAAAAAAAACCTCAGTAGCAACAGCAGCAGCAGCAGCAGCAGCAGCAAGAGCAAGAGCAATAGCAATAGCAATAGCAATAGCAATAGCAACATTTTTTTTTTAAAAAATGCCTACTTCAGCAACCTCTTTTTCAACAGGTCTCATTATTGGCGGTAAGTTAAAACTAGAAAGGCTTTTTTTTCTTTGAAGAAGAAGAATATATAAAAGAAACTAACTTAAGGTTGTGTGTGGTTGTGGTGGAATTAATTAGCTGTTTCGTTTTCACTTGGAGTCTTGTACTCTAACTGGGCATATGATTACTATACATTGTGGCATCGTCCTGCACTTTCAGAAGCATTTGCACATTCACTTGCACATTATCAACAATGGGCCAATCTTCCTGCATTTTTGTATCATGTACATCATGCGATAGCGGCATTAGGATTGGTTGGTCTTTTCCTTAAGCTTTATAAGCCTTCTGAATCCAATAAATTATTTGATGGTGCTTCATTATTTTTATATATGGTTGGGATTGTTATTTATTTAACTAATCTTCGTGTTGGAGTTCGAAGTGCTGCTGCTCGTGAATGGGGGGATGTTGATGAACAGACTGGAATTAATGTAATTGCTGCATCTCAGGTTATGATTGTATTTACATTTTTAGGAGTTGTGGGTCTTCAAGTCGGACAATATTGGGCAGAACATGAAGATAAGAAGGTTTGGGAAAAGGCAATGCAAGAAGAACAAGAAGAATTGGCAGCTGCTACTGCAGCTACTACTGAAAAGAAGGAAGAAGAAGTAAAGAGTGAGAAGAAGAAAGCAACAGGTGCTAAAGTTGGAACTACAAAAGCTTCGAAGCGTGTTTAAATGGATGGATGGATGAATGGATGGATGAATGAATTGATTAATTGATTTAATGATTAATTGATGTTCAAAAGTCCAATTGAAAATGACATTTATAAGACAAAAAAAATACATTCTTTTATTTTTTTTAGTATATCTATATATATATATATATATATATATATATGGTTTTTTTTTATTAATCAGTAATTGAAAAAAAAAAAAAAAATAAATAAATAAATATCTTTTTGAAATTTAAATGAAATTAAAAATTAAAAAATATGTTAAATTGATATTATCTTAACAATCCATATATATATATATATATATATATATATTGATTAGATTTTTATTTTTTATCTCTGAAAAAAAAAAAAAAAATTATCTACCATTTAAACTACTACTACTACTACTACTACTAATCAATCTAAGCGGTTAAAAACCCAGAATTTTTTTTTTTTTTTTTTCCCCTTATTTTTATTTACATTTAAAAAAAATAAAAAAAAAAAATAAATAAAGTACTTATACCTTATTTCTTATTTCTTATTTCTTATTTCTTACTTTTTATAACTTATGCTTTAATTTATTATTTTCTACCCTAACCTTAACCCTAACCTTTTTTTTTCTCTCTCCATCTTTTATTTATTTAATTTAATTTAATTTAATTTAATTTTTTTTTATCATTAACACCACCACGCTTCTGTACTCCTCATATCGCCCACTTTCCATAATGTCGAGTATTCCCATCAGGGTTAGGGTTTTCGCTTATTTATTTAGTTTAAATCAACAATTTTGTACTGTCACAATGATAACAACCTCCAATTGGAAAAAAATATATACATTTGATTGTTTATATATACATTTAAATTTGATTTTTCTTCTTCTTCTTCTTTTTATTTGTGTTTTTATTTTTTAAATTTTATTTATTCCATGTAATGGTATCATAATCATAATCATTATCATCATCATAATAATTCATATATATCACGCTTAAATCCACATCCACTACCCACATTTTTATTTTTTTTCTTCTTCTTCTTCTTCTTCTTCTTCTTCTTCTTCTTCTATCAATTCCAAAGTTCCAAAGATTTCTTATTGTTCCACACACATACAAATTTTTTTTTTTTTTTTAATCACACCATATTATTATTATCAAAAAAAAAAAAAAATTACTTTTACTACAAACAAACAAAAATAAATATTCACTTCACTATTAAAATTTACGTTCTCACAGTAGGCTCCTCAGTACCAATGTACTCCTTAAGCTTAAGAAACTTAACAGCTGCTTCAATATTCTCCTTCAAAAACTCCTGAGCACTCAACTCATAAGTCTTCTCATCATTAGAATACTTCTCAACATACAACCGAATCGTAGCTCCAGAAGACCCTGTACCCGACAACCGCACCACAATACGTGATCCATCGGCAAACTTGACATACAACCCTTGATGGTCCGAAACACTACCATCTAAATCAGTATATGAAAAGTCATCTGCCTCAACCACCTTGAGATCCCCAGCAATTGACGACCCAACAAATGACTTTTGGTTGGTAATCACATTGGTCTTAAGATCTGCAATCACCTTGGCAGCATCCTCAGATGCAACCTCCTCATAATCGTAGCGAGTAAAGAAGGTGCGTCCGTATTCTTTCCAAAACCCCTTCTGAATGGCAGCAATGGATGCCTCCTTGGGTGACTCCTTGCCAATGCCGGCAATAATGTTAAGCCATGCAACAATGGCCCACAATCCATCCTTTTCACGGATATGGTCAGATCCTGTACCAAATGACTCCTCGCCGCAAATTGACAGCTTCTTGGCGTCAAACAGGGCAACAAAGAACTTCCATCCAGTAGGAACCTCGTAAATGTTAAGACCTTTAGCCTTGGCCACAAGGTCAAGAGCCCCTGATGTTGGCATACTGCGTGCAAGACCATAAAGACCCGTCTTCTTAAAGTAGGGAATATACTTGTCTGCATATGCTGCAATGATGGCGACCGAGTCACCAGGTGACACAAATGTATTAGCACCATAAATCATATTACGGTCACCATCACCATCACTAGCAGCTCCAAATGGGATATTGTTTTTGTCAACAGCCTCAACCAGAGTGTGGGCATAGGTAAGGTTGGGGTCCGGGTGAAGACCACCAAAGTCGGGCTTAGGGTGAGAATTTTGGACCGACGACTCAGGAAGCCCCAATTCGTCAAGGAAAATTGCACGGCCATAGGGCCCAGTGACACCATTAAGAGCATCAAAGAGAACAGTAAAGTCAGGGTTTTCCTTGAAAAAGCTCTTGATAAGGTCAAAGTCAAAGATTTCCTTTAGATAAGCAACATAGTCTGCAGTTGAGTCAATGACCTGGACCTCGATAGGACCATATTTTTTCGAGCCAATTGATGCCAGGTCGACTTTTTTCAAGTCAGCGACTGTCTTATATTCCGTAATTTTTGTGGTAAAGTCATAGATTTTATTTGTCACGGATTCTGGTGCAGGGCCTCCATTTGCCAGGTTATACTTGATACCGAAATCATTAGTGGGACCACCTGGGTTATGCGAGGCCGTGAGAATGATACCACCAGTGGCCTTATATTTGCGGATAACGTGGGATGCAGCGGGTGTAGAAAGAATACCATTTTGTCCAATAATGAACTTGGCCACTCCATTGGCCGCGCCAATCTGTGCAATTACTTGGATAGCTGTATCATTATAAAAGCGGCCATCTCCACCAATGACGAGTGTGGCGTCAGCGGCTCCTTCCGGAATGGCGTCAAAGAGTGCTTGAACAAAGTTTTCCGTGTAGTGGGGTTGTTGGAACACGGTAACCTTTTTACGAAGACCAGAGGTTCCTGGTTTTTGCCCATCAAAGGGAGTAGTAGGGACAGTAGTAATTGACATTTAGAAGAAGAAAAATAATAAGATAGTGATAGAGAGTACGAGTGAAAAGAAAAGGATGATTAAAAAAAAAAAGTTTTGTATATAAAGAAAGAAAAAGAAAAAAGATAAAAAAAAATAAATAAAAGACGGGCAAAAGGGTGTCTATTTATACCTTTTGATTAAAAAGCAAACAAGGAAGCCTCCACCCCCCTCTCACTCACTCTTTCTTTCTAGGAGGAGGCCAACGTGTATGTGTATATATATATATAGTGTGGGATTAGAATATTAACAACAAGTAAAGGTCATGTGCGCAGCCAATTGGTAGCCATTCAGTTTATCATAACTTCATTAAATTTCATAAAGGTCATTTACAAGTATACAGACGGTTTTTATATAAATATATATGAAATGAATGAATGAATAAATAAATAAAAAAGGAAATTTCTTTTTCTTTTCTCTTTTTTTTTTTTTTTTCAATTCATTAATTCATTATTTGGTAACGTTGTGAATGGCCTCAGCAAGACGTGCAACATTGCCAGAAGTAATGCCAGCAATGGAGATACGGCCATCACGAGTACCATAGACAGAGTATTCCTGGGCAAGCTTATCAACCTGCTCCGGGCTCAGACCAGTGTAGCAAAACATACCAATCTGGGAAGTGACGTGGTCCCAGTTCTTGATAGAACCAAGAGCCTCGAGGTTCTGCTTGAGAAGAGAACGCATGGAAATCATACGGTCAGCCATATCCTTAACCTCCTGGAGCCACTTGGCCTTAAGAATAGCATCATTAAGAATCTCAGAGGCAATGCGGGCACCATGGATGGGAGGGTTAGAGTACATGGGACGGATGATAATCTTAAGTTGAGACTCAATGCGAGCACGTTCCTCAGGAGACTCAGCAACGAGGGAAAAGGCACCAACACGTTCACCGTAAAGACCCATGTTTTTAGCAAAAGATTGGCAAAGAGCAATCTGGAAACCCTGGTCAACAAAGTATCTCACAGCGTAAGCATCACGGGAAATATCACCAGAGGCAAAACCCTGGTAGGCCATATCGAAAAAGGGGAAGTGACCCTTTTCTTGAAAGACCTCTGCGATTTGGCGCCATTGCTCTTGGGTAGGGTCAACACCTGTGGGGTTGTGAGCGCAAGCGTGAAGAAGAATGGCTGAGCCATCTTCAGCGAGACGAAGGTCTTCAAGAAGTCCTTCAAAGTCGAGACCAATGGTATCCTTGTTGTAATAACGGTACGAAACAGCTTCCATACCAGCATCTCTGAAAATGTTCTTGTGGTTAGCCCAGGTAGGGTTAGGGATATAGATTTTCTTCTTGCCGAAAAAGCGCGAGACAAAGTCAGCGCCAATACGGAGGGCACCAGTACCTGAGATAGATTGAGTAATAGCGAGACGGTTTTGGGTAATGACAGGAGAGAATTCACCGTAAGCGAGTTCAGCAGCGCCAGAAGTGAAAGAGGGGATACCTGTGATGGGAGCATATTCTTTATTGAGGTTTTGGTCCAAGACACGCTTTTCAGCTTCGAGGACTGAAGAAAGGACAAAAGGCTGGCCTGCATCGTCACGGTAGGCACCGACACCGACATTAATTTTTTGGGGGAATTGGTCCTTCTTGAAGGCTTCAGTGATACCGAGAATGGCGTCGGGGGGGCCTTGGGGGACGTTAGCCCAGGTAGATTTGTTTGCCGAAAGAATAGCAGAGGCCATTCTAGGGGCCATGTTGATTGTAGGGCGAGCAGCGGCGGCTCTTGTGAAGGCTCTTGAGGCTGATCTGAGCATTTTTGATGGGAGGGAGGGTTTGTGAGGTGTGAGGAGGAGGAGGTGGAAGTGGTTGTTGTTGTTAGATTTAGATATAAAATAAAAATAGAAAAAAAATAAAAAAATTTGGGAAAACCGGCTGGTATTTATTTAGAATTTTTTTTTTTTTTTTGTGTGAGTAATAATAATAATAATAATTTTTCTATATAAAAGTAAATATATATATAATTTTAATATATAATTTTGGAGGTTAGGGTGGGGTGGTTTTTAACGTTAAAGAAAAAAAAAAAAAAAAAAAAAAAAAAAGAGTCGTTATTAATTTATATAGTAATTTATATTAATTTATTAATTTAATATATAAGAAAAAAAAATTAATTATTCTTCTATCCGAGGAGGAAATTTTTTATGTGTGTGAGAGAGAATTACCACCCAATACGAGGAGTAAATTTAATTAATTTATTTTATTAATTTATTTTATTATTAATTATATTATTTAATTATTTAAATACTTATGTAAGTGTACATAGAAGGATGAGTCATTTGATTAGTTAATCTTTGTTGCTTATGTAATCTTTGAAAGTGGAGAAAAAAAAATGAAAAAATGAAAAAAATGAAAAAAACAAAAACGACAATTAAATAAATTAAATTAAAAATATAAATTAATTAAATTAATTAACAAGCGGGGATTTTAAAAAAAAAATTTAAATTAAATTAAAAAATTATCAATTGATTTATTTTTATTTTATGTTATTTTCAAAAAAAAAAAAAAAAAAAGACTCTTTTCTCATCAATTGAATAAATTTCAAAAAATAAAATATATCAATTTAATAATGATAATCATCATCATGATATGACTCTTTTTAAATAAAATAAAATAAAATAAAATAAAATAAAATAAAATAAAATAAAATAAAAATAAATAAAAAATAAATAAAAAATTTTAATCTGCAATCTACCCATTTTTTTTTTTTATTGTTTCTTTTTATATTCTATTTTTTTGATATTGCCGCACTATCGACTATATATATATATATATATAAATGACTCTAGTACACATACACATACACATACAAAAAAAAAAAAAGCCGCCATAATTGGACCACCCGGGTTGTGCCGGGTTTAATCGGGCTGATGTGATCCAGGGCGGGATTTTATTTTTATTCTTTATTCTTTATTTTTTATTTATATTTTTATATTTTTATATTTTTATATTTTTCAAGTACTTGAAAATTTTACACGTGCGGGGGTTATTTCAAACGTCCATCAACTTTAAATATAAAAAAAAAAAAATACTAAAAAATAAAAACTTACAAAATATATATATCATTAGTACAAAAAAAACCTAACCCTTAAAAGAACTTTATTTTCAAAGTTATTTTAAAATAACTCTTCCAAAGTTATCTTCTTTACAAATAGTAGTAACTTCAATTATATACACAAAATTAATATACTTTCTTTATCTTTATCTCTTTATCTCTAATTCTCCTTCTCATTGTTCAACTTGGTCTTATCCAAATACTTGTCAAATGCATCATTCCGCTCAGGGAATGGCCGTGGTCCAAGTAATCGAATCATATCCTCACGTGTAATCACCTCCTTAGTTAACAACTCCTCAGCTACCTTCTTAATCTCAGGAAGCTTAGATCTTAACAACTTATCACACTTATCATGAGCCTCCTCAACTATACGTCGAACCTCATCATCAATCAACTCTCCAGTCTTCTCACTAAAGGGCTTACTAAACTGTGAATCATTGCTATCAGCATAATTTAACCATCCAACACGCTCTGACATCCCCCATCGTAAAACCATATTGGATGCCATAGCTGTCACCTTCTTGAAATCATCACTAGCTCCACTAGTAACAGTGTCAAAGTGAATCTCTTCAGATACACGACCTCCAAGTGTCATGGCCATCCGGTCACTCAATTCCTCAGTACTAAGCAATTGCAAATCAGGAGGAAGATATTGTGCATATCCTAAAGCTCCCTGACCACGAGGAATAATAGAAACCTTCAATAGGGGGTCTGCAAACTTAAAATACCACCCACAAATAGCATGTCCAGCCTCATGGTATGCAACAGTGCGGCGCTCCTCAGCACTCAACACACGAGATTTCTTCTCTAATCCAGCAATTACTCTCTCAATGGCTTGCTCAAAATGCTCAATCAACACATAATGCGCACCCTTACGAGCAGCAATCAATGCAGCCTCATTCACACAGTTGGCAACATCAGCACCTGCAAACCCAGGTGTCAATGCAGCAAGACGACCACTCAAATCCTTAATATCTAATTGAGTCTTAATCTTGGACAAGTATACTTGGAAAATGGCCTTGCGACCCTCAATGTCAGGCTTGTCAATGGAAATATGGCGATCAAAACGACCAGGACGGAGCAACGCAGGATCCAAAATATCCGGACGATTAGTACCAGCAAGTACCACAACATGGTCAGAAGAAGAAAATCCATCCATCTCAACAAGAAGTTGATTCAAAGTTGACTCTCTCTCATCATTACCACCAAAGGACCCACCTTGACCACGGGCTTTGCCAATGGCATCAATCTCATCAATGAAAATAATACTGGGGGCCATTTTACGAGCAGTCTTGAACAAATCACGAACACGTGATGCACCAACACCAACAAACATTTCAACAAACTCTGAACCAGAAACTGACAAAAATGGAACACCGGCCTCACCTGCAGTCGCCTTGGCTACAAGGGTCTTACCGGTACCAGGAGGACCAGAGAGAATAGCACCACGGGGGATCTTGGCACCCAATCTTTCGTACTTTTTAGGATCTTTCAAGAAATTGACAAACTCCATAATTTCAACTTTAGCTTCGTCCATACCAGCCACATCTTTAAACTTGACCTTGATATCAGTTTCTTGGTTAAACAGTTTAGCCTTTGACTTGCCGACACCGAAAATGCCACCACCGCCACCAAGGCCTTGGGCACCACGTTTGGAAATGTACCAAATACCGGCAATCAAAAGAATGGTGGGAAGGAAAGCAAATAAGGATGACATGAGAGAGCCTTCAGTGGTATAATACACAGGGACACGTTCAGCAGAGGGGATACCCAGTTCATTCTGGGCCTCTTCAAGCTTACGCTCAAACGAATCAACAGAGCCAATGGTAAACAAAACAACAGAGGGAGAACTGCCACCAAAACCAGATGAGTTTGTATGACGGAGCTGGACACGGGCCATCGAACGGTTCACAACAGTAATTTTCTCAACCAATCCACGGTCCAAAAAGTTTGTACGGAATTCTTCCCATGTAAGTGCTGGGCTAAGAGATTCAGTGCTAAGCTGGAGCAGGAACATGCCGAGAAGCATAAGGCCGATGATGGTATAGATGTTTTGGTTTGGAGGTTGAGGTTGTTGTTGTTGTTGCTGGTTATTATTATTATTATTATTATTATTATTATTATTTGAAGCAGGTTTTTCATTGTAAATAAAACGAGAAGAATGAAATGACCGAGTAATGGCATTTGGCGATTTCAGCATCAATTGTTGATGACTCGTCAACTTTGAACCACGAGTCCATGATTTTAATAGTATTAATGATTGTTGTTTATATTGTTGTTGATGTTGTTCTTGTTGATAATGATAATGACGAGTTTGTTGATTTGATTTGAACTCCGGCGTTTGGGTCCGGAATTTGTGTGACAAAACAGAAGAGGAAAAAGAAGAAGAGGAGGAAGAAGAAGAGAGTAGACGGCGGTGCGCGGGGGGTTTCCAGAGGAGTAGTCCTGTTGTTGCAGAGTGCCTACTGCTCATCATCATAGCCCGGGCTGTAGCATTCACCGCAGTTTGTGGTTGAAACAGACAAGTCCGGGCCATGAGAGATGGCGGAACAACGATTGTCATTAATTTAAGGCAAACTTAGGAGGGTAGGGGTAAAATGAAAAAAATTTAAAAGAATAGTTGTTCCAGCCAGCCAGTTAGTTAGTTGGTTGGTCGGTTAGTTTTAATAGAGTATAAGAAAAGAAAGAAAGAAAGAAAGAAGGAAAAAAAAAAAAAAAAAAAAAAAAAAAAAAAAAAAGTGTATGTGGTTGGTTAGAAGGGAAGGGTAAAAAAAAAAAAGTTTTGGTGGCAAGTGAGAAAATTAAGCGGTGTTTTTTGGAAGAGAAAAGAAAGAGAAATGGTGAATTGAGAATTGGGAGGGAAAAATTGAGAGGGAGAATTGAGGTGGAGGAGGGGGGGTCTGAGCTGGGTTTTGGTTCGGGATTACGTAAATAATACTTAAGAATAAAGATTATAGGGTTATTTCATATAATAAATATAATATATATGATATAAGACATAAGAGTTAAGAATAAAGATTTATATCATATGATTTTATTAACAACAATACCTTTAGTACTACTTAAATAGTAACAGCCCCTGCATTTTCACCTTTAAAACCTCCTTTTTTTTTTTTTTTTTCACACGCCATCTAACAAAATAAACAAACAATCCACACACACATACACACATACACCCCCCCTTTTTTCCCATACCAACCAACCAACCAACCAACCAACCAACCAACCAGCCTATTTACTTAGTTACTCACTCACTTATTTACTTACTTTATACTTCCATCTCAACCACTATTCCCATCTATGGCAGCTCTACACACTCTTAATAGTCTCGGCGATTCGCTAATTAACCCAGATATTCAAATCGGAGTAGCAAACCTGCCCAACCAACGGTACAAAATTGTAGCCAAGCGTGGTGCAACTTTTACCATCATGGTGGCAGGTGAGTCTGGGTTAGGCAAAACCACATTTGTTAACACACTATTTGCTACCACTGTCAAGTCTTATGTTGACAATAAACAACGGTTCCATACCCCTATCCGTAAAACGGTGGAAATTGGTATTACCAAGGCAGACCTTGAAGAACGAGGATTCCATCTCCGATTGAATGTAATTGACACCCCAGGGTTTGGAGATAATGTAAACAATAAAGAGGCATGGCAACCAATTGTGGAATTCCTTGACGATCAGCATGAAGCTTTCCTTCGCCAGGAACAACAACCTGATAGAAGAAGTATCATTGATATGCGTGTCCATGCTTGTCTCTACTTTATCCGCCCTACAGGCCATTCACTCAAACCTTTGGATATTGAAGCTATGCGCAACTTATCCACCAGAGTCAACCTGATACCTGTCATTGCCAAGGCCGATACCCTTAGCCCTCAGGAGATTCATGACTTTAAGAGACGTATCCGTGAGATTCTTGATGCCCAAAAAATCCACATTTATACTCCTACCATTGATGATCCTGCTGTTGTGGACCCTCATGGTTACTATGATCCTACGGGACCTGCTGATGGTTCTACACAACCAGATCCCATGGCTACTTCTGAAGCTAAGGCTATTCGTGAGCTAATTGATGCTATGCCATTTAGTGTGATTGGATCTGAGAATGTGGTGGAACGACCCGAAGATGGTGCTATTGTTTTAGGTCGCAAGTACTTGTGGGGTGTTGCAGAAGTAGAAAATGATAATCATTGCGATTTCCTTAAGCTAAGATTATTGCTAATTCGGTCCCACATGTTAGACTTGGTACAATCTACTGAAGATGTCCATTATGAAAACTATCGTTCCAAACAAATGGAAACTAGGAAACTTGGAGACCCTCGTCCTCGCAAATGGGATAACCCAAAGTATAAAAAGGAAGAAGAAGAACTTCGTAAAACTTTTACTAACCAGGTCCGTGTTGAGGAACAAAGATTCCGTCAATGGGAACAGAACCTGATTAGTGAACGTGACCGGTTGAATCATGATTTGGAGGAAACTCATTCGGCGATCCGTCGTCTTGAGGAGGAAATTGATACGCTTAGCTCGTATAGCAGAAGAAGATGATTTAGTTTAGTTTAGTTTAGTTTTATATTTTATACTATTTTACTTTTGGGTTAAGGTTTCTTTTTTTTTTATTATTTTTAATTTATTCATTATTTTTATTTATTTTTATTTATTTTTATTTATTTTTATTTATTTTTATTTATTTTTATTTATTTTTATTTATTTTTATTTATTTTTATTTATTTTTATTTATATACGTTTATCTCTTTAATTTAATTAAAAAAAAAAAATTCTAAAAAAACAATATTATGGGTTTACATACACATTCTTACAATTAGAGTTCACCTTCCTCAGTCAAGAACTTTTCACAGTCAAGAGCAGCCATGCATCCAGTACCGGCTGAAGTGATGGCCTGTCGGTATCTCTTGTCCTGGACATCACCTGCAGCGAAAAAGCCCTTGATAGATGTCAGGGCCGATCCTGGGATAGTCTTAACGTAACCTTCAGAATCGGTTTCGACCTGGCCCTCAACAATCTGAGTGGCAGGAATATGACCAATGGCATAAAACAGACCATTGACCTCAAGGCTCTTCTTTTCATTGGTCTTGTTGTTAAAAATGGTCAGACTCTGGAGAAGCTTACCATCACCGCAAGCCTCAGTAGCTTCTGTATTGAAAAGTACTTCGACTTTAGGGTGTGACAGCAGACGTTTCTGCATAATGGTAGAAGCACGTAGCTTATCCTTACGAACAAGAACGAAAACCTTGGATCCATACTTGGTCAAAAAAATAGCCTCTTCAGCAGCAGAATCACCACCACCAATAACGGCCAGGGGCTTATTTCTAAAAATGGGCACAGCACCATCGCACACAGCGCATGCAGAAATGCCAGCTTGCCAGTAGGTATCTTCACCAGGGAGGTTCATACGGCGGGCAGATGCGCCAGTAGCAAGAATGATTGCATCTGCAGTTTGGGGTTCTTCAGTTTCATTGTATTCAGTCCAGAGTTTGAAGGGGCGTTGAGAGAGATCAAGTTTGGCCACAGTTTCTGTAATGATTTCAGTTCCGAAATTTTCGGATTGCTTACGCATATTATCCATAAGTTCAGTGCCGGAAATACCTCCTGGGAAACCGGGGAAATTCTCAATCTCAGTAGTGGTAGTGAGTTGACCACCAGCAGCAATGCCATTGGCAAGCATACCTTCAAAGAGAGTGGGTTTAATTTCTGCACGAGCCAGGTAGATGGCAGCGGTGTGAGCAGCAGGGCCAGAGCCAATGATAACGACGCGGTGGTGGGTCATTTTAGATGTGGTAGAAGAAGAAGTTGTAGTTGTTGAAAGAAGTTTTTTTTTTTGAGGGCTCAAAGAGTCGGGGGTAACAGACAGGACAGAGGCAAAGGCGGCTAGTCTGGTTGACGACTTGAAGAAGATGGAAGAAGTACGAGCAGACGACAACGTTGTGAAATTGGTTAATAAATTTGTGTTAAGAGAAAAAAAAAAATTAAAAAAAAAAGTAAAAGGAAGAGGAAGGGGAAGGGGAAAAGGTTGAGTATTTATATTATATAAAAGGTAGTGGGCTATTTTTTTTTTTCTTAATAATAATAATAATAATAATAATTATTTCTATTTCTAATATATTAATTATTAAAGAGAATGATAAAATGAAATTGAGTAATAAAGCCAAAAGAAAAAAAATTTATGATTTTGTTTTGGAGGTTTTGAAAAAAAAAAAAAAAAGAAAAAAAAATTTTATTGAGTGGTTATAAATGAGGGCTTATCAAATCAATCAGTCACGTGAGCGGTCTAGAACCTTTTTTTTATTTTTTGACGTGGCAAGTAAAAATGATTATGAATTTTCAATTATTTGAAAAAAATATTAAATATACAAATAAATAATATATTAAATATATTAAATAAATAATAATAGAAAAACATGGAAAACAAAATAAAACAAACGACTAGACACGAGATATCAAATTAATTTATTAATCAAAAAAAAATATATATATATATATATATATTAGGTTTTTTTTTTTTTTTTTTTTTTTTTTTTCATTACTAAATAGACTCGCGTAGAATTTCTTCTATGATTGCTTCGATTTAATCGATTTATTCGATGACAAATGCACAAATCTTAATAATCAACAAACAAACAAACAACTAATTAGATAATTAACTAATCATGTTAAATAAATAATATATTAATTAATTATTACATCAATTTCATATAGTGTTAAACTTATTCAAGTGTTTATTTCAATACCTAAATAATAAAAAAAATAAAAAAATAAAATTATTTCACAAACAGTTTTTTTTATAAAAAAAAAAAAAAAAACAAAATATAAATAAACTTATAAAAAATATATATATACATAAGAAAAAAAAAATAAGCTTTCTCCCGAGCGTGAGTCGAACACGCGGCCTCAGGATTACAATGTACCATTACAGTCCCGCGCTCTACCAACTGAGCTATCGAGAGATTTTAACTTGTTGAAAAACAATAAATAAATGGACTACATAATACATACGATCACCTTTTGCGTATAACAACAACATGTACTCATTGGGGGGAAAGCAAAAACCATGTCAGACCCCCCCAACAACACCCAAACCACGTTTAGTGGCGGCGACCCTCCTGCCGACAATAATTATACCGACAATAATAATGAACAGACTAATATTAATGATATGCAAAAAATTATTGCTGTTGAACTGAAGGAGAAAGAAAGTTCTCATTCCAGAGGACCTCATTCTCATGAAGCTCATCACATCAAACCCTCGACAAAAATCCAAAAAAATAATGAAAAACCAGACTCCCATAAAAAAATTGAAACTATCCACAAAAAGCTTGAATCGAATGATAAGCATAATGCTTCTTCAAACCACGAAACCCCCGTTGAAACCCCTATTGTGAATGTTGGTCCAACCTTGAACCCTACCTTTGACTCTTCACCAGATGGTGGTGATGTGGAAATTGACGCAACACCATCACGTGACATGGATGTTCTCATGCCGGATGCAAATCCATTTGGTGATAATTCTGAAGCCTGGGAATACATCTTAAAACTTAAGGATGTATTTCTGGTTGAATTGTCTATTGTTAAAGAAGACTTGAGTATTACAATTGAAGATTGGGAAATAAAATTTCAAAATCTTGAACTTAAAAACAATGAGTTAGCTAAACAACTCATTGCTTTGACCGAAAAGCTTAAGGCTTCAGAAGGACAAGTGAATTCTCTTCGCTCAGAACTTGATGTTTTGAGAAACAATCAGGTTCACACAGAAGTTAAACATGTAATGTTTGAAAAACTTAAAAAGGAAGTTAAGGATAATAAGGATCATTGCGATAAAGTGAAACATAAAGCTGATGAAATAGCTAAGATGACTCTTCAAGATTTGTCTCAAGAAAAAGCAAGAAACAAAAGAATTATCGACACTGAAATCAAGGAATTCAAAGAAATGACCAACAATCTTGAGAAAAGAGTTGATAATATGGAATACAAAGTTGGAACTATTTCAACTAAGGCTGATTTAACTACCAAAGAACTTAGCTACGCAAAAAAGGAAATCAAGAGCGCGGTAAGAAAAGTCGACACTTTGCCTTTTGCTTTGACCCTAAAACTCCAAATGGAGCAACTCCAAAGTTGAAAGACATTATGAAGGCTCAAAACAACACCGTGAAACTAAAGTTGATGAAGACAAACCCACTTTTAGAGTGTGCATAAGAATTCCAGATACCATGAAAAGAGTTAATATCCCTGCGATTGGAAAGAAAATTGATGCGGTTGCACAAAAAGCCGGTGGCTCAGGAAATAGGCTATACTGTCAAAGGGCATTTATATGTTCAACTTAATGACAAAGATTTTGCTGATAAAGCTGCAGAATGGATCCCCAAAGTTGACTCTACTTATTCAGTGCTTGACACAGATTCTTGGTACAAGGCTGTACTTCAGGAAATACCTAATACGGCATCGATTGAAGACTTGAAAGAAACTCTCTACAATTTTAATGATTACCATATTGTTTTGAATACCGAACCCAAAATCATTAGCAGAAACCAATTTACCCAAACAGCATTGGTTTCATTCAGAAATGCCCAAGACTATGCAAAGTGTGCTGATAATCTTATTATCCAGTACACAAAAGTTAAAGTTAGACCTTTTATTAGCAGGAAAAAAACTCCTGAAGAACTCCAAGCTATGCGTAATAAGATACGATTATTGAAAAATGAATCAGACAAAAAGGATAATGAGGCCCATCCTGTTTCCACTGACGACTCACAAGATGAACCGATGAAAGAAACAAATATTGAAGAACTAGATGAATCCAATGAGGAAGAAAACGAAAACAATTCTATTACATCCAATGAATTATAAAGTATTCCAACTCAATTGTCATAAATCGAAATCTATTACTGAAACTATCTTAGATAAAAAAGAACCTGATATCTTGTTATTACAAGAACCTTACTTTAACAACTATGGGCCCATTAAACATAAAGATTGGATCCCAATCTTTACAGAAACTGGAAAAGAAAAAAATAAATGCAGAGCAATTACTTACATTAGGTCTAACTCTGACTTACGAGCATTAACTACTAAAATTGAAAAGTTTACAAATCGAGATATGGTTACCATTTTGGTTAAAGACATTACAATTGTCAATGTCTATAATCAACCGAAACCATCCAAGAAATACCCTGAGCCACCGGTTTTTGAGTTTCTCAAACGGGAGATCAAGGAACAATACTCAAAGATTGTCATTGCAGGTGATTATAACTTACATCACAAGGAATGGGAGTCAAGGGCAGGTCCGAATACGGAAGCAGATGAAGTTGTTGAGTGGCTACATGAAAATGATATGATGTTAATTACTCCAAGAAATCAAAAAAACATACAACAATAGAACCAATATTGATTTGGTTTATGGCTCAGTGGACTTACTTCATAGAATTTCATTTAGTGGAGTGGATGAAAATACACTAAGTGATCACTCAATTGTGGAGGGGACATTTATATGTCTCAGAGTAAAAACGGGGATGAAGTTTTACTTCGGTGAAGAGATTGAATATTAAGAATGCAGATTGGGAAAAGTTTGACAAGGAGCTTTCTTCTGCCATTAAAGATTTTAATGTGCATAACAAAACTCTAAAATCAACTGACCAAATTGATGACCAAGCTAAAGTTCTTGAGGAGGTTGTAAAAAGAGCAATGGCAAAGTCGATGAAGGAAGTTAAGGTGATGAAAAAGTCCAAACGCTATTGGAATCAAGAATTAAGGGAGAAGTTAGAAAAAGCGCTAGAAGCTAAAAGGGAAGCCCGTCAAAGACAACCTTCTTTGGCTTTGAAACGACAAAAATTGAAGAGGCGAAAAAAGCTAGAAAAATTTTTTTGACCACAGTTTGCGTGAAGCAAGTACTGAGCAATGGAATAAATATTTGTCTAGTTTAGAAGGAAATGACATTTGGAAGATTTTGAAGTATATTAATCCAAAAAGCAATGATACCATTATACCACAAATTAGAAAAGAAGATGGAACTCTCACTACTACTGTTGACGAAAAAAGACATGAAATATGGAAGGCACTTCTACCTGAAATTGATCATGGTCTTGATAGAGAGTTTGAAATTGACGACGATTCTCGATGGCCAAAATTAGAGTTTGATGAAGTTGACTCTGCATTGGCTGATACCCCAAATGATAAAGCTCCAGGAGACGATGGAATTACTGGCAAAGTTTTAAAGATGGCATGGCTGAATAAAGACTTTAAGGAAAGGTTTTTCAAGCTTCTCCAAGCTTGTGTGAAGTTTGGATACCACCCAAAAGTCTGGAGACATGGCATTATTGTTGTTATATACCTAAACCTAAGAAACCTGACTATTCAAAGCCAAGAGCATACCGACCAATTTCCTTACTTAAGATTCCATCTAAAGTACTGGAAAAAATTATACAAAAAGAATGACCAAACTTACAACGCACTTACTTCCACCAGAGCAATATGGGGAAGACAAGGTTATTGTGCTACTGATGCTGTTTTGGAACTTGTCCAAAGAATTGAAACTAGTAAAGAAAAATTTCAGCTATGCTCATTGATATTCAAGGAGCTTTTGATAATGTCAACAGAAATTTATTGGCAGACACAATGGAGGATATGAAACTACCCAAAGCACTTATAAACTGGACATACCAATTTGTAAGTGAAAGAGAAGCTAGTATGCTCATGGACCGAAGAAAAGGATCAGTGCAAAAATTAGTACTGGAATTCCGCAAGGCTCACCTATTTCACCACTACTTTTTTGATATATTCCACACCAATGTATCATGCCATTAAAGAATGGGGTGGAACTCCTTTGGCTTTATTGATGATGTGACTATTACCGTTGAAGGTAAAATTGAAGAAAATACCAAAAGCTTAAGCAACATATTAGAAAAATGTTGTAATTGGGCTAAATCAAGAATGACCAAAATTGATTTGGGTGATAAATTGGGTTTTATTCATTTTACAAAAAATGTGAAACCTAAAGATGAGAAAGTGCAACTTACTTTACCTAATGGAGAACTTCGTGAACCCCAGAAGGAAGTTAAATTGCTTGGAATTACTTTGAACAATCTGCTTGATTTTAAATCTCATATTTTGAATAAAATCAATAAAGCAAGAAAAGCTGTTGGTGCTATTTGGCATCTTGGTGGCGTGCAAAAGGTATGCGAGGGTCTGCAGTCAGATCACTGTATATTGCTTGCGTGAGACCAATTGTTGAATATGGCTTAGAAATTTGGCATCATAAAATCTTGAAAGGAGAAATCCACAAGTTGGAAGTGATGCAGAACATGGCTTTAAGAAGAATTGTTGGTGCTTATCGCACAACTCCTATTGCGGTATTACAAAAGGAAGTTGGTATTATGCCATATAGTATTAGGCTAAAATTTATGGTGGCACGAAAAGCTATTCGTTTACACCTAAATATTAGCAAAACTAATCCTATTAATGGTCATTTGTTAACATTGATTGAGAAATCTCCAATTGCAAAGCTAACCACGCTTTACATGTTGGCGAAAGATGATAGAGACTATATGATTAAAAAGGATGAAAAACGAAAATGCAAGAGGGTTGAACCTCTTACACTGAAACAACAACAAAATCAGACGATTGGAATTTTGAAGAAACAAGCAATGGAAGAATGGCAAGAAATGTATTGGAACAGCAGTAAGGATCTGTGGTATCATAATATCACAGTGGAGTCGAAATGTACTGATAATCTTTCCAAAATGGTTACGGGAGTGATCATGAAGAAAGATAGTCGAAGGATCTTGAGTAATATTACTCAGTTTCGCACAGGCCATGGCAACTTTGGCGCATGGTTTAAAAAGTTTGGAATTGAAAAGGATAGTTACAACTGCAAATGTGGAGAGCTGGAAACAGTTCATCACATTTTAGTTGAGTGTCCTTTGCTTGAAGAGGAAAGAAAAGGACTGAAACGGATATCTCCAGAGATGGACATGTCGACTCTCTTAAACAGTTTAACTGGCTTACAAGAGATTGTAAGCTTTATCTCTGCTTGGAGGGATTAAGAAATACAATTACAGCGTTGATGAAGACAAGTGGAGATAGGTTGGGAAGGTTTGGTTATTTTTAACCCCCTGTTCCTCGTAAGCTGGCATCAGGACTTATTTTCGGGCTGTTGGAGATGCAATGTTGAAGCCAAAATTAAAAGTTTATTATCAAAATGAAAAAATATATAGTATGGACAAGAAGGATATTGTTTGTTTGTTTGTTTTTATTCAAGGGTTATAGAACTATATAACATCAGCATCTGCGCTATCCTTTTATTGTCTGACTATGTGACTTGCCGGTTTTCATTTGTACCTTTTTAGTACGGGTGGTTTCTGTTCTGTGCGTCTCCGGTAGCCCGGAAGATGGGCCCTGATGCCAGCTTACGAGGAACAGGGAGAACCAGTCTGTCGGTCCCAAAACCTTCCCAACCCATTTCCACTTATCTTCACGGACGCCCATGTATTTCTTAATCTCTTCCGTCAGAGATACGGCCCGCAATCACCTGCAGGCTATTTAGACTGTACGGAAGAGTCGGCATTCCTGTAACCAGGGTAGCCTATGGTTTTTCAGTCTAGGTGTATACTCCCGTACACATCCTCAGGAAAAGGGGGTATTCTGGGAATCGAACCCAGTATCTTCCGCTTTCGAGCGAACGTGTTATCCTTTACACCATCCAGCCCTTTCCCTCGACAAGAAGGATAGCGCAGATGCTGATGTTATATAATTCTATAACCCTTGAATAAAAACAAACAAACAAACAAACTCATTGGGGGGAAAAGGGCTGGATGGTGTAAAGGGTAACACGTTCGCTCGAAAGCGGAAGATACTGGGTTCGATTCCCAGAATACCCCCTTTTCCTGAGGATGTGTACGGGAGTATACACCTAGACTGAAAAACCATAGGCTACCCTGGTTACAGGAATGCCGACTCTTCCGTACAGTCTAAATAGCCTGCAGGTGATTGCGGGCCGTATCTCTGACGGAAGAGATTAAGAAATACATGGGCGTCCGTGAAGATAAGTGGAAATGGGTTGGGAAGGTTTTGGGACCGACAGACTGGTTCTCCCTGTTCCTCGTAAGCTGGCATCAGGGCCCATCTTCCGGGCTACCGGAGACGCACAGAACAGAAACCACCCGTACTAAAAAGGTACAAATGAAAACCGGCAAGTCACATAGTCAGACAATAAAAAGGATAGCGCAGATGCTGATGTTATATAGTTCTATAACCCTTGAATAAAAACAAACAAACAAACAAACTCATTGGGGGAATAGGGGAAAGGGCTGGATGGTGTAAAGGGTAACACGTTTGCTCGAAAGCGGAAGATACTGGGTTCGATTCCCAGAATACCCCCTTTTCCTGAGGATGTGTACGGGAGTATACACCTAGACTGAAAACCATAGGCTACCCTGGTTACAGGAATGCCGACTCTTCCGTACAGTCTAAATAGCCTGCAGGTGATTGCGGGCCGTATCTCTGACGGAAGAGATTAAGAAATACATGGGCGTCCGTGAAGATAAGTGGAAATGGGTTGGGAAGGTTTTGGGACCGACAGACTGGTTCCCCCTGTTCCTCGTAAGCTGGCATCAGGGCCCATCTTCCGGGCTACCGGAGACGCACAGAACAGAAACCACCAGTACTAAAAAGGTACAAATGAAAACCGGCAAGTCACATAAGTCAGACAATAAAAGGATAGCGCAGATGCTGATGTTATATAGTTCTATAACCCTTGAATAAAAACAAACAAACAAACAAACAAAACCAAACGTTAAAATGTTCAATAAAATACCCTTGAATAGAAATCAATCAAATCATGTTCAATAAAATCCTTTTATTCTAACAAAAAATAATAAAACACAATAAAAATTAATTAATAATATTTAAATATTAACAATAATAAACTTAATAAATTGCATTTGCTTACTGTGAATGAAAAAAAAAGAGATTTAATAACAAAAAATAATGAAACAAAAGGGTTTTTTTTTCTTAAACAACCAACTTAACATCAAAATCATACTAGTGAAAATTGTCTTGTTGATAAAGAAACACATTATAGCAAAGGATGATGGTATACCGTTGAAGTTAGGTGCATTGGATGTTTTTCTACAAAAGAGTTAGATCAGTAATTTTGGTATAATGTGAATTGATAAGGAAATTTACTTCAAGATGATTGTTAATACAATGAAACCAATCCTTGCAATGGCAATACACGAAATTGTTGGCATTATATTTGCCTGGTTGGATTGTAAAATTAAACTGTTGATAAAGAAAAGTGAAAATAGATTAGATAAATTTTAATCATTTATCCCCTCATTCTTGTACTCTGAAATTAGTGCCTATTTTTCAGGTATTGGACATGACAAAGTTCAACTCAAAATACCTTACACGGTATAAAATCTTTCATTGTTTTTCTTCCTCATTAACTTTCAATAGAAACTACGTCAACTATTCTACCTCCTCTCTCCCCTGACAAACTCTTTCACTATGGGACTCCGCGCAAACACCGGATTCAATAGCACTGTTAACAAGAAAAACTCAAGCCCGCGCCGCCGGTTCTCCAAAAATCCTTCTCGAAACTTGCTCACCACGCTCTTCGGTGGTAGCTCCGGAATCCCATGGCGCTGCCGCGGATACGCATACCACAGCCTCTCTCGCAATGTGTAAAACTCGCTGTACCGCCGGCGAATCGTAATCACTTGGTGCACCCCGTTGTAGTGGCTATGTGGAATAGGCACCTGTCCAATCTGAGACTGAATCTGTGGACTCTGATTTTTGCTGGGCGCAGGGGTACCATTGCTTCCAGTACTTGAAACTGTGGGCGACAGTGGGCCCTCTGAGTTGGGTATATGTGGCGAATGTAACGACCAATTAATATCCTGAGGTCCTGGTTCTGGTTCCGAATCACTTCCATCGTCACTTCCGATTCCGCTACCGGCTTTTTTATTCTTCTTTTTCCCCACACTATCATCTCCGCAACCTTCTTCCTCTTCTTCCACTGGTTTCAATACCTCAATTTCAACAGTCCACACTACATATGCTCCAAGCTTTGTATTTCCTTGAATTACCGTGTAGTTTCCCACATGTACATCTTTGGCCCATACACCGACACTTTGAGGATCCTGAGAAGCACTGCGGTCCTCCAAAGTTATGGGCTGCGGCGACACGTATGACAAGTCTTCTGTTTCGTCAAAGTTCTTGCGCCGTCGAGAGGACAGCTGGGTTTGTGTGGTGGTCGGATTAGTCGTAATGCTGTTGGCCCCCAAAGTTGGGGTATCTGGGCCACTTGTATTCCCCGGTAGCGCCGTCACAGAGTCTATGAAAATAATTAGATAGAATTCAAGCAATTGATATCAAAACTTACCAGACTTATGAGTAGTAGATTGCTGAGGAATAGAGCTGATACTGCTAGACACTCCTACCGTAATTGATCCAGTACGTTTCTTCCCCTTATCCTTGACCGGCAATGATTTTGCTGCTTGTAGAGGAGCATCTGAGTCTTGTTGATTAGTTTGCGATTGGATTTCTGGTGCATCAATGACTTCCATTGAACAGAGAGAATGTGAGTTTTATTAGTAGTGTCTTAAATGGATATCAATAATATATGTATGACAAAGCTTTGAAAAAAAAATTAAAACAATAAAACAACAAACAAACTCAAGATTCGTTATTTTGATTAAGATAACACAGGGATTGGTAGTAGTTCTTATATTTTTAAAATAGAAAAAAAAGGTGGAGAGACCTAAATGTCTTCGTTTTTTTGGTTGAGACTTAAATTTTTGTACGGCGGCAATGGCGGGCGGTGTGGTCAGCAGACCTTTTTGTGTTTGTGTGTGTGTGTGTGTGTGGAGATTATTCAGCCGTAGAACTATTTTCCGTTTAAACAAAAACCTCCATTCTCAAGCCCTAACCCATATAATCACCAATTATATTCTCAACACTCAGCAGCTTCCACTAAAAATTTAACCGCACCAAAAAAAAAAAATAAAATATAAATAAAAAATAAACTCAATACTTATTTGTTCGATAAGATCATAACTTCAGCCATAATCCCTCATGGAACTCATTAAAGATAAAGTCCCCCGGTTTACTCAGCTTTACCATCAATGGAGGGCCCTTCGTAACGTGCCTTTCCGCAAGAAATTCTTTATTGGCTACGATCTTGATGGTAACACCTACTGGGAGTTTTTCAACCCCAATAACCCATTGAGACCCCGTCGAATTGTGGATTATCGTGAAACCAGAAAGAACTGGGTTGATTATAAAATGCCTCGTATGTATTTTTGTCTATTTTTTTTCTTTTTTTTTTTGTCTTCTTTTTAATATCTAATAATAATAATAATAATAATAATAATAATAATAATAATAATAATAATTTAGCTCAATGGATGCAATGGCTTCGATTTGCACGACCAACATACCCAACCCTTGAAGAATTGGCTGCTGACAAACAGCGCCAGGAGCTTTTGAAGTACCGTGTAATGGAAGCTGAACAACGTTGGCAAAGCGTTCCCTTGAAGAATGACCAGTCTGCTCAAACTTCGTCTTTGGAAATGTTGCTTAAAAACCACAAACAACAAGAACAAGAACAACCACCGCAAATCTCTCTAGATGACCTTCAACAAGAAGCTTCAAAAAGTCATCAACAACAAGAACCTATTCAAGAAACTACTAAAGAACCCACACCAAGTCCTCTGGTCAAGGCTGACGAAAAACTTAAACAACAACAATCAAACCCTTCTGACGTCTTTAAACCTACCGGCTGGACACCGGTATCTCGACGATAATACTCATTCTGTTCCCATCTCATCTGTATATATAAATAATCTTTAAACTCTTCACAAAGAACAAACAAATCATTAAAATTAAATCTAGAAACAAAAAGAAACTTTTCAATTAAAAAAAAAACAAACATCTATATTTCCTCCTTGATCTATCACCTCTCTAACCTCGAGCTAATCAACTGGCACACTCGTTCTCCCAGTCGATCCCCAACTTTCTCTATAATTTCCTCCATACTTTTCCCTCCAAAAATATTATCATCTCTATCACTACTTTTCTCAATCTCCTTCTCTTCTTTCTTTTCCTCTCCTTTGAGCACTGCAAGTGTCATTGTCATCTCTCGAATTAACGTACCCACCTCCTCGCTTGTGAAAATCTGCGGCTGAGCTCCGTACACTGCACGAACCTCTGCAAGCGTTGCACACAGTCCAAAATGCATGGCTTCAGATTCCATACCTACAGTGCTCTGCGAATTTATTGTCAGAGTTGTTGTTGCTGCCTTTGTCGTCGGAGTGGTCGGCGTTTTAGGTACAGCAACAACCTGTCCTGGCACACTTTTGACTTCCTCTACACGAGTCAATGACACAGGTTTAAGTTCAGGTGTACTCCCAGCGCTCATATCTCTGCTTTCTTTCTTTGACAGAGAACTCACACTACCAACACTACTTCGCCGGCTAGCAGTACTGCTTGTGCTCGGACTCCGTATTGATGATGCACTCCTCTCCGGCTCACTAACCAAACTGTGTCGTGACGATGACGTCCGCCGGCTTCCTGTTTCCACTGGGCTCCCACTCACCGATTTGGATTTAGACTCATCACTTCCCATAACTTTACTAGAAATCCCAGACTCGGTGGCAGACCGCCGAACAAGCCCAGTTTTGCGTAAAGTCACTGATGGGGGCATATTATTAACGCTTGGAGAGGAAGACCGCGAAATTGCCTTGGTACTGTTGCTTGTGGGTGTTGTTGGACTCTTGAGACTAGAAATTGAGTTAGACGATACAGAAGTGCGCAGCCGCACAGGACTGATACTAGGCGTACTAGCTGCCGCCATCGTGGCCGCTGCAACTGCCGCACCGCTACTATTACGACCAGCTGCCGAGGACTCTCCAATAGTCACGGTACTACTGCGCGTCGCACGCACAGGCAATCTTCCTCCTGAGCCATCAGACTTCCCCAATTCATGACTGATTGATTTAGTTGCTGGAGACCGCACAAGCCTAGTGACGCTCGCTTTGCCGCTCTGAGACCCTATCGACCCGGTGCGTAAAACCTGTGACGACGGTTTGGATGGCGACTCAGGTTGGCGCTCAAGTACCTTGCTTTTGATCCGAATTGAGGGTGCCTCGTTGATCTTTTGTAAACTGCTGGATCGCGAAAGAGTTGCAGGTGCTTCGTGAGGCACTGACGATAACGCAGACGTGCTTCGTGATGACGAAAGGGTGGGGAGTGTTTTACGCCGCCCAACGGCAGTGGAACTTGCCGCAGTGCTTGAATTAGAGCTTGTTGTATCCCCGCCAGTTTTGTTCAAAAACCGATTGATTTCTGCCTTGGAAATAACTTTGCGTACAGGCACCCCAGTGTTGGCCGAAATAGGCGGCGTTCTCGTAGGTGACTCGTTACTTGCACTTCCAGCACTTGACGGAGCTGATCCACTGCTAGAACTCGATGTTGGCGCATGCAATACCGGTGAAGATGTTGTATTGAGTCTACTAAACGTGTTACCACCAACAGGGCCTCGCCGAGAATGGTATGTGCGCTTGTAGTATTGTGTGAGTCCCGTTAGCTCCCACGCAAAAACACATCCGTCATTGCCGCTACTTGCCAGTGTCCAGTGTTCGTCTTCGTCCACAACTTCACTACCAACCAATTCTAAGCCGGAAACGCCTTCCGAGTGTCCCCAATCGCTGCAAATGTGCTGCCCAGTCTTATGGTCATATACTCGAATACTCTTGTCGGCACCCATGCCTACAAGACATGTGTGGATCATGTATTTGTTTTCAGAAGCTTCGATTCGAACAGGTGCAATCGCAATGTCTTTGAGAGCCACCGCATCGCCCTTCTCATCAGTAGTCTTGTATGTTCTTGTCAATTCACTCCCAGGAAACTTGTACACATAAATATTCTTGTCATTGCAAGACACAATGAGCTCGCCAACAGTGCTAACATGGAGATCACACGGGGTTGACTTGAGAGTAATGATGCGCTCTGGCATATATGCAACCAGGCGCCCTGCGTCACTGTCTGAAAATACAGCCTTGTGTACAGACACAGTCCGATCATTGGAACACGATAAGATGTACTCGCAGTTGTTTACAACAAGTACCTTATTGACGCTACTTTTGTGGCCCACCAATGTCTGAAGCAACGTCCAATTACTCACAGGTGTATTGTATTCTTTCAGAAATACTTGAACTGTACGGTCGCGCCCGCTAGTAGTTACAATTTCCAGGTATTCGTCTTTATTAACAGCTCGGTACCCATATGCAATCCCTACAATCTCTGAGCCATGGGCGTGAAAGTATTGGGCTACAGCTCCACTCTTCTTATCCGAGATTCGCAGTACGCCGTGCCGGTCGCCACTCACTACCATGTTTGATTTGGTGGCCACGGCTTTGGAAAGAAAATTGGGGAAATCCTCGCGCACTTCGTATGTTGAGGCCATTTTGTCAATATCGTCATGAACATTAATGGTTACTTGGCCCACGCATTCAGCGTTTTTGTTCCAAACACGCACAAGCCCTGAGTCTGACCATGTTATAAACCGGCTGTCCACGGTACTTTTAAGGCCACGGATACCGCCATTATTAGAAAGCCTCAGTGTTTGCTCGATAAATGTAATGCCTTCGGTACCACTTAGTTGTGTTTTGTTAAAATCTGTAATTTTGAGTTCATTGTGAGACGTGAGCCGAATCACTGATGAATTAGTTGTTATTACTGACATGGCTAAAATATAGGAGTCTGTAGTAGTCAACTCTTTGATAGATACTGGTGATTGTTCTAAATTATTGTTTGGATCAAGTATTGTTTTGAGAGGAACAGCCCTAAAAAAAGTTAGACAGGAAACACAACAAAAAAGTTTTTCACATACCTTAATTCATCTTCAGGACCAGTGATCCAAAGTGTTTGGTCATTGAAATCAAAGTGAATCGAGGAAATGGCAAAGTTTACTGTATACTGAAGAGAAAAGGACCCTACTGTTGAGTCTTCTGACTCGTTGGCAGAATTGAGGGTAACAAGTCCGATTTCACCGCGATCTGTAGCGACCAGCGCTAGTTTGGGCGAGATGGGAGCAATTGATACAAATGTTACATTGCTAAAAGTCCCAAGAACAACATTTCTGCATTGTAAGACTGAAGGGTTTGTAGCAGAAATGAAGGAATCGTCGGTTGACGGTCGGTGCCAGACACGTAAATGACGAATTCCAGCTGTTATAAGAACACTGTTTGAACCAGTCATCCAAGCCATGGCATTTACAGTGGAAAGACATTTGTTTGAGGAATGAAGAATAGCCGTTTGGTCGCGGGGGAGCAACCGCCAAATGTGCAGAAATCCATCATTGGTAACACCTAAGGTAGCTAGGTACCGTCCGCAGGGTGAAAAGGAAAGCCGTTTAATTCCAAATCGATGTTCTCCAAGCATTAAAAGAGGTATGCGCAAAGAGTCTGGGGCTAGGGAATAAACAAGGATATGGGGGTTATAACCAGTTTCACCAACAGCCAATATTTTAGCGTCTGGGGATATGGCTACACAGGTAGTGCTTTTGATTTTGTCCTTGGAAGAAAGTGATTGAGAAGATAAAGCGGAAGTTGAAGCTATGGATGCAAGTGATGCAGAAGCAGAGGTGGATCTAGTGATTCCAGAAGAAGATGAAGATGGGTCATCGGATCCCTGAATGCCAATTCCATGTGTGGAAGATTTAATAACCACTGGGGTATAAGAAATGGGGAATGAAAATGCGTCTCGTCGGCCATCTTTTGTCGAACATTCTAGCGAAGACGAAGCAGTAAATGGTAATTGTGTAGGTAATAGGGAAGAAGAGGATGAAGAAGAGGATGAGGATGAAGATGCAAAGGGTTTAGGGGGGGCACAGAAAAAACGCTCGGATTTAATGCAAACTGGAGACGTCTCACTAAGCTGGAGTAAAACGACACCGGCGCCAGCGGTGTATGCAATGGAGTTTGTTGCGGAAGCAAAGCCTGCAGAGGTTGATACTGTTGTGCCAATGACGCGTTTAACAGTCAATTGCGGAGATCCACCAGGACTTTGTCTTCGAACATGTAGTGGGGTATCTAATCGGGTAGGCGAAGGGTTTACCAAGGGTGGGATTGGTTGTTGTTGTTGTTGTTGATGCTGAGCTGTTGTTGTTGTTATTGTTATTGGTGGTGTAGCTGTGGTAGCCCCTGAATGTGAAGAAGAAAGCCGCCGTGGTTGAGGTGGTGGTCCTAGAGCCGGGACGGATGGTGTGTGAATAGAAGGATGCTGAGCCCGAGGAGCGTCCAGGACCGATCGGGACATGGTGAATAAAGAGAGTAGAAGGGATAGTTCAAAGGATTCCTGGATATAATATATAGTGGGTAGTTTGGTGGAAGGTCGTTAAGAGGAAAAGGTTGGAAGCAAAAGAATTTTAATGCAAAAAAGTGGTGATTATTATTTGTAAACAGTAAGGGATGTTTATCATGCAGCAACAGGAACGACAACAAAAAAAAAAAAAAAAAAAAAAAAAAACAAATGAAAAAGGCAAATGTAGCAATTAAAAGGTAGATTTTAAAGAAATTTGTAAGGAGGGAAAAATTTGATTAAGAAGAGTTTTTAATTTGTTATTTTTTATGAAAAAGACGTGAACTTCATTTTTTCATTTTTTGTTTGAGAAGTTTCGATTTTCAAATTGATTTCGAGGAATTGACAGAAAAAAAAAATAAAAATAAAATGTTGGGAAACTTTTTATGTATTAATTAGTCATATATTAGTCACTTGAGATTTTTTATATCTTTATTTTTTTTATTTTTTTTTTATTTCTAAAATACTCCAAAAAAAATTAATTTTAATAGAAAAAAAAAAGATTTGAAAGTTTTAAATATGGTCAATTGGTAAAAAATCAATTAAATTAGACTGTAAAACAAAAATTTATTTAATTTTTTTTTTTTGCTCCAGTTTTTCTGCAATTCCTAAACCCGAATGATTCTATCAACTAGTCTTGTTTAAAACAAGCTAAAAGAAGCCGCACGACCGTTTTTATCACTTCTAGAAGACTTAAATCATTTATACAAACAGAAAAAAAAATAATAAAAAATAATAAAATAAAATAAAAAACTTTTAAAGACTTTAACTATTTCAATGGTGAGGAAGAAAAAAAAACAATTTCTATGATTGAATTCATTAAGTTTTTAAGATTGTTAGTTCAGAAATCCCTTTAAATACCTTTTCTATCTTGATAGCAACCTTCCAATTTGCTTAAACCAGCCTTTCGTCACTCTGATATAATATCTATATTTGTCACGTGATATATACACCGCCATTCCCATCCATTCACAACATCACCAATGTGGACTTCCACCCAAACAAATAGAACCACTCATAGCCTTCATCTCAACAAGCAACTTACAAAAAGTCCTCCTTTTTTTTTTTATTTTAATTTTTAGCTTCCTCCTCTCTCATTTACCTGATCTCTAGTTATAAACTTTCTCAAATAAGCATTCATGCCATGAGCGACTCTTTCGCGTCGCAGCAGCCCATGGACCCGTTCCATTTGCCCCGTGCAATCAAATCCTTGGCCGGAACCTGCGCGCTGGCCGCGTCCATCATCTCCTTCACATGCATCCTTCTCCACCTCAAAAACTATCGCCGTCCTCATACTCAGCGCTTAATTGTCCGCATCTTGCTTCTCCTCCCGCTTTACGCACTGTCCAGCTGGCTGGGCCTCGTATCGGGTCCCATAGCCTCCGCTTTCTCATCCGTTCTCGACCCCATAGAAGAGGCCTACGAAGCCCTCGTTATCTACACCTTCTTCTCACTCCTCACAAATATGCTTGGAGGTGAGCGTCGTATTGTTTCAATTACCCTAGGTAGATCTCCCAAACCTCACCCATGGCCATTCAAACATCTCCTAAACCCAGTCGACATCTCCGACCCTTACACATTCCTGTACATTAAACGCGGGGTCTTACAATACGTCTGGATCAAGCCCGTTCTTTCGGTTGCAATTCTTATTATGCGACTCACAGGAACATACCAGGAAAACTATCTGGGTCTGCGCTCCGGGTATATGTGGATCGGCATCATCTACAACATCTCTATCTCAATGTCTTTATACTCTCTTGCATTATTCTGGTACTGCCTTTTCCAGGATCTTCAGCCGTTTGATCCTTTCCCCAAATTTCTTTGTGTCAAAGTTATCATCTTTTTTTCTTACTGGCAAGGCGTTCTTCTTTCCATCCTAGTTTGGCTGGGTATAATTCATGATGTCGGCTACTATACCCCCAACAATATTGCAACCGCCATCCAGCATGCTCTCATGTGCACGGAGATGCTTGGTTTTGCCATTGGCCACTGGTATGCCTTTTCTTATAAAGATTTTACCGGGCCTGCTTATGCCCACTGTGCCCGCATGCGACTCCCAGCTGCTGCCCGTGACGCCTTTGGCACCATTGATCTAATGCTTGACTTTAAAGCAACCTTTTCCGGTGACAAGTACACTTACCGTCAGTTTGACTCTATAGAAACTGTTCTCGAACACCCGGACTCCCGTTCTCGCAATGCCCGCCTAGCCCACGGACTGCGCTACCAAGCTGGCGGCAAATCAAAGTATTGGCTACCGGACCCAGCCGCCCCGCAAGTTCCAATAATCGTGGCGTCCACGGGAGGCCCTCTTCATATTCCTCCTCCATTTTTGCCTGGTCACGCGCGCACAGGTTCCTCAGATACTGCAACAACAGTAGTAGCTGGCACAACTTCTCCCACATCATCACTCTTTAGCTCAAGCCCATTATTAAGTCCAGGCCAAGCTACTCAACTGTCCTATGGTACAACATCAAACCAGGAATCTTCAACAATAACAGCAACTATATCCGGGTCAACTCCTGCTCCAGATTCGCTCTTGGAACAACCCTTTCTTTCCCAGCAAGAATTTGATGCAGACAATGCTCTTTACGCTCAGGCTCGCACTTTGCCCTACGGCGATTACAATGTATGTACTATCTCAACTTTTAACTACCTCTTTTCTAACTTTTGTATAACCTTCATAGTACCCCGTCATCACAGACCCAACACCTTTGGTCTATCGCCCCTTCCTCAATACTCACACATCTACTCGCGACCCATACATTCGATCTCAACTTGAACAAGAGTACCTTGATTTTGGTGCTGATTCTCCTAGACAACCTCTCCTGTAAAAATAGTATAATCTTTATTTGCATATATTTTTTTTCTCACTTTCATTTATATCATTTCATTTTTTTTTTATTTATTTGCCCTTTCTCGCAAATCCATATACATGTCCCTTTTTTTAATCCATTTGGAGTTGCCGACGACGTAAAATCTCCTGCACTTCGCGCTCGTCTTCCACTGTCGTAGGCTGTGGTGCGAACCGCAGCTTTTGCTTAATCTTATCTCGTTTACGCTTCGGCCGCGTCACAGACAATGTATCCAGGTTATACTCATCTGAGGGCCCTCCTCCAAAGCCATAGTTTCCTGGATTTTGCGCGTCTCTGTTGGCTCCATGTTGTTGGCTCATTTCACCAGCTCCAATTGGGCCATTGTATTCCTCGCCAATTGTCGATGCCACGCCGCTGTCGCGAGAAAATGCGTACGGATACGCCTCGGACTCCCCAGCAGCCAAAAAGTTCAGCATCTCAGGTTCTTCGCGGAACTTGCCCACGGTCCAGCCTTGCACAAGTTCCGGGTAAGCCTCCTGCTGCAGTCGTCGATGTACTGGTAAATACTTCTCTAATTCCTGGAAAGTGTCTGTGTCTGTTGGTCGCACCATGGCGCGAACGGTTTGTAAAATCAAATCATACAAAACACACATGACAACAATTGCAACCAATAAGGCCCACCATGCCAAATCACGGCCATAATACTTGAAAATGGCATTGTGAACATTGTAAATCTTAGAAGGACTCTTGTCGTAGACAAAAGACAAAAACATGTTCCAAAGGAACCATCCGCCAACGCAAATAACAATTACTACCCAGTTGATAAATGTCTTGCTGTGCATCTCCAAAAGCTGCAGTTTAATCACAACCATGATAACAACTGTAGAGAACATCATAACACCAAATGGGAAAATGGTATTTTCCTTAATCAAATTGTGGCCGTAAATGTAGTATGTGCTGAAAGAAGTAATAACGCTCTGAGAGGCACCAATAAGAATCCAACCAGAAAAAATATAATAATCAAACCCTTCATTGCGGGGGCCCTTGGTGTACAACTCAGGAACAGCAATCAAAGTTGACGCCTTAAGATCCTTTTCCAAAACTCCAATACAAATAACGGGCAATGAGGTAAACAATGTGTTAAACATGGATAACGACCAAGTCTCATATGCAGATGTGCCCGTAAACATGACATTGCGCTGATAAATTGCTTGAGTCAGGTAGAAAAAGATTTCCTTGTAAAATGTACCCAAGATATACTTGCATGTACGCACATAATTCCAACGACCATGGACAAGTAGCAACTTAAGCAAGAATCGGAATTGGGCAATGGCATAATCAGACGAACGTGCGGCCTGCAAACCTTCACGGCCTGTAATGCCAATACCCACATCTGCACTTTGAATCATTGCAATATCATTAGCACCATCACCAATAGCCAATGTGATTGCAGTCTTGACCTTCTTGCGGACAGCAGAAACCATGGCAGCCTTTTGCGAGGGACTGGCACGGCAACAAATCACAGAGTCGGCTTTGACGCCAAGTTCCACAAATAATGTCATCATCGTCATGTCCTTCTCAATGTCTGTCAATGTACCACCATCGACAACAACCACGCAGTGAGCAACATTGCCACGACTCAATTCACCCATGGCACCCGTCATTTGCGCGGAAATATCTCCTTCATCTGATCGCAAAACAATAACAGTGGAATAATCTTTGATCAAACGGCAACTGTAACCAATGTTGATGGCAGTTTCGCGCTTATCTCCAGTCAACATCCAAAGTTTAATGCCAGCACGACGCAGTTTGTCAATGGCTTCAGGAACACCACTCTGCAGCTTGTCTTCAATAGCGGTAGCACCACACAAATCAAGATTAATCTCAATTTCCTCTGCAACCTCCTCAATCTTTTGCTGACGATCAACCAAACTAGTCTTGGCAACGTTGTATGCTTGCTCCCATTCATGATACTCTTGGTGCTCCATGAAGCGGTAAGAGTATAAGAGAGTACGCAAGCCTTCTGTGGAAAATTCTTCAATGTGTTCTAAAGTACGCTCAATGACAAATCCATCATTTAAGACAAGACGGTCATCAGCACGGAAGGAATCTGGATCATCATCATTGTTTTGTTGATACTGTTGAGGAGCTTGAGGGCGATGTAAATCACCAGAAACTCTTCCAGAAGGTCCAGCCGCATTATCGCCATAACGCTGTTGCGCAGACAACGACATAGACTTGCGTGAAATTTCGGCAATCTCCTCAACCTCTTCATCAGGATTGGCTCTATGTTGGAGATAGTCGTCTAAACTTCCCAAAACATCATTGCGATCAATGGCAATACTTCTGCGGTCGCCTGTAATACTATGGCGCCCAGCAGCCAAATCAGGGTTCGACATACTAGTTCGCTGGACCACGTAATCAGCCTCAGCAGTCTTACGCATCGAAGACTGCTTGTTAATTTCGGCAGCCTTTTCGGCAGCTAGATCAGCAAGGCGCAAACGTTCAAGAATAATATTATCTGCACCTTTGCAAAAGACACAAATGCGATCATCTGGGAACTTGACAATAATGGACATGCGCTTACGGGCACTAGAAAATTCAATGACGTCAAGAACTTCGTATTGTTCATCCAATGGATCACGTTCAAACCCTTGAGGATAAGTGCGGATTGTCAAAGATTGGTGTTGTCGATCAATCATAATGAAACCCATATCACGAGCGGCATCGATAAGAGCCAGTTCATCAGGGGATGCAGCTTGGTACTCAAGATTTTCGATACGTGTTTCGCCGTTTTCATCGCGACTTTCATCAATATCTGGAACACATGTGTGGCACAGAGCAAGTGAAAGAATGAAAAACCTAGCTTTAGTAGCATAAACCGAGTTGGGATGTGCCAGCATGTACTGAAGTAGCTCCAAAGTTGAACGTACGTTTTGCTCCTTTGCCGGAGCGGCATTTGAACGCCAAGTTGAGCGCACACTTGAAGTGCGCGCAAGAGAATTGGTGCTTGCACGTCCAAACCCGCTTCGGCGGCCGGCGTTGCTTGGGCGACCAATATTACTTGGTCGGCCTACATTACTCGCACGTCCAACATTGCTGGTTCGCCCAGGGTTACTGGTACTTTTACGCGGCAGGGCTGCCACTTGTTGTAAAATTTGATCGGTGCTAACACGTGAGGGTATTAAAGCTGCAGAAGCAGCACTGGGCCGAGGCTGTGGGTTACCAACAGCACTAGGCCGAGAAGTGCTTGATCGAGAAATCGACATTGATGATTTTTTATGGCGCACACTCTTCTTGCGCTCTGGTTTTTTGACATGATGAAACAACTTGTCACCTTGGGCTTCAAATTGGATATCCAAATCGTGAAGCCACGAATAGCCAGCAACAGAAAGCTTTCTGAAAACCATTTCATTTTCTGTAAGCGTACCAGTTTTGTCTGAAAAGATATAACTGACTTGACCCAGCTCTTCATTAATTGTAGCAGTATGAGCTTCAAACGGCGTATCTGTGGCTTCATGGTACATGTCGAGATCATATTGCATCATAAGCATCTGACACACTTTTACAATTTCCATAGACACGTATAGCGAAAGCGGGATGAGCGTATTGAACATGATGATGAAACCCATAAGGTTGGGGATAACACCAACCTCAAGACCTTTGAGATACCACATCAAATAGCCCTGGTGCTTATACATGATTTTGGAGGCGGCAGTGCAGAAGACGGCAAGGAAAATGACAACACAGACCATGACTATGACAATACGGTTTGCAAACTGTTGTAGTCGAGGGGCTTTTGTGCGGGGATTTTGAATGGCATTCATGCGAATTTTGGACTCTTCTCCAGAGAAAACAACAAGGCCATGAATAGAGGGTGTGTTACGCAAAATACTGCCACGGTAGACAATGTGAGAAGAAGACAATGGATGAACTTCACCGTCCATGTTGACGGTACCCTCAAAGTTGTAGAGATCAATATTTGGGTCTTCGGTAGTGACGGTACAATCCAAGGACGCCAGGCCCTCATGGGTAGAGCACTTTTTGACAAACTCTGGATGCGGTTCTCGAGTTTTTAAATTTGTTTCGCCATCAAGGGCCATTGTTTCAATGTAGGCAATGTTTGCAAGACCTTTGGAAGAAAGTAGCATGATATCAGCTGGGAACCAGTCATTCTGGTTAAGCTTGACAACGTCGCCAACGCGGAGGTTTTTCCAAATAACTTCTTCGTAAGAGATGGGGGAATTGGGGTCATTTTCTTCATCGGTTGATTCGCCGTCATCGTCATCATCATCACGATGCGCATGAGTATGGTTCTGCAAGTTTGTAGAAGAAGTTGCATACATGGCATTCATACGTGAACTATTGAGTCGAGCGACTAAAACAGTACGGTTATTTTCTTCCTTGTCCTGGCGATGGCGGCGCCAGTCATCAAAACCTTCGCGGAACATTGATATTGAGATGAAGAAAAGAAGTGGAATAATTGTGGTATATGTACCCGTTGTAGACCACGAAGGAATCATTTGCATGATTGAGACCGCCAAAAAGTAGCTAAAAAAAAGTTAGACATGTAGTTTAATAAAGAAAAAAAAATTAATATTAGCATACACATTGGCAAGCTTGGAAAACTGAGCAGCAAGCTGGCGTGGGAAAAAGTTGTAGACAGTGTAGATTGAGGAAGTGATTTCATTGTCGATGTAAATTTTGTTTGTGCGATTGTCAATAAGACGAGGTTGATCGGTTGAGATTGCCAAAGGAATGACACGACCACCTTTTGATGGGGGAGGTTTTTTGACTCTTAGGATAAAGTCCCGTGTCGCCTTTAGGGCCTTGTCGAGACGGCCTCGGATGCCAACCTGGGCCAATTTTTGGGAAGACCAGGATTGATGGAATGAAAAGGCATTATTCTGAGCCGAACCATCTGCAAAGTAAGGAGTTTGACGTGAAGATTCCTTGTTTCGAGCGTGTGAATTTGAGGAATCATATGGGAATAAAAGTTCCTCGGTGATTTCTTTAAATTTTGTGTTAGACAATTAAAGGTTTAAAATGAAAAAAAAAAAAATGAAAAAAAAAGACATACTGGTATTATTAGGGCCAAAAGGCTGTGGTTCCAATGTATCAGCAGCTACTTCAACTGGCGGTTCTAATTGCTGATGTTGCAGATTATTCTGTGCAGAATCTCTATTCAAAGTCTTGTTAAAAAGCTGAGTGCGAAGACTGTAGCTACGACTTCGTCCCTGATGCGGATGATCAGTATTTGTTTGCTGGTTATCCGGATTATTGCTGTTGCGGATATGGAAGCTATGCGATTGAGTTTGTTGGTCTTGAGTTTGAAGCGGATTAGCAAAATGGTATACAACACTGTCAGATGGAAGGTAGCCTGGCTGGGCATCTGGAATTGGTGGTGGGGATTGATGAGGAAGTTGGACAGTAGGAATATGATGCGTAACGTCCGGACTACTAAACCCTGCTCCAGCTGGCATTGGATAAGAAGAGGGTGAAGAGGATGATGGTGTTGATGGGAATGGTGATGATACGGATCTTGACGGGGTTCGTGATACTTGAGCTTGGCCGGGGGCCGTATCAAAAGAGTATCTATTTGAAGGTTGATAACCGAGTCCGGAATAAGATGAATTATCATTTTCAGAGTATGGAGAAGTTGCCCAAGGACTTTGTTCAAAGCCAGCTTGTGGAATCCCGGAATTTATGCCGGCCTGTGTTCCGGGCTGGTCTGTAAAGTTGAAATCACTATTGTCACCGGAGGATGCCCCCCCTATCGAAGCAGAGTTAAGCGGTTGTTGGGGTTGCACAGGACGCGTCACCGAGTCTGGTAAAGTATTTAACGAGACAGCGGAAGAGGACGACGAAAGCCCAGAGCCTTGAGACGTCTTTCTTTGCGGAGATCCGTGGCTCATTGGGCAGATTCTGCAAGATACTTGGGTGGTGGAGGTGGTGGTTAGTGTTGGGTGGTTTTGTGTATGGGTGGCAGTTAATAGGGAAAAAAAAAAAAAAAAATGAGAGAGAGAGAGAAAAAAAAACCAGGTGGTGCCATCGGAGGGGCCACTTGGGAGGAGGAGACAACAATGCCAAGGCGGGGCGCAGCTATTTGTATGTGCCGCTGTAACAGCCGACAAGTAATGTAACACAACAAAAAAGCAGTAGAAATTTATTCAAATATTCAAATATTCAATCATTCAAATATTTAAACATTTAAACATTCAACTCATATTTCTAGGCTTAATAGTAGTAGTTTTTATATATATATATATATATATATATATTTAAAAAAGAAACAAGAAACAAGAAACAAGAAACAAGAAACAAGAAACAAGAAACAAGAAACAAATTAAAAAAAAATTAAAAAACAGTAAGAGATTTAAACTCGTTATCAGCAACCACAGTCTGCAAAACTGTATCTGGCTCAGACTCAGCAGAAGGAAGAGGTTGCACACCAAGAGCACGCGCTTCTTCCTCGGTAAATGTCCCAAACACGTCCAGCGCGTCATGTTCGCCTATTCCAGAGGGAGGGAAAACTTTAGAAATCCCCCAATGCGCAAAAAAGGCCACAAAGTAGCCAATAATAAAAGAAACAGAAAACAAGCGGACAATTTGGCGCGGTAACTTACTCGTTAGGTTTGTATTTAAGGATGCTGCGCCAGAGATCCCTGGGAGAAACCCAATGACCCATGCAAAATAAGCCCTCCAGTTAATGCCATGGCTATACCAATATATGCTACGACCAGAGTTATCGCTTGTTCTAGGGTAGTAAAGATCAGAGAGTTTTATGTTGCATTTTTTGACACAAAAGTAGTCGCTTGTGAAGACACCAATCATGGGTCCAAGGAACAAACCGTAAGAACTAAGTACACTGAGAAATATTGTAGCACTTTGTAAAATATACCATGGTTGGATTGCAATAGAAACAATTGCAATCAAGATGGTCCCTTTGCGAATATTAATGTACCGTGGCCATACTCCAGCCAAATCCATTCCACCAGACATACCATTATCAATTGTGTTAAGGCCCATGGTTGAGATGAGGAATCCCAAAGCGGCAAAAGCCGTGGCACACCGAGACTTGGGTGAGTATGATTCATTTAGCCAGCAGGTCAAGATTACAGGTGGATTCCAGAGATTTGAGCCCAATTGAGAGTCAAAGCTCTTGTAAGCAGCCGCAGTGGCCAAAAGACCAAGTAGAGGAACTACATTGCCAAGAATCATGATGGAAACCGCCTGCCCCCAGATTTGCTGGCCTGGCTTGCTTACAAAGCGAGAAAAATCTGGCTGATTGGAGAGTCCTACTGCGTGAGAATTGATGACGGTATTGACAGCTTTTACAAAAACATATCCGATTGTTTCTGTACGAGTGTGCATTGCAGCTAGGATCTTGGAGTCAATTCCACCAGCATGGACGATGGATCCAACGGCTGTTCCAAGAATAGTGATTGCGGAAATGGCTGAGACAACTTTAAAGGGAGTTTTGAGTCTTTCTGGTGGGGTAAGAAGTAAAGGCACTGAAACGGCGTGGTAAAGAAAAAATGAAATGAGTTGCTTGGTGTCCATAGGTATGGACGATGGGAGGGTATTTCTAAGATGATAGAATGATGGGAAGATAGCAGATAAGAAGACGGAAAAACACTGGGCGGCGGTGAAAGACTGTACCGCATACCAGACAGTGCAAAGAACAATTCTTTGGAAAAGCGCAAGATAGGATCCCCAGAGTCCAAAAGTTGCACGTGAAAGCACCGTATATCCAATGTGCCATGTTGCTCCTGGATATCCATGAGAAATTGCTATGAGTAGAATCAAAAATTTTGCTACAATACATGCAATCATAGCTTGCCATATATTGAGACCTGTTTCAAGGAGAGCGGCGCATGCTTGCCATGTAGAGATGGAGAGCGAGATAACTGCCCAAAACCCCTATAAGAGTTATTAGTTTTGGAGATGTCAAATGAGTTAAATGAGTAAAATTTCACTTACAATGAAATCCCAGTCATTCCAAGTTCGTCTCGATGGTCTATTAGAGTTAGGATCTGTGGTTTTATTATTACTATACTATTTATTTACAAAAAAAAAAAGAAACAAAAAAACAAAATGTTTGCTTACGGTAGTGGAATTAGATCCTTGTTAACTTGGAGAAAAGTTAGTAAAAAACAATATAAATAGCTGAATATTAAGCAGTTGAGTACTTACTCCAAGGGGTATTCGGAACCCCGCCAGAGTCAACCACCCCTGGAAGCCGGATAGCGTTTCTGAGCACCGCGAGACCGATGGGGTTACGCACCATGGAATTGAAACGCAGGGAAGAATCGGTGGTGAGTTTGCAATTGAACGGAAATGAAGTGAAAGGAAAGAAGAGGGGCGTCTTTTAGTTTAAAATAAAAGTCCCAAAGTTATTGTAAAAAAATAAAAAAATAAAAAAATAAAAAAATAAATATATATATTTAATGTTACTGGGTATGTTAAAGTTACCCTTTTTTTAAAAAAATAAGTTAAACCCTAACCTGAATTATGCGGCAATATTTAGACTCTTGGTAATAAATCTTAAATGGTTTATGTAATAGTTTACGTAATAATATACAGATAATAGTAATAATTCCTATTGAAGCATTCCAAGAAATTTAGAATTTCTTCAAAAAAAAAAGCCTTCAGGCATAACCGCTGCTTCTGCTGCTTTTGCTGCTTCTGTTATTGCTATTGCTATTGCTAAAATTATTTACTATATATATATAATACCTTCAGAGCAACTTTTGCTAAAAATAACAAAAAAAAATAATTATTAAAATTCTATTTCCTCGAGTTCTTTTAAAATAAAAAAAAAATCATTAAAGATCTTTTTTTTTTTTTTTTTTTTTTTCAAATGGATCGTAAGGACCAGGGCGCTGGTGCTCCAACAAAAGACCCTCCAGCTAACTTTCAACCAAAACCTCTAAGCAATAGTGATAGCAAGCAAGGTGTACGATTACCAGCAAAACGCCGCTCGTACTCTTGCGGTCCATGCAAAACTCACAAGACAAAATGCGATCAAAGTGTCCCATGCTCTTCATGTTGTCGATACCGCCGAGAAGATCAATGCCTCAAAGACCCGGCAACACCTTCTGTGACTCGTCCTGTAGTACGGTCCGACAAAGGTTACCGCCAGATAGAGATTTCACGCTTTCAACCAGCTATAGTCACCGCAAGTAATAATAAAATTACATCGTCATCTTCAAGCACTATGACTACAACTTCTACTACCGCTAGTAGCCGCATTACAAAACCAATCTTGAAAACACTATCGACACAATCAACAGCACGTATTCTTCAGCTAGAGGCTCGGGTCCGTGAGCTGGAATCTTTGCTGGCCAAACCAGATAGGCCCTCTAGTCGGTCGACCCCAGCTGAGCTTGCCAACGACTCTCCCAAAGATTTCATAGACAAATTGTGGCAAAGTGAAGAAGATATTCGGATCTTACTACTACGCCTGCTGCCTCCCCGAAGTCACTGCGAGACATATGTTAAATACTATTTTGAGCATGTTGACTACATTTACCATCCATTGCATAACCGCACTTTCTTGCGTGAACTTAAATGTTTTTGGAGCCAACCTGCAGATACCATTGATCTTACATGGGTGGCAATCCTTTTTATGGTAATTTCGTTAGCCGCTCTACATCTCCCCAAAGCCTTGGCCAAACAACTTAATGTAGCCGATGAGACCATATCACACGCAGCAGCAATATGGTTTCGGGCGTCCCGAAAGGCTCTCCAAACAAACCGATACGATGAGAAGCCGACGTTCCGACAATTGCAAGTTTTTTCTCTAACACAGTTGTATCTTTACGCAACTAACCAAATCGAGCTTCTCAATTCATTGTTGGCTGAAGCTGTGCGCCACGCACAGTTTCTTGGACTGCACCTGGGAATCGAAGGCCGGTCGCCAATAGAAACGGAGCTCCGAAGACATATTTGGTGGGATATCTGTGGCTGTGATACTTTTCAGTCCTTGTGTTTAGGCAGACCTACGCTAGTCAAATCTTGCGAGTCAACTGTACCATTCCCAAGAAATCTAAATGAAGAGGATGTCGAAAAAAATGTTCCAGAATCCCCCCGTGAGATTCCAACAATAATGTCCTTTCAGATTGAACGACATCGAGTTATGAAAATTCTTAACCGATTGTGTCCCAATACTAATAATAGTCCACCATCTTATGAAGCAGTGTTAGATACGGACCGCGAATTATGCGAGTACGCACAAGGTCTGCCGTGGTTTTTCCAGCCTGCCCCTGATCCGTCACAGTATTCGGCTCTTTTGGCCAAAATGCCTACGATTGGTTTCCAGCACCATGTTCTCCACACGTGCAACTGCATGCATCGCGTGCGCATTCACCAGCCATTCTTGCACCCACGCGTGCCCACATCCTGGGCTGCATGTCATTCAGCGGTCAAGGCCATGTTTCTTGTGTACCGGAGGCTCTGTGCATCATTTCCTGGGGGGGTATCTGGAAGTTATTCATTTATCCCCCAGATTCATCAATCATTTTCTGCTGCTGTGGCCCAAGGGTTATTTTTGTTAGTAGAAAAACCTCCTGACTCAGATGCTATTTGTGGTGATGTGGAAACTTTTGTTACAGATCTTTACCGTTTGCTAGAAACTTTTTATGTGGATATTCCTATACTTACCACTGGTATCAAAACTATTCGCCAGATCCGTGATGCAATGTCAGTTGATGGGAAACGGCAGCGTGAACCTTCACCGACAATTGTATCTGAGGTTTATTCTGTGTTTGGTGGTAGAAAGAATACGGAGAAGTATTTGGCGCGGTGCACCATTGACTTTTTAGTGAATGATAGTGATATGGACAAGCAGCAGCAGCAGCAGCAACAACAACTACAACAACAACAAGAGGATACAGCTGGCTCTGTGGCCTATCAACCGTCGCCTACAGGGTCGTCAGTATCGTCTATGTCGGTTGGTTCGGTTGTGTCGTCTATGACGTCAGCATCTCCGTCGTCGTCGTCGATGTTTGATGTCCAAAGTATGTGGTCGTTGCCAGGAGCTGATGTCGTGGAGGAATCATTAAAGATAGTTCATGAGCAGCATCAACATTATCATCAAAATAACCAACAGTTGATGAGACATGATTCTGTAGGACTGGTTGCTGGTGTTTCTTCAGGAGTGAGTCTAGGACCAATACCGGTTATGGGCGGGTCCCAGGCCGTGTCTCCTGGAGGAGGAGGAGGAGAAGGAGGAGGCTGGACCCCTGGAGTTCAATCAATTTCAGGAATTAATGTGCCTATGACTCCTGGTCGACCTCAGATTGATTTCTTGCGATGGGATCTGAATGGGTTTGGTGAGTTGGTGAATTTGGTAGATAAATAAGAACCTAAGATATATAAATTAGTGAACACTAATTATCATGATATATATACCATACTATATAATTGAAAAATCCTCAACTTGAGGCTTGTTAATTAAACAAAAGGTCCCAAAATAAAAGCAATTATCAATTCCTTTAATTCAACTTTTCATTAAGCTTTTTTTTTTTTTTTTTTTTTTCCAAATTGAATCAGTCTGTTTGATTATCTCTGATCCAACCGCAACACATGAATCCATTTGGTCAATCAGTTAGTCTGTTTGTTTGTCTAATCCACCCAAAGAAAAACCTCCCCCGTGCCTGAGGCGAATGCCCACAAAGAGCCCTCCAACAGTGCCATGTGTATATTTTAAGTATTCTTAGTCAATGCTGATTAATCATGTCTTTATAATAAAAAAAATTTTTGTTGGCAACTTTTTTTTTTTTTCACATGTGAATGTACGTGGCGCGGCAATCGACGCTTCTGGTTGGCTGGTTGTTGGACTGCCTAGCGTGTGTTGTATGTGTGCAAGGAGTTTTTTTTTTTTTGTCACCAAAAAGTCTTTAAAAGATAAAAAAAAATTTTTCAGAATGGCCTTGTCAGAAACCTCATCACTCTTATATAAATATAAGGGATATATACACACTCTCTCCCCCAACCAAAAAAAAAAAGTATATAAAGAGAGGCTGCTGCCCGGTGAAAAATTTTTTTTTTTATTTTTTTGATTCTTCTTTTTTCTTCTTTTCCTCTTTTCTTCTTTTCATCGTTTTTGATCTTTTATAAACTCACCTTCTTTTTTTTTTTTAAACTTTTCAATATCCCCTTCCTTAAACTTATCCATACAAAATGAGCGCCCCTGCCACTAACTACAAGGTTGCTGATATCGGTCTTGCTGCCTTTGGCCGCAAGGAAATCGAACTTGCTGAGAATGAAATGCCCGGTCTTATTGAGACCCGCAAGAAGTACGCTTCTGTCCAGCCTCTTAAGGGTGCCCGCATTGCTGGCTGCCTCCACATGACCATCCAGACTGCCGTTCTTATCGAGACCCTCGTTGCTCTCGGTGCTGAGGTCACCTGGTCTTCCTGCAACATTTTCTCTACCCAGGACCACGCTGCCGCTGCCATTGCTGCTGCCGGTATCCCTGTTTTTGCCTGGAAGGGTGAGACCGAGGAGGAGTACATTTGGTGCATTGAGCAACAGCTTAACGCCTTCAAGGATGACAAGAAGCTCAACCTTATCCTCGATGACGGTGGTGATCTTACCCGTCTTGTTCACGAAAAGTACCCCGAGCTCCTCGAGGACTGCTTTGGTCTTTCTGAGGAGACCACCACTGGTGTCCACCACCTCTACAAGATGGTCAAGGAGGGCACCCTCAAGGTCCCCGCCATCAATGTCAACGACTCTGTCACCAAGTCCAAGTTTGACAACCTTTACGGCTGCCGTGAATCCCTTGTTGATGGTATCAAGCGTGCCACCGATGTTATGATTGCTGGTAAGACTGCTGTTGTCGCCGGTTTCGGTGATGTCGGCAAGGGCTGTGCTCTTGCCCTTCAGAGCATGGGTGCCAAGGTCATTGTCACTGAGATTGACCCCATCAATGCTCTCCAGGCTGCTGTTTCTGGCTACCCCGTAAAGACCATGGAGGACGCTGCTGCCGTTGGTCAGATCTTTGTCACAACCACTGGCTGCCGTGATATTATCACTGGCGAGCACTTCAAGGTTATGCGCAACGATGCCATTGTCTGCAACATTGGTCACTTTGACATTGAAATTGACGTTGCCTGGCTCAAGGCTAACGCCAAGTCCCACGTTAACATCAAGCCTGGTGTTGACAGATACCTCATGGAGTCTGGCTCTCACATCATTCTTCTTGCCGAGGGCCGTCTCGTCAACCTGGGCTGTGCCACTGGCCACTCTTCTTTCGTCATGTCCTGCTCTTTCACCAACCAGGTCCTTGCCCAGATTGCTCTCTTCAATGCTGACAACAAGGAGTTCCTTGCCAAGCACGTTGAGTTTGCCAAGTCTGGTCCCTTCAATGTCGGTGTCCACGTTCTCCCCAAGATTCTTGATGAGACTGTTGCCCGTCTCCACCTCAAGCACCTTGATGTTAACCTTTCTATTCTCTCTCCTGTCCAGTCTGACTACCTTGGAATTGCTCCTGAGGGTCCTTACAAGGCTGACATTTACAGATACTAAGTGTGTCTTGTTGTTTGTCTAGTCCTTTTTTTTGCATTCAACGCTTAACGAAACCATTTCAACCTGTTACGAACCCCACCCCTTTTTTAATGTATATATATCACTTGCATCAACTGCTATGATTTAACGACCTTTTTAATGTATTAATGATATGTTTTTTTTTATAAAAAGTTTGTATTATTGTTTTATTTTTAATAGAGTATTCACCCACTCAATATTTTTTTGTATCATCCGTAATTATTATTTCTTTTTTTTTAATTGCCAATTATTATTTGTTATATTTTGTTTTGCCCAGATCAAAGGGAAGATATCGGTACTTTAGCATGTGCTGGAGCTGCCGTCTCATGGTCAGCACAAAAAGAACAATAAAGTACATGAGCAGAATGGGCCAAAAGACAGGAATGTCGAAAAAGTCAAAAAACGAACACACAAGAGCCGCTACTGTTGCCCGAACACCATTGTACCAAAACTTAAACTCCGGGAGACGTCGAATAAATGGTCGGAACTCGTTTGCTCTATCATCATCATGGTCACGATCATAATTGCCAGCCTCTTCGGTAGGGATCCCATCGAAATCCGCGCCGCTAGTTGAGGGACCAGCCTCTGAACCTTCTTCAAGACTCTCAGCGGCCTGGGTCTCTTCTCTGCGTTCCTCCTGTTCAAGCGATGGATCGAATTTTGGTTGCAGAAATAAGAGAAACAAATTGAGCAGATAGATTCCAAGTGCGTAACAGACAATGTACCAGCCTTGGGCAATCACAATACGCAAAAGGAAAACAACAAGAAGCCCGCCAAAAATGGACCACCGAACTCCCACATGCGGAACACTGCGATCAAGATACGATTGGTAAAGCTGTAAATACTTACGCAGCTTGGGAGGAACCGAGTCCACAAAGTCGTCCATGGTAGCTTTTGTTGTTTGAGAGGAGGGGAGGGGGGAAGTTGAGTTGAATTGGATTGGTTTTGTTGATACCTGAGGAAGTATGTAAAATGGTGGTAATGAGAAAACCCTCTTTTTTTTTTTTTTTTCTTTGTACGTGTAAGGGATGTCCAAGATATCTGAAAATCTTTATTATTTTTGAAAAGGGTCTGGTAGAGAACGACACGTATGCCATAATAACGCGCGTTATGCAAGCTAAATCAGTTCCACGCGTTTATTTGAGTAAATCAGTAACTTAAAGTTACTATTGGTAAATATAAATACAAAATTACGTTATCAAAAGTAACTACAAAGTAACCTTTCTCAAAACAACCCTTTGCTGGTCCTGCCAGACTGAATCAACATGTCCTTCCAAACTCCCCTCAAACCATTTAAATGGGAGGAATTCCTTTCAACCAAAAAGAAACTCTGTCTTCTTTTATAAACAAAGAAAGGTCATTACCGAATAGCTGGTGACGCTGCTGTGCTCGTATTCGCACTATTGGCTCCGCTGTTTGTATTCCCCCCACCTGCAACTGCACCACTCATTCCGGCCGCCACAATGGCTCCTGCATCACCCGCCACCAGCGCGTTTTTCTCTCGCTCCAGCACTGTAATCTGCTCACGAATCTTTTGAACTTGGTGATACACTTTTGCCAACGCATGTGTTAGGCGGTCCAACTCCTCATTTTCTGTCTGCTGTGAGTAGGGCGACTCCAACGTCTTCTTGGCTGCAAGAAGTGCACCGGGTCGCTCAGTCAAAATCTCAAAAAGTGGCTCAGTGGGCTCGTTAAACACAAGCTCATCATAAATGTACGACTCCACAGGTTGAGTCACTACTCCAGGGTACCCCACGGTTCCGTCTGCTGTGGGCATACCAGGAATTCCACCAGGCACAGTTCCTGGCACATAAGGGTGTAACTTAAGGTGATGGTAAAGTTGGATATTTTTTTCTGCAGCTTCCGGGATAAAAAAAATGCGGATTGTAATTTCAAACTCACCCCAACCGGTCTCAGTAACCTCAAAGGGGGGCGCTTCGATAGACCTCGATGGGTTCGGATACGTATCATGTAGCTTGAAAATCACCTTCTTGATAAACCGTGAAAGGTCCTGTCCGTTGGGGTCCCGCACAAAGATCGTCCACCGGTGCGTGTGGTCCGGAGGCATGTCTGGCGTCTTATTTGCCCCCAGGGGCTCCGCTGTGTTACCGTAAAGAATCGGCCGCGACACGGATATGTTCTTTTAGCCAATTTTTGTTAGAAAGACCTTGATTAAATCTTGAAGAATATATATCCTATTTGACTTACCTTGACGCGTTTAACTGCCGGCGCCATTATATATTGGTGGTATTGTTGATATTGTTGTGTACTGTAGGAAAAAAAAAAAGTTTTCCTCCGACGTGCTCAAATGTACAAATTTCAACAGCAAATACCTACACAAGACTTCCATATACTGTAGAAAGAAAATGAAGAAAGCCATCTATTAAAACACTAGCTATCTACACTACAATTCAAAAATCAAAAAAGAAAAAAAAAAGACAAACAATTTATCATCACAATCCTAGCTGACTGAGGTCAGAACCTGCGGTAGTTGTTAGATGGTGGTGGTGGGGGAGGTGGCAGGGAGCTATAGTCCTTTTGGCCACTCGCTGGGTATTGCTGGCCATATTGTGGCTGCTGCTGAGGAGCATATCCCTGGACTGGCGGAGCATAAGACTGCTGCTGTTGGTACTGCTGCTGTTGATACTGTGGTTGTTGAGGATTGCCATACTGTTGGGGAGTATACTGGGGCGTATATTGCTGCTGCTGTGGTGGCTGCTGCTGAGGAGCATACTGAGGAGTGTACTGCTGTTGCAATGGTTGTTGTTGAGGAGTGTACTGCTGCTGCAATGGCTGTTGTTGAGGAGTATACTGATGAACAGGTGGCGTGTACTGAGGCTGTTGCGAAGCATAATTCTGTTGTTGTTGTTGCTGCTGCTGCGGTTGCTGTTGTGGTGGAATGTATGGTTGAGCATATTGCGGAACCGAAGACTGCTGCTGCTGCTGTTGAGGCTTGGGAGGTACCGGGGGCTTATCAAACAAAGACAAGTCCCATTGAGATCCCCCAGAAGTAGCCTGAGGAGTCGAGGGTTGAGAAGCTGAGGATTGCACCGGTGCAACAACAGATCGAGCAGCAGATGGAGCTTGAACAGGTGGAGCCTGTGTAGAAGGTGTATAGCTTTGCATATAACTTGGTGCATAGCTTTGCTTCCCGTACGAGCTTTGGTCACTTGCAACAGACAACTTGGCCAGCTGCTCGCGCAACAAGTCCTGGCTGTTTTGTGCAACAGACCCTTCCAATGAGTTCCCAATCTTGGCTGCCTCTTCACGTCGGTTGCTGACCAAGTCCTTGGCATTGGCCAGTGTTGAGCTCGCAAAGTCACTCAGCCGGTGGTAATACTGGCGCCCATTCTGCACACCAGTCTCAAAGTCTTTCCAGGCTGCATACGCCGCCCGGTACTTCTCGACTAGAGCCTCGCGCTTTCCAGATGTATTATCTCTAGACTTCTTCTTGGTTTGAACTGCAGGGCTTTCCAAAATCTGCTTCCACAAAAGAGTAATCTGCTTCAGCAAGTCTTTTTGACGTTCCTTCATCTGCTCAAACCGTGTAATATACGGCTGGAACTTAGATAGTTCCTCTTTAAACACATTTTCTTCTGCATCTGGTCGCCGTTGATTCAAAACGAGAATGGTTGAAATGTCATCTTCATGAACAACCTGCTTAAAATCAGCAAATGAGGCCTGACGTTCCTTTTTGAGAGTATTCAACATTTGAATCAAACTCTCACAGTCGTCAATCAAACCTAAGAGATTAGAATCTGGAGATGTGTCTAAATCAAGCAAACTGGGCCCGCTAGAACTAGAGTCAGGGGACTCAGTAGCTTGAAAACTTTCCAATAACTTAGGGTTGGTAGGTCCAGCCCGCAAAATATCCAAATATTTCTTTTGCGCTTGAATACTTTGGAAAACCAGTTCGTCAGCCTTGGAACTATTGGCCAAATCGCCCTTGATACGAGTAACGTCATCATATAACCCAGAGTTCATCACCGAAGACGGGGCTTGAGTCCACTTGTGCTTGTATTGACGCTCATTTTCAGCATACTCACGCTCCTCCGTGTGTAAAATAGCCTCAACCTCTTTCACATTTTTGTACACTGAGCGCTTTTGGGTCTCAAGATCGCTTATGGCCGTTTCCACAGGGAGAGATGCAGAAACCTTAGATGCCCAGTCATTGACTTGAGGATCAATGTTTTGGGCATGTCCAAGACTCAGGATATCGGCAGACGATCCAGACAAATCCTCCTTAATCGATCGGAGTTCTCCGGGCAACTTCAAAAACTCAAGTGCCGAGGCCATTTCCTCGTCAGCAATCTCAATTTTTTCGTCTTCTGCACGAAGCAATTTAGCCTTTTCCTCAGAGTATAAACTTGTTTGTCTGTGGATCGCCATGGGGATGGCTGTCTTGAACAATTCCTTTTCGGAGAACAGCGATTCTTCCTCTTTGATTTGTTCAGAATAGGGAATAGGCTTAGCAGCCTCCATGGATGACACCTCGCCTATAGATGATGTGTTAGGTATGTCATTGTGGTAAATGTAGTCATTGTCCTTTTCTAAAGTGGCCACCTCCTCCTCAACCGTTTTGGTCAAGTTGGCAATGTCATCAGAAAACTTTGCATAAGCTGTAGGAACAACACAAGTTGCGAGTTCTTGGAGTTCAGCCAATGCAACTCTCAAATGAGCAATAGCCTCGCCATACTTGGAGCTATTCTCGCATGCCTTAGATTGCAAGTGGTGCGAAACTGCTTGGTAGTACTTGGACTTGATGGTTGCATACTGATGCCATGCCTTTTGGCCCCATGCTTTTTCAGTAAAAATAGCTTGAAGTAGTTCAGCTGCAGTTTCGTACATTTTGCTGGTTCCCTTGGCCAGCTTCGACACCAAAGACGGTTTCGAGGCTTCGTTGAGAATGAGAGTTTCGACAAAGGCCTCCTGGCCTTGTGCAAGCATAAGCTTAGAAAGAGCTTTGACGGTCTCCTGAGTCAAGTCTGTGCTTGGTGCATGCAGAAACTTGTCAAAGATAAACTGGTACAACCCAGACGACTGCTGGAAAGCCTTATAGGACGCTTTGAGATCCTCAGACTCGGTTGCAATGTGTGAGTTGACGGCTGCAATGTTAAACAACAAGGAAGCCTTTTCATAAGCAAGTGAATGCTGTGTTGTTGGGGATTTGCTGCACGCGTCTTGCCACGTAAAGTTAATACGGCAACTTGTTTCATTTACGGGCACCCGTAGTTCTAACAATTCTAGCTGCTTGTAGTAACGAAACAAAGCGGCCCGGCCACTAGCATCACAAGCGGCCCCGCGGGAGTTCTGGCGCAACTGGTTGAGGGTATTAATATCATCAACGTACGCGTCGGCCGACCCGTACGTGGTAGAGAAGTAAATTTTAAGTGGCGCGACCCAATCTGAGTCGGCCATGCCCTTAAGGGGAACAGAAATTTTGGGCGTAATTTTCATTTGAAGGCCTTGATCTTTTGGAAATAAAAAAAAAAAAGAAAGTGACGGGATATTTTAATAACAATTATCTTAAGTAGTAGAAATCTATATAACTGGTGGTGGTTTCTTAAAGAGGCGACATTTGAGAAAAAAAAAAATGGCTTGTGAAGGAGGCGGAATTATAGTATAGTGAAGGTCACGTGTTGTCACATGACTCTCTGACGTCTGGGCCTGCCAAACAGCGACAAAATGCAACTGGGCTGCAAAGAGTCCCGCGTCCCGGTGGAAGATCTTTAACAAAAGAAGCCGATAGGGTTAAACTATATAGAGTTAGAAAGTACAGTTGAATCAATAGTAATACTTACCATCAAGATAATCCGCAATCATCAGTAACTCCAATGCAATGTCTGGACGAATGTCAAAACTCGGGACGTTTGTACGGTCTCGGTACTTGAGATTAAAGTAGAAATAGTCAATCACCGTTTCCAACAAAAGACCGGTAATCTTCGGCAGCTTTACATGATTGCTTTCGGCCTCAATAAACCCAGCTTTTCATTTATAATCGTTAGCTTATCTCTGTCAGTCAGCAAATGTTCGTACTCACAATTGCTCTCCAAAATGCCCCTTAAAGTGCCTGACACATAAGCTGCCTCGCGCTCTACAACAAATACAAAACCGTCGGCCGATTCCAGCGTCACGTACTTGGACTTGCTCATTGTGGAGATATTATCGTAGTGTAGTAATGATGCTGGTTTGGTATTTTCTTAAAGATATCGTCCTGATGGTAAAAAGTTTGCTCTATATTTTTGCTGTGTACTTTTTTTTTTTTTTTTTTGTAACACACACAGGAACCCTTTTTTTACTTACTCACCCAAATTCTCTTCACTAATCTATTCTAATACCACCCTAATTCAAATACGACAAAACCACCACCATTATGCCATCAAACCCCATCCTCGGCTGGGAACGTCTCCAAGATAAGTTTTACCGAAACATCGAGGGTTACTACCTTCAATGGCAGGGAATTGCTATTTCGGAGTACATTGTCGCCAGTGCACCTCATGGAGGTGCCATTGCGTTGACGCGCGACGACTCTCAACTACGCGTTTACAAAGGTCCGGACTCACGACAAACTTCCATCTCTATTTACAGCGGTGCCGGCACACTGATCAAGAAAATTCTATGGGATAATGGCCGAATCCGTGGTTTAGGTTGGTCCCAGTACGAGCAACTCATTGTGGTCTCAGAAAACGGCAGTGCTCGCTGCTACTATGATTTTGACGGCAACTTTTCCCAGTTCTCTTTGGGCAAAGCTGCTGAGCTCAACGGTGTTCTCGAATGCAAGTTTTGGGATTCTGGGTTTGTTGCTTTGCTTACAAACAATCTTTTTGTTTCAGTCTCTCGATACGACGAGCCTAACCCTCGGCTGCTTGCTTCTTCGTCGGTTCAAGAAAAATCTATCCATTCTTGGGCTATAGTCCCGCCGTTTTACCAGCTCGGACAACATGTGGAAGTAATTCTGAGTATCGACAATACTGTAATAGTGGCAGATACTACTGACGTTCACGACAAGTACCTTGAAGAGGGACCGTTTACCCACATGGCCGTATCTCCGAATGGTGAATTTATAGCTCTTTTTACAGGTGCAGGCCATCTCTGGGTCATTTCTTCTGGTTTTCACAAAAAACTTTCTGACTATAATACCAATGAAAAAACACCTCCTAAGCAGCTTGTTTGGTGCGGTAATGATTCTGTGGCAGTCGTCTACGAAGACGAAATTCTGCTTGTGGGCCCCCAAGGCGGTACTCTAAATCTTTACTTTGATGGACCCGTGGTTGCAGTCCCAGAAATTGACGGCATTCGCACAATCACAGACGAAAAACATGACTTTTTTTCTTTGGTTCCTGATGTAACAGTTAATATTTTCAAGATTGGTTCTGTCTCGCCAGCAGCTATTCTTCTTGACTCTGTCGACCAACTGGAACGCAACTCACCAAAAGCCGACGAAAACCTACAAATCATTGGAAATCAGCTCACAGATGCCGTAAACAGCTGTATTGAAGCAGCCGGCTATGAATTTGAGCCATACTGGCAAAAGGCTTTACTCAAAGCGGCCACTTTTGGCAAATCTGCTCTAGAGCTATATGACAGCGATAAGTACGTTGAGATGACAGAGTTTCTCCGTGTATTGAACACTGTCCGTCAAATTAATGTAGGACTTCTCATGAGCCATCAACAACTGCTGTGCTTAACCCCAAACCGTCTTATTGACCGACTGCTGCTTCGCAAAATGCACCTTTTAGCATTTAAGTGCGCTGAGTACCTGCGGCTACCGCAAGACAAAATTTATATTCACTGGGCTTGTTGCAAGGTGCGCTCATCTAAAGAAGACGACGAGTCTGTATGTCGCGAGATTGTTAACCGTCTTGGATCACATGCCGGCATTTCATATGAAGAAATTGCTCAAACCGCCTACGAAGAGGGTCGCCATAAACTGGCCATCATGCTGACGCACTACGAACCACGGCCAAGCAAGCAAGTACCGCTACTGCTAAATATGGGAGAGGAAGAGCTGGCTCTTGACAAAGCAATCGATAGTCTCAATATCAACCTAATTGTGTTTGTGTTGCTGCAACTTCAGCAGAAATTGCCAATAGCTAGTTTTTTCCGTTTCATTAATGACAAACCATTGGCAAGCCGCGTGTTCGAGTACATTTGCAAAGCTCAGGACCCAAAGTTGCTACGAGACTTTTACTACCAGGATGATAGACGATATGACTGCGCAATGCTTCTCTTCAATCAAAGCTTTAAGGAACACGACACTGATGAGCAGCTGGAGAAGCTCAAGGAAGCCGAAAAGACCTTTTTGGAGTTTAAGGAGCGGACCTTTGAGGCTAAGACGACTGTCGAAGAAATGAAGCTTATTAAGCTGCAACTTCAGCTGGAAAACGATTATGATCAGCCGTTTGTTGGCAAAACTGTCACAGAAACAATATCCCAGTTAGTTTCCATTTCACAAAACAGTCGTGCAAACAAGGTTAAGGACGAGTTCAAGGTCCCAGAAAAGCGATTTTGGTGGATCAAGGCCAAGGCCCTGGTGGCACGCCGTGATTGGGATGACTTGCTTAAGTTTGCAAAGTCAAAAAAATCTCCCATTGGTTATGAGCCCTTCTTCAATTTGGTCTTCAAGGCAGGTAATAAGCGCCATGCCGCACTTTACGTACCACTGTGCACTAACTTGTCTTACAAGGAACGCATCAAGCTTTTCGTCCAAGTTGATGCTATTCGCCAGGCCGCCCAGGAGGCCGTCAAGGCTAAAGACCTGGATGAGTTACAAAATCTCGAACCGCTAGCCACATCCACTGTCAAGAGCGAGATTCATGAGTACATCGCACAGCTTAAAGCCAAAAAGTAATAGCAATAGTAGAGAAAGAAATTCTAATTATACATTATTTTATTCCTATTGTAAATTTCCCATTGGTAACGGTCGCAGTTGTTGTCGCCTGCTGCTCCGTCAACCATTTGGGTGCACGCTGCGCGTCCAGCACGCCTGCGTAGGCCAACATTTCGAGTCCTTGGTACACGTTAGTACCTTCGAATCGGGTTGTCAATGTTGGCAAAAAGCCTGAGCCCCCTCGGTAAGGTTCCTTGATTTTGACTTCAAACGTGGGGATCTTGGCATGAGTGACGATAACTTCGTCGTCGTCATCGTCGTCTTGATTTGTTTTTTTTTGCGGAGGTTCGGGCTCACCGTGAAATCTAATGTTGATGAGTCGTCGTTTTTTGGTTTGAGGAGTTTGTAGATACCCGTCCAGTAATTTCTGAACAGTGCTTTGCTTTTTCCGTTTTTTTGAAAATATTCTGGGCTCTGCGGTGCCTGCGCCGAACTTAGACCAGGGACCTAGTGATGCTGACCCCCGAGCTACGCTTGTAAGACTTAGTAAACATTCCAATGATTTGGTTGGTAATGCATCCACCGACGTCACAATGATGGGTCGGCGTACTCGTGACAGTGCTGCTGTCAACGCATTTAGTGCTGCAGTAACATATGCCTTTGCTACTGCTCTGCGCGGGAATGTGTGAAGAACATAAGATGAAGAAAGTGGAACTGCCAGAAACACCGGCGCCAAATCTGCCTTAATTCTTCCAAGCCCGCTGTCCCTAGACGATTTAAGTCGCGTGCCAATTTTTCTAATATTCGTAATGCTTTGTTCTTCAAACACCTGAATCCGCACAACAAACAGAGATTCTGTAGGATGCTGATGTGCGCTAACGTGTCCACAGATAATCGGGTACAATGCTTCGCAAAACCGTGCAAGAAATGGGCCAGGTTCAATGTGAGATACTGTATAAGGTCGCAATGGAGCTCCAAGACTTCCGGAAGCTACAGAAACTGCTGAGTATGTCCATGCATGTGGCAATTGGCCTGATGTATTGGAAATAGTTTCCGGTGTTGGTCCACGGGACTTTTTGTTTACTCGATCCAGAAACCGGGCCACGTCTGCTTGGGCAACTTGCATCAGTGACAGCCCATCCGGCCAGAGATCGTAAATGATATTTTGCACTAAATTTCGTTTTGTAGGTGACTTATGGCCCTCCATCTTTTGGTATTGTGCTAGCAGAATCTTCACAGCTCTGTTCTGGTCTCGGGTATTTGTCTGAGTATAAACCGTAGGCCAATGTAATAGTGCGATGAAACGCGAGTCTTGAAGCCAGTCCTGAACTAGGCGCAGCAGAGTGTTTCGAGGCAATGCATGTAGCACTTTATTGTACTGTTCCGAGTATGCCTTACTGATGTAGTTATCCGGCAGGAACTGTGCCGCAGACCGGGTCGTTGGCATTTGTTTTGTTTGGATTGTTTTGTTTAGCGAGTGCCACAGAATGTGTTGGTATTAAACCAAAAAAAAAAAAAAATAAAACGGGATAAACAAAAAGAGTACGGCTGAACCATTCAACCCCAACCCTGAAAATTTCCCAAAATGGGATTTTTTTTTTAAAAATTTTCTTCTTTTTTTCCAAACCTGCTTAAAAGCGAAATAAAAAAAATTTCAAAACGCATCACACATGTCGACCGAGGAATCTAAACACCTTAACGAGCGTGCAGAACTCTTTGTACGCTCGATTCCATATGAGGCGACATCTGAAGAACTTTCTGATTTTTTTTCCAACTTCTGTCCAGTCAAGCATGCCGTGATTGTTACCGACGCTGAAAACAAATCTAAGGGGTTTGGTTTCGTTAGTTTTACAGAAGCTGACGACGCGAAAAAGGCTCTAGAAGAGGCCCGCAAGACAAAGTTTTTGGGAAGATATCTCCAAGTTGATGTGGCACAAAAACGTGAGAGAGGAAAGAAGTCTGCCGACGATGATTCCGAAGAAAAGCCTAAGAAGACTGTGGAGAAGGCCCACTCTGTTGAAAAGCGACGACCTAGATTAATTATTCGCAATCTGCCATGGTCTTGCAAAGACCCCAAAAAAATTGAGAAAATTTTTGCCAAGTTTGGCAATGTGATTGAGGTTTTGATTCCCAAGAAGGAGGGTGGAAAAATGGCTGGTTTCGCGTTCGTCACTATGCGCAAAAAGGCACACGCGCAAAAAGCTGTCGAAGAAACCAAAGCACTCAAGATTGACGGCCGTGAAGTGCAAGTTTCATTTGCCGTTGAAAAGAATAAATGGCTGGCCAAGCAAAACGGTGGAACTGGTGAGGAGGATGATTCTGAAGAGTACGACGAATCTGAAGATGACGAAGAAGAGGAAGAAGAAGAAGATGGTGAAGACGAAGAAAAACCAAAAAAGAAATCTAATAAAGATTCTAGCCGCTCTAAGGCTGCTTCTAATGAACAGACTATTTTTGTTAGAAATATCCCCTATGATACAACTAAAGAAGCTCTGCAAGATCACTTTGAGGAGTTTGGTCCGGTGTTATACGCGCTCCCAGTTTTCGACAAAAAACTCAACCAGCCTAAGGGCACTGCATTCGTTGCTTTTGAGAATGCTGAGGACTGCAAGGACTGCATTGCTAATGCACCTCAGGTATCTTCGACATCCCTCCTGCTTCCTGACGATGTGGATCCACGCTACGTTTTTGAAGGCCGTGTCCTGAGCATCACTGGCGCACTGCAGCGTGACCGGGCAGAAGAACTCGCGACAGCGTCAAATGCCAGACGACAAGAACTTCTGGGTAAGGCACCCAAGGAAAAGGATCGTCGTAACTTGTTTCTGCTGAATGAAGGCCGAATTCCTCAAGATTCGAAGCTAGCAGTGCATATGAATGCTCAAGAACTGGAGATGCGTGAAAAATCGTACGACCAGCGCAAGACGCAACTTAACAAGAACCCGAGTTTGCATCTGAGTTTAACACGGTTGGCTATCCGAAACCTTCCTCGCGCCATGAATGAAAAGGGCCTTAAGGCGCTGGCACGCAAGGCAGTAGTGGAGTTTGCAACTGAGGTTGCCCAAAAGAAGAGACAGCCACTCAGCAAGGAGGAGTCGCAGCGATCCACAAAACAAATTGAAGAACTAGGACAAGCTGCCAAGAGTAAGAAGGGTGTGGTGCGCCAATCTAAAATTATCATGGAGGAAAAGGGCTCTGGGTCCTTGGGTCGCTCGCGCGGTTACGGCTTTGTGGAGTTCCGTGATCACAAGACTGCTCTTATGGGTCTGCGATGGCTCAACGCCCATGAGGTTACACGCGAAGAAATTCTTTCTGGTTTGACAGAAGATGAGGTAGAACAAAAAGTGCAATCTTCAGACGATACTAAGCGACGACGACTGGTGGTGGAGTTTGCTATTGAGCATGCACAAATTACGAAGCGTCGCAAAGAGAATATGATCAAAGCTCGTTTATCAGCCAAGCGCAAGGCCGAAGATGAGGCCAGCGCACCCAAAGAACGGGAACCCGCTGTTAAGAAGGAAAATGAAGAGAACAATACTCGCCATATTATTGGCAAGAAGCGCAAGATGCGCAAGCTTGGGAAATAATTAAATATATTAAAGATCAACATAAAAGCAGATAATGCCAAAATAAAAAAACAAACGAGATAGATTATTAATTAGTGGTTACGTGGTTTTTTAGAATTGAGGGACATGGTGCGCTCGACCCAGCCGGCGGCGCCACCCTCAGACTCTATAATCTCATCAAGAGACTTGGAAGACTTTGAAGATTTTTGTCGCGTACGCCCGATAATGGCAGTGTTGCGGGTGCTTGGGATACGTAGAATTTCCTTTTCAACCTCCCAACCAAAAGCAGTCGCAATATCTTGAACGTGATCCACAAGCGATGCATAGGTGGACTTGTTAGCCGGGTCTTTTGGAGGATATCGAATCTTAGATCCGGATAGAGAGTATGAGCAGCAGGGAATAACAATGAAAGGTCTGTCGAAAAGCGGAGCCCAAACAGTCAGTTCATCTGAGTGATTGCCAATAAGGAAAGCATTTTCAGGAAAATCTGCAATGTTGACACGAGAAGTATTGAGCAGAGACGCGTGTTTCTTGTCGCCAGGGTGGTCGAGTAGCACTTTGGGCACAATGACTTGCTCTTTAAGACTAGCACGCACATCTTCAGTGTAAGTTGCCCAGGACTTGCGCTCACGTGCGTCAATGCCATATCCCTTGTATCCTTCTTTGATGAGAATGTTAACAAGCAGGCCGTTTCCACAGCCAATATCAACGAAAACAAAGTCGTCTTTGGATTTATAAGTTTGATTCCATAGCTCAATGATGAATGCCGCAATGGCTAGGTCTTCGAAAACATGTTTCTTCGGGTCGGTTGTTTCAACCCATCCAGAAACTAAAATTTTGGAGTACTTGGCCTTGAGATCAATGTAGCGATCTTGGAAAACAACTTTAGGAACAACAAGATCATGGTGCACACGCTTCTTGTATCCTGTTTTTGCACCAAACGAGTGCTTGTAAGGAGTCTCGAGCAGATGAAGTGCAATACGAATCATGCGGTCGACAGGGTCTCTTTCGGCAAAAGGAGGATCTTCTGGATTGCTTTCGTAAAGAAGGTAGTGAACTGAGATGGTGTAATTGTGATAAAGCACACCAACTGCACGCGCTGGTGGTAGATAAAAGGGGCACTCATCAGGCGATTTAATGTGGGGTATATAAGCGACAAAGATGGAATCTTGGGGAGGCTTTTCTTCGTTAGTAAATTCTGGGTCTTGGTCTATTCGCAGTGTGTGAACTGCACAGGTCTGGTTAATGACGTGATCGCGGAGCGGGTTGCGAGGGATGATGCGCCGAACGATTTTGCGCTCGGGGAAAACCAGCTCTGTTGGAACACTCCGGGCAGCAGTGTCATCCAGGTAATATGTAAGAGGCATGGCATTGGGGTCAATTACAGGCGCTTCCGGGCGCACAAGTCGTAGCAGTTGGTAGTTGGCCAAGGGGGAGGCAGTCTCACCATCTGCAAGCGATTCTTCGTGCGACAGATCGCCAATCTCGCTTCGTGAAGTTGCTGAAAAAGCTTCTGAAGTAATGTCAGTCACGCCGCGTCGACTCAGCCAGCTAGCTACCGCATCGTAGTCAACAAGCTGGTCAGATATAATGTCTGTGCGCATGATTGAGGTAGAGTTAATATTGGGCTCCAGAATAATATTGGCCATTGCCTTTTCAAAATCCGGAGCACCAAAGTCAACCGGGTGTGAATAAACAGGCGTCCATTGAGGGCCCAACACAGAAGGTTCGCCACGAATGTCTATGGGACGGAACTCTGCGGGCTTCGGAACAGCTTCTGGAAGGGCTTTGTTTTTAGGTGTTCGCGTGCCGTCCTCGCAGCGTTTCTTGCGCGGGTACTTTTTGGGAGCTGCTATAACAGACTCCTTGGTATCATTCGAAACATCAACCGGTTCTTTTTCCGTCTCCTGTAGTTCCGGTGCCTTAGTCTCAGTTTCAGTTTCTGGCATTTTCCTGTTGTATTTTGAGCTTTTGAGGGTCTGAAAGTGTGTGAGGGGAAAAGTAAAATCCGCATGGCATTTAAATTTTTTTTTTCAAAGTCACCTACCGCTACTCAAAAATTTTAAGGACCCGACGGGCCCCGGGTCACAAAATTCGGGCAATTATCTACACTTGGGAACATTTAATAAGAACCAGAAGCATTTCATTATATATATAAAACGGTATTATACAAAAAATAAAAGAGAGAAAGAATAATCAAATAAAAAAAATCGTCTAAAAGAACAGAACCAAACCGTTTTTATCGAGGACCCGGCCGCCGGCGCATTCCGCCACGCCCGCGCGAAGGCTGCGCAGCACCACGGACCTTGGCCAGGGTTTTCGGCCGAAACATTGGTGCAAGTCTATAAAAATCTGTTAGTATCACATTGATTATTTTAAAGTAAAACACTTACCTGAGCATGTCGGGCACAATAAACATGCGAACGTGTGAGCCACGGACATAGACTTGCTCAAGATGCGATACACGGCCATCGCGTGCAGTTACAGTAACGTCCCGCAGCTGAACGTTCATATTATCTTCAGCTAGAAAACAGATGTTAGTCAACAAAACAGGGCATTTTTCGTGTCAAAGACGCGTCGGAGACTTACCTTCGAGAAGTTTGCCACGATATGTTTCGCCGGATGTAAGCTCCAGAGTGACGGAGTGGCCCTAGAGCAGTTAGTATTTAAAGCAGCAGTAAATAAAAGCCATTTAATTCTACTTACTTGAGCCTCGTTGAGCAGCTTGATGGGAATTCCAATGGAGCCCATGATGATGATGATGATGTTTGTACTTGTGTGTTTGGTGGTGGTGAGAACTTTTTTTTTTTTTTTAAGGCCTTATTTTATTAATTTTCTGCACAACCACCAAAAACCGCAATCACCACCAACCACCCACCTATCGTCCACTGATACGACCGACACGCAATGGTAAACCCGACCGACGACGACTTTCCCGGGCCCAATGGCTCACTTGGTCCGCCAAATGGGGACTCTGACTCTTCTTCTATATTTTCTTTAGAAAAAGTTCAACTGCAATTTGCGGTCTCCAATATCGTATCATTTGCAGTAGCAAACAACATTTTGTGCATGGCCCTTAAGACGGGCCGCATCATTCGCATTGACTTAGAACATCCGCAAGACGTAGACGGTAAGTCTTTTAGCCTACGCTTATGTCTTTTTCTAACATTTTATAGATATTGACATGCCAAAGCGTTCTGCTGAAATTGGTCAAATTCAGCGAACTTTTCTTGACCCCACCGGTTCACATCTTATCATATCAACCACGCTCGGCGAAAACTACGCTCTCAACTACCAGTCTACAAAAGCAAAGGTTCTTGGACGACTGAAGGGTCTTCATATTACCAGTGTAGCATGGAACCCTGCTCATCCTACGCGTAACACAGGTGAAATTCTTTTTGGCACTGCAAACGGCCTCATTTACGAAACATACATTGAGCCCTCCGATGAGTACTTTAAGCGCGAAGATCGTTATCTTCGTCAGGTTTGGAAAAGCCCAAATGGAGATGCTATTCGTGGTCTCAACGTTTCATACGGTAAAGATTCAAGCATACGTAAGATTCTTGCCACTTCTAGTTCTGGCCACATCTACTTTTGGCAAGGAAAGGTTTCGTCACACTCCAGCCAGGACATTATACCCGTTTACACCAAATTTTTTGAACGCGAAGAACCCGCAGTCGAATTATATGAAGCAGCTCCAGAGTCTACATTAGCTGTCATTCCAAAGCCCTCAAAGCCTTCCAAGTCTCAAACACCGATCTTTGCATGGTTAACTGGCATTGGCATCGTTCATGGAAAAATTCCTACAACTTCTTCAGCATCCACCGCCAAAGAAATCATCTTTAAAGAGTCTGAGCTTTTTCTTTCTACTGAACTTGACACAAGTGACTCCCAGGCTCTCAAGTCGTTAGTACTTACTGACTATCACATTGTTCTACTTGCAGGGAACAGTATCTACGCCATCAATAGACTAAACAATCAAGTCGTTTATCGCGAAACCGTACGTGGCGAGCCCGTAATTGGACTATGTGCTGACACAAATAACTCGACATATTGGGCATATACTGCCGAAAATATCTATGAAATTGTTGTTGACAATGAGGACAAGGAAATTTGGAAAACATTACTGGAAAACAAGGAGTATGAAGAAGCCTTGAGATTGACTCAAGACGTGTATTCTAGAGATACTGCATTGGTGGCTTATGGTAGTTACTGTCTGGAAACTAAGGATTACCCAAAAGCTGCACAACTTCTTGGTGCCTCTAGCAAGCCGTTTGAGTCGGCGGCATTGGCTTTTATTGACGCCAAAGATTACTCATCTCTTCAGGTGTATCTAACTACCAAGCTCAAAACTCTTAGCAAAAGCGCACCAATGCAACGAACTCTTGTTGCAAGTTGGATTATTGAGCTGTATATGGAGAAACTTAATACACTGGAAGACTTGGCAGCAGCTAAGGGCGAACATCAACCCAATGGCAACTCTACTGAAAGCAACCATAGCCAGGAACTAAGCGCCATGATCAAATCTTTCCAGGACTTTGTCACAGCCAATACTGCTGATCTTGACAAGTCTATAGTATACGAGATCATTTCGTCGCATAGCCGTCGCGATGAGCTCTTGTTTTATGCCAGCAGCGTCAATGACCGCCAGTTTGTGCTCAACTACTGGATCCGCCTGGAGCGATGGACAGAGGCACTGCTTGTGATTCAAGCAGAAAATGACCCCAGACTTTACTACAAGTATGCAACCGTGCTCATGGTTAATGCTCCTAAAGCAACTGTTGACACATGGATGCGTAACTCGGAGTTGGATCCAACGCGATTTATCCCTACCATTTTAACGTACACCAAGGGGTACCGACCAGACCCTAGCCAACCTAGTGACCAAAACCAAGCAATTCGGTACCTTAAATTTTGCATCAACCATTTGAAAAATACAGACGCCATTATTCACAATACATTAATTGCCTTTTACGCGAGTAACGATGCGATGGACGAAGGCCCTCTGGTTGCGTTCTTAGAGGAGCAGGGTGAGGGCCAGGTTTATTATGACACAGATTTTGCACTACGGTTGTGCACTGCGCACAAGCGTGTGCAAGCTTCAGTTCACATTTATTCGTCGCTGGGGCAGTACGAAGAGGCGATTGACATTGCGCTGGCGCACGACAATACGGAACTCGCCGGGCTGGTGGCCGACCGGGTGATGGACGGAAGTGCGGGCGCTGCAACTAATACCAACAGTAATGGAAGCATGACGGATTCCTCGCAGGTGTTGCGCAAGGAGCTGTGGCTCAAGATTGCAGCTCATGTTGTGCGTGGGCAACGCCCAGATTGGTTTAAGGCAACAGCAGCAATTCTTGCACGTTGTGAGCTGCTCAAGATTGAAGATTTGTTGTCTCTGTTCCCAGACTTTACACAACTTGATAACTTCAAGGCAGACATTATTGCATCGATGGAGCAGTATAATCGTACAATTAACTCGCTCAATAAGGAGATGGATGACAGTGTCGTTCTTGCGCAATCAATTCGCACAGAGATTGACCGACACAAGCGCGGATATGCGTTGGTGGAACCAGGTGAGCAATGTTTCCTATGTTACTTCCCATTGGCGACCCGCAAATTTTACGTCTTCCCGTGTCAGCACACGTTCCACTGCGACTGTTTGTTGGAGGTTGTACTCAAGTCAAGCGACTACAAACTCATTTCCAAGATTCGTGAGATTCGTGCAGAAAACGGCACCAACAAGGAGGAGCTCACAAAGCGCATTGATGAGGTGTTGTTGCACAGTTGTGTGCTGTGCTCTGAGGCACGTATCGATTCAATTGACAACCCACTTGTGTCGCCTCTCGACAGCCGGGCCCAGGCGGCCGAATGGGCCCTTTAGAGATTAGATTTCATTCTTATTTGTTGTTTGTTATAGTAACTATATATATCTTTATATGATTAATTAAAATTTATTAATTTAAATGGATTGGTAATAAGCTTTAATTTACTTTTCTTCTTCTAGAAGAAGATCTTCATTTCCATACTTCCTCTCGAATTCGGCGAGCCTCGCACTCGTAACACGCAAGAAGTCCATCAGGACGCAAAATAAATTCGCTGGAGTCAAACGGGCTGTCACATTGCTCACAAGCAAAGCAGCGAGTACACCATGATCTCCCCAATGCTTCAATACATTTGTCGCCGGTTGAGTTCCCGCACTTCCAGCAGTGGATTGCTGTTTTTTTGGTATAGCATTCGCGACACCACGGCACCTGCTGTTTCTCCATCCCGAGCCCAGGAGCTAACTTGGATTTTGTTGGCAACGCTGTAGTCTTTGTGCTCTTATGTTTGGTAACTTCTAAAGGATCTACCACAATGTAATCAGCATGTGGGCCAAAGGGCTTGTTGCATGCACCACAGAAAAAGTGATCCGGATGCCAGTGTTTTCCGAGCGCGGTGATGGCAGCACCTTCGATAGGAGATGCGCAGTATCCGCAGCGGCGTGAGAAAAGTTCATGAAAGTCCAAATGGCACAAAAACCGTCCAGGGGGGTGCTCGTAAAACTGTGACAGCTCGAGAGCCATGCCACAGTGGGCACAAGTAAAACATGATACGTGCACGGTGCGATTATTTGCACGAACAACGCGTTCGTCTGGAGATACTGTGTGTAAGCATACACAACAAGTAGTTGACGAGATAGAGGACGAGGTAGACGATCGGTGCAGAGACCCGGGTGTGGGAGGTTGCGGTCTGCGAACTGAAGGTTTATGGGAAGGTAAAGGTCGAGCCAAAGTAGAGGCGGCACGAGCAACAGCACTTGCAGAAGGCGATACGACAGGAAGAGGTCGACGGGGAGACACTGAAACCTGAGAAGGAGACCGAACTGGAGAAGGTCCTGGTACGGAACTTCTTGTGGAGCTTCTGGTTAAAATTCTGGTCGGACTTCTGGTCGGACTTCTGGTCGGACTTCTAGTTGGACTTGTTTGTATGCAGGTGTCGTTGCCAGTAAGGTTTGTAGAGCTTGTGGTGACATCGGCGGCGGCGGTGGAGGTGGTTCCTTCCAGAAACATGGTACTAAACTTATTGTGCGGCTGAGGTAGGCCAGAACTACGGCGATGGTCGCCATTGGGGCCTGCATGATTGGAATGAAGAGAAGCAGCAACAGAAGAAGCCAAGGGGCTTTTCTGAAGAGGTTCAGGGGTTGGTGCCACCTTGGAATGTTGCTCGGGTTCTTCCTCTTCCACTATTTGAAGCAAAGATACAGAAGTCGTCACGGTTGGGACAGAGGGACCGTCATTTTGAGATAGAGCAGCGGGAGTAGCAGGAGTAGCAGGAGTAGATACTGAGGACCTATGCTGAGACATGCGACGAGGAGGTGCGGCTGGTACCTGCTGGGGAGTTCTGGGGAGACTGGCCATACGGATTGGCAAGGCCTTGGGCGTCAATGAGGACAAAGGCAAGCCCGGCAAAACCGAAGTGGATGGTGAGGACGAGGACGAGTCCAAAGAAAGCAATGACGGAACACGGTGGGCAGTCTGCTGCTGTTTACCAGATCGGGTGCGTGAGGCTTTGGATGCAGCGTGTGTGGGAGGGACAGCATCTGGCTTTAAGAACGATTCGAAATCACTTTCGTAGTACGAGAGTTTAAACAGGTCCTGAATGAATGGAATGTAGAAAAAAAATAGTAGAAATAAAATAATAAAAAAAAAGAAATAATAATTTTATTAATAACCGATAATAATAATAAAAAGAATGGAGAAAAAAAAATAAGTCAAGAAAACCAATAAGAACAATTAAGCAGCCAAATAAACGAGAAACAAGTAACCCAAAAGTACCGGATACACCTTCTCGTTTGTCAAAAGCTCATTAATAAATTTACTAACCTGAAATTCGGCGTCAGAGTCACCTGCACTAGGTGGAGGACCGGAGACAGGGTTTGTCTGAGACGACGGCACCAGCGCACCTGGAATCTTGTCGCTGCGAATGTGCTGGAACGATGTAGTATCGTTAATAGTAGTAGAAAAAGAAGAAGAAGAAGAAGGAAATGCAAGAATATTATCATCATCAGATGTGTTGTTTTTTGTAATAGACACAGTGGATGAAGCAATGGGACTAGAACTCTTGGAAGGTTTATAGTCAGGAGTGGATATCTTCCGATTCAGGTTTAAAGCCGGCGAAGACGACCCACTTTTTTCAGAAACAGGAGTCAGGGGGGCTCTGGGAGACACAGACTTGTTTCTGGCAATATGCAGGGGCTCTGTGGCCTTGTTAAGCGAGCGCAAAAACTCAGCATGCATCTGCTTAATGTCCGAGTCGACCTTGAACATGGTGTTTGCTGCAGAGACAGGTGCCAAAGAGGATGCAGTTGCAGCTACAGACATTGAAGACGATGCTGGCACAGAGCCATGTCCCGTTATAGCATCAAGTTCGGCTTCCGATGCAAAAGTGGCCGAAGATTCAAGTACGGGGCTCGGAACAGCACTGGTGTTTGTGAGAGAAGTGGACACAGTGCGCGCCGAGGACATGGTTGTAGACGTGCTAACGGACCGAGAAGAAGACGATGTCGCATAGGAATGGGTTGAAGACCCGGTGAAGTTGCGTGAAGGACGATGGGATATAACAAATGGAGACGGACTGGCTGTTTCTCCAACAGGAGGGACACTCGAGCCACTGCTAGTACTTGTAGCCAATTCCAAAATATCGTCATCATCGTCATCATCATAGTCGTCATTAACGTTGTTATGGTCCTCTACAGATGCGCTTTGTTTACTGCTGCTGTTGCTACTACTCCTAAGATCGTCATCATTACCACAACCATCATCATCATCCTCGGTGAGGTCAATAACAACGCTATCATCTGAAAGTGAAGACAACCGTTTTATTTGTTCTACTGAAAGAGGTTCGGTAGTAACAATACTTTGAGCCATTACTGATCTTTCACTGGATACAGTCTGAAATGAGGCTTTCGAAGAGAGTCCTGATGAATGAATGGAAGATGCTTTGGAGCGCATGCGAGATACATCTGGCAGTCGCCGTGCACCTACAATGTGATGATGCTGTGAGTTTGATAAACTAGAAATTGAAGGCATTCTAGGTCCTGTGGATAGTGGTGGAGCAACAGCCTTTGGTCCAACTGAAAACCTATGTTTGAGTGGCTGCTGCTGCTGCTGCTGCTGTTGTTGTTGTTGTTGTTGTTGTTGTTGTTGTTGTTGTTGTTGTTGTTGTTGTTGAGGTTGTCTCAGTTGTTGCAGTGGCGTTGGAGGCAGACGCTCGTGTGTTTTGTTATGCAATGGTGGTTGCTGCTGATCCAGTTGGCGCAGCGCAGGTCTTGGAGCAGACGAGTAGCTGTCACAGACAGATTTCGGGTCTTGAATATGCTCTGTGTCATTCTCACCGAGTGAACTGAGGGGTTGTTGTTGTTGTTTTATTCTGGAATGCGGACCAGATGGAGCCAACGAGTTGAGTCGGGATGCCGAGGTTGCTGTGAATGAACGGGGTGGTTCCCGAGCACCAAGCGGTCTTGCAGGACGTCTGAAAGTCGAAGCCGCTGTGGCCGAAGAGGCCACTGAAGCGTCGAGATTCTGCATTATGCGAGCGGATAGTTTTGATTGATTGTTTGTTTTGAAGGGATTGTTGATGGTGGTTGTGAAGGTTTATTTTTTTTTTTAATTTTTTAATTTTTTGTTAAAATTCAAAACAATTAAAAAATAAATCCTGGAAGAATTCAAAATGAGTCAGCAATTATGTAAATATTCACAAATATTCCAAAATGGGGAATGCGGCTTGTTCACGGAATTCCCACCTTGTGATGTTGCTGTTTACGGACCAAAACAAAACAAAACAAAACAAAACCACCACAAAACCTTTCTGCTCAAAAGCTGCTCAGAAAGACATTCCATCATCATGGATATCAAGGTCAAAAGCCTCCCGAACCAAGATTTGGTCAGAGGATTTCCTGGTATTCCAGCGACTTGGGTAAGTTTAAAAAGAAGCTACAGTCTTATTTTCTGTTTTTTCTAACTCTGGTACAGCCCCGTTTGGAGGGCACTGTTGAAATTCGGTCACCTTCATTAACAGTTCTTCAAATATCCCAAGTGTATGTCGCACTCTACCGCACAGACACTATCAACGTGCCCTCTGCACGGCCAGCTGGTATGGCCGGTGTTATTAAGCGCGACAAGTCGTACCTTATTGGGGAAAAAATTAAGCTTTTCCAGGCGTCAACTTTCCCAGCCTCTGGTGGCGAACTGGTGACCAACGGGACGACTGGATCGTCTCAGTTGTCGTCATCTTCATCTGCTTCATCAAATTCAACAGCAAATAAACGATACGATGAAGTACTAGGCCTTGATCTTAACTTTTTGCTTCCACTTCCAATAACTAAACAACTCCCAGCATCCATCTCGCTTCAGAAACGTGCAGTAGAAACGTCATACCAACTTTTTGTTACTGTCATTTATGGGAAGCAACTGCTTACGCTCCACCAGCCTTTCCCAGTTCGAATCAAGCGTTATGATAAGCTTTCTACTTATGGACAGTTTCATGTTCCACTTAAAGGTAATATCGTTTCGCCAGACCACCTAGTTGAGTTTGAGTACTCTATCCCACAGTCATCTTTTGGTCCGCGCGATTCCATCGTTTCATATGTAAAGATATTACCCAACCCAGATCTTGGTGCAAAGTCCCGCAAAATCAAGCTCCAGAGGCTCTCAGTTCAAGTCGTCGAAGTCATTACTTTCAATACATCAGAAGTTAGCAGCGCTAGTTTTATGTCATCTTCATCATCAACCTCTATTTCTTCAGGTGCCGGTGGCCTTTCATCAAACGCACTTTCTCATACGATTTCTACAACATCATCAGCTTCTCTTTCCACAATTAATAGCCATTCTTCTTTTTCTCAAGATTCCTCTTCTGGTGATGGCCCCATTGAACGCCGCCGTAAACTTTGCAAGGCTACTAATCAGCTTGATATTAAGCTACCTGAATCTGGCTATCGTTGCGAAATTACCATGGACTTCCCCACAACCGATCTTCGCGAACCACGCGAAGTTTCTGGTGCTCTTGTCCCACAAACGCGCACGGACATTCCTCTTATTGCAAATAATTCTGGATTCACAACAGCAGCACCATTATACAGGGTAGACTATCTTCTTGTCTTTAAGGCAAAGTTTTCTCACTCCAAGGACATTTTAATTGAACAGCCCATCACAGTCACTCCATTTGATCATGTAATGTGTGCTTCCCTCATGAAGGCCATTAAAATCGCTGTCGAAGAGGCTAACGAGGCCTACCAGGATAGAGAAGAGTATGTCTTGAACTCTTCAGCCCCAGGGTCTCGCAAACAGGGACCTAACGGTGCACAGTCTTCTTCATATATTGTTCTTGACAAGAAAACAGGTGAGACGAAAAAGGTCTTTGTTCCAACTGTCTATAGACCAAACGATACAAATAGTTATACAGCATATGGAGTTCAGCCTACCGGAGTTGGTCTTCTGGGAGGTGCTGCCAAACCTATTCTTATAATTCGTTAGTAATAGAATTAAACATTAAAATGGGGTTAAAAATGATTAAAATAATTTTTTTTATTTACTAAATTTATATTATTTTTTTTTCTTTTTCAATTTTATTCATTCCTACCTTCCGTTTCGTGCTTAAACATCTTTCTTTCCAGACTTCTTAGTCAAACCCTGAGACTCGGTTGCATGCTCATAATCTTCAGCAATAGCATCGTCATCGTCATCTCCCACGCTGAACAAACTGTCATTTTCGTCATGGTCCCACTTGTTGTACTTTTTCGCGTCATTGTCCGAATCATTGTCGGTAGTTGAAAACACGGTGCCCGACTGTGTCGACGTACTAGGTCCCGCGCTGGTAGCAGCTCTAGCACCACTACTTCCGATACCATTACCATTGCTACTACTAGCAGCAGCAGTACTAAGATTTGTCTTGTCGTCAGTAGGCTTGTTATCCTTGCTTGGGGAATATTGTGGAGGTGGCGAAGAAGGATCATGTACGCCAGTCGATTGTCTATCATCTTGGTTCGGTGAGTGGCTTCCAACAGCCTCCTCTTCGTCCCAGTCAAGCGACTCTCTCAAAGAGCCAATCTCAAACTCTTGAGCCTCACTTTCGTCTTGAGCAAGTTGCGAGGACATGGCAAACCGCCGGTTATTGGCAGTGGGTCTCCAGATGAAAGCGATGATGCAAAAGTCGGCAAAATACACGACATTAAGCCATCCATCCAGTAGGAACCAGCGGGTTTGCCAGTGTTTGGTGATAAAGTCAAGAGTGGATTCGTTTGCAAAGATAAGCGAGTTGATAAAAAAGAAGCCGAAAATAACAACAATTGAAGCAAGCAACAATCGCCACAGATTCTTGTACATCTCTGCCTTGACATGCTGCTTCTTTTCTTCAAGCTCCTTGGTCGTGTTGGTCAATGCTGACAAAATCCATACGTAGAATGCAGTCATAGTTAGAGACAATGGGAGAACAACAATTAAAATAAGAGGGCTGGAGTTATCGGGAGGAACAATGTATGAAGAAATGGTCCAACCAACGGCAAAAAGGAAATGAGCACCGGCAAGAGCACGGCACTTCCACATAAGACTACCGAGTGAGGGCTTAACAACACCATATCCAAGACACACAATGAGCAGCAAAAAGAATGTAAACGCGTTGCGGAAACTGTTCAAAATAGACAAAATAATCAAATATACTTTTGCACCAGTATTGTCGCCGTGAATATTGGTATAGTCATAGTAACCCCAAATGGTAATCATTTCAACAACCAAAAATGCACAAATGGCGGTAATGTAGTTTTGTACGGGAAGAATGTCAGACCGGTTTTGAATGTACAAAAACATCCAAAGAGCGAGCACCACGGCATAAGCCAAGGCAGCAAAGCCAAAAAAGAGCAGCTTGGGAATCTGCGTCGCCGGAAGCTTTCCATACGCGTTTTGAAACACCACTGCAGCCTTGAAGTCGTTGCTGGGATCAGACATGAAAGTAGAAACGCAGTAGTAGCCAGTCTTACGAACAGGGTAGTGAATAGCCTGAGGGTTCTGAAGCTCCACCTTTGTCGTGTAGATTTGCGCGTAAAGAGGGTCCTCAGTAGTTTCATTAGCAACAATAAACAGTCCATACTGGTCTTCAGTACACAGAGAATCAGAAATAGCAGAGCTGTCGCAAATGTACTTGCGTTGAGTCACTCCATCTTCGCTGCCCACATCAACGCCTAGAAGGCCCACATTGCGGTACTCAAAAACAACCAAAGATAGAAAGCCAGAGTTCTTTTCAGCGTCAACATGAAATGCAACTTTACATTAAAAGTAATGAAAAAAATGGTCAGTTATCAATGAAATTTTAAATATAATCGGAAAACTCACCTTCAATATAGGGGTCAATGGGACCACCCCAATCAGATTTCGCGTACATGCCGTTACACTTTTGGGCATTATCGGGGTCCTAAAAAATTAGCAATGTCGTTATAAACCTTCAAAAATTCCTATATGCTTACAATCTGAAGAACGTTGGCTACAGCGCCCGAAGCCATGGCCAGTAGGGCCGTGCCAAAGACCAATGGTCGTAAAAAGGCGGGTGTCATTTGTGTGGTTGTAGAGGATGTTAGTGGTGGTGATTTAGTGTGGGAAGCAGGAAAAGTGTGTGAGGTGGTTAGTTGAGAGGGAAATAAAAAAAAAAACACGCAGACACGCTTAAGCACCACGTATACCAGGGTTAGGGTGTACTACCACAAAATCCTACCTCGTGTATCTTAAATAGAGCCAACTTAATTTAATTACTATTCACAACTATATAAAAAAGAAGACCCAGCACCCGGTCCCCGCTCTTTGTCCGGAGTACCGGTTCCGACTTCGGGACTTAAACTTGAATCAGAGAGAAAAGAGACCCGTCGCCTCCAAAGTTTTCCAGAACTTTGTCAAAGTCTCCAGAAAAAGAACTTCCATCTCCAACCGATGTTCCACCAAGAACCCCGTCAATGTCCAGTAGGTTTGCAGAGGTCGCCATCAAAAGCTTCTCATCAGATTCCCCAGTAGTAAGGCCTAGACTGCTCTCAGTACTGCTAATGCTGCTTACACTGCTTATGCTCCCCACGCTACTATTGTTACTAGTTGTGCTAATAGAACCATTGGTGTCATCATCGTCACCGTTTCCAGTATGAGCTTCTAATCCCATTCCACTAGCTTCCTCGTAAAGAGCATGTGATCCACCAAGTGTAGGGTCAACGCCACTAGCTAACTCGTAATTCCCATGGCTCATTGACCCCATAGGCTTTAACTGCATCAACGGCGACACAACAGCGCTGCTGGCATGGCTAATGGCTGCAGCAGGCGCAACCAGCAGCCCATCGTGAAGCATGCCATTAGTAGCAATCAGCGCAGCGGCAACATCCTCAGCAGAAACACCATTGTTTTGAATACTGTCTGCTGCAGTTTCGGAAACAGGTGTAGCTGTTTGTGTGAAAGTCTCGTTGAGGTTTTGAAGCTTGGTTTCAACCAATGAGTCATCTGTAGAAGTTGCACTTGATAGCGATAATGTAATTTCGGGAACAACAATGTCTTCATTAATGAAAAAAGAAGTTGTGGACGCCTCATCTGTAAGCGCAGTATCGTAGATTTGTTCGTCAAAGTTTTGGGAACAGTCACCATCATCCTCAACATGAGTCTCAAGCATATTGCGAAAGTCTTCAATTGACTCGTCAAGCAGCAAAGAAGGCAGTGATTTGCTGCGTGATTTGCTCATGGAAATTCCAAATGCAATATTGTCTGCAAGACGGGATGCCGAAGATACAGGGCTAGTAGCCTCACTCATAGTCCCCGCCATCATTCCTGTGGGGCGGCCAGCAGCATTAACTCCGCTTCCCATTGCAGCAGCTGCAGCTGCCATCATAACTTGGGGCTGACCAAACTGGCCCACCATAACTGGGTTCAAAGGATTCATTCCAAATGCCAATGGGCTCTTGACTCCAACCACTTTTCCGGGCTCATGCATTGATATTCTACTCAGCTGAGTAGCCAGCTGTGCAAGGGGACCCTCCAGTTTATGGACCATATTGGTAGTGGCTTGAGATTCTTCAGAAAAGTCTTCGCACGGAACCCATCCAGGCATTTTTGGGCTTTGTGTGCTAAATATAGGTGGCTGGAAAAGATTTATTATAATGTCACCCATGTTGGGATTATCTGAGCGTGGTGTCAATTCCAGGCTCTTGACACTCTTGAGGTAGTACTTGATGCGGAACCCTGTTCCATTTGCGTACATTGTGTACGAAATAGCAGACTCAATTGGTGAATAAAGAATAATAAGATCACTAGTTACTCCACCAGCTGTGTAAACTCTGCGCCATTTGCCAATTTCGAGAGAAATGCAAGACAGGTGCACATTTTGGCTGAATGAAGCAGCAGCGTTGAATGCGCCATGTGTGTCAATTGGAGCTCCGTTACCCATGGTGGCAACAGCTATTGGTGTGGTCCCGGCTGGTGTGGTCATATGACCCATATGGCTTCCTGGAAATGCTGCCATGCTGTTTCCAACAAATGTTGGTGGGAAAGTTGCAGCCATGGGATGAAGACCATTTTGCAGTTGACCAAGTATTGCACGGTTATAACTATATGGTCCTCCCATAGAAAATTGAACATTTGAGGGGAACCCATTTCCATGCTTTTTAGCCAAAATTTTATTTTTGGCCCGGTTGTTTTGAAACCAAATCTGAACCGACCGCTCAGTCATGTCAATTCGTCGACCAATCTCTTCTCGTGTTTTTGCATTTGGCGTTTGGTTAATCTCAAACTCACTCTTGAGTACATTTAACTGGTGAGGTGTAGCACGTTGTCGCTTTTGATTTTTTTGTTGCTGTGTAAGAGTGGACTTGCGTTGTCTAGTTGAGGATCTCTTGGAGACTCCATAATCAGACATGTTGCTATTCATCTTGAAAATGAAACTTTATCTAACTATTGTAAAAATTAAAACAAAAATAACTTGTAAAGAAAATTAAATATACAATGTAATATATAAGAATAGGATTAAACAAATATGAGATAAGATATGATATGATGTATAAAGATATTTATGAAAAATACTCCGAAAAAAAAAAGTTGAACCAGTTTGGGAAGCCTTTGATATTTATACTTTTTATCTTTTTATCTAAGAGGAGAGTAGAAAAAGGTCAAATATCATTTACATATAGGGAGAATTAAAAACTCAAAAAGAACTTTTAGGCAACCGCCATACCGTTTACATTGAAATTGATATTTTTTTTTGCCTCAGATAGAGAGCTTCAACCCCCCCAAAAAACAGAGTAGCTTCAAATGTAATAGTGCCTATGATAATAACGGTTTATAGGGTTTGAAAAAAAAAGGTTCTGTGAATGTTAATGCGGATTCATGTAAAAGAGCTTCTTTTTTATTTATTATGGAAAGGCGCTATTAGTGTATATGAATCAAAAGTGTGTGCAGCTTAGTCTTCAAATGCGCCTTAACATGAGATTCGTAAAAATGGCCCTGCATAATGCTGGCATGAAGGTTAACCCTCTTTTATTCTTTCTATTTTTTTTTTTCTTTTTACATTTTACATTTTTTTCATAGCTCTCATTTTTTTCTACCTTCACTTTGAAGTTTCCTATTCAAAAACCGTACCAAAAGTTGACCAGGCTTCCCTTGAGCTCAAATTAATGGGTTGGAAAAAATGGAAAATTCAATTTACTAAATTTGAAAGTTCTTTTATACGGGTGAGTCTCACAAATTTAGAAAATTGATTAGAATGGGTTGATGATGGTGACTATTTAGTGAAATTATATTTTTTTTTCTTTCTTCAACATTCCATTGTTAGTTTTTAATAATTTCTACTTCACAAGGTCTTTGTATTCCAACTCTTATTCTTATCCACCTTTGATCTTAAAGCGGGCACTAAAAGCTGCTTTTTTTTTTAAGTGGGCAACCTATTAAGTGGATGGCCCTTACTTTGATTTTTTTTACTTTTCGTGGGTTGATATTCCCTGAAAATGTTTGTCAACCTAAAGTTCCCAATATAAAGGTTTCAAGCTTTTAGCGAACAAATGCTTTGATTTCCAAGGAAACTAAAACATTTTTCAACACATTGATGGAAATGTTTGAAAATAAAGCCGTTCTATTTGCATAAATTGCAAGTGAATTCAAAAAATAAAAAAAAATGGCAGAAGCTGTCCTTTCAAAAGCTTCTCTTTACCGAAAAACAATAAACTTAAAAAACAGGGGCGAGAAAAAAACCTTCCCGGCTAGAAAAAAACATAATTTGTAATTTAAATATGAAACAGCTCCAAAGAATTATTGTTCTTGAATGTCACTTCCTTTTTTTTTTCTTGAGAACTTCTCTTCATGCATAGCCTCTCTCAAAGGTTCACACCATTTTTTCAGGAACCGAAAGCATCTTTTTTTCTTACAATTTTTTTGGACACTTGTCAAATTGGTCATCGTCATATGGTTAGATGGTCATCTGCATCTCTGCTGTTGATTCTGCTGATGTTTTTTTTTATCCATCAGGTCAACTACAAAAAGCTCACAATCTAAGGTTGAAAAATTGATGAGTTTGTTCTAACCGCTGATTGGTCTTAAACTCACATTATTTGTGATGACATGTTTTCTTCTATACAAGTAACCTTTTTACTCAGAATGAGTTTGAAACCATCTACTGATCTTTCTAAATCAATGATCGTCACAATTGGAGAAATGTTGCATTTTTAACCCATTAAAATCATGTAATGTACTTCATCAAATTATTTTTTATCTAAAATTCTATCAATATATATCAAAATGGATAGACCATCAAAGCCCAAATAGGAAATTAGCCTTAGCTCTTTCATAACTGTACTAAAAAAAACCTCTGGACTTTTTGCAGAGAACTCGGTTTTTTTTACACTTATTGCCGAAACCCTTAACAAAAATTGTGCCACTTATTTCTATCTTACCTTTATTTTTTTTTCTACGCTCCTTATCTAATACATTTATCTAAAAAAAACTCCTTCTCGAACTCTTCCAAAAATGAACTAGTGGTATTCGTTACAAGTCATTTGCAGTTTATGCCATTGCAATTTTTGTTTTCTGCATAATTTACTTAGCAAATAGAAAGGTGCGCACACAAAAAAAGAACGCCCGAAAATATTCTGGAGCCCCTTTTCAATGAAATACTAAAGAATGGAAGTTCTGCTATTCAGTTTTGAGAGAACAATTTCATGTCAAAGGTTCTAGAGAATCCGCTAGAAGAACTATAAATGAAACTATCTAAAAATAAAAAAAACTTGAAATTTTTTTGTTAAATTTTCGTCTAAATAAATAAAGTCTTTAAAAAATTCATGATAAACTACATGTTTCAATATCACTATTAATTCCAAGTTATCGACGACAAATATTTCAAAAAAGTTTATGGATTAAATGGGAAAAAGTTTTTAACTTCATCCGCTTTTATTTTTAGAGGAAAAATGTTTCTTTCACTTTTCTTCTATAAAGTAACAGAAAAAAGTAATTCTTTATCAATTTTTGGTTAAGTAAGATTTTTGGGGTATCTATCTGTTTTGGTTAAATTACTTTTTTCCTAATTTGTACAAAGGCAAAATGCCAATTACTATCATAATCTACTTTCCCCACTTAATGCATAGCCACTAAGGATTGAAAAAAAAAAAACCTGTACTCTATTTTTGACTAGATTATTCAAGTATATGATAAAATTCCACCACATATGTCATTAACCAAACAGTTAAGAAGATAAAAAAAATTAAGAAAATAAAAAGGTCAATATTCAATATTTAACTCTGTGTCCCCACAATTGGTGGAAACATTAAAAAGTGCCAAGTATTTCAAATTAATATATTTTTATAAAAATAAATGCCCTGGATATCTAATCCAAGTTGTTTTTAAACATTATAGCCATAGAATATAAAAAACTGTTTTTAAGACTATGAATCTAGCGTATGTTGTTATATTAATACGCATCTATTTTTTTAAAACTTCTTTACAGCAGTTTGATAGACTGTAGAATGTCTCAGAATACCCGGGATATTTTCAAAAAAAAAAAAAAAGGTTGAAGACAGCTTTTGACTTGATCACTGTTGACTTTAAAATCCTTTCCTTTTGTTTAGAAACTAAATTTTAGAGAAATCCACTATTTTGTATATACCTTATTAATTATTATTTTATTAAGGGAGATTCCTTTAACTCCGTGAAGCCAAAAACAGTTAAAAATTATAAAATTACACATTTGGTTTAAGCCAGATGGATTTAAGCAGTACTTCGGGATATATTGAAAGAAAAATATTAAATATATGTAAACTTTATTTCTTCTATCTCTCAATATACTTTCATATTGCTGAATAATGGCAATGAATAAAAATATGGGCTCTTGTTCTTCTTGCAAATTATTACATATGGTAGCTCGGTTTATGCATAATTTTCAACATACAAGTCCAAGACTATAAATAAAAATTCATCTACAATTACACTTAAATTAACTTGAGGATTGTAATATTTCGTTTTTTTTAAAAAAAAAACGGACTATCATTGATTTTCATTTATGCTCTAACATTTTTAGTTTCCTTCTGAACGTTTTTGTTTTTTTGCAGATTGGCTTCAAATCTTTGTCTATATCTTCTCTTGTTTTTTTTATAGATAAAACAATTTGTTAAAGCTTTATCCAAGGTCAAAACTTCTCTGCTAATCAAATCATAATTTGAGCTTGCCACAGAAAACCTTGTCATTTATTGGTCTTTAAAATGTGGTATAGAAAACAGAAGTGTAAGTAAGGAAAATAAAGCTGGTCGCTTGAAAACTTCAGAAACTAATAGAAAGGTGCTTGGGATCAATTTTTGGGAACATGTCTTAAAAATTCTTGAAGATCAAATGTCTCAACTTTTGTTCTATTATTTTTTTGCGGAAAGAACCTGAATACAATATTTTTTAAAAATTAGAAAAAATATTTCTGTAATTGTTTATGAAACAAGACATAGTAGAGTCTTTTGAAAAAATCACTTTTTCCCGACCATACCTTAATCATAAGTGCTCTTTGTAGGCTAGAAAAAAAACTCACAAGCTTTGTGACTTAACAATAAAGTTCTCATTGAAACTCGGCCCTAGGCTCTTTTCACATGAAAAAAAATAGCACGGCGCCATATCTGTTTACACACTAAACTCTATACTACCAAGGAAAGAAAAAGGTATTAATGATTAAACTACGGGAGCTATATAATTGTTGCAAAAATGGGTTAAATAGGAATTTTTAAAAAGTACTATGTTATCAAAATTGTACAGATTTGACTAAGATGGAACTATATACCGAAAGCAATCAAAAAAAAAAAAATAACAAATAAAAAAAAATTCTAGGTGGGTTTCTTGAAAGTTCATTTTTGTTTTTTTTTTGAATGCTTTGTTTGAATATTAGATAGTTCTAATTTACTTTTTTGTTAATAAAAAAAGCTCCCAAAAAACTTGGACAGACAAAAGGGTTGTAGGCGATTGCCATCTAGGTTCACTATCCAGACACCCGCGTGGTTTTCACAGCTTGCCGATGAAAAAAAAAAATCAACTGCTTATGATGCCCTCATAATGCTATTGTTTTCAAAATCCATACTAAACACGGTGGAATTGTTATTTGTGCAAGTCTAAGAATATGCTTGTTGAGATAGCTAGGTTTAAATGGTTAACTAATAAGTACCAAAGCTTTAAAATTTCTCTAAGTTTGAAGGATAATTTAATTATCCTTCTATCTAAGATCTAACTCAAAAAATAAAAGGTTAAGAGCTTTCAGAGCCATTTTCAATTGCCTTGGTTTTAAATGCTTTCCACATTTGCTTAAGAAAAAGGCACACATTTCTGGAAATGTTAAGACTTTTTATAATTGGATTTAAAACATCAGTGCTCAGTTCGGGGCTGCACTTAACGACCTTGTATTCCTGTTCCGATAAGTCAAGAGTGCATGAAAAGGGCCGGGTATAATTACTTGGGTCAATGTTTGTAAAAACAAACCGCAAAACATCATCTTTTACCCCCTCAATGTGTAATCCAAGTGTTGTTTCCCAAAAGTTAAGCTCTGGATTAATAAGAGCCATTTGTTTGCTTATTATTTCTTTCTGTCTTTGTTGCTCTAAAACCAGTTAATCCAGTGATAACTTCAAGACATAATTTTTTTATTATTTTCCCCTCATACCTTCTTTTCGCTGTTGAATGCTAATCCGTGCTTCTTCAATTGCGTTTAGTAATGTTGCTCGATTATGCTCCATTTCTTTCATTTTTTGGGTAAAGTTTGAGATAGTATCCTGACTAGCCTCGATTTCTTGTTTTTGAGCCATGCGTACTAGAGATGCAAAAATACCCAAGTTAAACACACTTTAAGTAAGTAAAGTGGTTGTTATATTGGGATTAAATCAAAATAATTTCAAAAGCAGTTAGTTTTCAAAATCCTACCAATATAATAGGCTCACTAAACATACATTCTTCTAACTCTTGGTCTCTTTTGCGATAAGCATCAATCTCATTCTTAAGTCTTTTTTGGGTTTCTATTTATAAGTCAGTTAGAAAGTTTAACGCATTCATGTGAACGGACGGTTTGCAATATTAAATTACCTTTCAACTCTGATAGTTCCATAGTCAGCTGGTTCTTATCATTGATAATTTTTTTTTGGTTTCGTGAAATATAACGATCGAGTTCTGATGAAAATTCTTTCATCCGGGTACTCAAAACTTGACTCCCTAAATCAAATGTAAATGAATTTAAGTCATTTGAATCTTCATGCAAAGGTACTAAAGCCATTTTGCCGATTTGGTTTATGAAGATTAAAAAATTGGGGTCTGTATTGGTGATACTAGACGTTGAAAATGGGGGAGTTGATGAAAATGTAAACAAAAAATTTGTCATGAATTTGAAATGATTATGTAATTTAAAAATTTACACCCTCCACCATTGATTCTTTTTGTCTCGATTTTTTTTTTTTTTGGAAATTGGAATTTACTTCCATTAAAGAATTCCTCCGCAATAAAAAAAATGGCCAAAAAACCTACTAAAGTCGATAAAGAAGCCAAGAAGGCCCGCATGGCCGAAAAGAATGCTAAAAATGCTGCTAAGTCCGATAAAAAGGACAAAAAATTGGCTAAAAAAAATGCCGGATCCGACGACGAAGATGATATGGATATCGATGAGATTCTCGAAAACTATAAAAAGGAACAGGAAGCTTTTCAAGCTGTGACTATTACTGCCGTTGAAAATGGACCCTCAAAACGTATTAATGCAACTATGGTAGCATCCCCTGTTCAAGGAAAGCACGAATTGTTCTTGTTTGGTGGTGAAACGACAGAAACCAAGCAAGTTCGTACCGGCAATCGCCGTTTTGGTACAAGTAGCGTTATGACAGAAACGCTTGCTGTATTTTACAACGATTTGTATCATTACTCAGTTGATACTGATCAATGGCGTCTTATTACATCGCCCAATTCTCCATTGCCACGATCTGGCCATTCCATGTGTGCACACCCTTCAGGTGTTATTCTTGTTTTTGGTGGTGAATTTTCTTCACCTAAACAAACCACTTTTTACCACTACGGCGACACTTGGGTTTTAGATGCTGAAGCTAAAGAGTGGACAAAGGTTGAAGCCAAGAAGGGACCTTCTGGTCGTTCGGGCCACCGTATGACTGTGTGGAAGAATTACATTTTGATGCATGGAGGTTTCCGAGACTTGGGCACCAAGTCTATGTATCTTAATGACTTGTGGGCGTTTGATGTGACCTCGTATAAATGGCATCAAGTGGAGTTTCCTGTGACCCATTTGCTTCCTGATGCTCGCAGTGGTCACAGCTTTTTGCCGCACCCTGAGGGTGCTGTTGTTTGGGGAGGTTACAGTAAGGTCAAGGCCCCCCGTAATACCCAAAAGGGTAAGGTTCATACTGACACATGGCTTCTTAAGATGAAACCCGATCTTGTTGGTGTTCGCTGGGAAAAACGCAAGAAAGCTCCCTATGCTCCAAGTCAGCGTGTTGGATGCTCCATGACCCACCATCGTGGTCGTGGAATTTTGTTTGGTGGTGTTTTTGATCATGAAGATGATGATGATCGCTTGTCCAGTACTTTTTACAATGACTTGTATGCATACCAGACTGAGATGAATAAGTGGTTTACCCTGAAGCTTCGTTCCCCACGCAAGCGTGCAGCTCAAAACCAAGCTCAAAACCGAAGTGGTCGTCGTGAAAACCGTGACACTGATTTGGAAAACACTCTTTCTGAAATTTTGGAGGGTAAACTTGATTTGAAAGATAGCGACGAAGAGAAGCCAGAAGCCATCAAGGAAGAAGAGGAAGAGGTAATTATTAAAAAAGAATACCCTGTTGTTAACACTCTTCCCCATCCTAGATACAATGTTACTTCTGCAGTTGTTGGTGATTTGCTTTTCTTGTTTGGAGGTGGCTACGAGTATAAGGAAAAGGAATATCATTTGGATTCGATGTATTCCATCGATTTAGGCAAGTTGGATGGCTGCAAAGTTTATTGGGAGGATCTTACTGAGCTGGAGAACATGGAAGAGGAAGAGGAAGAGGAAGAAGATGAAGATGAGGACCTTGAGGATGATGAGGGCGATGATTGGGAAGATGACGAGGACGAAATTATGAATGATGGAGATGACTTTGAAGAAGAGGAAGACAAGGAGGAGGAAGAGGAAGAGGAGGAATCTGAAGAGATTCCTGATGACCGCCCATGGCTGCCGCATCCCAAGCCATTTGAATCCTTGAGAGACTTTTATGCTCGCACAAGTGATGAACTTCTTAAATGGGCCATGTCTCAGGACCGCGAAGCACGTGGCAAAGATCTTAAACGTGTCGCATTTGAACTTGCCGACGACAGATGGTGGGAACGTCGTGAGGTGCTTCGTGTACAAGAAGATAAGATGGAGGAACTTGGAGGTATTGGTGATGTCATTGAAAAGGATGCTTCCAAGCCTAAAGGTCGACGTTAGAAAATAAACTGTTTGTGTTTATTTATTAGATTTGTTTTATTTTGTTACATAGGTTATTATCATGGTCATTTATTATATACATTTTAAAAAAATAATGGTTTTATCACCATTCTAAACTCCGAATGAAGGCTTTTCTAGAGTCTTGAGAACCGGAGTCTTTATTTTCTTGTTGTTGCTTCTTTTTTTTCTTATCTGCACATTTGGTCCCGCCACATCCGCAGCACTCTTTTTTTTTTGATTTAGAGTGGTCATTATCGTCATTATCGTCATTATCATTATCATTACCATCATTATCATCATCATGGCTGTGATCATCGTCATCACTATGACTAGAACTTCTTTTGCGAGTCATAGTTTCAGATGGAGTGAATGTTTTGTGAGAATCTGAGAAAGAAGAACGTGGGGTTTGAGTATTTTTTATTTTAGTGGGGTGATTTTGTGTGGGGGTTGCAGACGATGTAGTTTGCGGCTGGAGACTTTGGTTCATTTCGAAAGAAGCAGTTCTATGGCTAGGGTTTAAAAGAAATGAAAAAAGAGGACGTGAGGAAGTAGAGTCAAGCATTTTAGCAAAAAAAAAAAAGAGTTCTGATGGAGATAATTGAAGATAATTTAAGAAAGATTTTGAGAAATGAAGAAAAGTTATTTTAGTTAGACTGGAGAAAAAAAAAAAAAAAAGGGGAGGACCCGGAAGATTAAACGAGCAAAGCGGATTCAAAAGCCGCACTGGCCAGATTTTTTTTAGGCACAGCACAGCAGCCTTACATTAACTGAAGAAAGTATTTTAAAATGGTCAAAAGAAGAAAGTTTGATATTTCAAAATAATTTAATTTTTAATGCTCGTTTGTATTAATATCTGTCTTAATAAAATATATATTAATAATCGCCTAAGTGAATCAACGTTTCAAGTTGGAATTATTCGGGTTTCTTTGTCACAATCTTCTCCTTGCAAATGCTTGACTGAATCAATCCAAACAGGCCAAAAAAAATTATATTTAAACAAATATACTGAAAACATCTTTGTCAGTATTATAAGATTTTAAAAATAATTATCATCAACATCATCATCATCATCATCATTAGGATTCCATTTCCCGTTATTAATATTAATTAATGAATCTTGAGAACTGCCCAGAGTGGTTTTAAAACTTTAAAAATGATTTTGTGACAAGTTACAATGTGTCATATTAGAGCAAAAAAAAAAAACAAAAAAAAGACTTTTGAAGAAATCTATCAAAACTTCCCTCTTTTTTTTATTTTAATTTTTTATTTTACTCAAACTTGCCACATCTGTATTTCTTCTTCATCATAATGGATATTTGGTTTATCAATACTTTTCTTTTATCGAATGTTCTGGAGAAATACTTCAAATACCTGCTGGATATGACTTAGATTTGATTGCCAATCAATGTAATATCTTTTTTTTTTTTTTTTTTGGGTGGCGATAACGGCTATATAAGTTTCCAAACCTCCATCAAAAAACATTTCTCTCCCTAAAATCATCATTAAATCTTCTACAAAGCTTATATATATATAGAAATCACCGATAAACACAAAATCATGTCTAATAGCCCACAATCTTCAATCCCTGAAAGCGCACAGGGACTCCTAGATATTGGCAATCATTGCTCGTTCTGCGAAACTGTCGACTTCTTACCGTATGTTTTTGTTAATCATAAACTTCTTTGACGCGTGCGCGTTTATATGTTGATACTAACTTTTTACCAGATTTAAGTGTGATGACTGCGGTCTTACATTCTGCTCAAGCCATCGGCTTCCACACAGTCATGAGTGCTCACATGGCCTGGCAACAGAGCGTCAGAGACTTAAAGATTTAAAAGTCACAAGTACAATACCCAAACCTACAGGTGCCGGCAGGGCCTTGGGATCAACCACTAAAGGCCCAGTAACGGGCCCCCAACGCACAGCTGTAGTGCGTCAACAGCTTGCCGAACAGCAGCAGCGTGTACGGGAAAAAGAAACAGCAGCAGATTCACGGTCAAAAAATAACTTGGCGGCCCTCGATAAACTGCGATCTATCTGGGGATCCACTGGAGCAAACAAACCAGTAACTTCAAATAAACCAGCAGCCACAAAACCTAAGTACACGATATCTAAAAAAGATTCAGCTCCAGCTCCAGCTCCAGCGGGAACACAACAAGCATCAGCAACTTCCAAGTGGTTTGGAAAACTTAGTGGTGGAAATACTCTATCATCCTCTGGTGGTGCCTCAGCAGCCAAGATTAGTGCCTCAGCTTTGCTCCAGCTCAAGCGTGAAGCCAAACCACTTGACGCTGCAAGGCCTACGAATACCGCAATTAACGGAGCTGCAGGTGCAACTACCAGCGGAACGATTCCTGGACGGCGGTATGTCGTTCTTGTTGCGCACGGAAGCGTAGTGGGACCTTATCAGCCCGAGGCAAGCACAACTGATACCTCAAAACGTCGCGAATCTCATAGCGCTACCGTATACATGGCACATAATATTACAGTGGGCAAGGTGGTGGACCGTGCAACAGATCTTTTGCGGGTGCCGCGAACACGTAAAGACGATGACGGAACTGAGCATAGAGCTGCGTTGTTTTTAGAAGGCGAGATGTTGCCGTACAGCGCAGCGCTTGATAAAGCATTGAATGGGGCTGTTAAAGATGGCGATCGGCTATCCATTAAGTACGTTTGATAGAATTTAAAGTTATGAAGTTTTAAAAAGATAATTTTCTTTAATAGATTATTTCGTAAATGATCTGAAAAAATATTCTATTGTTGTTTGATTAAAGAATAAATTTAGTAATTTTTTAAGCAAAACCAAAGAAACATGGTATCTTATAAATTGAACGTAAGCTTCAACAATTAAATATATAGCAACATAAACTTGTAAATTAATCCATTTTCTTGACAAAAACATTCAGGAAAAAAGTTGATCTAATTTAGCAGATAGCAATATGACGATATCTAAACCAAATATCTGTTCTTTCACTTATTTGTTTAATATATTTTATTCATAATCTGGAATTGTAAAGAAATGATTCGATTTTTTAAAAGAATCAACATTTAAAGTATAATTTAAAGAAAAAAAATTATATCCAAGATACTTTCATAGTCAATGAAAAACAGCAGTTTTTTTAAAATCCTACAAACAGAAATCAAGAAAGAAGCCTTTACTTAACAGGATCGTTTTATATCCGATTTCATAAAGCCCATTCATAAGATTATCTTTGTAATTGGAATTGCGGCAATAGTTTAATGACTCAAGGAAAACTTTTCGCAATTTACTCAACTACACCAATACTGCTTTGTCCAAAGATTTTGAAAGATTTAACGGTATTTTATTTTCAAAATTAACAAGGGTGGAATCAACATTTTCTGTAATCATCATTGAAGGTGTATTGTCATCCCTAAAGATCTGATCCGTTACCAATTAAAAATACATGAACATCTCTAAAATTGATATGGTAATTTAAAACACGTTCTCAAAAAATTATTCTAGTAATCATTGCGGAAAACAATCAAATATATCCTTTTTTTCCAAACTTGGTTTCATAATTGAACTTCTGAATATATTATTTACTAATTCTATTTTAACTGGTATGCTTTTCATCGGAGCAAACTTGCACCTGTTATCAATTAAGCCTCTGTATCAAATTGAACTTTTCATTCTTAATAAAATAACCACTCTTGAAATATTATATCTAAAAGACTTCAAATCACCAAAATCAGTTAATTCAATAGGTAGCAATAACGCTGATAGTATATACACTTTTAACTTTTGAATAAGCAAACGACATGTAAAATGATTTTTTTTTGTAAATTTCTACTTTTTCAATGAAGTTAAATTTCCTAATTAAAGAATGAAAATTTCAACTTTTAACTTTTTAATGATTTTAGATTTCTTTTTTAGGAAAAGATTAAAAAGTTCCCATTGTAGAAATTTAATACAAACATTTTTTTACAATTTATTCTTTCAAAATTTTGAATTTCTTTTTCAAGAAATTTAAATTTTACCCATTAAGGTAATTGAAGAAGATGAAAAAAAATTTCAAAATTACCAAAAGAAGAAATTGAAGAGCCACAGGAGATTTTCTACCTTTGGAAATTAATAAAATTCCTATTTAGGAAATTTAATTTTTCATTTTTCATTTTCCAGTGAAATTTATTCCAATAAGGAAATAAATATTTAAACTTTTAAATTTTTCATTTTTCATTTTTCATTTTTCATTTTTCATTTTTCATTTTTCATTTTTCATTTTTCATTTTTCATTTTTCATTTTTCATTTTTCATTTTTCATTTTTCATTTTTCATTTTTCATTTTTCATTTTTCATTTTTCATTTTTCATTTCCTATTTAAGCTATTTATATTTTTTACTTATTAGAGCAAATTTAGCATCCCCCAGTAGCTTCTTTTCAAAAATCCCTTTTTTTTTTTTTTTTTTTTTTTTTTTGGAATTTTTGAAAAGAAGCTACTGAGGAACCCCAGGAAGCACGACGTGGACGCTTGCTCTGCTACTCCCCGCAAGAAGGGCCATTGGACCCGACAGTTGCCTCTTGTTGCTTTTTTCAAAGTGCCTGTAAGGCGAAGCCACGCTTTGACTGAACCTTTTAAAGCTCGGCAACTCACTTCCACCAGTCCTAAGACTGGGGGGTGGAGAAGTAGAATTGCCCTGAGCCGAGTTTCAGAAAACGAGCTGGTTTTTAACCCCCCATTCTAAACACCTTCCGCCAAACCCAATAATCCCCAAAAATACACACTACTGTGTAAATAAAAGGGGAAGAAAAAAAAAAGTTAGAATCATCAAAAATCGCAGTCAATCTCAAAATCGCCAAAAATTGGAACTTACCATAATTCCAATATATTAACTACTAAGACTAACCTGACCTAAAAAACTACTCAAACTGAGTTGCATGTTAGTAAAAATCAAAAAAAAATCAAAGAACCAAAGAATCAAAAAGTCTGGCTCACCTATCTAACTCTTAGCTGCCTGTCGAAAAGCCAGCTTTAACAAGGGGCAGTCGTGCGGCACTTGTTTTCGGTCTCGCATCGTCGGTTTCGCATCGTCGGTCTCATGTCGTTGGTCTCGCATTTTCGGTCTCGCATTGTCGGTCTCGCATTGCCGGTCTCGTGTCGTCGGTTTCGCATCGTCGGTCTTTCCATTCCCATATTCTCCTAGTCTCCGTCCACCGCCATCCATCTCGCTACCTCCCCCACTGCCATCCTCCCCCCAACTCCGTCCACCGCCTTCCACCTCGCTACCTCCTCCACTGCTCCTCCGCCTCCAACTAATCAACCTCTTCAACCACCTCCAACCCCACTCCTCATCAACCCTCGTCCCCTGGCCTGGGCTCATCATCACAGTTGGTGCAGACCACTCGAGCGACCAGGACTTCCCCACAAACCCCCCGGGGAAATATCAGTGCTGCCCCACCGAAATAACCCCTGCTCTATCAGGAATGGATCTAACTGGGCACTCCGTCAAGAGACTTTTTTGGTTGTTATTTTAAAAAGACGCACCAAACAAAACTTTTTTCCAATGGTACTGTCCGCCTCGGTGATGGTGTCACCCATTTCCCTCAGCATCCAGTGAGTTTGTCCCTTTAAGACTGTCTTGGTCTCGCACCCAACGAACTAGGAAACTGTCGACGACACAGAATACCACCCTATATCTGTGCCAAGAAGAGTGGTCAAGAAAAACCAAAAGACAACCAAGACAATTGTAATCATAGTTATTCCATCCCAACCGCTAGCAAGGACGGGGTAATCGCTGTTCCACGAGCGACCACAACCCAACACAAGTTCACGGTGAAAAAAAAGCTGTCTGCTAGGCAAAAGCAGTAACCTTCCAGGGCTTGAGCGTGATTTCCAATGAGAGCGGGGACTCCTTCATCCACCGAGCAGCCGGAGCTGTCTTGATCTCAGTGTTGACCTCAATGCGTGCCACCTACACGGCGCATCATCATGCGGCTTGTCGAACCCATCCTCCCACCCGTCGAACATAGCTGAAGTCCTTAGTGTCGAACCCATCCTCCCACCCGTCGAATATTACCGAAGTCTTTAGCATCGAACCCATCCTCCCTCCCATTGTATTTTTTTTAGTTCAGATATAGATAATCAGGCAATTTTTAGAAGAACATGTTTCCTGTATTTAAAATTGCAGCCATATTTCGCTCATTGGTTCATAGTTAAAAGGGTAAAAGGGTAAAAGAACCAGAGGTGTGTTATGAGTATTAAAGTTGAAATTATGGGTGTTGGAAAAGGGGTGTCAGTATCATGAAGTTTTTTTTTATAGTTACATCGTTGAATTAATATGCATACCAAAAGTCATTTAAATATCCTTTAAGCTGAAAGCGAGAAATATGAAAAAAAAATTATATTATTATCAAGTTGTATTATGCGGTTCTGTAGGATCTTCATACCAATTTTCTTTTTTTATATATCGCTAAAATTGAAACCGGAAGGTATCTAAACAGTTGTGTCACTATCATGGTATTTATCATAGTTGCATGCTTGGATTGGTATACGTACAAAAAAAATGATGTTGATTTAACAAGAACTGTTGTTATCTAAAAGGTTGTGTCACTATCATTGTATTCATTACAATTTCATGGTTGGATTAATATACGTACAAAAAAATAGATTGATATCGACATAGCAAGAACTGTTGGTATCTAAAAAGTTGAGTCACTATCATGGTAACTATCATAGTTATAGTTGAATTGGTATACGTACATGATGAATATAATTGTTGTTTAAAATGAAATGCTGGATATCTAAAAAATTTGTGTCACTATCAATTTGTCTGTAATGTTGGAAAAGAGTATTCATACCAAAGATGTGTGTTGGTTATTGTTCAAGTCGCAGTTGAGGGTATCTTAATGTCAGTGTCATTTTCAAAAAAACAAAAAAAAATAGTATTTACTCACCAAAGCCTTGTATGAGATAATATTTGAAAGAGTAACTAAGAAAATGTAATGTCATTATCAACTTGTCTTTTAATGATTGTGTGTATATACCTACTAAGTGTATCTTATAATTCTAAGCTTAGAGTTGTGTAAAAACAAATTTGGTGTTGAGTATCGTTGCAAAGTCAAAAAAAAAATCCATAAGTTAGAATGACTTTGTTTATTTTGCCATTGTGAAGAATATAAAATCTTTTGATACTTTACCGAAATATACAGTTATGATGTTATGGTCGAATTGAAAAGGGTACTCAGGCAATGTTGCTCAGTGATAATAACTTTACCATATTTGTTGATAATACTCCAGCTTACCGAGTAATAGTTGATAAAACTTAGGTTGATTTGCAAAATAACAAGAAATTTAAGAATTAATTGAAGAGCTGGTAAATAAGTAAAGATGAGGAATTGAAAGATAATGGTGAAAAGAAAAAAAAAGGTTGATGATGGCAAAAAATACCAAATGTAATGGAAAAGTAATTAGTAAAAGGAAAAAAAAGAAAGAAAGAAGAAATTAAATTTATTAATATAAGGAAAGAAAAATTATACAACAAGTTAATTGTATTTTAATTTCAATTCAAAAAAAAAATAAAATAAAATAAAAATGATCCAATATAGATTACTAATATAGTATTAATTGAATTTTATATAAACCTGAGGATTCCAATAGGGCTAGGGTTTACTAATTACCCTTACCCCAATGGAATTTATAGATTTTTACCAGGAGGCGTCTAATTTTTTTTTGCTTTTTAGCATGTTTTTCACCTTATCTGGCCCAAAACAAGAAATTCCGCAAGGGATAGGGTATAATATCCAGGTTTCAGCTATTAAATTTTTTTAAAAAAAACAAAAATTACATTGGGGTTAGGGTTATAATAACAGTTATTTAAATTTTCTTATTTTGGCACAAATTAGGTGCTTATGAGATTACACGTTCTATTTGTGAGACTTTTTTAAGCTTTTTTGCCATTCTCTGACATAAATTAAAGGATTCCATAAGGGCTAGGGTGAAAATTAAGTATATAAAATTTATCCCCTAACCCCAGTGGAAGTTATTGATTTAAGCTATACAACGGGTAATTTTAAAGCTTTTTTGGACATTTTTTCTCATCATCTGCCGCAAATTAATAGATTCCACAAGGGTTAGGTTGAAATTATATAAGCAAAATAAAATTTTAAATCTGAAAAATTCAAAGGGGCTAGGGTTATTATTTAATGTATAATCTTTTTTTCAAATTGAAAATTCCGCGAGGTCTAGGGCATAATTTTTATGTAGTTTTAGTTTTGGATTACATTTTGTCAAACATTAATTGAAATATGAAAGTGATATATTTGAAATAATCTAATTATTATCAGCTTTTTTTTTAACAAATATATTCAATTCTAATATCAATTACTGAAGTCATCAGAGTATCAAGTGGCAGGTTTATGAGAGTAGTAAGTCTACAATTTAGGTTGGTATACTTTTTACCATACAAAAAAAAGAAGTCTTGAATTTTTTTGAATCTTCTGTAACGTCATCAAAAATTTATTGTTGAAATGATAATACCTATTAGATTGCTTAGCAATCAGTAACTGCTTTTGATTTAAAAAGAATTTATGTTGATATAAAATACAGTAGCTACAGCTGTATAATTACGAAATATAATTATTTATAAAGAACACTCTTTATAAACTAGCTAGTTTAATGTAGTATTGTTGACAAAACTAACATCGTGACAATATGATCATGCATATACACGTGTATTCAATGTGTTCTATCTATGTATTATTGTATTCCCTTTTTTTTCTTGTGCTCGAGTAAAGGACTCCTTTAAATTTATTAGTAGTGAGGATGAAAGTAGGCTTAAAATAGCATTAGGAAGAATAGAAATTAAAGCTTTCTTAAGAAATACACACGTTTTAAACAGTTATTAAGTATAATTAAAATTAGTAATTTACAAATAAGATTACACCGGAAAACGGGGAAGAAAATAATTAAAGTATTTCCAGGTTTAAGAGTCTCTTCTAGATAATGAATAATTATTTCAAGATAGTAGAATTTTTTTTTTTTTTGCTATCCAAGAAAGTGAAGTTCTAGTTCTACTTCACTTTGAAATTCAAGAAGGGCGCGCCATTCGTTGCGGCCAAACAGAAACCCAATTAGCCCATCGAGGAGTCCTGTAATAGCGACTGCGATTGTGACTAGAATAAAAATAAACCCGACATAAGCGCGGTTATGGGCGGCACCCCACCAGACGGCAATAAGAATGCCAATAAGAATTATGACGGAAGCAATAAAATGATAGTTGCGGAGCCGAGCCTGAAGAATGCTGGTGGGTTTGTACTCCTCAATGAGCTCGAGAATATCAGAGTATAGTAGACGAAGCTCGTCACGCGTGGCTGAAGACGTAGTTGTCTGGACCTTATGAATGGATCCAGGGGCTCCGTTGCCTGGCGGTGCATACGACATGTTATGTTGTAATCCGGAGCGACGGTTAGAAAGTTGTTGGATTTGGTGGGGAGGGTCTAAAGATGACATTGAGCTTTGAGATGATGCATTAGCATCAGATGAAGCAGTAGCAGCAGCACGTAGGTTCATATTAGATGCAAAGGGGTTTGGAGAAGTTGTGGCGACACCATTAATAATGTTGGAAATGAGTAGAGTGGCCTCGACGGCAAAATGGTCTGACACGGAGCCTATTCCTGCAATGGGCTCGACAAAGGAGACGCGACAGTCTAAAGGCGATGCATATTTGGGGTCGTAGAAAATGTAATCTAATCGTTTTGCTTCATGACGCTGGCGGTCTGCTCGCCAGGTATTTAGCTGGGAATCACAGGTAGTTCCTGCAAGAGCAATTTGGTCTTCTGGAGCTAGTTGGCCCATGGCTTCAGGTCCACCTTCAAACTCGCCATGAAGATCTTGCCACGAGTCGCGAAGACCTGCTGTGTGCTGGAAGAGACGGTGGGAAAGAGATCCAGGGATGGAGTTGAGATCACCCAGTACAATCACCTCGTGGCCTAGTTGGGATGCGCGACGAGCCAATCTGGCGAGTTCCCAAGCCTGTGCAGTTCGATGACAAGTGTAAGCTGCATCACCTGGACCATAAGGTGCATGTAAGTGGGTAGAGAGGATTTCTATAGGTCGGGCCTCCATTTCCTGTATTGCAGCAGTTGTAGTTGAAGAAACAGTTGGGTGGTGGTGGATGATTGGTCTGATGACCACCGAGGCCGCCGACTTTCCGACATACCAGTCGCCTCTGAAAAAGGCCGAGGGTCTACCGTTAAGAGGGTATCTGAAGAGGCTTGCAGATTCGATGGGCCACTTTGAGAGGATGAGCAATCCAGGGCCTGCCAGAATGCCTGAGTAGAAGTACTTGTGGTAGCGAAAATGCGGCGCTGTCACAGAGCGTAGAAGCTCGTAGTCTTCTTCGACCCAGATTTCCTGGAGAGCAACGATATCGTAGCGGTCACCGGAGGCTGCAATACGCTCTGCAATGGCGGCTAGTCTTTGTGCTCGGAACTTTGACACATACTTGAGGCCCCTTGATGGAAGTTAGGTTCTGATTAAGGGGTTGTTGTTGTTGTTCTTGGGATTATTATTATAATTATAATTATTATTATTATTATTACATACCAGCAGTTGAGCGAAAGAATGCGAGCGACGACACGGGAGGAGTCCGTTGACGATGAGATGGCCTGAACGTCTGATAGCTCGTAGTCGGACATGATCGTCTATGAGTCGGTTATTTTTGTGCTCGTTTAAAGTCGGGACTTTTAGATGATTTTTTGATATTCGCAAGTTGGATCACGACAAAGTTTCTGTTTTGACTAAAAAATTAAATTAAAAAAATTAAATTAAATTAAATTAAATTAAATTAAAAAAAAAAATGCCGATTTTGCCAGCAGCCGCCATTAAAATTTCGCACTAAAACCCCCTAAAACGGCTAAACTGTTTTTTCTAGGTAAATACAATTAGTCACGTGCCGATACCAAACCTTGATTTCCTTTTTTTTTTTTTTTTCAGCAAATATACATTATAATAATTTACAACTTTCTTCAATCCACAAAAAAATAAAAAACACATCTTTTGAAGACAAAAAAAATTTAACAAATTTTTCCTTTCCATCAAACAAATTTTAAAACTCTTCTTGTCATCTCATAATGGCTTCTTCTACTGTCTCTCCCCTTGCAGACAGACCTTCTTTGTCCCCTCTCCTTGCTCTTTCACAAAACAGTACTCAAACGCCATCTCTAGTAGCAGCAGCAGCAGCAGCAACTACCACAACCAAAGCAGCCAATCTACGTTCTTCATCCACTTCATCATCTTCTTCTTCTTCGCCAAAATTATTGGCGCTTCCTCTGGAGGTCTTGCGCGAGATTCTTTTAAACCTAGAAGTCCGTGATATTCTTAATTTAGGCGCTACTTCTTCTCATCTCAAAGCACTTCTCATCGATGACAAAACCTATGCCTGGCGTCTCTTGGCCCGTCGGGACCTGCACATCTCCGACCCTGCTCCGCACCAAACCTTTTGGCACTTGTTTGCCGATGGAGTTTCTCCCTTCCACTGGATGAAAACTGCCTTTTGGATCGATGACCAGACGCCATTTGGAGAGGTCTATGTGTCAAAATACGATAAATACTCAGGTGCTCTTTGTCTGTACAAACTGTTATCTAGGAAAATTGACGATGCTCCAGACCAAAATCCCCTCAACCAACAACAACAACAACAACAACAGCAACAGCAGCAACAGCAACAGCAGCAGCAGCAAAGACCCCCGGAACTCATATCAACATCGGTCTTTCTGGCTGCCATGGCTAACCAACGTCAAGCTACAGACCACCAAAATGAGCAACAACAAACCCGGGTCCCGGCACAACCCCAGCAACTGTTATCCCACCCAGAAATAATGCTTTTCCCAAACCAAGTGGATATCGTCACCTATGGGCCCTACATCAAACTCTCTCAATATACCGAGCGTGATGAAATTTCAGGCGCTTGGAAGTGGCGGTCGTGGGCCGATGTAGACACCGGTGCCCAGGTCGGTCTTATGCGAGCGACTGCAATAACCCCCGCACATCTTTCCAAGTCGATGAGCGTATGGCCGCCATTCAAAGTTCCAGCCAAAGACCGGACGCGAAACACCAGCAGAAACAATTTTCTAGGTCACTATATGCCTTTGGCTGGAGTGGTGGAACATTCCAATAGATCGCGAAGCCCCGCAAGACAAGCAGCCTCGCCGTTGCCACAAGACTTGCCCATTAGTGCGGCCACTCCAGCAAACACAACGACCACCCCGCAACAGCAACAACCTGCGCAAAAACCGCCACTTAGGTCGTCGCTTAGCTATGAAATGGCTCGTGGAGAAGCCCCATGGACAGCAAATCCGACTGGCAATGACAACGAGACCCTGGCATCACGGCCGGCTGCAACACGTTATCGCGATGGAATCAGCACATACTATTTTGACTACTGCAGTGTGTCTTCAAGGCCTAACTCAACAACAACAAGTCTCTACAACTATAACAGTGCAACGCGGCAAGTAGCAACAGCCCAGCAGAATCAGCAACAGCAATGGCAGCAGCAGCAGCAGCAGCAGCAACAACAACAACAACAACAACAACAACAACAACAACAACAACAACAGCCGCAAACCCCACCCTCACCAGACCTGTTTCGACTCCAACGCATGACCAAAATGGAAACTCTATACGGCCCTGTTGAGACAGTTTATAGGCTGGACAAAACTTTGTATGAGCCCAGCTCAGAGTGTCCTTTCCGTGGTCTTTGGATTTCAGGAAAGTCCTGTGAGTTTCACTTGTTCCATCAGCCTAATAAAAATACTCTTGAGGCCATTAAACTTACGGGTAAGTCTTTTCTTGGGAACTCATTGAAAATCGTATTCTAACTAATTTTTTTCTTTCTTTTTTTTAGGAGGTGCTCACGTCAAAAGAGGCGAATACACTTTTCTTGTGCCCGATCTCAATAGCAAGCTGCCAAACCCGTACCCGGAATGGGCCCATGCGCGTGTAGTTCCCGGAGAAGGTCAAGTAGCAGACTTTAACTTTACGAATCGTAAGTTTCCCTTTGTTTTCTGTTGTTTTTTCTTTTCTTGTTCTTGTTCTTGTTCTTGTTCTTCTAACATTGCTTCTTTCAAGCACGATTCCTGCCTATCCAGCTCGTGGTCATTTCTCCATGCCAAATCATTTGCTACTGGCCTCAATATAAGCTCATGGATGTCTACACGCGAATCAACACCCATGATATTCTTTATGGGCCTTAATCCTGGACAAAAATGAAAGTGGTTTTAAATTTAGCAGCTTAGTAGTCTATATATATTCCATAAGTTCATTATTCCAAAGATGTCGTAACAAATACTGTACCAGTGCAATGTCTAAAATAAAATAATAAATAAAATAAATTCCCCGTTGTAGCTTAAAAAGTAGTTTCTTTCCGAAGATGTCTGTTAGATTTTTTCAACACATATAACCGCCTCAACCCTTAATGATTTTATATCTATATAATATATATAATACCTCCTTCTCCAATTCCATGGTTGTATTCTCATTAATTAAGCAGAAAAGCTACGAACTCCTGATTGCTGCTTCTCGTGCGGCGTTCAATCCATTTTTGCTTGGTTGAGCAACCGCCCTGAATGAAAGGCGTCGTGTTGCTTTTTCATTTATTTATTTATTTTTTTTTTTTTTTTTTTCGTCCAGACTTTTTTTTATATATATATAATCCCTTATTCTATCCATCCCTTTCAATTCCATCCAAAACAACTTTTCCAATTCATCCTATATCCAAATATCCCCTCTAATGTCTTCGGAATCCCTCTTGCCGACCGTCGAGACGGATGCCATCCCGCGCGCGTATAGACCCTCTCCTAAACATACTCTCAAAATTGCCCTCCGTATTAAGGAACTCATTGACATCCTTGTTCCAATCCAATTTGATGAGTCCGTTATCACCCGTGCAGACTCCCCAGTCATCACAGATAGTGTATTGGACCTTGTGCGCGAAGCAGCTGGAGGTAAAGGAGACGGTGCCCAAGGCTCGTCTTCCCGGCGGTACCGCGCACCACTCATTTTTTTGCTGCTAACTGTCAAACGGTGGTATGACGATATGGCTGACCAACAGCTCTTTGATGCTGACCTTTTCGGTCTCCGTGCTTCTGCAGCTGAATCCATTGCCCAGCGTCTCATCGACTCCCAGGAAGACGAGCGATACTTATTCAGAGACATGTTGTGCCAACGCTATTCAATCACTCTCAATGGAGAAGACTCGGACCCGGCAAGTGCACTTGAACTGGCAGTCGACTTGCACTCAACCCCTGTTATTTCGTCCGGCGGCTACCAGCGATGCATCAAGTGGCTATGGAACGGGTGGATTGTTCAAAGCGTTGAAGACCCCGACGAGTATGTCTTTTATAAGAGTCTCGGGGTGACTGACTGGCAGGTCCATTTTGACCCGGACCGGCTCAAAACACCCAAATACCAAAACTATGTCCAACTCTTCTTCTGTCTGCTCTATCTGTTACTCTATACTCTCACCATCAACACCCTTAAAAACAGCGGTAACTTTGATGCTGCTGAGTTCTTCTTTTTTTTCTTCACTTTAGGCGGTATTGTCGACGACGCGCTCAAGTTCTATCACGTCGGTCTCTCCTACTTTGGTTTCTGGAACATGTTCAACGACACAATGTACTTCCTGGTCGCAACCTCCTTCTTCTTCCGCCTTGAAGCTTTCACTCATTCTTCTGCATCTCCTCTCCGAGAGTCCCACCTTATGATTTCATACCGTATTTTGGCCTGTTGCGCTCCCTTTGTTTGGCTCCGCATTTTGCTTTACCTCGAGTCGCTCCAATTCTTCGGTGCAATGCTCATCGTGCTCACTCAAATGATTCGCGAGTCCGTCATCTTCTTTGTCCTCCTCGTTATCATCTGTCTCGGCTTCCTTCAAGCATTCATTGGCCTTGATTTTACCGATGAAACCGTCGATTTGCTCCCTCACACAATCAACACTATGCTTCTCACCATTATGGCTTCCCCGGATTTTGACGCTTTCACTGAGCTTGCTGCTCCATATGGAACAATCGTTTACTACTTCTTTGCATTCCTCATCACCACGCTGCTCCTTAACATCCTGATTGCCTTGTTTGGCTCAGCGTACTCCCATATTTATGACAATGCCACTGAAGAGTATCTGGCTCTTGTTGCATCCAAAACCCTGCGCTTCATCCGCGCACCTGACTCTTATGTCTACGTCCCACCTTTAAACCTTATTGAGGTTTTGTTTGTGTTACTCCCCTTTGGCTGGACCACAGACAAACAAACATATGAGAAAATTAACCACTATGTCATGTACCTCTTCTACTGGCCAGTGCTGATTTTCACAGCCACTGCTGAGCGACAAACCGCGCGTCGCGTCAAGTACAACCGACTCAAGGGTCTAGATGACGATGCAAACGAGCACGACCAGGAGTGGGATTTGCTTGACGGGTTCCACAATGGAGATTTCGACGAAGATGAGCTGGACGACCAGTCTTTTCCCACAAATGACAATGACGACGACGATGAAGTCGATCCGGGCATTGCCGCAATTCGCCGCCGCATTCGCACAAAATATCGCCTGCACCACGCTACCTCAGGTACCGCCCATGATTCATCTGCCGAGCTCGAGCAGATGAATGCCGCCATTGCTGCTGGCGACCCGGAGTTCCCTATTGACGAGAAAGCGTGGCGCCGCCGCGTGCTTCTCAACGCTCCCAAGGTCGAGGTTGGTAGCAAGAGCGGAGCTGGCTGGCAAAACTATTGGCTAGTCAAGGACTTGCATGCTCTCCAAAAAGATGTTTCTAGAGTCCGCAAGGAACTCGGTCCAAAGACTGATGACGGTCAGTCCGGTATCATCCTTACAAAAGAAGAATTAGGTGATATTGTCAAGGCTGCTGTTGCCCAAGCTCTTGAGGAAAATAAACAAAATTACTAAGTAAGCCGTTTTTTTTATTATAAAATACTCTTTATTTATAATTCATTTACATTTACATTAATCTTCATCTTCATCTTCAGAAAAGTTGTTCCCACGATAATCATCGTCATCATCATCGTCATCATCATCATCTTTAGTCCGCCCAGATGTCGTTGTTGTATTAGTACTAGATCCATGGCTGTTGCTACTTCCATCACTTCCCGCTGTCCCGGAATCTTGAATACTGCTTTGTTCTAGAATCGCAGGATCAATTCCACTTCCTCCATTAACATGTCCATTAGCTTGATCCGTCACACTGGCCTGGGTTATCGCCGATCCATTCACAGCTCCTCCACCATTGACAACAGGTGTGTCCGCAACAACTGGAGTATCTGTTGCAGTAACACTAGGAGTCACAGGCACCACAGACCCAGGCACAAGCTCATTAAGCTTTTCATTAAACTCGCGCTCCATCTCGTTGGCGTCCTCATAAACTTGCGACCCTTCCTCATTATACTTGCGCGCATTGTCAAACATAAGCTGGAAGTCCGCTCGGAACTCGCCCAATCGCTGGTAGGTATTGTTGTTGATCCGCTTGTTGATTATATCCATCGCAATCGGATTCTCAATGATTGCATAGTAAGTCGCATATTGTCGTTTGCTTGGAAGCTCCTTGAACAAGTAGTTGCGAGGCCGCCCGTGCTGGTCCACAAGATTGAAAACATGTTCATACAAAATCCGCATCTTGTGCGTCAAATCCATCCGCTCAACGGGTGTCAATGTTTCCTTGATTTTGGGTGGCCGGCCCTTGCCCTTGCGCCGTTGTGGTAGCACTGCAGGCAGCGCTGCATCTGCAATAGTTGTCGTTGTGACTGGGGTGCTTGTTGAATTGACAAGAGTAATTGGTGAAGCCGCCGCCGCTTCAATTTCCGCACGCGACCGGCGCCCACGCTTACGTTTACCAGTCACTGTTGGTACACCGACAACTGTAGCAGTAGTAGTCGGAGTGCCAGCCTTGGATATAGGGACAACATCTGGAGATGGTGTGTCAATGATAGACGGGCTGCGCGTTCTTGGAGACCCGCCATCTGTTGTTTTATCATTCTCGCGCTTCATCTTGTTGATGCGACGCTTTTCAATTCGTGCTCGCTTGCGGGCTGTAGCATCTTCGGGCGTGTCGTCCTCAGCATCAATGGCCTCGACCCACTGTTCCTCCGTTAACCCGTCATCGTAATGCAGCACCTTGCGTTCACGAGCACCGCGTCCATAATTGTCCAGAACATTTGGCTCGGGTTCCATGGCTTCCTTGGTAAAGAATTCCTCAGTGTATACTTCAGGGAGCTCACTTTCACCAAATAACCGATCAAATTCTTTTCCTTTGCCATAGGGACATGTAGCAATACGCTCTTCATCCATCTTGTGGAAAATCTCACGCTCGTTATCGTCACGAGCCAAAATTTCATTCAACTCATCGTCATCCAAATCCTCCTCTTCGTCATTCTTGTGCAACCGTTTTAACTCTTCCTGTTCCAAAAGCCGCCGCAAAAAGGCCTCTTGCTCTTCATTTGTTGACTTGTTGTCAAACTTACCGGCCTGGATAACTTTGCCATCAATCTCGAGTTTACGATGAGCACGGTCCAAAATCGTCTCTTCAACAGAGTTTTCCGTAATCAAACGCAAAATTCGCACTTCCTTAGTCTGACCAATTCTATGCGCACGATCCTGTGCCTGCAAATCCTGATGCGGATTCCAATCAGTATCAAAGATAATAACAGTATCTGCGGTTTGCAAATTTAAACCAAGACCACCAGCACGAGTCGACAACAAAAAGGCAAAATAGGGAGAGTCAGGGGCATTGAACTTTTTCAAAAGCTCCGAACGCTCATCAGCCTTAGTGCCACCATCAAGTCGAAGGTATTTATATCCGAGCATAAGCAAAAAGTCTTCCATAATGTCCATGATTTGTGTCATTTGGAAGAAAATCAAAACACGATGGTTTGTTGCTTTGAACTTTGGAAGCACGCGATCCAGTAGCTCAAATTTTCCTGCAGAACGCCATAATAATGCATTACTCATTTTGGTAGGGTTGATTGTATTCTCAACTTGCTCAAACACAAATGGATGATTGCAAATCTTCTTGAGCTGCATGAGTTTGTTGTTAAGACCTTTGGCACCATGCGACTTGTTTTCGTCAGCAACAAAAACCTTCTTAAAACGAAGAACTTGCTGGTATAAACTTGACTGAAGAGCACTCATTTTGCACTTGATGACCTTCTCGACCTTGTCTGGGAGATCCTTTTCCACATCCTTTTTAAGACGACGCAAAAGAAAAGGCCGCAAAACCTTGTGTAAACGACGAATAATAAGCAAAGTCTCTTCTTCGGACAAATCCATCTTGTCCTGACTACCAGTATTGGCAAAGGGCGTGTTAAACCACTCATCAAAAGACTTAACAGAGTTAAAAATCTTGGGCAAAACAAAGTTGAGAAGAGCCCAAAGTTCCGGAAGATTGTTTTGTAAAGGAGTACCTGTAAGAATCAAACGATATTTAGTAGAGTAGTAGGTTGTCAAAGTGTAGGACAACTTGGACTGTGCGTTCTTCATACGGTGACCTTCATCGATAATCATATGAACCCATTTTATGCGACTAAGAATGGGACGATCCTTGATAATGTATTCATATGTTGTCAATACAACCTGGAAATCACCAGATCGAACAATAGCTTGTTGAGCCTTACGGGCTACTGGAGGTCCCTTGTAAACAACCTTTTTGACGCTGGGAGCCCAGCGCTCAAACTCCATTGTCCAGTTGGTGAGGGTAGACAATGGCACAATAACCAAGTAAGGACCAGGAACATGCTTAACCTCAATGAGGTACGTAATGAGAGAAATCGTTTGAATGGTTTTACCAAGACCCATTTCATCTGCAAGAATACCATTTAGATTGTTATTGTAAAGCGAAATCATCCACTGGAGACCCTTGAGCTGGTATTCTTTAAGTGTACCACCAACAAGTATAGATGGCTGTTTAGTAACAACTTCCTTGATACGATGTGCCACAGCATAGTAATCAACCTTTTCTTCACCTTCCTCCCAGTCTTCATCCTCAGGTGAATGGGCTTCTTCTTCTTCTTCAGGTGATGTAGTCTCATTAGCATCTGTAGTAATAGATCGGGTTTCACGTTGCTGGTTTTTGACAGCTTGAGCCAGAGAGTCCAAGAAACTATTTGTTTGTTTAAGGAGATGGGTAATACGTGTATCCTTAGTCTGGTCGAGCAACTTGATGTATGCTTCTTCATCATTAGCTTTAAGAGCCTGGAGACGTTGGCGGGCAGTGCGCTCTGCCTTCTTTTGTTCTTCCTTTTCGGTGAAAGAGTGAAATGAAGAAACACCACGGCCAAGCTTGTGATGTTTTTCTTCATAATTTATGCGGTGAACATGTATTTCCTTAGAGCGCGAACAAATTGTCTTGAGATGATTGAGCTTAAGTAGGTTCTCACGTTGGGTACGCTCAAATCGTTGTTGGGTGTCAAACTGCTCCGTTTTGACAGCCTCCAAAAGACTGTGTTGTTTCATTCGAGTAAAGTGAATTTGGTTGGACTCGTTCATGGCCACCGAATTAAAATAGTAAAGGTCAGCCAATATATCACCGCGCAGAGCTTTTTGTTTATTAAGGAGTGAAAGTGACTTAAACTCAATGAGCTTGTCAATTTGTTCGTCTGTGAGATTATCAATTTTATCTAGGGAGATTTCGTTGATAGGGTAGAGATCCACCAGTCTATTGAAAATTTGGGTATTAATATCTTGTTCGCGTAAGCGATGGATTTCCTTTACATTGACACCTAATGGCATAAGAGCAGGGATAAATGGGGCCTTCTCTGAAATCGGTGGAATATCAGAAATATCAATGTCCTTATCAATATATGAATGAGGGTCAATGGAGCCACGGACACCAAGTTTCTCCAGATTAGTTTTAGGAGATGGGGGTTGGATTGGTGGTGGTGGTGGTGGTGGTACAAGTGGCTTTACAACTGGGGGTGGAATTTGCTGAGTGTTTAAAGGAGAAGGTTGTGATTGATGCTGTACAATTGGTTTGGGAGGTGTAGGGGTGGTACTGGAAGGAGGGCCAGGACTAGAGCCGGGAACCGGCCCCGAAATAGAAGCAGGAGTAGGCAAAGGAGCTGGTGAAGGAATATGGGTGATTACCTGAGGAGCAGCTTGAGTAGGAGCAGAAGGAACCTGTTGAGAGATTTGTTGAGGTTGTTGATTTGGTCTTTGAGGAATCAAAGGTTGAGGATGGGCCAAAGCAGGAGAACGACTTGGTGGAGCCATGGGAGCTGGAACTGATGGAGTTGCAGAAATTGGTCTTGGAGGAGCCGGACTTGAAGGGGTTCCAGATTTTCTTCTTATCTGAGGAGAATTAATTTGGGAAGTAGGAGTAGTTGTTGTTGTACGATGGAGAATACTAGGAGAATCTGGAGGGGCAGCCGAGGGTATTCTTGAAATAACAGGTTGAGGAATTGGGATACTATTAGATGGGATGCGGTTTTGTAGAGGTGGTGGTTGAAGCGGTGTTGCTACGGATGAAGATGAAAAAGAATCTTGGGGAAGGTTTGCTGGAGGAATTGTTGGAGTACTATTATGAGAAAACTGTGGAAGAGGGGCGACCTGGAATGCAGCAGCCACCATTGGATTGAATAATTGGTCCTGTAAAGGTTGTGGTATTGATCTGTTACGGTAGAGAGACTTGAAAGCCTTGAATTGGCTTTTAAGGAGGTTTTGTTGTTCTATAGTAAAGATAGAGGAAGGAGCAGATCCAGGAACTTGAACAGAATGTTGGGGATTTGGAGGGGTGGCATTTTGAAGTTGGGGAGTATTTTGGGAGAATGGAGAAGGAGCATCTTGGGATTGTTGATGCTGATGCTGCTGCTGCTGCTGCTGCTGCTGTTGTTGTTGTAGTTGATGTTGAAGCTGCTGTTGTTGAAGCTGCTGTTGTTGTTGTTGTTGTTGTAGTTGTAGTTGTAGTTGTTGTTGTAGTTGTTGTTGAAGCTGCTGTTGTTGTTGAAGCTGCTGTTGTTGTTGAAGTTGTTGTTGTTGTTGAAGTTGTTGTTGTTGTTGAAGCTGCTGTTGTTGTTGAAGCTGCTGTTGTTGTTGAAGCTGCTGTTGTTGTTGAAGCTGCTGTTGTTGTTGAAGCTGCTGCTGTTGTTGAAGCTGCTGCTGTTGCTGCTGAAGCTGCTGTTGTTGCTGGAGCTGCTGTTGATGCTGTTGATGCTGCTGTTGCTGTTGCTGAGGAGGTACAAAAGAATTGGACATTTGAGGAGAATGCGAAGGTGGTCTTTGTTGAGAAGACATAACCTGAGGTCCTCCTCTATTGTTTGCCATCGATTGATCCTGTTGTTGTTGCTGCTGTTGCTGCTGTTGCTGTTGTTGCTGTTGTTGTTGTTGAAGATTCTGCTGAGCACGCATTTGAGCACGCTGAACATCATTAAGAATCTTGGTAAGACCCATGTATTCAGAGTTATTGTAAGCTTCGGGTCCTAGTTCTTGTTGAAGTTGTCGCCAGCGCTTAGTACATAGTTAGTAAATGATCAAAGACTGATTTTGGTTTTTTTTTTTTTTATGATTTTAGAAAAAGAAAAAGTAACATACAGTAAGACATCTTCTTATGTCTTCACGCGAGCGAATTGGGAATATATTTTGCGAGTTCTGCTGCTGTTGTTGAAACTGAGGAGATGCAGGAGAAGGAGCCTGTAAAAACGGAGAGTTTTGAACCAGCGGACTAGCTTGGACCGATGGACTAGGCATTGAAGGAGCAGGAGTATTTGCAGCAGTATTTGAAGATGAGTGCATTGGAGAGTTTTGAGAGCTGCTGTGTTGCTGTTGATGTAACTGCTGTTGCTGGATTTGAATAGGTTGTTGTTGAGAAGTATTAGTTGTATTAAGAGAAGGTTGAGGCTGTTGTTGAAGCTGGTATGAATGAAACTGGCCAGGTTGGGCTGCAGATTGAGCAGATGGTGGAGGTGGAGGGTGGAGCGAGAAGTTTTGGAACGTCCCACCTGCACTGAAGGAGACGCTAGGTGAGAAGGACGGATGCTGCTGCTGGTCCATCTTCTTCTTCTTCTTCTTCTTCTTCTTCTTCTTCTTCTTCTTCTTCTTCTTCTTCTTCTACTTCTACTTCTACTTCTACCTCTGCTAGCTATGAAGTATTTTGGGTATAGTGACGCGTTTTGAAAATGTTCTAGGTTGGGATATATAGAATATATATAAAATATTTGGTAGTGGTGGTAATAATAATTTATAATAATAATAAACGCGTTTTTTTTTTTTAAAAGGTGGTATTTTGTGAAGGTGGTGGTGGTGGTGAGAAGAAAAGAAAACAAAAAAAAAAAAAAAAAAAAAAAAAAAAAAAAGAACAGGTTTGTCAGTCACCACAAAAAAAAAACTCACCTCCAGTGGTGGTGGCAATGCTTAAAAAAAAAAAAAAATTCAATTTATTTGTTACAAAAGTATGTAACTTATCACATGATATAAACATTACAGCTTAAATTTTATGTATTATGTTTTAAGGGTTTTGCGGTTTTACTTGCCCATTTTTCATCAAACTCTAAAAAATGGCAACTCACAGAGAAGCCTCACAGTTTTTTTTTTTTTTTTTCTCCTCGGGGCCCCACGGCCTTTTAAAATAGGATACCCTTAGTTTGATCACGCGCTAATTACCGATCACAAAAAAAAAAATAAAATAAAATAAAAAATTCCCCGTGCAAAAGCCTTTATATCACATTCTTACTCTGGTAAAAGTCCCGTGCGGCTTTGACTGGGATTTATACAAAACCTGTGTAGACTAAGTAACCCAAAATTGTTGCACGGGAGCAGATGAAAGAATTTAACGGTAAATCTGCTGTGTGTGGAGAAAATATTGTGGAGGGATGATCTCTGTGAGGCTCGACAAAGATAAACAGGCATAATTCAGTTAAGTTATGCGGATCAAACGGACAAAAATCATGCTTAAAGGAAAAGAAAAAGAGTATAAATAGTCCTAAGTTTTCTTAGTTTTTTTTTTTTTTATTTTCTTTTAATTCTTTATTCAATTAAACAAAAAAAAATTTAAATAAACTCCTTTGATTTAAAAGATATCTACTATACCGATAACTTTATAGTTATTATATTATTATTCACATAAAAATGAGTCTGCTACGTCTTCAAGCTATTTCTCGAGTCTCTGCTCGTACCCAGGTTATCCGTATGGCTTCTCCTGCCATAAACTCGCGTCTGATATCCTCATCTTCTATTAAAAAGGCTGCTACTACCAATCCTCAAGCTCTTGAAGATTCCTCCTCCTCTCCACAGCTTTCTGATGTTAAAATTATCGATTCTACTAAGCCTCCTCAGTTTCTTAAGTCTCTCGCTCCTATGGACCTTTTTTGCTACACCCTCATTGCGGCTGCCACAGCTAACCCAGCTCTTATCCGTCTCTCTACAAATGTTATGCGTTATGTCCCCAAGTCCCTTATCAAAACCTTTGTTTATCCCATTTACTGTGGTGGTGAGACATTTGATGAGGTTGTGGCCACTGGTTCTAAGCTGCTTAAGCGTGGCTTTGGCAACATGATGATTTCTTATTCAGTTGAAGATGCTGAGGGTGAAGGTGCCAACGCTCTTCTTGACGAGGCTGTGGCCGAAATTGTCAAGTCTATTGATGAGGTCTTGGTCAAGCATGTTGAGAATGTTGAGGCTCTCTATGAAAAAGGAGAAGTTTCTCAGCCTCCTATTTCTGGCTATGTTGCTCTCAAGCCAACAGGTCTTATGCCTAACTCTGCTCTTGCTCTCCAAGAGTGGAACAACCCCAAGTATGCCGATCTTTGGGAAGAGTACCTTGCCACTTGCCGTGCCATTTGCCAACATGCTCTTGATCATGGAAAGGGCAAGGTGGTGATTATGTTTGACGCAGAAAAGAAGATTTTGCAGCCAGGTGTTTATGCTGCCCAACGTGCTATGATGAAGGAGTTTAACCGGAATGGAAATGTCATTGTTATGGGCACTATTCAAATGTATCTTCAAGACTCTCGCGCCCAACTGGCTTCCGATCTTGCTGATGCTAAGGAGCACGGTTACCAGCTTGCCCTGAAGCTTGTTCGTGGAGCATATGTCCACTCTGAGCCTGATCGATGGAATGTCGTTCACAAGACTAAGGCTGACACTGATGCTTCTTATAATGGTGGTGTGAGTGAAATGCTTTCTGAAATTGAGTCTGGTTGGCGTGCAAAGAAGCCTTCGGCTGTTGGTCGCTTGATTGTTGCTTCGCATAATGAAGAGTCTATGAGCAGAGCCTCTTCTTTGCTTAAGGCTGCTCAGTCGGAGGGCATTATTCCTGAGGGTGATGAGTCTGTTGTTTTTGGTCAACTTATGGGTATGGCTGAAGACCAAGGTGAAGCCCTTGCTCGTAGAGGTCACAAGGTAATTAAGTATGTTCCTTGGGGTCCTGCAAAGGAAACCAAGGAATACTTGGTTCGTCGGTTAGAGGAGAATGGTGATACTGTTAGTGTTGGTGGATGGGCCATGGCAGGTCACGGACTTGCTGAAATTGCTCGCAGAGTTTTTGGCAGAATGTGATTATTATTATTATTATTATTATTATTATTATTATTATTATTATTATTATTATTATTATTATTAGAAACCTGATGAGGATGACCCCAAAATGCATTTTAATGACCCCCCTTTTTTTTATTATGATAATGACTTTTATTTAATTTATAAATTAATAATTAGTAAATTTAATTTAATTTAATTTAATTTAATTTTCTTGTTAACTTAAATTCCGGCATTATGAAAACCCGCTTTCCAAGCCACCTTGCAAAAAAAAAAAAATCAAAATCAGAATCAAAATCAAAATCACGTGACTCTCAACACTCCACAAAAGCTTATATATACCAAAAATAGTGCATTGCGGCGCTCTCTGCAATTGGCAAGGCGTGTGTGGAATGTCAGGCGGCTGGCTGCAAAAAGTAAATAAAAAAAAAATTTGAAATACGTAAAGCTTAAAAAAAAAGAAAAGTTTTTTTTTATTTTTTTTATTTTTTTTTTTTTTGGTGGTGTTGGTAGTGTTAATGGTGTATTTATTTATATAAAAATATCTACGTAGGTGGTTAAAAAACAACTCTTCTCCTCTTTGCTCGTTTTTTTTTCCCCTTCTGACTGGCTTGCTTTTCCTTTTTTTTTTCCTTTCCCTTTTTTTTTTTTTTTTCTTCAGTCTCATCATCATCATCATCAAACTTGTCAATTTCCTCATATCTTCAAATTTCTAATCACGTCAAGTTTCTAATCTCATCAATTCTTTAATCTCATCAATTCTTTAATCTTATCAATTCCCCCTTTAATTCCACAGGAAATTCACACAATTTCTCAGCCTCAAAATGTCTGCTCCGCCGCCCGACGCGCCCGGTATTGAGCCCGGGTCGTCGCCAAAACAGGTTGTTTCCCAGGCTGCCTCTTCTGCTGCTCCATACGTCGCAATCACTTCTTCTGCAAAACCTCCAGGTGATACCGACTCTGCAATCAAAACTGGAACCGCTATCCCTGCAGCTTCTTTGGCAAACCCGGCCTCTGTCAATGCTGGGGTCCGTCAAGTTACCCAAAATGCTCAGCAACAACAACAGCAACAACCGGTACCCGTCAAAACACCTTCCTCTGCTCAGCCAGTTGCTCCACCCGGCGCTCCAGCTTCTACAAAAACTCCCCCCACTAGCTCCGGCGCAATTCCTCCCGCAGCAACAAAGTCTTCTGCCACTCCACCATCATCCAAACCTTCTTCTGCCACACCAGCTCAAGCTTCAATCACAGACAAAAATGCCGAGGCTTCTCAGACAATTGCCAAACCTAAGGCCCCAACTTTTGCTGCTGCCACAGGTTGGAAACAAGTGGGTGGCTGGGTAGAAGACAGCTCCATCTCTGCCGAAGAATCCCAAGATCTTTTGGACCGCGCAACCCTCCTCGAAGCCTACATTTCGGACCGATTTTACGGCGACTGGTACCACAATACCGCCCTCATTGTTTTGACTGCCTTTTACTCGTGGCTCGTTGGTAAATTTGGTGGTGGTCTAGCATGGCTCTTTATTGTTCTCGCCTTTACTGCTACCGTCTACCGTACCTCCATTCGCCGCTTGCGTACCCGTGTCCGTGATGACTTGGTCCGTGAAAGCTCTCTCCGCAAACTCGAAACCGACATGGAAACTATGGAATGGCTTAACGCCTTCTTGGTCAAGTTTTGGCTTATTTACGAACCTGTTCTTTCTGAAACTCTTGTTGGAACCGTCAATAACATTCTTGCTGGCTCTACACCTTCCTTTATTGAAGGCCTCTCAATTGAAACTTTTACCCTTGGAACTAAACCCCCCAGAATTGAATTTGTCCGTACTCATCCTCGTACTGATGAAGACATTGTTGTCATGGACTGGAAAGCTTCCTTTATTCCTAATGATCTCGATGACCGCACCCTCAAGCAACTTCGTGAAAAAGTCAACCCGAAAATCGTTCTTGCTGTTCGCATCGGTAAAGGTGCTATTTCAAAGGCTATCCGCATCAATGTCGAAGATATTATGTTTTCTGGCTTGGCCCGTATCCGCTTGAAACTCATTACAACCTTCCCCCATGTTAAAACGGTTGACGTTCAATTCATGCAGCCTCCAGAGTTTGACTTTTCCCTCAAGCCTATTGGTGCCGATATCACTATGATTCCAGGCCTTAAAGATTTCATCCAATCTACTGTCCATGCCAACTTGGGACCCATGCTTTACGCTCCCAACTCATTCCAACTTAATATTGAGGAACTTATGGCTGGCGCTGGTGCCGATTCCGCCATTGGTGTTCTTGCAGTTACCGTTTTCAACGGCCATGGTATTAAGGGTAGTGAGGCTATTGGTAACACCATTGACCCTTACATTGTCTTTAGTATCAACAATCGTGCTGAGCTTGCTCGTTCCAAAATTCTCCGCAACACTAAGAATCCTGTTTGGAACGACACCCGCTATGTCCTTGTTAACAACCTTTCAGAAAGTCTCACCATGGCTCTTTTTGACTTTAATGACATTCGCAAAGATAAACTCATTGGTAATTTGAATGTCCCTCTTGAAACTCTCGAGTCTAAGCCTGACCAGGAATCTCTTTCTGGTGAAATCCGAGACGGTACAAAATCTAAAGGTGCCGTTAATTATGAAATGCATTGGTTCCCCGTTCTCGAAGGTCGCAAGCTTGATGATGGATCTACTGAACCTCCTCCAGACTCTCGCACTGGTATTCTCAAGCTTTGGGTTCACCAGGCAAAGGATCTAGATGTTTCAAAGTCTCTTGTTGGCCAGCTTTCTCCCTACGTTGACATGCTTGTTAACGGTAACCTCATCCACCAATCCAAGTCTCTTAAGCGCATTAACTCTCCTGTTTGGGAAGACAGCTTTGAGTTTCTTGTTAGTGATAAAAACCACTGCACCATTGGCGTCCGCATCAAAGACTCCCGAGGTCTTGCTACTGATCCCGTTATTGCCACTTACCAAATTAAGTTACCTAAGCTTTTGGAGAGTCTTGGAAAAGGCGATGACTGGTTCAACCTTACCTCTATGGGCCGTGTTCGTCTTGGTGCCACTTGGAAACCTGTTGCTCTCAAGGGTGGTGATGCCATGCGCAACTATGTTGAGCCCATTGGTGTTCTTCGCTTCCATCTCATTAAAGGTGTCGACATGAAGAACCTTGAAACTATTGGTAAGGTCGATCCTTACGTTCGTGTCTTTGTCAATGGCTTCCAACGTGGACGTACTGTTGCTATCGATGATACCTTGGACCCTGTTTGGGATGAGGTTATTTATGTGCCTGTTCACAGCGATTCTTCACGTGTTGTTCTTGAAGCTGTTGATGCTGAAAACATTGGCAAGGACCGTACTCTTGGTCAATTTTCTTTCAACTCAAGTGAGTTCATCAAGACTGACGAAAAGGGTAACTATTTGCCTTTTGTTAACCGTCAGGTTCGCACTTCAATGTTTTCCATGGCTAAGAAGAGTCCCAAGGGTACTTTACACTACTCCGTTAGTTTCTACCCTTCTGTTCGTGTCATGAACCCTGATGACGCTAAGGAAAAGGCTGAGGAGGCCCGCAAGAAGGCCGAGGAGGATGCCAAAAAGGCTGCTGCCGAACCAGCTAAGGATGAAAAGAAGGATGAGAAGAAGAACGAAAAGGATGCTAAGGCTGCTGTTTCTTCTGATGATACTGCTACTCTTGCTGAGAAGGAGCCCGAAGAAGAGGAATTCCCCGATATTCCTCTGTCCGAGCTCATTAAGAGCCAATCTGGTGTTTTTGCCCTGACCATTTTAGACGCGCAACTTTCCGAGTCTGACACATTCATTCGCATTCTTTCTGATGCTAACGTGAATCCGTGCTACTCGTCGCCGCGCATCCAGTCTCGTAAGCAATCGCTTGGAGAGACTGGTGAGGTCTCTGTCCTTGAACTTGACTGGTCACAGGTGCGTTTCCAAATTACAACCAAGGTTAACAAGCCAAAGAAGGATGATATTTTGGGAACTCTTTCTATGTCTACCATTTCACTTTTGAAGAATGCATACGACAAGCCTTTCGTTATTAATATCAAATCGTCGAGTGACCGCATTGTTGCTTCTCTCACTGTCCGCGCTCGTTACTTCCCACTTCTCATGGAACTGGATCCCAGTGAGTCTATTAACAACATGGGCTCTCTTTCTCTTGATATTATCAAGGCTGATAATGTTCCAGTTGCCGACCGCTCTGGTACTTCTGATCCTTATGCCGTTGTTCTCCTCAATGGTGAAAAGGTATATAAGACTGAGAAGGTTAAAAAGACACTCAATCCTGTTTGGAACGAAAACTGCCAAGTTGATATCATGTCGCGTACTGCAGCTGAGTTTATCATTGAAGTTTACGACTGGGATATGGCTTCTGATGATGACTTTTTGGGCAAAGTCAAGGTTGATTTGGCTCAGCTGGAGCCTCTCAAAAAGATTAATATCACTATTCCTCTTCAAGGTGAGTCTGGCACCATTTCCCTTGGCTTGCTTTTCAGACCCAACTACATTATCCGTCGTGTTGATTCCTCGGGTATTAGTTCTACGTTTACATCAAATGTTCCTGGAAAGCTTGTGACAGGTGCAGCTTCCGGTGCCATCAACGTTGTTGGTGGCGCTGCAGGCATTGCAGGCGGTGCAGCCACTGGTGTTCTTGGCGGCATCAAGGGCGGAGCTTCAAGATTTACGGGTGCCTTCCGCCACAAGAAGAATGGCAATGGAGTTGGTGGCGGTGGCTTTTCACCAGAACCCACTGATCAAGGTACTTTTACCCCTGTTGCCTCACTTACCCCAGATCCCAACACTGTTCGCCAGCCATTGTCACCCGGAAGCTTGTCGCCCTCTGGCGGCAGCAACAATGACGATGCGGCTTCAGTCATGTTGCCTGGCATGTTGCAGGGCCAGCTGGCTATTGTTAGCGCGTCCGGCTTCAAGTCGGTGCACTTACAAGTGCGCACTGTTTTACTAATTCCCGGCTCGCGTGGAAACAAGGAAAAGGAGGTGCTCAAAACTAAGTCCTACAAAACTGGAGCAGATGGCGCTGTCATTAAGCTGGACGAAATCACTTCTTTCAAGGCAAGCCCTGATACTCAGGTGCTCTTCAAGGTGTATGATCACAAGAAGCTGGGCCGCTCTGAGGATGTTGGCGAGGGCACTTTCCCTATTACCCACTTTGAAAGTGGGGTTCCTACAGCTGTTGATGTTGGTTCAGGATCTCTCAATGTGTTGCTTAGCCTGAGAGATAAATAAAGAAGGAAAAAATGTTGGGGAAATAATATAATATAAGTCAGTTTAATTATAATTAAAGTAAAATGTTTTGTGTAAAAAAATGTATAATTTAATGAATATTCATCAATCTGTTGGAATTCAAGTGAACACCAATATCCAGAGTATCAACATTCTCAGTAAGATTCGACAACTGGTCGTTCTGGCGAGTAATTTCCTCGTTTGTAACAATAGCCAGTTTGTGCAGCCGCTGGGCTGCATTATGCAGTGCATCAAGGTTACCTTCAATTTCATCTTCAAGCTGATCATCCTCCTCATCAGGCTCAATCTGGTACTTGACACGGTCCTTCAAATTTCGCTTATACTTTTGAGCCGTAGCACTGTTTCCAACCCCAGAGCCACTCATTCCAAGTCCATTCATAACTCGTTGCTGAGAATCATATTCAGATGCACGCAGCGACTCGCGTGCAACTTGTTCACGCAAACGGTTCGCCTTAATTTGTTCTTCCTTTTCCATCAGTCGTCGCTTCGAGTTGAAGGGATTCGACACGTGAACTGCAAACATGGATCGGTTCAGGGTTTTGAGTTCACGAGTCTTATCAGAAGCAATGCGGTTCTGAGTTGAAGCAAGCTGCAAATTGCGCTCCACCGATGACAACCGCTCTCCCTGAGCACCCAACATACCAAGAGCGTTACGGCCACTTTCTTCTGCATAGGCAGCAGCACGTAAAGCAGAGCGTGTAAGATTTACGTCTTCATTTTTGATAAACTTCATCTGAGTCTTGATGCCTTCAACCTCCTCGTCTTCAGAGTTGACCTCTTGTTCTTGTTGAGCGCCATAAGGCTGATAATCGGTAGTAGTTGTTAAATCAGTATTTGCTGTAGTAGTGATACCTTCACTTTGATTGCGGCCAGCGTAAATAAGTTCCTCATCGTTAGTATACTCAGAAGGGTCCTTTGCTTTAAATCTTGCTTGAGCGCTTTGTTGTGCCAGAGAGTCATTAAATGCAGAACTATATTTGGATGTAGTCAAATCACTTTCAGAATGAGCAGCTGCACCAAAAAGTGCAGCGCGATCCGGAGCGAGTTGTCTTTGTGGCTGAGCTTGGACTTGTTGTTGTTGTTGTTGTTGTTCCTGTTCGGAATCTTGTCTCAAGGCGGCCTTTTGAGGCGCACTTCCAAAAAGCTCGTTGCGGCGCGCGTCCAGCACGCTATCCGTATCACTCAAGGGGTTATGAAGTTTGGGAGTCGGGTTAAATCTACTTTGGTACTGTGCTGAACCTGCCGCATATGGCGATGTAGAAGGAGGGTTACTGTATGTTTGTTGGCCATAAGGAACCGGACCAGAATAAGATTGTTGCCGAGCATTAGACTGCTGGCCATAAGACTGCTGTTGACCATAAGTCTGTTGCTGACCATAAGACTGTTGCTGACCATAAGACTGTTGCTGGCCGTATGCTCTTGGTTGTTCTTGTACTAAGTTTTGTTGTTCACCATAACCTTGGTTAGCATAGGGAGAAAGTGCAGGGGTAGAGTGGTATCCTTGGTTTGCATAGGGACTCGTGTTTGGCTGTTGCTGGCCATAAGGGCTAAGGTTTTGACCGTAAGATTGTTGCTGGGGACCACCATATGGTCCAGAAGCAGGGGCTGCACCACCATAAGGACCTCCAACTGAAGCTTGGAGTGATAAAGCAATGGGCCCGGCTGATCCAGGCATCGGGACGCCTTTATTACGCTGAGCGTTGAGCTGTTCAGCATATTCCGAGTACGCAGAAAACTTTGAAGTGCGGGAAGTTGATGCTTTTGTAGGAACACAGGAAGTTGAAAGGACGTCACGGATCTGCTCGTCCGTCATTTCTTTGTTTTTTTTTGAAAAGATATTTTTAACCATTTTTTTACTTGCTGGATAGTCGGTTTTTATATTAAAATGATTTATATTATAAATTTTAAAACTGTCAAAAAAAAAATTAAAAAAAAAAATTGACGGATTTTGTGCGAGTTTTATAATGATATAAAGATTAAAAGCGATTTAAAAATAAACCAAGCAGGCAATGGCAGGCAGGCAGGCGGTGTTCAGCTACTTTAAGAGGCTGTGGGGTACATTTGAGCACGGGTCTGATATCTCGGAATTGAAGTTTTCAGAATGCCGTATTTTAAGGTCTATAATAAGTGATATGTTCTAAGTTCTATAAGCTAAATACTAATTATTAGGCTTATGCATAATTTATACAGCAATGAAAAATAAAAAATGGGCGGCCTTAAATAAAAAAAAATTAATAATAAAATGTACCGCCAAGCAGCAACATCAGCAACTGAAAAGAAAAGAAATGAAATGAAATGAAATGTAATGACAAGACCCGGGACCCGGGACATTTGGCCGTCTCAATGATTGCAAGATACTCGTCAATTGCGTCGAAACCTTTCCGGCGTTATTTTCCTAATAACGTTCTAAGATGTGATCTATATCGGATTTCACTATAAACATCCCTTTTAGTCCTTCTAAGCTTACACTTACTGATAAGCTCTCACTCCCACCATCCAAACCGCCTGATTAATCCTGTACTGGTTTTTCTTATCCAAACCATCAAACTTTCTTTACCCAATCACTTTTTCACCATTATCACTTACCAAAACCAACCCATAACCCCTTTCTAATATTTCCCTTTTCAAATAAAAAACCATATACCCATTTTTTACACACAATGAAAGTCGTCGCACTTGTCTCTGGAGGCAAGGACTCTGCCTTCAATATGCTTCACTGCACTCTCCAAGGTCATGAAATTGTGGCCTTGGCCAACCTTTTTCCTCCCAAATCCGTGGGCTCTGACGAAATGGATAGCTTCATGTACCAAACCGTGGGTCACTCTGCTGTCGAACGTTACTCCGAGTGTCTCGATATCCCCCTTTATCGCCAACCCATCACAGGAACCACGGTGGTGACTTCTCTTGAGTACCGACCAATCCTTGTTGGTGATGAAGCAGACGTGGCTAATACTACTCCTGCGCCAACAGACGAGACTGAAGATCTGTACAACCTCCTCAAAACCGTTCTCCGCAGTCACCCGGAAATTAAGGGTGTATCTGTCGGAGCCATTCTTTCACGCTACCAGCGAGTACGTGTTGAAAATGTCTGTTCGCGGTTAGGTCTCACTTGCTTGGCTTTCCTTTGGGAACGAGTCCAGGCCGAGCTGCTCGACGAGATTATTGCATCAGGCACTGATGCTCGCTTGATCAAGGTCGCTGCTTACGGGCTTTCCAAGGAAGATCTTGGAAAGTCTCTTGAGCAATTGAGACCCAAACTTGCTCGGCTCAATGCTGAAGTAGGTCTTCATCTTTGTGGTGAAGGCGGAGAGTACGAAACGCTTGTGTTTGACTCGCCATTGTTTAAACGTGCCCTTGTTGCTGGGTCTGCAAAAGTCATTGAGCACTCTGCTTCCGATAACGTGTACTTTTTGGAACTTTCCGATTTCCATACAAAGGAAAAGCCCGGATATGACCCATTGAACATTGATTCATGGAAAGACAAAGTGGCCATCCCCAAGCTTCTCGACGCTACTTATGACGAGGTCCTAAACCAAATCAAGACCGATGACGATTATTACAAGCCTAGAGGTGACATCTCGTTAAACACCCTCGACCCTAAGGAAACTCATAAAGTTCCTGCTGATGATGACTTGTTTTATCAGCCCGATAAAACGATGCACATTAAGCCCCGCGTTGTGGTCAATGACAAGCTCGGCACTGTGTGGATTTCCAATGTAACTGCTCCTCCAATGGCCTCGGATTATCCTGTAGACCACGTCACGGCACTTGTATTTGACAAGGTCCGTGCGCTGCTTGCAGCCCAGGGACTTACTCTCAAGCACGTTCTGTTTACACATGTGCTCCTTAAAAATATGGCCGACTTTGACGAGTTCAATAAGGTTTATGGCTCATTTTTTGGAGCCGAATCCAACCCACCTGCCAGAGTTTGTGTGGAAAATGGCGCGCTTGTCCACAACTCGCGTGTCCAACTGACAGTCGTGGCTACTAAAGACTGGAATAAAAGATCTGGGTTGCACGTTCAATCTCGATCTTACTGGGCGCCCGCAAATATTGGACCTTACTCTCAGGCTGTTTCAGGTAGCGCAGCCGATGGCATTATTTATTTTGCTGGACAAATTCCTCTGGTTCCTGCATCGATGGAACTTTTGGATGCTCCTGCTCCAGAAGTGCACTCAGTGTTAGCTCTTCAACACCTTAACCGCGTGGCCACAGCATATCAGCCTGTGTCAAGTGTCCCTGGCACAGCTCCATGCTACGCCGGACTCATTGCCTATGTTACCAGTCCCGAAGCTGGCGATGCAGTGGCTAAGACATGGCCCGCATATCTTGCTGTAACAAGCTGGGCCGGCCTTGACGAAGACGCCATTCGTGATGCAAGCTACTACCACGGTCACCGGGCCGATGTGCCTCTTTTTATTGTCCAGCTTACTGGGCTTCCTAAAGGTGCTCCTATCGAGTGGTCCGGATATGGTGTTGACGGTGATGCGTTACGCGCAGCCAAGGCTAAGTTTGAGCAACGAGACTTGGAAGAGGAAGAAGCCGATGGAGCCGAACCCATAGCTCCGTACTTTTTCAAACCCATGTACATCAATGGCAAGTCTGGAGGAATTGAGTTCCGTGGGTGCCGGTTTGGTGTACAGGCTTTTGCGAGTTTTGTGAGTGACCAAGAACTGACAGAAGAGGAGCTCCAGGCGCTATACACTGAACTGTTTGCTCTTAAAGGCATTGACGACGAGTTTGATGCAGCCGGTGTTGACACCGGATACGTATTTAAAAAACTTAAGGTGTCGTTGATCTCGGGTACACTTTTCTATACGGCAAAGGCACCGACTAACGGGCTGCTGCTGAATGAGGTGCGTGTCGGGTGCGTGACCATGCTTGACCGAAAGATGACCAACAAGCCTTTTGGTTACCTGGTAAGACTGATTGGCGAGTAACTATAATTATTTGGAGTAACATTTCAGTAACATTTTTATATAAAAAATTGATATTTTTTTTCTTTTCTTTCCTTTTCTTCAACCTATCCTTTTATTAATTTTTTTATAATTTCCTACAACATCCAATTCCCCTAATTTCTCATTGCGCTTTCCCCATAATCAGGTCCAAATACTATTTGCAATTATAAAAATTCATAATGGCTGCTACTCAAATCAAAGGTCTCGGAGACATTGACAAGTCTTATGACGGTATGTCTTTTTCTTTAGTAATATTGTTTCAATTCTAACGGCATGGTAGGCTCCCAGCTGCGGGTCGGTATTGTCCACGCTCGTTGGAACGACAAGGTGATTGCTGCGCTGGTTGATGGGGCCAAGTCCAAGCTTGCAGCCATGGGTGTTCCAGAGTCAAACATTTTCCTGACCACGGTCCCCGGTTCCTACGAGCTGCCGTTTGGCACTAAGGTACTTTACGACGCGCACAAGGGCAAGGAAACCGAGCTTGATGCCATCATCTCCATTGGTGTTCTCATCAAGGGCCACACAATGCACTTTGAGTACATCTCCGATGCCGTCTCGCATGGTCTCATGCGCACCCAGTTCGATTTGGGGATCCCCGTCATTTTCGGACTCCTGACGTGTCTCACTGAGGAACAGGCTCTTGAGCGTGCCGGGCTTGTTGTCAATGAGGAGGGTGCTTCTCACTCGCACAATCATGGTGAAGACTGGGGTGCTGCTGCTGTTGAAATGGCTTACAAGAACAAGCACCATGTTCTTTAAATAACACTTTTAATGTTTCTTTTTTTGTCTTAATGATTATTATTATTATATATTGAATCTAATTAAGAGTTCTTGGCTCGTTTTCTTGGATGGATTGATGGTTCTTCACTCTAGTGGTGATTAAAAAGGTTAGCCGTAATTAGGTCCATTACCCCAGATTTTTTTTTTTTCAAGTACTCACATGTGATCGGTTCTTGTCACTGGATGAACCTCCGGCCCCTCTTGGAGATGATGGCGCACTATGGATTGAATTTTTACTGTCTCTTGAGTTTCCATTGGACATGGTGCCACTACTACCAGTACCTCCTACACCGCGATCAAAGAACTTTGAAAGGGCTGTTTTCGTGGGGCCTCCGGATGAAGAAATGTTACTGTGGCCATTGCTAGTACCATTGTTACTCCCGTTACTATTGCCGTTCCCCCCACCTAATCCAATTTTCCGTTTTTTGGTTCGCGGGGGTGCAGATGATTCAGTAGATCCGTTGCCTTGAGAAGAGTTAGCTGCTGCACCAGCCGAAGATGAAGGAGGGGTTTTCAAAGAGGTGCCGGCGCCCGCGCCGCTCAAGTGCTCGCCCAGCTGTGACTTTGCAGGGGACGAAGAGGTCGAGCTGAAATCTCCGCCTGTGACTGAAGATGGCGATGGAGAGTTGTACGAGTTGTTGTTATTGTTGGAAATCGGGGCCAGGTTTTCCGAAGCAAGGTGGGGTCCTCCATATGCCACTGCAGCTTTCCTAAATAAGCACAAAGTTAGTTTGAAAAAAAAAAATAAAAAAAAAAAAATAAAATAGGAATGAAAATGGAAGTGGAAATGGAAATGGAAATGGAAATGGAAATGGAAATGGAAATGGAAATGAAGAAAACAAGAACCTCCAGGTCTAAGTCTTCTTCTTTTGTCTAATAAACTTACCGGTCCTTGTGACGAGAATTGCGGCCACCGAGACATCGCTCGAGATGCGCAGCAAAGCGAGAGCCTGCAATCTTGCGTGTACAATTAAGACACTCAAAGTATCTTGGTTCAGTTGACTTTTCAATACCATACATGTCCTCCAACAACGAAGCTGAAGGTGTTGCAGGGCTTGGAGCAACGGTCGATGTAGTTGCATTGTTGTTACCCCCATCGGTACCGGCATTGTGACCATTGGCAACCTTGGGGGTCCCAGGAGTTGAGCCATTGACTGGTGTACCTGCATGTGACGACCAAGGGCTTGAAAGATAGGCCACACGGCCAACCACCTCTGTTTTTTGGGCGCTTTTGGCACGGATACCCGGAGGAAGAGCAGTTGCGTAAGGCCGTGCAACAAATTCGCGGCCGTACTGGGAACGGATCCGGTGTTCAAGATGAACAGCACGGGCAGCAACTTCATGGGTTAAAGACCGAATAAGATCTTGAAGAATGTCAATGCTCTAAAATAAAGATTAAGCTTAGTTAGTTAAGAATCACAAAAAAAAAAGGGGGATTGACAGATCAAAAAAAAAAAAAAAAGAAAAGACAAAACACTTACGAGTTCACCAATGTTAATGGGAGTACTGGCAGAGCTTTGAGCATTAGTTGAAGCAGCAGACGTTTTCTTCCTTTTGGGTCCGGAAGTTGAAACGCCAGCGGTGCCCGAGGACGACGATGTCGATCCCTTTGATGGTGGTTTCTTATCTGCGACAGCCATTAGAGAGAGGGAGCGGGTGTAGTAAGGGTGATCCTTTAAAATAGAGAGACGACTGCAACGACTTTGCGATCGCCTAAAAAAAAATGCTATTGGCTAAGTGTTTGGATTTCAATGATGCTAACTGAATAAAGAAAAGGGAAGCCGGTCTAGCTGGCAGGCTGACGGGCTGACGGGCTGACGGGCTGGCAGGCTGGCAGGCTGGCTGTGATGATTTTTTTTTAAGTGGAGGACGAATGGGAGGGAAAAAAAAAGTTTTGGCGGCGGCCACGCGAACAAAAAAAAAATTGGCAAAGGGTTAGGGGAATTTATTATATTCACGTGACCTAGTGCGGCTCAGATTTGGTGACCGGAGACCGGGTCTTAAATGTCGGGTCATTTCAAGAGATAAGAGTTTTGAAAAAAAAAAAAAATTAAAAAAAGAGCATTTAAAAGTTGAAAAAATTAAATTCAAACTTTTTTTTAAATGTATTTTATAAAGTAGACCAATTACTTTATATGGCAACAAGCAACAAGTTCAATGTAATTTTCATCCCTTTAAATTCAAAACATCCTTTTATTCCTTTCTATTCTCTCTGTTTTTCATAATTAACCGCCTATCACAATGATGACGCCCAGTCATAAGCAATCTCCGGGCACAAGCAATAGTCCATTTGTGGAAAATGGTTCTTTTAAGACAACAAAATCCAAGCATGGGAAAACAAATAGAACTATTAAGGAATATGTGGCCCAGCAGTGTGCCGCGGTTGAAAAGCGCACTCGGCAGCAGATTCAAGAAGCAATAGAAGCAGCAGCAACTTATACAGATAAAGCCAAAGTTACAGCAGTAAAAGATGCAAGTTCACAAATTGACGAGGTTGCTGAGCGACTCACAGCGTTGATAGCAGAACAGCGCAAGGCTGTGCGAGAGGAGACACAATGCAAAGTGCGCGTAGCTGTCGACAGCATGATGGAGTATATGGACTCTAAGATCCAACTTTTGAGTCAAACAGTACCTGCAGAAAGCAAGAATGAAAATAAATATAAGAATAAAAGAGAAAATGAGCTGGAAGGGGTAATTAGAAAACTGGATGAAAGGTTGAGTATAAGCGAAGAAAGTCTAGGGACATTACGAGCCGCATTGACATCAATACAACAGCAAATTGACCAAAAGAAGTTTTTAACAAGAACTTCAAAAACCATGCAAAAGTTGTTAGATTTATGCGAGTTTGTGGATGTGGAAGAATGGCCAGAATCAAGTACGTTGCGATGTCAAGTAGAGGAGCTTGTGGCTATGCCCTTGAGAGAGCATATTCTTCAGGTTGACTATAAAGTAGGGAATTTGTCTAAAACTCTAGGAATTTTGGAACAAAAAGTTTTACAATTGACGACAGAATTTGAAGCCAAATGTGAAGAGTGGAAGTTGACCGAAACAGCAAGCAAACAAGTACCTCTATTGTTTGAAAAACTGATTGCTCAAAGAGAGAATTTAAAACGGGCAATCAAAATTTTTGAAGAAAAGAAAAGGGGGTTGGAGGAGGACAAGAAGGTGACTCAAAAAGAAACTGAAAAGCTTGAAAAAAGGGTAAAATCTTTAGAGAGACAGATTGAAATTGGAGAAAAAGTACAACAGTTGACTACAAATAATATGGTAATGGAAGTGAATGCTAGGGCATTACGAAACGACTTGAAGCATTTAGAAGAAAAGGTTGAGAGGCTAGCAGTAACGATATGTCAGATGGATGAAAATAGAGAAGTCAAGTATCAGCAATCAGAATTGCAAAAACAAGAACATAAAAATGAAAATGAACAACAATTTTTTGACGAAGAAGAAGAAGAAGAATTAGATGAAAAGTTTTGGGACCGGCGTGGAGAAGAATTTGAAGCCATGAGAGAACAAGTGAGGCTTCCCACTGTTGAATCAATTTATACTGACCAAGATAACACTCAAAACAGCACGTCTCTAGACGACGAAGAGTGGGACTTTGAAGATGAACAGGAAAAATATAGGACCATAGGTACTAGAGATTTAAAAGCCTATCAAGTCAGTAATAAGGCAGATGAGAATGGACCCATCCTTTGTTCAGAGCCTACCACACCTCTTAAGCACTCTAATCAAGTTGACGGGAGCTATTTTTCTCCGGGATCCAACAATGATTTTACAACAGCAGTAGCACCACTGTCACCTCTTCGCACGGAGTTTGTGTCGCCCAAGGCGGCCACCAATGCGACATCCACTTGCACGCTGACACGCCAGTTTGGCCAGCAACTCAGGCTAGCTCAGACTGCTGGGTTATTTGAGTCTGGTGTGGCGGAAGCAGCAGCAGGGTCGCCCTATTATAATAGCCAGCGTCTTGGCCGGCTAGAGCATTGGGGCAGCACTAACGGTTGTACCGTTAATGCTCGAGGGCCTCGGCAGCTTTGACTGGTGTAGTCATCAGGTACTTTTTTTTTCTATATATAAGTGGCAATAACAAGCAATATATGTAACCTGCTTGCTGCATTAAATCTTGTGGATCTCAATCTTGTTGTTCCCTTTCCCCTTTCCTCTCTCACCTTACTTTTAAAAATTTTATCTATATAAATATATATATACCTGAATTCCTTCTTTTCTTTATAACCAATTTTTTTCCCCCTCCCCCTCTATGTCCCGAATTGCTCTTGACATGGTCGTGTCCTGGTCCCGATTTCTTTCTTTTTTTCTTTTTTTTTTTTTTGGCAGACAAGGCAGCCGTGTGTCTGCAGGGCCGCTTATATAAATTCCCCCGATGGCCTCCTCCTGTTCAAATGTTTTGCTCTAAAGACCCCCTTTTCTGGTGCAGCCACTCAGGAAAAAAAAATAAAAAAATTTAAAACCACCAAAACCAAATCAACACAACAACCTTTTTCCCCACTACCACCTAACACCATCAATTAGTCTTGAACCCTATACAATCTTTTTGAAACGTCTCTAAGGGTTTCATATCATTTTCTACATCCCCCCTAATTTCATCTCCCTCTATAACTTCATCTTGATGCCGCTGGCTCCGCTTCTTGCTGAAAAGATTCCGGTTCTTCGCGTAGCGGCTCGGAAACTTTGGGTCCGCACGATAACAAAGGCCCGCGAAGTCCGTCTGCGCGAAGTAGTCACACAAGTTCCTGCTCTCATCACTCCAGCTCATGTGCTATATGCAGTATTTCTTTGGCTCTTCATTTGGCTTCTCCGCACATCTATTCCAGCGTCCCAAGAGTCTCTTCAGAAGTACTATTGCTTTGGTCCAGCAATGTCGCCAATGGAAATGGACGCAAACACATACTCACAGTGGCACCGAGGATCGCCATCTCCTGTCACTTTCAACACCCATGTTGCTGTCGACGTATCAAATACAACGTCGATTCGTCATACCAATTTAAATACCGTGGTTGCAGGGACCCACGAAGACGAGCGCGTCTTGATTCTGACGCCGGTCCGTGACGCTTCAACATATCTAAACAAGTACTTTGACTTGCTGATGGCACTGTCGTATCCACACAGTCAGATTGACCTGGGGTTTCTGGTCTCGGATACGCGTGATGAAACCATGGAGGTGCTAACACGTGAACTTAAGCGGGTTCAAAATGGACCCAAGCCGTTCCGCTCAGTGGAAATCTACAACAAGGACTTTGGCATGACTCTCGACAACCTTAATGTTCAAGAACGTCACGCCTTTGCTGCTCAGGCCCCGCGCCGTATCGCCATGGCCCGTGCTCGCAACTACCTGCTAGCTTCGGCTCTCAAGCCACACCATTCGTGGGTCATGTGGCGTGACGTTGACATTATCGAGTCGCCCAAGGGTATTATTGAGGATCTGATGCGCCACAATACCGACATTATTGTCCCCAATGTATGGTTCCACCGATATGTGGACGGAGAAGATATTGAAGGTCGTTTTGATTACAACTCATGGCGCGAAACAGATAAGTCGCGCGCGCTACTTGAAACCCTTGATCCGGAAACGATTGTTGTTGAAGGATACAAAGAATTTGACACTGGCCGAGAATACATGGCCACAAGAGGAGTCCGTGGCCACGACGAGCACGAGGAAATCGATCTCGATGGCATTGGAGGTGTCAACATTTTGGTCAAGGCAGATGTTCATCGCTCGGGCATTAACTTCCCAGCATATGCGTTTGAAAATCAAGCTGAGACGGAGGGCTTTGCAAAAATGGCCAAACGGGCAGGGTACCGTGTCTCTGGTCTTCCCAACTACATTATCTGGCACTTTGATACAGACGAGGTCAAGGAAGAAGAAAAGGAGGAAGAAAATAAAAGTGAAGAAAATAAAGATGAAGAAAAGAAGGATGAAGGTGCAGAAGCAAAAGCCGGGGCAGAGGCAGAGGCAGAGGCAGAGGCAGAGGCAGAAGTTAAGCCAAATGACGAAGAAAAGAAGAATGAAGAGCAGCAATAGACAAAATAAAGGTGTTTTTAATGACTATTTTTATTTGATTTTTTTTTATTTTTTTATTTAATTTTTATCTAATGTACAGTATGGGAATGCAATCAAAGTCATCTTGAATCAACCAAAATGTAAACAAACAAAAAAAAAAAATTTCCATCTGGCCACGAATTAATTTGGTCTACACGTTTTTATTTTTTTTTTGTTTGTTTGTTTTTAAATTTAACCACCACCACCAAAAATAAACAAACCATCCCACCAACAAACCTCCCCCCCCCAACTAATCCATCAAAAAATGAACTTGTTCTTCATACCGTCAATCATCGCCTTGTTTTCTATCTTGGCACCGGTTCTTCGCTACGGCAAAGATCACATCTTGCCTGCCAACTATGTCTTTAAGCCTGCAGAGCTTCAGGAGATTGTGCAGACAACTCTTGCCGAAAACCCAGGTGCAAACAACACTGCCCTCTTTACTGCTCTTGGCCACAAATTCTCAGATCGCTACGGACCATACGTCAAAGATCTTAACTACGATGACTGGCACTTTTCCAACGCTGGCGGTGCCATGGGAACTTTCTTCATCTTCCACGCATCTTTTACCGAATACCTTATTGTTTTTGGCTCAGCCACAGGCACCGAGGGCCACACTGGCTACCATTTGGCTGACGACTACTTCATCATTGTTTCTGGTGAGCAAAGTGCTGCGTACCCTGGTGAAAACATGCCCACTATCTATAAGCCCGGAGAGATGCACCATCTGTCCTATGGAACGGCTCAGCAATACGCGATGCCTCCAGGGTCTTTTGCAATTGAGCTCGCTCAGGGATATATTCCCACAATGCTTATTTTTGGATTTCTGGACTCTATTTTTTCCACTGCAGATCCTTTCAATTTGTGGCTGCAAATCAAGTTTACTACCATTAGTATGTTTAAAAATCTGCTTTTGGGTAAGATCTAAGCTTATCTGATGGCAAAAAGAGTAATAGAAAAATAAATTGATAAAAAAAATACTCCAGTGTGCTTTGTAAATATTGATAATCATTAAAATAATATAAATATCCTTAGATTTCGTATAATGCCGTATATAAATAATAAATAATACAAGACAATGTTTAATAGGCCTTTAATTTCGCTTCTCTTGTTCAGTATGAAAAAACAATGGGTATTAGTATCCATACGCCTGTGTGTTTTCTGCGATTAAACGGTTTTCCACATGCATATGCTTGATTCCATATTGAAACAATGTCAAAATGGTTTAAAGTATCTTTTCTAATATATTTGCCGAATTTTTTTTTTTTCTTTTTAAAATTAATTATATTTGAGGTTTTGTTAAGCTCAAATGAGTTTTGTGATCGACCTACAAGCTAAATACTTCCCCTAATACGGACTTTGTCGGAACAATAATACGAAATAAATGAATAAAAAAAATAAAAAACTATAATCAAAATAACAACAAACCTGAAGTAAATGATATTTTAATTCTAAAAAAAGTAAAAAAAGTAAAAAAAATAAATGAAATATAATTGAAAGATTAACATACTAACTCTAAATGGCTTTGAATAATTTCAACTTGTTACTGTTCTCCTGCCTCATTATGCCATTATGCTCCGCAATGCTCATCTTAATATTATTTGCATGATACTCTTATTTCTTTTTTTTTTGTCTTTTATCACTCAAATATTTTGAAGTCCTTTAAAAAATATAGACGTGAGTTATCAGATTGATTATTTTTTTATCTATTTCCCGGTTTATCACTAAGTTACCTGTTTTGGAATGTTTTTTTTTTTTTGCAAATTATTTCTACCATTCAATGACCACAAAAAAATCTGAGACTTGTATGTGTAGAGGGCATAAAAAAACACATTTTTTTAAAAAAAAAACCAAATACCATATACCATAACTAGTTTAAGCTCCAGGTTGTTTTAAAAGAAATAAAACCTTTTCACAAAGTAAATTACCTTGTTTGCATGAAATGTCTATAAAAAAACGGTAATCAAATATTCATTTATTTTTCAACAAACAAGAAAGTAAAAAAAAGAAAAACTTTTTTTTAAAAACCATATATTCAAAATTATATAAAACCAAAAATTTCCCTGATTCCTATCTCAAAAATTTCCTCTCTTTTGTGAATCTCATTTTCAAGTTTTTTTTTTTAAAAAAAAATGAAGATTCTTTTTGTTCTAATTGGTTTGTTGGCATCCCAAGCAGTAGCCATGTGGCCTAACTCGTGGATTGTTGGAAATACTTGCGAAGTCATTGCCGGTAGAAACTTTGACAATTGCACTTCGCAAGAACACGAGTGTCTATGCACAAACCAAAACTTCCTTTCTTCTGTGGTCCAATGCCTTAATGATAATCTCTCAAAAACCAGTCAGATTGACAAGGCATGGGACTTTGTACTTAACAAACGATGTCATTCCCCAGAAAATTTCTCTTCGGACGATATTTACAAACGTTCTTTAACCTATCTCTCCCAAAAGTCCACGGTCCAACTCAATGCCTCTACTAAATACACAGACGTTTTCACCCAGCCTATTGTGGGAGACCGCACGGCTATCCGTGAAACTTACACCTCCATCTACTACAATCTCCATAACCGCGATGTCGGTACATGGCAAGGCTCCGTACTTGTTATGATCTGGGTCTTTATCATAGGTATGTCTGGATTGTACCGCTTTATACGCTACATATCTGTCACGTTTGCACCTAAGTCTCAATCTATGGGCCGTCCAGGTTGGATCACTAGAAACTACCACAAGCACATCTCCATTCCTGCTGCTTTTGGTCACAGACACATTGACCGGTACTATCTCTTTGACTTTATTCCAATCTTTTTCCCGACTCGGTTTGAATCAATCGTCATTTCTTTTTACACCCTTATGACGCTCATCTTTATGTGCACCGGGTACAAGTTCCAGCACAACAACCCGCTTTGGGCAACACATTACTCCGAACTGGTCCTGAATGTTTCCAACAGGGCTGGCATCCTTGCATCCATTCAGATCCCACTTCTTACGCTCTTTGCACTTCGCAACAGTTTCCTTATATGGATTTCTGGCTGGTCCTTTGCCACTTTTAACGCCTACCATCGCGCTATTTCTCGCGTGACTGTACTACTGGCAATTATCCATGCGGCTTCAAAGCACGAAATGATGTTGAGCTTCCATGCCCCCTTGCGTCTTATTTACTATCCCACCATGCTCTTTCGCCTTGGTGTTACCGCTTTGGTTCTTTGGACCCTCATGATTCTCCTTGGTTTTTTCCGCGTCAAGTACTACGAACTGTTTCTGTTTGTGCACATTGTGGGTGCTGTGGCGTCTTATATTTGTATCCTGTTTCATCTCAATCATGTGGGATACAAGCAAACCATTTATGTTTCGCTCGCCATGATTCTGGGTGACATTATGTTCCGTATCGGAAGAATTTTGTTCTCAAACACATCACTGTTTCTCAAACCGATTGAGGGCTCAAAACGTCTCACCAAAGCGTCACTGTCGCTGCTTCCTAGCGATGTCATCAATGTGCGTGTCCGCACTCCGATTCACTGGCCCTTTGCCCCTGGTCAATATGTGTATATCCATTTTAACCGCATGAACATTTTTGAGTCGCACCCATTTAGTGCGGTTGGCCCGTCTTCTGATGGTGAATCGTTCCAGCTGCTGTGTAAGGCCCGTGGAGGCATCACCAAACGGTTGTATGACCATATGCTGGAGCTTGGTGCTAATTCTGGTGAGAAAATTGAAATGAGTGTTTTGATTGAGGGCCCTTATGGTGTTCACTGTCCTGTTGAACGGTTTGACAGTGTGCTTTTAGTTGCCGGTGGTATTGGCATTACTGGTATTATCCCATATGCTGAATACTTGGCTCTCAGTCCACAATATCATGAAATTGTTCTACTTTGGACTGTCAGTTCTGTTGAAGAGTTAACTTGGATTGACGAACGGCTGCAGTGGCTTTCGGAAACAGGCAAGGCTAAAATAAAACTTTACGTGACTAGGGGAGGCACGGCTCCCAAGACCAAGGAAGACACAGTCATAGAGGATGGAGTTGCAATGACCGAACTCGACAAGTCAGTGATTATGGATCCTCCTCCATCGTTCCCCAGACACTCTTACGAAACAGACCAAATGTATCTTGTGGGCGAAGGAAACACGAAGCGCTATTCAGAGACTGGCGAGCCTGGCATGCGGCGCAAGATGTCATTCCGTAAGCACATCAAGAGTTTAAGTCAAAACAGCATCCGAGTAGACTTGGACCAGCGGATGGAGAATATTGACGGAAACGAGATGGTAGATTGGACGGATTACTCGACGCACCACCATCATCATTTACGCCATAACAGCAAAAATGGCAGTTTATATTATGCACAAACACCAATTACAGAGGAAGACCAGTCAACAAAACACAATACAGCGTCTACAAACACTGCCATCAACACGGCCGCACAAACACCAGTCAAGTCGTCGACGCCACTGCCATACCAGCCTGGATATCGGTATAGCTACACTCCTGGCAAACGCACGAGTGCAATTCTAGCTCAGAGCGCTAGCACGGCTGACCAGAAGACAGCTCCTCATAGCATTAATGTTGAAGAAATTGTTCCTGCTCAATCTTGGATGAGTCATGTCATTGAGGGGGGACGACCAAATCTGATGGAAACGGTACAAGAGTTCTTTCGCAACAGTTCGGGCAGCGTGTGTGTTGTTGGATGCGGTCCTGCGCGCATGATGGACACGCTAAGGAGGGCGACGTGTGTACACTACGACTTGGTTGAAAATGGGCGACTAGAGTATTACGAGGAGGCTTTTACATGGTAATTTAGTTTTTCTGATTTGATTGGATTTATTTTTTGTAATTTGTATTATTATTTTTTTTTTTTAAAAATTTTATTAGAAATGAATTAATTTTTTTTTTCTTAAATGGATTTACATAAAATTAGGGGTTCCTTGTTTGGTAAGACGTTTGATTAAAAAGAACTGATGAACGATGAATGCAATTGAGCAAAAAGCTTTAAACTTTAGATTGAGACTTTGAGATTATATTAATTAATACAAGTTAAGATGTTTACCTAAATGGGAATTCTGTTTCTAAAATGAGATAAAGTTAAATAAATGAATACTTTTTAAAATTAATTGGCAAAAAAAATTATAAAAAAATATCGACCCCGGTGAGGATTGAACTCACGATCTCACGATTAACAGTCGTGCGCCTTCACCAGCTTGGCCACGGAGTCCGGTTACGTGAAAATTTAATCTATGAAAACATGATTAGATACTCCATCAAAAATGAAATTATAAATTTTGGCTGAATACTGAGTTTTTAAATTGATATTTTAATAAATCTAAGCTTATAATAAGTTCTATTTCATTTTGTGATGATTTGTTGACTCAATGCCCTTGTACCTCGGCAGTAAACACTACCACCCACCCCCTATCAGATGCGGTAATATTTCCCGCATACATTTCTTTTAGGCATAAATAAAACCCTTCCTACCAACTTCACACCAAATCACCCATCTTCGTCCATTCCAAATGCCTCCCTATAAACTTCAAACTCTGGCTATTGCTGCTCTTGCAGCTACCTATCTTGAAGCCAGGACTCTGTTTCTTGAAGACCTCGATACTGCGGCACGCGTGCTTTCTGGCGCAGTTTCATTACTTGTTGATCGGTTCCGTGGCCGCATTAACTTCTTCTACGTCATAGAAAGACTTGCTCAGTCAGCACCAACCCGCCGCGCGCTCGTCTTCCCGCGACAAGTCAAGCCGGTACCAGCTGGAGCCACTGCTGCGGAACTTGAGGCCGCATTTGAAATTGAAACTTTTACATTCCAGCAACTTTACACTCGGGTTCTCAAATATGCAAGAGTGCTGGCCAACAATGGCGTCAACTCTTCGCACACCGTAGCTCTCGATTGCATGAACTGCCCGGAGTTTATGTTTGTTTGGTTTGCCGTGTGGTCTTTGGGAGCTACACCTGCTTTCATCAATTATAACTTGACTGGGAATGGGCTGGTGCACTGCATTAAAACTGCATCGCCTAAACTTGTGCTTGTGGATCCAGCAGTCAGCGATAAGGTTGATCCAGTGCGTAAAGACCTGGAAGCTCTTGCACCTGTGGTTTACATGGACAATGATTTCAAGACTCAAGTTGCCCAAGCAGAACCTCTCCGTGCTCCTGATGAGGCCCGACACCCGGAACACAAGCCCTGGGATACGGCATGCTACATTTACACTTCAGGTACCACGGGGCTGCCAAAAGCAGCCATCATGTCGTGGCGCAAGGCCAAGGACGGGTCTGCTGTATTTGCTACAGCCACCGGAGTTACTTCAGCCGATACGGTATACACGGCTATGCCCTTGTACCACTCTACGGCTTCGGTACTTGGAGTGTTAGCTGCATACAATAAAGGTGCAGCCGTGGCGTTGGGCCATAAATTTTCCACTACCACGTTTTGGACCCAAGTTAAAATAACAGATGCCACGTATATACAGTATGTGGGCGAGACCGGGCGATACTTGTTGAACGGGCCTGTGTCTCCACACGAACGCTCGCACAAGGTGCGCGTGGCTTCTGGTAACGGGATGCGGCCGGACGTTTGGGAGCGATTTAAAGAGCGGTTTGGGATCCCAGTTGTAGCTGAATTTTTTGCTTCGACTGAAGGTCCTCTTGCAACCACCAATTACCAGCGCGGCGCGTTCGGCGTGGGTGCAGTGGGCCGGTACGGAGCTCTTGTTTCGTGGCTGATGCTGGAGTATACCCATGCACTGGCCAAGGTCGATGGCGAAAACGAGCTTTGGAGGGACCCAATGACTGGGCTTTGTCGGTCGCCCTCAACAGGCGAAGCTGGAGAGCTTTTGTGTCGTATTAAGAACCCGAAAAAGGCGCACGAAACGTTCCAAGGTTATCACGGCGATAAAGCGGCTACGGAGAATAAGATTTTACGTGACGTATTTCGAAAGGGCGACGCTTGGGTGCGATCAGGCGATTTATTACGCAAAGACTCGCACGGGCTGCTTTACTTTGTGGACCGACTTGGCGATACGTTCCGGTGGAAGAGTGAGAATGTAGCTACGGGCGAGGTAGAGGCCGTGGTGTGTGCTTATGAGGGCATTTCCCAGGCCATTGTTGTTGGAGTCCGAGTCCCACAGCACGAGGGCCGGGCTGGGTTTGCAGTGATTGAAGGTGAGTCAGTTGCAGACCTCGGGAAGTTTGCGCAATTTTTGTTGGCGCGGCTTCCACGCTACGCAGTACCTGTGTTCATTCAGTTTGTACCGGCAATTGCTCGCACGGGAAATAACAAGGTCCAAAAGGGCAAGTACCGCGAGCAAAAGTTCCCAGGCACCGATATCTACTGGCTGGACGGGGATACATATGTAAAATTAGACGATGCTAAATGGGAGGCCATTAGCAGTGGAAAAGTTAAATTGTAAAAGCTATACTATATAAATCAATTAAAGGCTCTGTTGCGGGCCTCGAGGAATGAAGCCACGCCCTGGTCAAATGCTTGACCAAAGACCCAGAGCAAATCACTACCTCCCTTTTCTGCTGCGTGCTGGTCGGTGCGGGCGGCCTTCCAAGCGGCGCGACGGCCGATTTCTGAGTGGTTGAACTTGTCAAATTCCTGGGCATCGAGCCAGCCCACACGGAAACCGTCCTCGAAACGCCAGTGCTGCCAGTCACGGTTGCCGTCCTGGGAGTTCCAGTAGTTTGTGTGATTACCAATAGCCTGTTGGGCCGCATGATGGTACTGTTCTGCGTAGTAGTTGTCGTCCGGGGCCCGGTCGCTGGGGAATTTGTTAGAGGCAAATCCGGTGGACAAGCACCCCTTTTCTTGCATTTCGCGGAACCCCCACTCACCGCCAGAACCATAGCGGAATTTGTATGTCCAGAAGTAATAAGCCGCAGCCTTTTGGTTGAAGAGTGCACATTGGCGATTGCCAAACTCGTGTACTAGGTCTTCTCGCGAAGTGCCGCTATTGTTGAGTTCCCAAGAATGGCCGTCCATGACGCAGGAAAACTCGCCGACCTGGACATCAACGTCTTGTGCACATGAATTGGGTAGTGCCTTTTCAATTTCGTCAATTAATTGGCGTGGAGCAGTGTTGCGGTCCTTGTCTGAAAAGGTGCGGTAAACGTGCTCGTCAAGAATAAGACCTACAGGCGTTCCAGCATCTGAGTCACATTTCTTTACCCAGTCGATCCACGAGGGCAAATCCCAGCCATCGGAAATAATGACTGGAATCTCTGTATTAATTTCGCGAACGACATGTAATGCTTTGAGGTAAAAGCTGCGCTGGGTCTCCCAGTCATCGGCAAATGGCGCTTCGTTGAGGACCTGGATGCCCACGACATTTTCATAAGCCTTAACAGCTTCAGCCAGGTATTGCAGCACACGCAAAGTCTTAACCTGGCACTTGTTTGACTCCCAGAGAGCACCCTGGGCCGTACTGATACCTGAATGATCAGCCGAATTTGCACCCCCCGGTACCGCATGGACATCGATAAGAACACCGATATTATGAGCAATAGCCTTTTCCAAAACATACTTTTGGATAAAGTCCCAGGAATTGTGGTAAATTTGGTCGAGTCCGTCAAAGTCAGTGGACCCGATGAATGAGCATGCGTCAACGTTCCAGTACCCGATGGGCAAACGGACAGAAGTAACGCCAACGCTGGCTAGCCATGCCCAATCGTCGTCAGAAATCCACGTGGACCAGTGGGTCTCCCACATTTCGCGGACCTTGTTAGCATCTCCGGAAAACTTTTTGAGGGCTGCTTGAATGGCATCGAACTCTGCAGTTTTGCCATTATCTTCGCCTTCTGGAAACATGTGAGGAGCAATCCACTTTTCAAGTACAAACATGCCACCCAGATTGACACCCTTGTTAAGTCTATTGACGTAGATTTGGCGTCGAGTTGGAGGCTGGTTGGCCCCGACTGGTTCTTGGGCGGAGATCAAGTCTGTTGAATAGAATTGGTTTTTGATAAATGATCCAAAGCCCATTTTTTTTTATTGATGTTATTATTTTATTGATATTATTATTTGATTGATTGACTGTTCAATTGATAGCAAGATTTGATTTTGGTAGGTTTAAAACAGGAGATTTTAAACTTTTTATAAGGTGACGTGAAATGGCTGAGTCCTTTTGATGGCTTTTAGTTTTTATTTTTTATTTTTACATTTTGGTTGCTAAATGTATACGGAAAGCTTATAATACGTCTATGATACGTCTATTATACGGCATTCACTGCCTCGTCTCCACCTCGCTTGGCAGCTACCAGCCGGTCGGGTCAATTCTTTGACCCGTCTTTAGTTCCGTTATTGTTCACTAAGTGCCGAGTCCGTTCTATAGAAGCCCTCATTGGCGGCTTGTGTGGCGGTTCCAGCATACACCTTTCGTTTCCGGTCTTGCCACTCTTTTAATCGCATCATTCGGGGGACTTTTTCTGGGGCCAGCGGCAGGTCATTTGAGTCCACTGATACCGAGTTCCGCCACGCCCGTTCGGTCATCCTCTGTGCCATGTCCACGATCTGTTCGCGTGGTACTGCGTTGACTGAGAAAGAAGCCCGGGTCGACGATACTTGGATCTGTTTTTCTTCAAGGTATCTGTTTGTCTGTTCCATAATGCTTTTCACGATGGACCAAACAACCCACAAAATCACGGCCACCACTACCAGTACTATGCACAATATTATCACGTCTTTCATATTAAAAACAAGGTATTGATGTATGAGGAATGAATAAGAATTATAAATGAGTTTATATATAAACCTTTAAGAATATATATATGAGAAAAATAAGAAAAATAAGAAAAAAAATAAAAAAAAATAAAAGATAAAAAAAAAAAAAAAAAAAAAAAAACAAAGTTGATGCGCCTGTAAATTCTTATATAGGAATTTTTTTTTCTCCACACATCTTTAACGCAAGGCTCAGCTGCCTCACAGCTTACACACTGGCAACGATTTCAGCCGCCTTTTGCAAACTGGCCACCATACGCGAGCACTCTCTGCGTCGTTGCACTGTAAACTCACTTTCTTTCAGCAGGTCCGGGATGCGTTCTGGTCGGTACAGCTGCTCAAGAAGTTTGGTTTGGATTTCTTCACGCGACTGACGTACCAAATTCAGCATCACGGCTTTGGGAACCAAGTCAGTCATTGTGCTCTTGATAATGTTAAAGTATGATGAAATCAACAGCTTGATCACTTCTGTCTCCATAGTCTCGCGCTCCGACTGAGCCGGCGACGCCTTAAGAACTGCTGGTGGAGGTTCCATGGCAGCAAGCTTCTTTTTGCTCTTGGACGCAAAAAACGAATTGAAAAACCCGCCCTTGTCGTCGTCAATGTGCACTGGCTCTGGCTCAGGGCTCTTTAATGGCTTGCCTGTCTTGGGGTCTACACGAACAGGTGGCGTTGGGTGGAGGCGTTCTTGTACAATCGCCATGGCTGTTGTTCCATTCATAAAGTTGGGGTGGGCCGTGTTGATGTAGGCTGCTTCCATTGATACAATGTCCGTAACAAGAGCGTTAGTCGGGGAAAGTCTTGATCTTAGGAATGCAACAATTGCGCTGAAGAGCTCATCTTTGAGTGTCGGATACCGCTTAAACACGCTCTTTTGCAAAATCTGGTTGACAATCCGTACCAGTTCGTCAAACACAAGAGACACACATTTAAGCGAGGGCTCCTCAAAACGCTTAATCTGCTGTTTAACAATCACTTCAAAAGCCTCGCCGCCAACAAATAACGCTGGAGAAGATCCAGATGAATTGTAAAGAATTGTACGAATATCCACATCCTTGACCTGGTCGAACGGGTCAATAGCCTTGATTCCACTGGTGTAAAGCTCGTGAAACACAAAGCTGATACGAGCACCTCCAGAAAGTTCTGTTGTGCTAAGGTCCTGTGAGTTACCATCGAGAATCGTGCGATACTCGTTTGTGAGCTCCGTAATGACATTCAAAACAATGTTGGATGGTGACCCGAGCAAATCATCACCACCCAGCTGCTGCAACTCGGCCTGATACTTTGTAAGAGTCGAATGAATGCGGGCCTTAATGTCAGGTAAAGTGGTTTTGATATGGTGAAGCAAAATGGTATTGAGTTTGCGTGCAAGAAATGGTGTACCACAGTATTGGGCCTTTGCACGGTATGACGGGTGGTTTTCAAAGAACTTGCGCTCATTCTCCAAGGCATCCTTGATACTCTTTTTCCCATTGATATCCTTCTGGCCTCGGTTAATGACTGGCACATATCCATAACGTAACGGAATCACACGGCCAGCCAAAATGTCCACCACGTCAGTGCCCTGGTCCATCAAGTCAATTTTGGTCAAAACACCAATTGTTCGTGTTCCCTCTGGGTCCACCTCTCGTGCAAGCTTCAGTCCGTCCGAGTTGGCCAAATCCGTGTTTGCGGCTGTAACAGACAAAATGATAGCATTAGGCTTAGAAATAAACTTGAGCACCATGTCGCGGATTAACCGCTCAATGTTTTGTGGTTGATCGCCCACAGGCACCTTAGTCAGACCAGGAAGATCTACCAGTGTTAGGGTCAATACATTGGGAGAAAAGATTCGCAGGTTAATGGGCACGGGTGAAATGCCGGCATTGTGGCCCGTGGTTTTCTCAGTCTCGGCCTCAATCTCCTTGCGAATGGCGTCAAAGTCTGTGAATTTTTTGCCTGGCAAATGCAAAAACTCGCCCCATTCTTCTGCAGGTGCATCGCTCCCGTCAGACATCTTGTCACCGGCGCGTCGGTTTGTCAGTTGTAACACTAAGGGCCGACGCGTCACAATACCTGTGCCTCGAGGCAAAAAGTCTCTACCCACAATGTTTTCCAAAACAGACGACTTGCCGCTCGATTGCGAGCCCACCACGGTGATCTGTGGCAAGTCAATCGGGTTCGACATAGGACCCAGCGTGGCAAACGCATCCTGGAGCCGGTTGACTGTTGAAATCAAGTGTGCATCCATGATTTTTTTTTTATTTTTTTCAGTTAGGTTTTGGTTTTGGTTTTGGTTTTGGTTTTGTTTGTTAGATGGTTGGTTGGTATTAAAAACAAGTGGCGGTTGAGCTGGTAAAAAAATCTCTCTCGTATTGCCAGCTGGAAGGTTTCCCTCCCCCTCTTAGCCCTAACCTCAATCCAAAAACTTTTCCCTACCACAACCGCAATCACTTCACCCGAAACCCGCCTGCCCTCCCCAAAGATGTCCCGACGCTCGTTGCCCGACCAAATCGCCGACGGCCTAGGTCTGCTCGGTGCTTTTGCTGCTGCCATTAAAACTACTCAGACAAACCCACCGGAACTCGATGATCCTTTGGCTGCCATTGCAGATATTGCAAAGCTCTCTAAGGCCCATGCCACCAAACTTGCTGTGGCTTGTAAGCCACCCTTCAGTTCGGATCTTGTAGCACCGCTATTTGCAGAGTCGCTCAAGATGGCGGCACCCATGGCTGCTGCTGTTTCTGCGGCGGACAGTAAACTTGCAAAGCTAGTAGTTACAGAGCTCAAAAGACTTGTGGCCAACTACTTTGCAAGTTTGCACGCTTTTTACACAGAGATCCGGGTCCTGGCCCAAAGCACGGAGCCTGAATCATCGTCTGCGCGGCTTGTGACGACGGCTGAGTTATGGTATGCTTGTGACCAACTGGCTGCCTCTCCAACGACGCTTACACCGTCCCGTATTCTTGCGCAAAAGACCAAACTTTACTGCGATACGATTACTGATGCCGCCGAAGAACTTTCTGACGCAGCAGCTGGTAATCTAGACGAGGGCTACGACTCGGAAGATGGCCCAGATTTTGTTATTATGGATGGCCCTGTAGATGCGCCTTTAGACGAATCTGTTGCCAAAGACTTTGACTCGCTTGCAAACAAAACAGCCAAGCTTAGCATAGAAGAAATCCCACGGGACACTATGGCCTCGTATGCAAAGGCTCTGGGACTTATTCCACAAGCAATCAAAACGTCTATTCTATTTCTTCTACGCAAAAAGGACACAAAGCCTGCAGATTACGACACGCTTTATGCTCATTTTAAGACTATAGTGGCGCTGGTGGACGATCTTGTTGCGTATTCAACATACCAGCCTGATGAGACTGAGGCAGTTGAAACTGCAAAAGGTATAGTCACTGAGCTTAAGGATATAACCACCTTGACGGGAGCATCTACTGATCTTTCTGAAATCCAAACCAACTTGCAATTATAATGTATTTATTATTATAGATTTACCATCCATCATCACTTTCCTCGTCGTCACTTCCACCAACCTTGTTTTTGCGCTTGTTGAGGGCTTGGGCAAGAGCATCAGCAAGAGAAGCGGGTTGACCACCTGGAGCCGCTGACGAGGTTGGGGGAGGTGCTTGGCCCTTGGCTTCCATGAGCAGAACTGACGGCTTGTCAAGTGCAGATTTGTCGACTTTTCGTAGACTGCCAATGCCGGCGCCACGGATCGATGCAAGAAGAGCATCGCGATCTCCTGAGACGGCTGGTAGAGGTGCAGCAGCAGGCATTCCTCCTGGTGGAGGTGGTGGAGGCGCTGGAGGAGCACCAAATGACGATTGCGTGCTGGCTGGCAAAGGTGGTGGTGGTGGTGGTGGTGCAGATGTAGGGCCTGAAGATGGGAGCGGTGGAGCCGGGGGTGCAGCAGAGGGGGCCGAGAATGATGGCAATGGAGGTGGCGGCGGCGGTGCAGGAGCCGCAGCGGCGGGTGCAGCAGGCGCAGCAGGTGCAACAGGAATAGCTGGAGCTGCAGTCTGAGGTAAGGGTGGTGGAAGAGGTGGGGCTACAGGAGCAGTGACTGGAGGGGTGTATTGCTGAGGAGCACTGACCGGAGGGGTATACTGTTGAGGAGCGCGAGGTGGTGGTGGAGGGGATGTGGGATAAGCTGGAACGGCAATTGGTGCACGGGAAGGAGGAGGAGGCGGGACAGCCGTGGAGCCTGCGCGTGGAGGAGGTGGTGGAGGCGGGGCAGCAGTGGATCCTCCGGCACGCGGTGGTGGTGGAGGCGGTGGGACAGCACCGGCACCACTAGTACCGGTACCGGCCACTGCTCTCTGGGGAAGATTAGGAGGAGGTTGCTGGGCATATGGAGACTGGGCAGGGGATCCAAACCGTGGGGTATAATCCTGGCCAGGAGCCAAGGGCATACGTGGGGGGAGAGATGGTGGAGCAGGCAATGGTCTATCAGTTGCGGCGAGTCCTGGAGCCAGACCCGGATGCTGGGGAGGGAATGGCGGGAGAGGCGGGCCATTTGATGTTCTAGACGGAAGAGAAGGAGGTGGAGATGCAATTGGCGAGGTAGGCATGGAGGGAGCAGCTGGAGGTGGGGTAGGAGTCTGGGGGGAAGCAACGGTAGGGACGTGGGTCCCAATATATGGCATTGGGGGTGGGACCTTATGACCTGAAGTTGGGGGTCTAATGGAGGTTTCTGGAGTACTTGAGCGAGTTTCGTCCGAGTCGGATTCTGCAATTGAAGAAGCAGAAACAGCAGGAGCAGGAGCAGAAGAAGGAGCAGGAGCACCTGATGGTGGTGGAGGGGGAGGAGCACGAGTTCTACGGAATGACGATGTAGGTTCAGCTGGAGACGAGGGGACTGAAGACTCATAATCTTCGTAGGTATTTGCTGCCGGGTATGTTCTTTCCTTAGTCTTGCGAGGGATGGGTGGCTCGAGACCGACTAGGGGCCCACCTTGTTGGCGAATGTAGTTTTTGATAAACTCTCTATTATCTGCAATCATTTCCTCTGTAATGCCAGCAGCTGCGAGTTCCGAGTATAATGCGCGCCATTCCTCTGGAGGTTCATCATCATAGTACTCGACACCTTTATTAAGATGGATACGCTGGCGATTTCCCGAAGTATCTCCACGTAGACCAGTTCCAGCAGCGGGGCCTAGTTGTTCCTTTGGTCTTTTGGTGGCAGCCAGTGCATTTTTATTGTTGAGGGTAGCTTTGCTCGCGTGCTTTTCCTTATGTTGGACTTTTTTGAAAAAGGTAGCAGCCTCGCTCTCATCGGCAAACAAAAAGCCTGCATAACACTCTTCAAGTTCAAAAGAATGGAAAAAAGAACGGTCCTGATGATATTGGAAATCAACGTAAAGTTCCTGGTCCCATAGAACACCACGAGATGATCCAAGGTCAACCAACTTGAAGAAAAAAGTGCTACCAACTAGGTCATTGACGAGTGCCAGCGCGCCTGACAGTCCGGTGTAAGTCCATGTTTGAGGGTCTGGGTAGGCGATATACAGTCTAGCTACAGCGACAGTGACAATTTTATTTGAAGGCTTTGGAATGACACGCTTGATTTTGTCTTTGTCTGCGGTTGTGAGCAGGCCCATTGTGCGATTGGTTTGTCTTTTTTGCTGGGTTTGTTTGTTTGTTTGTTATTATTGGTAATGGTGGTGGTGGTGAAAAATATCGAAAAATGAGCGTTTTTGGGTTTTTGGAAACTCCGCCTGAAGTAAAAAAATAAAAAATAAAATAAAAAATAAAAATAAAAAATAAAAATGCCACTGTGGCCAAAAGATTACCCGGCTCAGCAACTTCTAAACCTCCAAAAAGTTAAAATTTTTTTTTTTTTTAATTTTTTTAAATTCTTTTAAAATCACCACCACCACCACCACCACCAAATCAATAATCAAAAATGTCTGGACGTCAAGGCGGAAAACTCAAGCGTATGTAATAATTTTCATTTCATTTAAAAAAAATTTTTTTTTTTTTTTACATTTCTAACTATTGATATAGCTCTTAAGGCTCCCAAGAAGAAAAACAATGAATTTGAAGACGAAGACGATGCTGCCTTTAAGGCCAAGCAAAAGGCTGATGCTGCTGCTCGCAAGGAAATGGCCTCCAAGGCTTCCAAGGGTGGCCCTCTTGTCGGTGGCGGAATCAAGAAGTGAGTAATTTTTTATTTTATTTTTTTTATTTTATTTTATATTCTTTTTTTTTTTTTTAAACCAAATTTTATATAAATGTTTTATCTTATCACTAACTATTCTATCTAGGTCTGGCAAAAAATAAAAAAAATTAAAATTTAAAAAAAAAAAAAATTAAAATTTCATAGCTTTCAATTCAAACATTTAAGATATAACTATAGTAAAAGGCAGCAGCTTCAATGTGCACATCTAGCGCTATACGCTCATCCACTGTGTGAATATTGTTGGCCGTAACGCTCTCGTAGCGGTATGGTGCAAACCGGAAAATATTATCACTCAGCCGCCAGTAGTGTACAGTGTCTGTATTGGCAACCATAAGTGATGGAGCAACAATTACAGGACCTTGTTCAGCAACTGCTTTATCATACTGATTTTCCTTTGTCGGGTCCATAATTGCACCTCCAAATTCTTCAAATACATATCGGATCGTCCCACTCAGAGTCTCCCAGGCTTCACTTCCAACAGTAGGTGTAATAGGCGACACAGGCCGCGAAATTCCAAAGTTGGAAACTACTAAAGACCCTGCCACTTGTCCCAATCCAGGCCGCTTACCCTTACCATTGCCCGATGGCTTCATGACTTGCTGGAAATTGACTGTACCATCATCAAGCGTGTGATTAACAGCAACTCCAAGACCATGCTTAGTTGCCACTGTTTTGGCATTGGCAATTACCTTGTCAAGAGTTTGTTGTACAGTACTATCCAAGTCGATTCTGTAGTTGGCCACCAACGTAGCTTGTTCAGGCAACGCGTTTACCTTAAGTCCTCCCTGCATTAAATCAATAGCCTGAGATGTTTGCACCATATACTTTGTTGCTGAGGTCTTGCCGAGTACATGGAAAATAGCCTTTTGAACTAACCATGACGAAGTTGTATGTTTAGCCAGCCATTGGATTATACCACGGAAAGCTGCTGGCACAGGCGCATATTCAGCTGTGCATCGCAGATATGCATACACGGGTGAATGCTGCGTAAGGACAGGTTGGAATGGCGTAGACTCCATTACGACAGCCAGCTCGCTTATGATTCCAATGGCTGTGTGATCTGGTGGCATGGATGAATGGCCACCTGGAGTGTTAAGCTGGACTTTGATATCAAACATACCCTTTTCAATGACTCCAGGTAGTGCAAATTTGACACCTTGTTGTTTGATGACACCAAGACCACCTTCATCAATTATAGAGTGCACAGAGTTTGGTCCATAGCGAGTTTCCAGAAACTTTCCAATTTTGGCAGCACTATAATGACCAGAGATTTCCTCATCAAACCCAAAAGCCAGAATAATTGTACGTCTAGGACGCATTCCCTGTTTGACCAAAATCTCAACAGCTTCAAGAATTGCTAGTAACGAGCCCTTATCATCGGAAGCCCCGCGGCCCCACACGTATGTGCCATCAAAGTCTGCAGCGTATGGTGGGTGGGTCCATTTATCGAGCGAGTCGTCAAACACGGGCACAACATCTTGGTGGGCCATAAGGATAGTAGGCTTTAATCCAGGTACTGTGCCGTTCCACGTGTAAACCAAAGAATGAGTGTTTACGTGTTCGAGGAGAAGAGTATGGTGAACATTAGGGAAAGATTCCTTAAGGACGCGTTCAAACTCGTAAAACACGTCCCACCGGTGGTCGAGACCAACAGGCCCGGCATCATCGTAAGCCTCGGTACGCACGCGCACGGATCTTTGTAATACAGCCAAACTCCAGTTTCGGAACTCGGGTGTGCGGAACGCAGACAAATCGCCGTGGGGTGGGGCCATTGGAGAGGTCTGAGGGCAGCCATCAGGACTGGAGGTTGTAAAAACAAATGTGGTCAATGCGGCTAAAGCAGCAATGATTGCGGCACCTATAAAAGGCCATCGAGAAGGTTTTTGAGTGATTGTTGATGGTGATTGTTGTTTTGCCATTTAATTTTTATTTATATTTAATTATTTAATTATTTAATTGGTGTAGTAATAATAGGGTGAATGAAGAAAGGGAATGATGGTTTTAGTAGAAGCCAAAAAAAAAAAAAAAAAAAAAAAAAAAAGCAGCATGAATATATAAAAAAAAAAATCTGAACATGAATATTCAATTGACTCCACTTTAGAGACTGCCTAGCCTTTCATAAATGGAAGTAGTAGTGTAAATTATTATTAGTGGCATAATAAAAATAATAATATAAGAGTTGCATATATATATATCACTGACAATGTTAGGATTAAAATAAAGGGTTTTGAATAAACCAGAAGAAGAAGAAGAAAAAAAGAAGGTTTTTTTTTTTTTCTTTTTTTTTTTTTACAGATAAGAACGTCATTTGGTACTTAAATATACTTTTAAAAGTATATTTAATTTATATATATATAATTAATTATAATTAAAATTTTTGAAAGCCGTTGATGATTTTATTTATTTATTTATAATTATTTAATCCGTTAGAATACCTAAATTTCAATCAAATAGTTTCGTTATCAGCAACAACAACAACAACAACAATAAAATCCTTTTGTTTTTTTTTTAGAAGAAGTTTCTTTTGAAAGAAAGAAAGAAAAAAAAAAAGATTAATAGCAAATATAATAATAATAATAATAATAATAATAATAATAATAATAATAATAAATAGCAATCTCTATGATCTCATTGGAAATAATCGGCTGATGTATGCCGTTGACTTTAATATATTCAAAAAGATTTTATTTAAATAAATAAAATTTTATTTATTTATTTTTTTTTTTTTTTTTGACAAAGAACTTTACAAAGTTTTAATTAAATCATATATATGAATCAATATATTCTAATAACATCATATAAGACCTAATTGGGTCTGCAGTAAAGACCATTCTCAATCATTCAACTTATATTAACAAAGAACTTTTTAATGGCTTATTGCCTATTGTCTATTGACTATTGACTATTGACTATTGACTATTGACTATTGCTTATTGCTTATTATTACAAGTTTAAAATGTAGCTATAATAAAAGGCAACCGCTTCAATATGCACGTCCAACAAAATGCGCTCGTCCACCGTGTGGATGTGACTCACCTGAGTGTCCAGCACCCGATACGGCCAGAACCGATAAATATTATCAGTCAAGTCCCAATAATGCTTAGTATCTGTATTAGCTGTCATCAAAGCAGGAGATACCACAATATTTTGAGGTTCTTTAGGCTCTCCATCAAATACTTGATGCTTCTTAGTCGGATCAATTACAGGACCCGCAAAAGTCCCAAAAACATGTCGAATTGTACCACTAAACGTGTCCCAAGCCTCGCTATCAAATGTGGGTGCAATGGGTGCAACCTTGGTGTAAGACCCATAATCTGATATCTCAAAGTACCCGTTGGTCAATGTATCTGAGGGCTCATATACACTACCCTCCAGTAAAACTTCATGCTCAAAGGAACCATCATCCAGTGTCTTGTTGAGAGACAATCCAAGACCATATTTTTCAGCAATTTGACGCACATCTTCAACCACCTTTTGGCGTGTTTCGTCAACATTGCTCTGTAAATCAATCCGGTAGTTAGCCATTAGTTCGACCTTTTCAGGTAGCGCGTTAATCTTAAGTCCGCCAGCCACAATATCAATGGCCTGAGAAGTTTGAATCATATATTTTGTAGCACGTAACCGACCCATGACCTTAAACACTGTATCCATGGCCTTTTCGTCAGTCGCACATTTTTGAATTGCTTGTCGTAAATCCTCAGCCATTTCTTGTGAATAAGCAGCAGTGCATTGCAAAAACTTATAAATGGGAGAGTGTGTATTAAGCGCTGGAGAAAAGGGCCTTGATTCCATAAGTGAAGCAAGTTCACCAATAATACCAATGGCTGTGTGGTCTGGTGGAAGCGATGAATGGCCTCCTGGAGTCTTTAGTACTACTAACGCGTCGTACATGCCCTTTTCTGTGACGCCGGGCAACGCCAGCTTAACACCTTGTTGTTCAACTACTCCGGAACCTCCCTCATCTACAATTGAATGAATAGAGTTAGGACCATATCTTTTAAGCAAGTGTTTTGAAATATGGCCAGCTCCGCGGCTGCCGGAGATTTCCTCGTCATAGCCAAAACTTAGGATAATTGTACGCCGTGGGGCTTTGATACCTTGATTCAAAAGAGTTTCAACGGCTTCTAAAACAGCTACCAGCGAACCTTTATCGTCGGAAGTCCCGCGGCCCCAAATAAACTTGCCATCAAAATGGGCCGAGTATGGTGGGTAAGTCCAGAGTCCCAGGGAATCATTAAGAACAGGGACAACATCCTGATGGGCCATGAAAATTGTTGGTTTGAGAGAAGGGTCAGTGCCGTTCCATGTATATAAAAGGCCGTGTGTATTGATACGTTCAAAGGCTAAAGTTTGGTGGACTTTAGGGAAAGATTTTCTAAGTGCATTTTCGAGGTCATAAAATATGTTCCAACGGGGGTCAATGCCTACGGCTCCAAGGTCATCATAGGACTCAGACGGCACTTGGACGGCACTTTGGAGTACTGCAAGACTCCAGTTACGAAACTCAGGGGTTTTGAAATGCGCGAGATTGGCGTTTTGTGGAGGGATGGGGACTACTTGGGGGCATGATTCTTGAAAGGAGGTTTCAAGGGATGAGGGGGAGACGTGTTCAAGAGCAAGCTGATTGTTTGTTTGGTCAAAGACGGTAGAAATTGATGACGAAGCCAATAAAGCTTTTGCAAGTGTCAAAGTTGGGAATTTCATGATTTTGGAGGTGGTAATGAAGAGTGTAATAATAATAATAAAGATATTTATTTATTTATATATACAGTAAGGTTTAAAAGCCGGAAAAATAAAAAAATTAACAAAAAATAAATATAAATAAATAAAAATAAAAATAAAAAAAAATAAAAAATAAGCGCGTTCGTTATATACAAAAAAAAAAAAATAATTTCCAAAAATGGCAATATTTAATACACAGAATGATTTAAAAAAAAAGTTCATAAGATCATTAATACTAAATCCTAAAGAGTAACTAAAAAAACATTATACAAAAAGTATATATAAAACCGAAAAAAAAATTCATAAACATAAAAAAAATATTAATCTATCATAAAAAAGAACAAGAGAACCCAGCAACTAGATCCACTTAAAGGAAGTAGACAGCAGCAGCAAGGACACCGGCAGCGGCACCAGAGAAGCCAAGCTTGGCAGCACCACCCTGGGCAACGGTAGAGGTGGTGGTGACGTTAGCGACAGGAGAAGAGGTGACGGACTTGGTGGAGACGGGAGCAGAAGAAGAGGGAGTGATGACGGTGGTAGGGATGACAGGGGTACCGGAGATGACAGGGACGGTGGTGACGGTAGAGGTGGTGATAACAGACTCTCTAGTGCAAGGGCAGTTGGTGATGGTGACAGTGCCGGGAGCAGTGACAGTGATAGTCTTAGAGTTCTCGACAATGGTAGTAGACTCAGGGCAGTAAGTGGTGTAAGCGGTAACGACCTCGGTGGTGGTGATCTCGCAGGGGAGAGTGACGGTGGTGACGTTAGCGTAAGAGGCAGAGGCAACACCGGCAAAGACGGCGGCAGCGGCAGCGACAGAGAACTTCATTTTTTAAAAATTAAGAATTTGGGGGGGTTTTAAAGGGAGTAGCTTTTAAGATTGAGCGAATGACTAGGGTTGGATAGGGAATAAAAAAAAAAAAAAAAAAAAAAAAAAAAAAAAAAAGAAGAAGAATTTGAGGGAGGAAATGGCTCGCCTTTTATAGTTTGAGGGATAAACAAATTGGCAAGATAGTGAAAATATATATTAAATATATTTATTTTAAATATATATATATATATAGATATATATTTTTTTTTTCCATTTTTAGGTATTGCAGATGTCTTTTAAAAAAAAAAAAAAAAAGTATTTATTTATTATTTCTTTGTGCATTAAAAGAGTTTTCTTTTTTTTAAATACCAAAAAAAAAAAAAAAAAAAAAAAAAAAAAAAAAAAAGAAAAAAAAAATTTGTTTGAAAGATAAGACCATGGAGATAAAAAAATATATATATATTTAAATAACAAATATTTGATAGTAATAAAAAGATTAAAAGGATTTGAAAATTTTGTTTTTATTATTCAATTTCTTTCTTTTTTTTTTTTTCAATTATTAAAAGATCATAATTATCATCATTATTATTTTATACAAATATATATATATATATATATATATATATGAAATTCCTTTTTTTTTTTTTATTTATTTATTTATAAAAAATTTTTTTGTGTGTGCAGATTTTTAAAAAAAAAAAAAAAAAAAAAAAAAAAAAAAAAAAAAAAAAAATTGTGGCGTAAGGGCTTTCCTATTTTGGCAAAAAAAAATCAAAATGTTGTAAAAAAAGAATTTTGTCTGTACATATAAAAATATTGTTTGTATATATAAAAAAAAAAATTTGATAAATATAAAAAGTTTTAAAAATCTATAAAAAATGATGCTGTTGATACTGTTGATGCTGTTGATACTGTTGATGCTGATGCTACTACACTTTTACTACTACAACTGCTGAATAATCCTTAATTCAATATAAATATATTTAATATATTTAAATATATATTCAAATTTTGGTATTTCAAAAGCTACTTAGTACTGCTAATGCTACTGCTTCTGCTATAAATTCAAAAGGTCTCCGTTCAATAATCTTTGCTCCGTACGGACTTTCATAAAAAAAAAAAAAAAAACCTTTAATACTTCCTTACTTCCCTACCTGAATTTTTCAAAGGAAATTTCTCACGTGCAATCATACAAGTTTTGAAAAGAATGTAAAATATATAAAAAAAATAAAAAAAAATAAAAAATTATATATCACTTTCAACCCCCCCCCCCCCTTTTTTTTTATTTTATTTTATTTTTAAATATATATTATTTATAAATAAAATGTTTGGTAACAATATATATCGAGGAGGAATTTATTTTAAATGCAGATTCTCTTTTTATCAACAATGATAATGATAATAATAATAATAATAATATTTTTTTTTTTTTTGGGTAAGTTCATCCCAACATTGATTAAAGTAGTAATTTGGTAAACAACGGCCTTAAAAAAAAAATTAAACAAAATTAAAATAAAAGAATTTCAAGTGATGATATTAATAAAAAATATTAATAAAAATAATCTCAACACGCATGTACACAGACGTGGTGTTGATAATCCCAGTTCGGTTCTTTGGAATGCATGAATAAGCATTACTCATTGAATTAAACGAATCGCTTCCCTAAATTTGGCTTTGTACGGGAAGAAGAAAAATAAATAAATAAATAAATAAATAAATAAATAAATAAATAAATAAATAAATAAATAAAAGGGTAGATAGAAAAGGGGAAACAACAGAAAGTATTAAAGAAAAAGTGCCTTTTGGTAAAAAAAAAAAAAAAAAAAAAATTCAATGACGATGATGATGATGATGATAATCAAAGATATTAAATCAAAGATAACGAAGAAAGTTTTAATAACAACATGTGCCTGAAAAGACCTTTTTTTTTTTTTTTTTTTTTTTGGAAAAGTATTTTTAAGGTTACAAATAGTGACGTTTTTAGTGGTGCGAAGCAGCAATAACAACAGCACTTTAAAATCATAGCAATAAAAATAATTGTTAAGATAGTGTGTGTGTGCCAAAAGGAAACAAAAGAAAAAAAAAACAGTCAGTCAGTCAGTCAGTCTGTCTGTCAGTCAGTCAGTCAGCCAGCCAGCAAGCCAGCCAGCCATCTGCAAGCGGCAAAATCTAAGCAGCCGCAGAAGCAGCAAAAGCAGCAGCAACAGAAGCAGCAACAGCAAAAAACAGAAGCAGAAACAGAAGCAGCAGGGTAGCAGTACGAATTAATAAATGGGGTATAAAAAAAATAAAATAAAATAACAATTCAATATATAATGGAAATAACAATATCAGTAGTGGCTCATTTGGAAGGGTCTTTGGTAGAACCTAGTGATAATAATGGTTAATGGTGGTGGTGGCTGGTTGATATTATGGACTGGTATATATATATAAAGTAAAGTAAATTAAAATAAAATAAAATAAAGGTATTTTTTCAGTGAAAGAACAGTAACACAATTTTTATTTATTTTTGATAAATGTATTAGAAGATGTTCCCATTGGTAATTAATATTAAAAAAAACACATGCATTTTATTGAGAATAAATGCTTCAAGTCAAAACAAGCAAGAAAGAGTTTTTTTTTTTTTTTTTTTGAATTGTGAATTGTTAATAATTTGAGATTGTTGTTGTTGTTGTCTTTTTTTTCTTTATTTCTTTTTTATCACGGATCATATTCTAGCCGATGTGTGTAATGTAGTAGTTAGAAGTAATGGTGGTATCATAGATTTCTTTCTTCTATCTTTATATATATATATATATATATATATACATCAAATAGATTAAAGTTGGATATCTTTACAAAATAAAGGGTGCTTTTTATGGTTTTTTTTTTTTAAAAAAAAAAGTATTTAGAATTGAAGAAAAAAAAAACAGATTTAAATAAAAAATGAAAGAAGTTTTTTTTTTTTATAATTATTATTATTATTATTATTTTTTTTTTCTTGGCTGGTTGAAATAAATATTCCATTCGGGGTTTGTGAAAAAAAAAAAATCAAACTACTTAATAAATACGAGGAAATTAACATCCCAAAGGGATTTTCAAGTTTAAATTTAAATTTAAAAATAAATAAATTTATCATTTAAATGAAATACACAAATTGATTTCGAACAAAGAATCAAAGTCATGTGAGTTTTGTTTTTTTCTTCTTCTTCTTCTTCTTCTTCTTCTTTCTTCTTAGTTTACCAAAAAAAAAAATCAACTTCAATGCATCCAAAGTCATTTGAAATCTTCTAAAAATCATATTGTTTAAATCGATTTTTTTTTTTTTTTCAATCATAGATAATGAATATCTTCATGCAATTATCTAATGATATGATATTTTTATTTCCTATTATTACATCTGTCGCTCTTTTATATCTCTCTTTCAAGTTACTCTTCAAAAACTAATTGCTTATCATTACATCAAATATCAGTAATTATAATATCAAAAAAAAAAAAAAAAATAAAAAAAAAAAAGAAAAAGAAAAGAAGAATATTAATCCCCAAGCTGGATAAATTTACTAAAACGCTTTTTTTTTTCTTTTTTTCCCCCTATTTATCAAAACTTGACAGAAGTTTATTTCTCTCTTTTCTTTCTTCCAATGGTTGGTTACTATCAAATAGATCATGTAAAAGAAATGAGATGAAATTGAATCTACCTAAAAAATATTCTGTACTACTAACATATGAATCTATTTTTTTTTTTTTTTCAAATTCGCTCCATCTTCATCTAAAACATTGGCAAAACTGGAATAAAATCAATCAAATCCCCGTAAAAAGAAAGCTATAATAGTTTTTTTTTTTGTTTTTTGTTTTAAACAGTTTTACACTAGCCCAACGTTAACCCCAGATATTATCTAGTAGTGTATATCTAGTAAATTATTAAAAAAACACTGAGTCTTGTAGAAAATTGACTTCATAAAAAATAAATTAACATGTATATGAAACTATTCATTTTTTTTTTAATATTAATTTTTATTTGAATTTCATGTATTCTAAATCAATTATCTTATTCAAAGATTTCCTACAGCTCAAAAAAAAGTTCTTTAGATTTTTTTTTTTTTATAATTTTTTATCGCTCGATTTAAAACTTATAGTATCAAGGCTTAATTCTTACAAGTTTTCACAGCATTCAACTAATGAAATTCAAGATTCTATATATACTTATATATATATACTTAAATTAAAAATTAAAATAATTTTTTTTATTTTTTTTTAAATATATCAATCAATACACTTTCAGGTCACTACTACAAAATAGCCTTTGAGTTGCTGTCGTAACAAGTTTTTTAACGAGTCACCACCAACACAGCATCCTTGTATGAGCCTCAAAACCAGATATATAAATAAAGGCCTTCCCCCCCAACTTTTCTAAAAAAATTTCTTTCTTCTTACCATCCACTTTTCATTCTTTTTACTACATTATCCTTCCCCTTCAAATATCTTTTTAGACAAACTAAAACACACATGCATTAATTAAATCTCACTCCAATGGACATCACTTTATTCATCAATAAATAAACATCAACAATGTTAAAAGGTAAGCTTCATAAAGACAAATATTTTGTACCTGATCTAACATTCACAATGGTTTTAGTTGAGCTATGCTCATCATTCAAGTTTTAGTTATGCCTTTGCTCTAAAATCATCCGTCCTTGCAGGTTGACTTGAAAAGTGTTTGGCTTTCCCCTCTTTTTAATTAAATTTTTAACAATTCCAAAGGTATGATTAGTGATTTGATATTTAACAATGATTGATAATGACTCTTATTATTAACACATCAAACAAAAAGTAGTAGTACACTATTGTTGTCTGTCTTTATCCCATAATACAAACAAGACTTGAGATGTTAACCTCTATGACTTTGATAAACCCAGCACTGAAAGATCTCCATACTCAATAATATTTGAGGTATCCATTGACTTTGTTGCTTCAACTTTATGTTGACGTTGCAACACACTAGTTAAAGTAATTGTCTCAAGCTTCAATCCCTGATATCATTGCTCCCTTTTGATTATATCTCTAAGGTAAGATAGTATCTGCCCATGATTGCCTACAAACTCTAACCTCATGTATTTTAAAAGTACCTGCTTTGTCATTTTCATGTATGTCTATTGGGAAATGCTAGTGGATAAGAAACGATATGTTTGATGTTGAGGTTTGTTAGCTGGACATGATTCTCATTATGTTGGAAAGGTCAATGGGACATTGAGATGTTGTCAGCAATGGGTATAGTCTTGGTTCTACTGGTATGCTGTCAGCGATGGGTATATTCGTGGCTCTACTGGTATGCTGGCAGCAATGGGAATATTCGCGGCTCTACTGGTATGCTGTCAGTTTTGGAAAATATTGGGGCTCTACTGGTATGCTGTCAGTTTTGGAAAATATCGGGGCTCTACTGGTATGCTGTCAGTTTTGGAAAATATCGGGGCTCTACTGGTATGCTGTCAGTTTTGGAAAATATCGGGGCTCTACTGGTATGCTGTCAGTTTTGGAAAATATCGGGGCTCTACTGAAGTACTGACAGTAAGCATTATCTAGATATCCATTGTAGCTAAATGATTTTTATAAATTCTATTGCGTGAAAATGTTGCCAAAAAAGGACCAACTGATCAATTACTAGATGGGTTCCGCACTAATCCTGACAGCATTGTTTTTTTTAAAAAATAGTAGTTTGTAGTGCTCACATCTAGACAAGCATAACTCAAAAAAAAAAAAAAAAAAAATAAATAAACTAACAAATGAGATAAATATTAGTCATCTTGTAGTAAGAAACTAACATTTTTCTTTCCAAAATGTATAGGAAAATGATTGAAATTCAAAATTCCATAGTGGTTAGGGTTTTGATATTTGGGCTAGGGTGAAATTATTTAGCCCCAACCCTTGAGGAATTAAAGATTTTTTGAAAATTCTAAAACCCTTAAATTTTCTTCGATGTTTTAAAAAATGATAAATACCGCAAGGGCTAGGGTGTGTATTTAATTAACCCTAGCCCCAATGGAATCTTTGATTTTTTAAATTAATGCCAAAAAATATCGATAATTTTGTCCAATTTTGCCCCATTTTTAAAAATCAATGAATTCCTCAAGGGCTAGGTTTATGTATTATAGCCCCAACCCTTGAGGAATTCAAGTTTTTTTGTAAATTCAAAAAACTCTTGATTTTTTTCTACTTTAATTAGAAATGACATATTCCGCAAGGGCTAGGGCCTACATTAGTGAACCCTAGCCCCAATGGAATCTTTGATTTTTAAAATTCCAGCCAAAAAATATCGACAATTTTGTCCAATTTTGTCCCTTTTTTAAAAATCAATGAATTCCTCAAGGGCTAGGTTTATAATAATATAGCCCCAACCCTTGAGGAATTAAAGATTTTTTAAAAATTCTAAAACCCTTAAATTTTCTTCGATGTTTTAAAAAATGATAAATTCCTCAAGGGCTAGGTTTATGGAATATAGCCCCAACCCTTGAGGAATTCAAGTTTTTCTGTAAATCCAAAAAACTCTTGTTTTTTTTCTACTTTAATTAGAAATGACATATTCCGCAAGGGCTAGGGCATGCATTTAGTAAACCCTAGCCCCAATGGAATCTTTAATTTTTTGCCTTATAGTCAAAAAATATCGACAATTTTGTCCAATTTTGTCCCTTTTTAAAATATCAATAAATTCCGCAAGGGCTGGGGTAAATATATGAAATCAACCTAACCCCAACGGAATCTTTAATTTTTTGCCTCACAGTAAAAAATATGGACCATTTTGTAAATTTTTGCCCCTTTTTTAATGAAACTAAGAATTCCGCAAGGGCTAGGGTAAATATTATATAAGCTTAAAATATTTATAATAATAGAAATTACGCAAGGTCTAGGGTAAATATTATGTAATCTAAAGAAATTTAAAAATTATTAAAATTTCACAGGGGCTAGGGTTAAGAATTTGGGTTAGGGTTCACCTTTAAGGTCCATTTTTTTATACCTCATTATCAAATTTTGTTAAAATTCCGCAAGGGCTAGGGTATCTGTATTTACCACCAACCCCAATTTTAGCTTTGAGCTGCCACTTGAGCCTTTATTTCGAATTCTTTTCAACATACATAGATAATCAAATATATTGATACATGTTAATAAATTAAACAATACATATTCTGAAACCTCTAAGCAATTTTTTGGAAATTGAGTATAAAATTTGTAATTTGTAATTTGTCCTCTAGTTTGCAAAGCTCCAAACCTCATTGACATTGAAAACCAAATTCACTGCCGTCTCAATAAGATAGCAAGGTTTAGAAGCAATTTAAACTCGCAACGTCATTGAGGCTCTGATCATTTGATGCTGGTATCATTTCATTAGAGCCCGGAAATTTTCCAAAACTGACAGCACTTCAGTAGAGCCCCCAAACTTTTTAAAATTGACAGCATACCAGTAGAGCCCCAATTATTCTCATTGCTGACGGCATACCAGTAGAGCCCCAAATATTCTCATTGCTGACAGCATACCAGTAGAGCCCCAAATAGACCTATCGCTGACAGCATACCAGTAGAACCAAGACTATACCCATTGCTGACAACATCTCAATGTCCCATTGACCTTTCCAACATAATGAGAATCATGTCCAGCTAACAGCCATCAACATCGAACATATTGTTTCTTATCCACTAGTATTCCCCAATATTGTCAACTACTTATTGTTAAAAACTTCAAACATCAAAAGTGTCCCCATTAATCATAAAACTTACCTAAGTAAATAATGACCTTGTTTAAGATCAAATCTGAAATGAGATTAAAGAAACGGGCCTTTAAAAGTCTGCCAGCATGGTGAATGTTAGGCGAAAAACTTAAAGTGGCTAGAAACTGGGAGAGAAATTTCTTTCACTGAAAAGAAATATTTATTGTTAAACATTATGTCAAGTGATTATCATTATCAATATTACCTTGTAAAAGTCATGATGTTAATTTGTGTTGAAAAGAATGCAAGTTTGAATCATTATGCTAGATTTATCTTTATGTATTAATTATACAAGATTTTGTTTTTTTTTTTTTTTTTTTTTGTAAAAGAGAAAATCATGGAGAAGAAAAAGCTTGAAGAAAAAAAAAAGTGAAAGGTAAGAGGAAAGAAAAAAAAAAAAGGAAAAGTTGGGGGAACGCCCTTTATTTATACCTTTGGTTTTGAGGCTCCAACAAGGAGGCTGTAATTTTTGTTGACTCATTGAAAATCTCAATACACTTCAATTCCCATTACATTAGAAAAGCTCATGACCTACTGAAATGGCTGGCCTAACTGACTATCATATTTGACTGATTTGGTTATTCTTCTGGAACCCAATTCCTGTAACTGAAACTCTATGAGCTAGAATGATGAAGTAATTTTTACCAATTCACTGTAAAACTGATACTATCGCAGGGTTAGTCTTATGATGAGATTTTTAATCAATTAGTATATAAACAAGGCTCGAAGCCATTTGGGCTTGAAAGAACAACTGATATCTCTTTCCCTAAAAATTGAAGATTTCATTGCAATCTTCGACTATCAATAAACAGGTTAAAGAAAGTTTCCCTTAATGAAACGATAAATGTACAACGGAATCATCAAATTGTTGCATCTGCTTACACTTAACTTGGCTTGGCTTCATACTTCACAGCAATAATACCTTTAGACTTTGTATAAAAGTTGTAATCTGTCTTGGTTGTGCCCTCCATCCTTTGAACTTTTTAAAAAGAAGCTAGAATTGAACACTTCAAGCCTCTAAATGTGTAACTTAAAACTTGAGGAGGTGTCGAATGAATTGATAAAATAAAACATGTAACTTCAAACTAAAAAAAAATCCATTTTATAAACATTTATTATATTAAAAAAAAATCATCCCTTTTAAATACTTTTTTCATCGACCCCACCGTCTGCGGGCCTCAGCCTCTTGCCGTAATTGCTGTGCAGAGCTCGGTAACGGAATCGCTAACGACCCATCCCGCACTCGATTCTTCTCCAGCTCAATGACGCTCTCAATCTTATCCAGTGCAAGTTTTAACAAGTCCCGTCGCTGCTGCAGCTCAATGTGCTTGCGAATCTTCGGGTCCTCTTTGGCAAACGACTCAATCTGAGCCGGCGTCAAGTTCTGCCCAAGACGCATGTCCAGCTCCCGAGGAAAGTTATAATAAAAATCAGACAGTAGCTCAACATTCAAAAACAAAACCGCAGTCTGAGTCAGTTTGTCAGCAACAACATCCAAAAATACCTCAGGGCAATAGTACTTGTTTTCCTTTGACTTGCACTGTCGAGACTTGATGGCCGTCATCCGCATGCGAATCGTATCTGACCGGTCTCGCAGAAAAAGCGCTTCGCGACCACGCGAAAGCAAAGCTTGTGAAAACCCAAACGCATCAGAGCTCTCATCTGCAGGTACTCCATGCACGCCACCCTCGCGTGTCTTTTCAATAAACTTAATCACTTGGTTAAGCTTATGTGTACCAACAGCTTTCTTCATTTGTCCATAAGCATTCTCGCACTGTCTTAACTCTTCCTTCAGCAAGTTGTATGCGTGATCCCGCGACTTGGCCCACTCCCGGTCTTCAACATCAACCTCGTACTTGTAAGGTTTGATACAGTTCTCGACCTGGTCAGCTGTAGAATAAAACTTCATGTTGAGAATTCCAGACGCTGCGTCGTGAATGGTCTCTCGTGCAAATGGGTGGTTGCGGAAATTCGTACTATCAACCAAATGATCCATCTCCGACATTAGTGCATTAATAACCAAGTTGGTCGACAACCGACCAACACCAAGCTTGGTCAAGTTCGAAGTCGACGCATCTAGCTTGCGCGTCCAGTACATATTGTCGGGATCAGCTCCAACAAGTTCTGCAAGAGCAGGCTCTGTAATCTTTAAACTGCTCACATTCAAGTTTTGGTTTGGTGTCTCCAGTGGCCTGTTCCAGTATCTCTGAGCAAGTAAATCCAAAACTCGCTGATCCAGCTCGCTCTTTAACAGCCCACGGACCTCGTTGCGTCCAAACTGAGTCGTCAAATCCTTAAACGCAAGCTTGAATGCATCAACAGACCCCGCAAGGTAAGTTTCTGGGGTCAAAATACGGTCATTGTATTCAACCTTGAACTGATAAGCGGCTTCCTCAAGTTCTTGACGAATTGCTTCAGAAGTGGGTTGTAAGCTACTGGCCATGGTTTTCTCCAATACATTCATAAGTTTGCGACGTAGTGTAGTTGTGCCAACATCAGCCTCATCAAACTCTGGGAATTGCGAAAAGTAAGTTTGCTCGTTTTGTGTGACTAATGCTCCAATGTTGCTGTTGCGACGGAAAAGACCTCCCGAAGGCGGCTTGGTAATAACTCCCACATAGCCCATCTGCAACGCGTATGCCTTGTTGCTAAGAAGCTCTGCACCCCGATGAGCATCAATCAAGTCCATCTTGGTCACAACACCAATGGTCCGCTCACCACGGGGGTCAGCTCGACGGCTAGCCTTGAGAGCTGCAGAGTTGGCCATATCAACATCTGCCGCAGAAATGGCTAAAATTACATTAGGTGGCTGAATATATTTTTCGCATAAAATGTTAATCTTTTGCTTCAAACTATCTGGCTGGTCGTTGGCTGCAACTTGGATATACCCAGGAAGATCAATCAGCGTCAAGTCTGGAACTGTGGGCGAGTAAATGTTGAGCTGAATAGGGTCGTCAGAAACGGCATCTGAATCCGGTACAGCAAGGTTTAAATCGGTGAGCGTTTTTTGAATCTGTAAAAAGTCGGTAATCTTGCCAAGCCCCAACGACGGGAACTCACCATACTCAGCTGCAGAGTCCGGTGTATTGACAAGAGTCAGCTCGATGGGGCGGCGAGTAACCATGTTATTACCCTTGGGCAAGAATTCGTGGCCCACAATCGCCTCCAGCACAGATGATTTACCGGAGCTTTGGGATCCAATCACCACAATCGATGGCAGTTGAAGTGTTTCCGATTGATCCACACGTTTGAGAATATTGCGAATCTCAATCATTTTTTTAGTCAAAAGCATTATTTGATCTTCTTTGGCACTGTTGCGCTCATTGGCGTCGGTCCCAACTGCAAATGCACTACCAAGAACCGCAGCAGCTGCTCCAGTCCCATCATCGCCATTGTTATTACCACCAGAAGATTGTCCGTCATTCCCGGTTGAATCAGTGTTTTCAGATCCAGTCTCTGATCCATCTGTAGTCTTATCAAGGGAGTCTGATGCAGCTTTTGAAATTGATCCAAAAAACCCAGTGATGCCAGTTAAATCAAATCCGTCGACAACACCGCGTGCACCTTCATACACATCAGAAGCCCATTCCGATGCCTGTGAAATCTTATCTTGAGTGAATGAAGACACTTCCTGGACCTTGTAGTTGACATAGGCTGCGCCGCCAACAACAACGCCGCCCGCCGCCGCGCCCGCGCGCACAATGAGCTTGGTCGCCGCACCAAGAGAGAGTCCGCGGCGCGCAACCATGACGGCGGAAGGCCGCAGACCCATTCCGGAAAACAAAGGCGATGTCAGGCGTGGCCGATGAGATGCCCGTGCACCGTTGCTAGAAAAGAAAACAGGACCCGAACGAGGGCTAGACGAAGTGTGGAGAGAAAGTGTACTGGAGAATGATGGGCCTCGGGAAACGCGGGGCAAAACAGCCCGATTCAAAGCAGCATGTGCACGTGCAGCCTGCGCTGGAGCCGCCCGCCTCGATAGCAAGTACGAAATGCTAGGCATTATGAATTATGTAGGGAGGTAAGACGAAAAGTTCCTGGAAATGTTGGCTGGTGTGTGTGTATGTTATTTTTTTTATGATTGATGATAAGTGGTGGGTAGGAAAAGGGAAAATTTGGTCTTTGCTCTTCTGTGTGTGGCGGCTAGAAGCCTTCAGTCAGATGTTTTTTGTGACACCGTTTCCGGAAATTATGTAATGTTGTAACAAGTTTTTAATCGGCCACCAAAACCTCCAAAAGGCACATCGCCAAATAGGCCTTTTTTTTAAAAAAAAAATAAACCTTCAAACCATTCGAAATTATAAAACATGTTTGGGCTTGGTCTATTATTATATGGTTGGTACTAGGATTAGTATTTAATAGGATTTTGCTAACAAGTTTAGTTTCTGTGCTGCTACTTAATGCTGTCGCTATTTTAAGTGAAGACCGGTTTATTGCCCGAAGTATGTTGAAAATCCCCTTGCTCACTTCAAAACTAACACAAACACTATTCTAGTCGGTTGGGGCTCACAGCAAGAGTTTGGAATTCAAGACGATTCAATCAGGACTAAGATGCTGGGTTTAACTCGTGCAACTAGGACAGTCATGAGGCGTAAGTACTATATTTTAAAGAGGAAAGCCTAAATATTTTCTAACACGTTTCAGCATTTCTCATGATCTTCAATATTCTCATTATAGGTTACGAAATACTCTTTGGTTAATAGGAAATAAAAAAAAAATAATAAAATGGGGAAAAAAAATTGGAAAAAAATGAAATCTTTATAACTAAAAGTACACAATGCATTAAAAAAAACCGGCATGAAAAAAAATAAAAAAAATCAATCTAGTTCAATGGGAGCCTCGCTTGACTTGCCAATAATAGTGTTAAACCAGTCAGAATGTCTGCTGGATGGCTTTGGTTCATTTTCGGCCTCGCTCTCATGCAAAGACTCTTGAGCTGTGGCTTGTTGGGGAGCCTGCGTAGTTGTTGACTGCGCAGTTGTCGACTGCACTATAGGATTTACCTCAGATGACCGTTGCTGTGATTCATACCCATCATATCGCTGCTGCTTTTGAGCATCGTGACTTTCATAATACCTGGAGCCATCATGCTGTTGCTGTCTCTCATAATACTGCTGATTGTAATACCCAGATTGAGAATACTCAGATTGTGCATATGTGCCCCGTCTGTAATACTCTTGAGAGTAATACCCACTCTGAGCCGCCGACTCAGGCTGTCCACGACTATATCTGTCGTCACGTACACCCTCTTCATAGTATTGTCGCTGTTGACCTGGATATTTCTCCTTGTTTTGTCGCGTCTCCTGAACTGGAGACGATTTAGCTCTGGGGGGTGATACCTTAGACCCAGCCGTAGTTGGTAATGGCTCAGGATCCGGGTCAAGTAGTGACGAAATAGAGGGCTTAAATGGGCGCGGAGATGTAACCGCACTTTCCAATGTAGCCACCTCGGAATCCCTTCCATTTCCAACAACGCGTACAACCTCTTCGTCTTCACCATCCGTCAGCAAGGTAGGAGCATTACTGTATGGTTCATGCTGTGTTTCAGCTTTAGGCTCCACAACAACGCTAGTGGTATCATCACCCTTGTTCCCATTAGTGCTCGTAAAACTGTCTTCATCCTTGTGCTGTTTCCGGCGTCGCCGTTTTCGAGGCTCTTCGTCCTTGTGTGCAGTTAAATCCTTGACCTTGTGTGTCTTTTCCATCTCCTCTGCCATCAACCGCTCCTTTTCCATTTGTTCTTCAGCTGCCAGTGCAAGTTCAATACTGCGTGACTCTACTCGGCATGGCATTGGCGTGTTGGCCTTGGTGATTTTGAGACTGTCAGCAGCAACAAGTTTGCTCAAGCACACGCGCAAAAGCGCGAGTGACCGACTGATAATGTCACGGCGTGTCACGCGTACTTTGGAAGAGGAAGTAGTTGTAGACCCAGTAGATCCATTGGAACCAGCACCTGGAGACGACGTCTTCTTTTTGTCAGACTCGGGCCAAACAACTTTGATACTTTTGAGACCTTTACCGCTCTTTTGTTTGGTATCAGTCGGTGCTGGCGGTGGTGTCTCATTGGAATCAGGAGTAACAGGATCTGATAATAAATCCATGACTGAGATCTTTGTTGATGGAGTTTGTAATGCACTTGCTTTGGCAGCAGCGGCAGCGGCAGCAGCTGCAGCTTCTTCCCTCTTCTTTTTTTCCTTCAGTTCTTCTTCAGGAAGCACCTCATCCACAAAATCGCAGTAAATGATCAAATATATGGACACAAACAGGTCATCAAGAGCTGCCGTTGAGCCAAACCCATTATTCAACCGGCGTAGTTCGGCAGTGTAGTTAAGAAACTTGGTCAATGGATGCAACGGCGTTGCTGTCTTTTCATTGTAGTCAAGCATTTTGGCCGCGTTTCGTGCAAAGTCTTCAAACACGATCCGGGAGATTGTGGAATCTGCATAACGGGCTGGGATCCCAAGCACAGCATCCGACTTGCAAACACGCGCCACTGTGCTACACATAAACTCCCAGGTCTCTTGGTGTCTAAGCATACCAGACTTGAACTTACGCAGACACTTGGACAGTAAGCCAAACATCTCCACATCCTGTGTGCGGCCCAGCAAGTCAATGAAGAATACAATGTACTGTCTAACATACTCAAAGTGTTGTCCAGGCCGCTCGTACTCGGTTTTCCAAATTTGGATCGGCGTTTTGGAAGTCACTTTGAGCTGGAAAAATGCAGACAGCTCGTCCTTGGCCTTGAGAAAATCTCCTCCAGCCTCGTCGTAAATCCGCGCAAGACGGTACGTAGGCCGATGGTGCCATTTCTTTTTGTCGGCACTGCGAATCTTGATAAGTGCAGCTGCACACAAACTGTAAGCCTCATTGTTTTCAGGCTTGTCAGGACTTTCAATTACAATCGGATTGTCTCCAGTGTTATCTGCATAAGCGCATTTGGAAAGATACTCTAGAGCCTGTGCATTGGTGATGACGCCAGAGTGTAAATACTTGTAAACACAAGAAACAAACTTGTAATGAGGTTCCAATACTGAGTCGCAATCTCTTGTATGCTTTTCAGGAGCAAGCTCCATAGACTTTGTATATATGTCTAGAACCGTTTCGTGCGACGATTTAAGCTTGTGCAGCATTTGACCCTTGAGATAAAGAGTGTACCAGTCGAGTTCTTCGCGCTCTGAAACCTTGAGCGCTAGTAACGCCGACTTGATAATGACAGCAGGTTTAAGCTTGTATACGGGCTCACGAGTATATAAACCTTCCATGCCGCAAAGCATGCGCTCCCCCATCTGGTAAAACGCAGCCATGTCCATCGGACACTGTGTTGAGTTGAAAAGAAGGCGAGCGAAAAATGACCATACACTTTGCAGCATATTGTGATAAGATGGTGAGTTAGCTAGCAGCTCGGAAGACTTGCCCTGTTGTTGTAATAGCCTATTGATTGCCATGCCTGCGCAAATCAGGGTCTTTTTCTGACGAGCGACTGTGACATTACGTGAATCAGGAACAGAGATTTTGTCCGTATTCCAGGTCAAGTCGTCCTCAACAAGAGCATCGTAGCCTTGGGCAAGTAAGTACCATGTTTCGAATCGGTTATAACCACCGCACATGAGGTCGTACTTGAGAAATTTTATGGCTTCAGCAACATCTTCTGTGCGACCCTGCATTGTACGCTTGCGCACTTTATAAAGCTGCATACGCGACTGGCCCAGTAAAAAGTAGAGACCCGACTTAGCTAGTGAGTCAATTTCCTTAGGTGTGTCAACAAATGAAATTGGATGATTGCCATTAAAGCACATTTTAAGAAACGGAACATCGACACGCATCTCCATAATGCCAGTCAATATAAAGGCGTTGCGGGAAATGGTGGGTGTGCTGCTGCTACTTGGGAACTGGATGGCTTCAAAAAGTTCATCTAAAACACCCTTGACTTCTGCACGCAAAATACTTTGGGAAAGATTTTTCTTTTTGATGAGAATGCCAAGAACAAACTCAAGAATTTTAAGAGCTGTACTCTTATCCAACTCAATAGGTTTAGTACTGTGGTCGTATGGGTGAAAGTCTTCAGAAGCAATAACAACATTGTACCGGCAGTGCAAGCATTGAATCATGTCAGACTCTGAGTCTTTAGGGTTTAATCGTATAAGCTCGTTAAAGATTAGGCCTAGAAGAACACCATCAGCAAGACCACAGTAACCACGGTTTCCCAGTTGCTCGTGGATTATGCTCAAAATTTCATGAAGCGTTTCCGTTGTGCTTGTTGGAACCAACGCTTGGTAAAGGTAGTAGAAGAGACACCACGACCGAACAGTAAGTTCTTTCATGATATTTGCGGCCTTTTCCCAAGCGGGGTGTGATGGTGCATTGATAACTGCATTGACTATTCCGTCTTCGAAAAGAACATAAACGTATAAAAGTCGTAGCAGTGCTAAAATTGCAGACATGGCAGCACGGAGACTGGTTTGGCTCAGGTGGCTGAACGAGGTGATGGAAAGATCAAGTGCCATCATGTTTTTGGCAGCATTGTGACACATGTAAACAGCGCGCAGTAGCACGATAGGTCGTTGTTCAGGAGCAAGCGTCTTGTACTTATGTGAAGTAAGTTCTTTGACAATATCACAAAAGATGGCAAGATACCCATCAAGAGATTTTTGAGACTCGCCTGCGTTTTGATAGTCGTCCAGCAGCAGGTTCCAAAATTTTAGGCGAAGGTCAAGCGATGCACGAGATAAGTAAAGAGAAATCGCCTTGTACTCATCTTCTGGCTTCTCCAATGGCTTTAGCAAAGGATCATCCTCCATAACAACATCAGGATCATCTGGCTTTTCAGGGAAAAGAATGCGCTCAAGAAGAGAAATTCGCTTTTTGCTGGCTTCAATGGATAGCAGTTTATTGCGAGCCTTTTGTTCTTCAAGCTCTTTTTTCCGCCGCTCACGTTCTTCCTTTTCAAGCCGTTTCCGTTCTTCTTCTTGTTTTTTCCTTTCCTCGTCCTTTTCTTTATCGACTTTTCCCTTTACCTTGTTTTTCTGTTTGCTGTCTTTTTTCTTTTCAGTGGTAGTGGATGAATCCACTGGTTTTTCCTCTTGGGCTTCCTTGATTGCTGAAGAAGCTTCTTCCACAGGGTCTTTAAATATTTCGGAAAGAGTAGCCATGGCACGAAATCTTGAGAGTTGATTGCGGATTGAAACTAGAGAAAATGGAGGGATATGTACAAAATTAGGGTATGTGATTTCGAGCGAAGGGTTGACAGCTTCCAGCTCTTTGATAATGTCAGAAAAGTCGTCGCCGTTATCGGCAAAAGCATCTGCAGTTATTGATTTACTGACCAACAGATTTGTCCATTGATTTCGTAAGACAATATTTTGGAACCGAGTCTGTGTCCGTTCAGAAGAAACTGCAACAAGGTCGCAAAAGATGCGGCGCCAAGAAAGGTACCGCTCTTCAAGAGCAGATTGTTTGGCAGACAAATCTTTTATAGAGGCCTTGGATAAGGTTTCTGGTTTGCGTAAAAGCTTAGAGATGCCAAAAGATTCATTGGCAATGATTTCAAGAATAGTCTGTGTAATGGCAACTTCACAAAAAGTGTCCAGAAGTGTTCCGAGCTCAACAGCCTGAGAAACATAGCTGCTAGGATATTCCTGTAATAGTGGTTCAACATGGCACACTAAATGACCCAGAGAGGTGATAGCATTAAGTGGCCATATTTGTGTAAGAATAGGCGAGAGTTCGTTTTCAGGTTGGACTCCGCACAATGCGCGAACAAGATTGACACGCACCTCTTGAATATGTGGACGGGATGCAAGAACCGATTGCACAAATGCAACCGATGTAGAACTTGGTGGAAGGGTAGTTGGTCTACTGCTTTCTGGGATTTGGACTGTAGAGGTAGCAGATGAAGGACTATCGAGAAGTTGAGCCAAAAGTGGCTGTGAAATAGCGTTTGAGTTTTGTGGGTCATGTGTATCGTCCTGTACAATAGTATCTGAGTTGATTTCAGCCTTCATGGCGGCCAAGACTTCTACCTGTGGTGCATCCCAATTTAGTAGCTCTTGTTTAAAATCATAAATATACTGATCTGATGGGTTTTTGGGTTCATCACGAGAAAAGACCGGAGAAATTGTCACAAAGGAAAAAGAGCATGGCTTAAGAAATGTCTTCATTTGGTCAAAAAAGGCATCATCTTCTGTGAAATCTGCATCACTGAGAGAGTTTGTTTTTTCTTGAAGCTTGAAGCGTTTACTGGACCGTGCTTTTGGAGGGTCCTGTGGCTCTAAAGATATAGATTCTGATTTCCGTTTTTTATTTTCTGCTGGAATTTCTGGGGTATTGTTTTTTGTTGTTGATGATGATGAGGATGATGCAGATTGTTCTGGAGGTTGGGGTTCTTCAGACTTTTCCTTTTCTATGCTGGTGCCTTTTGGGGTATCATTATTTTCCATAGGCTGTTGTTGTTCTGGTTCGGCAATCTCTGGAGATTCGGTTACTAGTGAAGGTTTCAAGTCTTGTTGAGATAGGTCAGGCACGTTAAATGTAATTGGGTATGAAGGACGGAGACTATTTTCGTAAGGATCTTCAGAGCATGCGAGTTTCTTTTTGCTTTTTGATTGGCCGGTTAAATTAAGAACATGGTCCTGGACGACATTGATGAGAGAGACCCAGTCAGGTGAGAGAAGATTGATTTTGGAGGGAATGACTGGAATCTTATAGTTTTCAGTACGAGGAAGAGGGTTATCTCCAAAAAAGGAAAGATCTGGAGGCCGTGGTGGCAGTAGTTGTGGTATACTTTTATTTGGCGCGACACGGGAAAATAACTGGGGTCTGGAGTTGAGGGTGGCTTCGTCGTGGATCTGGCGACAGAGAATGTAGAGAGACTGAATGATTTGAATATCAAGAGGACTTGTAAGTTTAGCAGAATCAAGAATAGACTGGAGGCCTGTTCCGGAAGCAGCTGGAGCTGTGGCCACGCACTCATACGCAAGCCGTGCAACACGGACGTATCCGAGACGAGATGCGAGTGCTGCAAGAAGGGTGAAAAAGGTAGCATCGTCGTCTCCTGAAGGGTTGTATAAAAGGGCTTCAGCAAATTCATCAAGAACGATTTCAATGCGCTGAGACGCTTCGGTGTCGTCCATGCCTTTGCGTCCATGTTTCAGATCGGAGAGCAGTAGAATGGCATGGTTTTTGAAAGCTAGATACTTTAAGTTTTCAGCTAGTGGTGGTAGTCCAGTTTCCTAAGAAAGAGTTAGTAAAGGATAAAGAAAAAAAAAAAAAAAAAAAAAAAAAAAAAAAAATAAAGGATAAAAGATAAAAGATAAAGGAGCAACTATATATTAACATACTCTAGTAAGATTAAGAATTTCGAGATTAAACAGCGCGTCATATTCCTTGTGAGCATTGGGTCTATCGCCATCACGTTGTAGTTTAAGAGCGCGTTTGTATAAATCAAGACCTTGTTCAACCTGAAGCTCACGAGTATGGACTTCAGCTTCGTGTATGAGGTCTTCCTCATAGATATTGATTGGCACAAAGTTTGACATTGTTTGTTTAAAATCTTATTTTTGATTTTTTTAGTTTGGTTTGTTTGTTTGTTTGTTTGTTTTTTTCACGCACGCAGGCTCCTATAGCCTTTGGTGTGAAAAAGGTATGCTGCTATGAATATATTTTTAAAAGAATAAGGAAGTTGAGTTAATCAAGAAAGTTCAAGATTTGAGACTGGAGTTTAAATTTTAGTTGGATGAAAAAAAAAAAAAAAAAAAAAGTCTTCAAAATGGCATTTTTAAAATTGGTTAAATATTTAATTTTTTTTTTTTTTTTGGAGGGTGGGGGAAGAAAAGGATTTAAATGGTGGTGGTGCTAAAATTTTTTTTAATTTATTTTTAATTTATTTTTAATTTATTTTTAATTTATTTTTAATTTTTAATTTAATTTAATTTTTAATTTAATTTAATTTTATTTAAATTTGTTGTTGTTGTTGTTGTTGTTGTGCAAGTCTTCAAATATATTTTGTCCAACATATAAATATAACCAAAGCATTGCCTACTTAAAAAAAAAATTCTCTGCACTAAAAATGTGCTTTACTTTTTACTGTTGTCTTTTAAGTCCATGTAGAACGGGGGAAGAAAAAAAAAATAAAAAAATAAAAAAATAAAAAAAAAAAAAAAAAAAAAAAAAAATCAATTTTTTTTTTTTTTTTGAGTTTTCAACACACAAACTAAACAAACAAACCTTTCATACAGCCGTACTCAGCCGTATGTGCCCTAACCCATCTATAGATCTTTTTTTTTTTTTTTTTTTTTTTTATTTTTCACTCAAACTATATAACTCCCCTCCCCTCCCCCCCCCCCTATTTGCCCCACCATACGGACATAATCAATCCTCTATTACTATCATATATATAAATCATCATCAATGGGCTCCAGTTTACCACTTCACTTAGATCACAGTGGATCCAAAAATACTTTTGGTCCTGCTCCCCCTTCCTTGTACTTTGCTGAACTTTTGTCTCATATCTCCTCTATTTCACTGCTAATCAAAACACCTGCTAATTCACAGTTTATCCCCGCGCGACTCGAGTTCCCCTATGAAGGTAGCTCGTATGTAACTCTAGTGTACATCTCTGGGGCAAAAACACAAATCTCACTACCAGTTCCATTTACGCCATCATTAGCACTTACAAGACAAAGTCTTACTCAAGAAGTACTTCGGGACCCATGCAACATACGTGTGTCTATCAAAGCTGAAGACCAACGGCTCCGGATCCAACCCCATGAGACTGCAGGTGCACGTAAAACAGGGAAATTGTTTGCACATACTGACAAAGAAGAATATGTACCTTTAAATGCGAAAACCATGGGAAGCATGAAATCTGGAGACTTGAAATGTGCACAGTGTGGAGCTGTAGTGGTGCGTAATGCGACACAGAGCTTACACTGGAACCCATTACCATCTGAAACTTGGGCTGAAATGATGGACTTTTGGCATTGTCACAAACCCTCTGAACCCAAAGCAGGTGCCGCTCATGACCAGTTTAATAAATCCTATACTGTGTCCAAATTTGTACCAACAAAAGAAACAGCCTTTGTAGGGCTCACATACTTTCTAATAGACTCTACAAGCTTGGGAAATACCCAGACTATAGACTCGAGTTTAAACTGTACCTCCTGTAAAACTAACTTGGGAGTACAAGATTCACCAACATCTTTTAAAATATTCAAATGGAACGTCAATCTATCTGAAACTTCTCCAGTGTCTCCCTTCTATTATGTTTCTGCAGAAATCAACGAACTCATAGCTGCCCATGGTGTCTACACATTTGCACTCTCTACAGACAATAAAACAGATGCAAAACTTGTCTTATGGGTAGTTAACTCAAATATACATTATACTTGTACTGGATCAAACTCTCGAAAAGCATTCAGAGTACTCTACAACTCTGATAAACCCGAAATACCTAATCTCATCAAAGAACGAGGCAATGATGCCGTGGAACAAATCACTGTTCCTGATTTTGTGCTCGAAAGCCTTGAATCACATTTAAAATCCGGTAACAATCTTCTCCAAGATTCAACACAATCAAATAAATGGAAAGTCTCTGTTCTTGATAAGTATAGTTCTCTATAAAACACGCATAAAAAAAAAAAGATATCTTTTAAGTGGAACTCAAAGGAACACCCTGCACAACGTTACGCAACAAAGGAGCAATCAACTTACGGTTAGCAGTAATATCACCTTGTTCAAACGTATAGGCACCACGCTCGGCCTCGGTACCCTTGGGGTTGACAGTCAACTGTAATTGGTCTTTGATTTTGGAAACAACATCGTCAACCAAAGCAGGAGTCATGTTGCCCGCAGCAACAAGCATAAGCTCACGGTGATGGTTCTTCTCGGCATCCTTGTGCGAGCACATGACAACAGAGAGATCCACACTACGCTGCTTGGCCCAGGCACGCATATCGTTAATAAACTCCTCAGCGCCTTTAGAGCACTGGGCCCATGCAGCTTCGAGCGAAGCAGGGAGAGTCGAAATTCCAATCTTAAAGTTCCCAGGAAGTGAGTCAATGCTTTTAATCGACTCATCCTCGTTGGCCCATTCCTTGTAATCTTTGCGCAAAAGATCCATGCCAGAAAGCGCCGAAATGTCATGCTTCTTTTCCGAAAGCTTGGATCCAAGGTCCTTACAGAACTTGTCAAAGTCATGAACATGCTTGCTCACACTCTCGGGGCCCACGCCCTTGTGATGATGAGAGCTATCTTTGCTACCCTCCTCGATAGCGTTCCAAATAAACTCCGCAGCCCGGGTATCGTCCTCTTCAACACGCTGACGAAGTCTGCTGGTGTCGGCCAAAATAGGACCAAGACCCAAGAGGGCAGCCACAGCACCTTCCTTCTGCAAAGCAGTTTGGGCGAGTTCCTCGCCAAGCTGGTCGCGCCAAAAGTTGACCACGAGTGACATGCACGAACCTGTGGTACGCACTGTGCGCGGGACAGCAGTATTGGTGTAATAAGACTCATCTGCGTGATGGTCCAAAACACCAATTACATTGTTTTCGGCAAACAGTGTTGCGGTCGTGCCATTGAGGCGGTTATGGTCCACAAGGAAGACAAACGCAGGAGTGGGTTCGTCAGAAAAGTCATCCACAAAGGCAATGGCATGAGTCGGGACACCAGCCTTGTGCAGCAGATATGAAATATCAGGGCGCAGCTCGAGATCCTTGCGGGGGATGTTGATAAGTGGAACCACAAGCTCTAGCTTGGGCTGGCGAGGGGTCTGGGGGGCCTTGTCGTGCTTCAGGGCCACTGTATAAAGGTATGCTGCTAGGATTGCGGAAGAGCAGGAGTCAAGATCAGCAGACTCGTTTCCTGTGACAAAGAGCACATTTTTAAGAGAGCTTGGTGAAAAGAAGCCCGAGTGCGAGATGGCAGTCTTGATTTTGGAAGTATAGGAGGCCAGCGAAAGGGTCATTGTTTTTTAGATTTTGATAACGTATAGTAGAATGAAAAAAAAAACTTTTGGCGGTGCAAAGAAGATTTGAAATGATTAGGGGAGGAACCCTTACCCAGATGATTTTAATGAAAAAAAAAAAAACGTAAAGTCCTAAAGCGTGTCAGTTGAATGATTTGGTCTTTGCAAGAAATAAAAGAAATATAAGAGTGTATTGGTTTAAAAAAGGAGGAAAACTGTATCAAATAATCAATTGATAAAACACAATTGGTCATTTAAAAAAAAAAAAGAAAAAAAGAATCATAACAATAGAATTCGTATAGAAGTTTCTTTTTTAACTTTTTGTCCTGTTATTTTACGCTTTGCGTGCATGCCATTCAGCCAGCAGGTATTCTTATTTTTTGCATCCCACTGCAAGACTTTGATGACAGCCAGGATTGACGGAATAAGACGAGTATAGAAAATGATAATTGTCACAATTGTTATACATACCTAAACTTACAAGAGACTTGTAGAGAGATAGAGTGGAAAAAAAGTGTTTAAAGAAATTAGTAAAAAAAAAAAAAAATGATGAAAAAAAGGAAGAGATTCTTGTTTGTTTATATAGAAAAAAAAAAAGTTGGACCCCCTCCCCCCCTATTTGCGGTGCAGCGTTTAACAAAAAAATATTGATAGATAGACTGTTGCCTCTGCTTCAGCTGCTGCTGCTGCTGCTGCTTCAGCTGCCACTTTATTATAGTATAAATACTCGATCTGGGGTATGTAGCAAGCGTATGATGACTTTGTGGCCAGAACATTTTCGGGATATATTCCAAGCTGTTGGATTTTTATTATTATTATTTTGGCAAACTCTCTTTGTCTTGTCTTTTTTTTTTTTGACAGCTTTTTTTTCCCTTTTCCTTAACCCTTAAATATTTATCGTAAAAACTGTTTTTCCATAGCTTGTGATAAATAATGGTTTTTTTTTTGTCCATTTCACTATCAATAGGTGTATTCGCTTACTTCGTTTTGACACTGCATATTCTCAATCAGTAATGGTGGGTCTTCAGAAGTGGCGTAGGGAAGAGAGAAGGGGGGGGGTAAATGAAAATCCACGATCACGTCTTTCATTTATTGGACAAACTAGAATTGTTTTGGGAGGAATGCAGATGGGTATGTGTTGTGACAGCTGCGATGATGGATGGTGGTGAGCATGGTGAGCATGGTGAACATGGTGAACATGTAAGAAAAGAAAAAAAAATTGTAGGTATATAAATGTAGTTTCCAAAGACTATCAATTGGACATTTATAAATTTCAGATTTGCTTTTTCAAACATTGAGCTTTATGTGCTTATTTTGATGGGACAAAAATACTTTCAAAGGACTTGATTATCGTATATTATGAATGCCCACAGTCTGTCAATTGCCCGCGTATTCTTGGCTAGTATCTTCTCTTTTTTTTTTTGTTAATCTCCCATGTAATGTACAAATCAAGTAAACTCTCACGCGACTCGTTATCTTCCTGAAGCTGCTTTCTGCACTGTCTAACTTATAAAACCCACAAAGCATCATTTTTTTTTCTCTCTCGTTCTTCTAGTCTTTTTTGCCCCCCGCATATTCATTATAGAAATTGTCATCATTCCGCATATTTCACCTTTTTTTTTATTATTTTTTTTTGTTTCTCTTGCTCTTTCTCAAGATTCAATGCGTGTACTCGTAGCCACATCCTATCAACACAAAACCTTTTCGGTTCAGCAATCTCTCAACCTATTAAACATCAAGTAATGTCTTTACTACTTGTCGTCCTCCTTTAATAATTGATTTCGTTAGCACCATTGGTGACTTGCCTAAACGTCATTTGATTTTTTGATGTGTATAAACGCTTTACAGTATTCTTGACTAATTTGTCTAGCTTTTGTCTACTTTATATTTGTATATTACACCATACAAAAAAACAGTTTAACTATTGCACTTTCTGGTTTTTGTTTTTATTTATCAAAGTTACCCTGTCTTTACATATTTTGCATCACTTCCCCAAAATCCAACGCTTTTCTGATATCCAGACATTATTAATCTCAGTATACTAAGATTAAGCAACGTAGCTTATTATTGTAAAACCTCTTTCTCAAAGATAAGAATTGATATCTTTAAATAAATTAAAAAAAATTATCTTTCTTAGGTATTCAAGTAAGCATACAACATGAAAAAAATCAGCCCATAAAAACAGTAATTTCTTGAAAAAAGAAAAATTACATCTGTACAAAATTATTACGATATCAGTGGATATCAAAACTAACTAGGCATGAAAAATATACATTTAAATCTCTATGCACATAACAAAGTAATTATATAATTACTTTGTTGATAGTTTACAGGGTACCTGTCAATTGGTATTTATATGTAAATATTATTAAAAAAAAAAAAAAAAAAAACGTAGAAAACAATATTAAAAAATCAATCGAGATTAAATCTGTGTTGCAAATGTTGACTGGTAAACTTGTAGAAGGAAAATTACAAAACTCATTGTAAAGTAAAGGTATTAAAACTTTTTTTTTAAAGATGAACAATTCCAATAGCTAAGGTTATCTTCTTTGAATTCTTCTTGATCTGAATCTTAATTGCTCATAATCTCATCTTTAAAGTATTGGAAATCAAAATGAGCTATGATAAGAAGTTGGTTCCCTTGACAAGATCATGTCACTATAACTTGGTGTCATGTGTAGCCGGTCCCTTTAATGCATGGCCCAGAGTGACCGTGCACTCGACTGTTTTAGTATCTTCTCTCGTGGAGATCTATGTCTAGTAAACAGCGAGGCATTGTCTATGAAAAAGAAATGCGTTAATTCTCCCATCATGTATTTTTATTCAACTTAGTTATTGATGTCTGGTAGTACATCTTGATCCGGTATTCGGCCTGTCCATCCATCCTACTATTAGCCATTTACGGTCTTACAAGACCCTGTAGTGATGACTGGCCATACTGGATCTCTTATCTTCCTCATTTCCTAAGTTTAAATCTTTATTTCTATTCTAATCAATGTATTCGTCCAGTATAACCTTTATTCATATATCTATAACTCCGATATATTTATTTACAGACTCTGAAATCTACTTCCTATTGCTTTGCTTTTTCATGCGGCATAATGCAATAAAAGGCTAAGGGGGTATAAGTAGCAGAGTTTGTCTGGTTAATGAATATAATGAAGATAAGATAACGCATCAATTGGTATTGTCTATTTCTCAATTCTTTTTTTTTATCTTCCTAATAAGAAGCTACTTGAAAAATCTTATCAAAAGAAGTCAGGTTTTTTTTTGGCATAATTATCGTGATTGGAGCAATGACTAAAAATTCTGATCTCCTTATAATTTTGTTTTTTGAATCCTTCTTTTTCTCTCCTGTCTAACCTGATCTGACCTCTTTGTTAATACCTGGGCATTGTTTTTGATGGGTATATTAGTAACTCTATCTGTATGTCCTAGCCTTATAACACTTGCCACATAAAGAGGCTAAGGAAACATCTGAACTATAAACGGTAATTGTGGCAAATCACTTGTGGCTTTCTGATATACTGGTAGTTCCACGATGGGAAATAAAAAAAAAAAAAAAAAGAGAAAGGAGGAAATGGCTGGTGATCTATGGCTGGTGATGGAAGATGGGTGGTTTATTCGTTTTGGGTTTAGTGAGTGGCTGGTGAATGAAGTTTTAAAGTGGAACTTTAAAAAAAAATGAAGGGGCCTGCATTATCATGATAAGAACAGAAAAAAAAAAAAGTAAGAACCAAATTTAGTTACTAAATGGGAATAAAAACAAGAAATCTAGAGATTTAGAAATCGAAGTAGTTATTTTCAATCGATACTTGATTGTTATTTAAAGGGTATTTCAAATATTTCAATTTTCTGGGTAAGGGTAAGGGTATTAACAAGTTAAACGTTAATAGTAAAAGTTTATCCAAAACAATATCTCAACTTTCACAACATTTATTAGCCTTAACACATACAACATGGGCTAATTTAAGAAAAGAAAAGAAGTGATCACCTTGAAACAATGAAATTTCTCATTAACAAAAAAGTAAAAATCAAAAAGAAAATGATATTAGCCCTACGGGGGGCTCGAACCCCCAACCTTGAGATGCCACTTGATAAGAGTCTCACGCTCTACCGATTGAGCTAGCAAGGCTTGCTTAAAAATGTGCCACATTTATTTTTTTTAAACTGTGTAATCTTTCAATTGTATTTTCTGAGTTTTGTGGGGCAAAAATTTTAGAATTTTGGATATTTAAGGTAAATATTAATAAGTTCAACTAATTTGAAATAAATTCAAAGTTTTTCGAATAGTTTAGATGTAGATTTTGTTGTTTTTTTGTTGTTTTTTTGTTATTTTTTTGTTATTTTTCTAAAATGAAGTCAACGACCAAATTGTTGAAAAGAAAAAGAAAGAAAGAAAGAGAAAAAAAAACCAATATTCAGTGCGCCACGCACAAATATAATGAATTTCTTTTACACATATTCTTAGCTTTTATGCTAGACAAGTTTTCAGTTTAGTAAGGCCTCCCCGCTGGAAGGCATAGGAGGGGGGGGAGTGTGTTATAATTGGCAAAAAAAAAAAAACGGAGGTGGGAAAGAAAAAAAAAAGATTTGGCTTTTCATTAAAAAAACTTGGCTTGATTAAAAAATATAGGAAGAAAAAAAAAATAGTATGGGAAAGGAGTAAAGAAAATAGGTTTCAATTTTGTTTTTTTTTTAATTTACAATAACACTTGTGATTCGTTTTTTTAAAAAAAAAATTACAACACATAATTTTTTTTTTTTATCTTGCTTTAATTTTGATCCAAATAATAATAAATATGAGAGGCTCTTTTTTGTAAAAGTCTAGAATCAACAATGATTTATTTTGCTTTATCATTTTATCTACTGATTCAATAGATGAATGGTGTGAGGTGGTATTATTTTGCTCAGACTTACATTAACCAACTTACATTTGAATAAAATAATAAAGATAATAATAAAGTCTTTTTAAAAAAAAAAAAAATATACAACAAAAAAAACAAGGACTTTTTTTTTTGTTGAATATTTTCAGACTATTATTTTATTTAAAAATAAATAAAGCAAGGAATAAAGAAAAGCAAAAGGTGTTGTTGAATATGATTTGAATACATTCCAAGGTGATTAAAAAAAAAAGCCACTATTTTGACGCCACAATAAGTCAAGCCATTAACTAGTCAATGGATAATAGTATATATAGATGGAAAAAGAAAAGTAGATTTTTTTCTTAATAGTAGTTGCTAAATATTAAAATAAAAAGCCACAGTTGATTGTTGTTTTTGTTGTTTTTGTTGTTTAATATAAATCAAAAGTGGCTTTTATATTATTATTACTATTATTATTTTTTCTACTTTTTTTTTTTCTCAAAGCAAGTTTCTATGGAAAGGAAAAGAGAAAAAAGATCCGTGTAAAACTTGAAATGGTGATTAGATATGAGAGAGTAGATAGTGTAAGTCAATATTAAAAAAAAAAAAAAAAAAAAAAATACATAATATATTGATAGGAACAGAAATTGAATGTTTAAGAAACAGAAACAAAAACAGAAAAAAGAAATTTTAATTTAATTTAATTTAATTTAATTTGATTTGATTTAATTTAATTTAATTTAATTTAATTTAAATTTAAAATCATTTTATCTCCCCCGTCGCCCATTAAATGATTTTCTTGTCAAGTGCATGCGACTTTCGTTCTTTCTTTCTTTCTTTCTTTCTTTCTTTCTTTCTTTTATATTCCCTAGTTTGTAAGATATGCACCAGCACATGCTTCATAGACTTTTAGTAGTTTGTGTTTTAATGATTTCTTAGCTTTTTTCAATTTTAAAAAAAATTCAATTCTTAGCTTGTTTTTTTTTTTTTCAAAAAAAAAAAAACAAATTGTGGAGAAGTCATGGCAATTGTTTGTATTCAAAACTCAATAATCATCATCATCATCATCTCATAGTGCCGTTTGACCTTTATTGTAACTATTGGCGGGAATACTTGAGAGAAATTGTGGCTTGCACTCTCCACCCTCTCCATATCCATTGTTATTAATTAATTAATTAAATATAAAAACTTTCAAGCCACAAAATAGAAGCATCAGTACCAATCAAGAGATGCCCTGGTGGGTCTCATCTTTAACAACAACATTGCACGTGTCTTGTTTTGATAAGATTTTTTTTTTTTTTTTTTTTTTTTTTTTCTATTCCCCAGTTTTTTTTTTTTTTTTTTCACAACATTCCATGCAGCAATTGCACAATCGATTGTGGAGATGGCGATAACGACAATTAACTATCGGACCCCGCAATAAATGCGTGCCTTGATAACACTCAAAATCAAAATCAACAAAAAAAAAAAAACATACGTCTGCTTGTTACGACATTTTAAACATATCAAGATATATTTTCAAAGAATAAAAGTGGTTTGTTTTTAATTCAATACCCAAGGTTTCTATTATCCGTTTAAAAAAAAATTTCTATATAGTTTCATCATTACATCAAAAAAAAAAAAAGTCATTACAAAAAGTCATGCGGTCGTTTAAAAAAAAAATAGTAAAAGTCGTTAGAAAAATGCAAATAAAAAAAAAGGATAGCTAGCCTCTATGCTATATTTTAAAAGCCTTGGAGACTTCTTTCAATTTTAGCAAGATTGGAAGGTCTAAACCAGTAGAACCAGTACCCAATGGCCACAGCAATAACCACGGAAGTAGCCAATGGAACTGAGTAAAATGGCATGGAGTTTGGAATCATAGAGTCTTTGGCAGGAGGAACAAGTGGAGTGAGGACCAAAAAGACATTGGCAAGAAGATAAATAAGGACGAAAACCCACGAAGCATTGAAGGGCAACTTGGGCCAGTCCTCAGCCTCACGGTTGAGCTTGAGATAAATGAGACCAAAAGTGACAAGAGTAGCAATGATGGCGTTAGGGTAGGAGGAAAGATCAACAATAAAGTCGTAAATCTTGCCAGGAGGAGGAATGAGAAGAATGGCAACGGAAAAGAACCAATGCAGAGAAAGGCCAGCAAGAGGAGCGCCAACGGGTTTAAGAGAGGAAAAGAACTTGGAGTAAGGGAGGAGATGGTGTTTGGCAAACTCCATATTCATCCATCCATGGCCATAAGTAACAACAAGAACGTTTCCAATGTTAGACATGGCAATAAGCAGGGGGAGGAATCTGGAGGCAGCAGAGTCACCAAACAGGATGCGGAAGAAGTTGCCGGCAATAATGGCACCTGAAGTGCGGATAGTTTCAGCAGGGATGACGGCAAAGTAGGCGACGTTACAAAGAGTGTAGAGAATAGTGACAATAGCGATGGCAACAGGTCCGGCAATGCGGAGAGTGCGCTCTGGGCGCTTAATCTGGCCCATGACAAAGTTGCCATTTTCCCAGCCGCGATAAGAGTACACTACCCGGAGAAGAGCCACGGCATAGTTGTAAGGACCACCGCCAAAAGAGGGGGTGGAGGGTGGAGCAGTAGAAGTAGCAGCAGCAGTGATGGTAGACTGTCCAAAGAAGCCGCTAAAGTTATCTGGGCGCTCCTGGAGATTGACAGCACCAGAAAGAATGGCAAATCCACAGGCAGCAATACCCAAGAGAACAAAGACCTTGATACCACCGAGAATGTTAAAAAGACGCTTACCAACATTAGGAAGAAGGCCATGGAGGAGAATGACAAGAGTGATTGCGAGAACAGCAATGAAGCGGGCAGCCCATGCAGAGGGGGTTTCGTAGCCGAGAACAAAGAGAATATAAGTGCCGAAAGCAAAAGCGTTACTGGATGAGATACCTAGAACAATAGAGTTGACTGTGAAGAAGGTGAGAATGAGATACCGAGGATATCGATAAACTCGTTCGAGATAGTTTTTCTCAGCTCCTGACTTTGGTATTTTGAGACCAAATTCGAGGTAGACGTTGAGGCCGGAGAATGCAATGATACCACCGACTATCCAGAGGGCAATGGTGCCGTAGACAGAGCCTGTGAGGAGATAGATACTTGCTGGAATGGAGAAGATACCTGTGCCAATCATTTTGTTGAGGAGCAAGAATGTAGTTGAGACAACTCCGAGCTTATGTTTTTCTGCGTCTGCGGATTCTAAAGATTCATAATAATCGCCATCTTCAAGTTTTGATTCTGCAAAGCTTGCAGAGTCGTTATCTTCATTTGTGGTAGATTCATGAGATGTTGAGCTATAAGTTTTGATGAGGATAGGGTCATCCTTGGAGATCAAGGGTGAGTCTTCTGATATGTTTGTATTTGACATTTGAAGTCGATGATAATGATGATGATGATTATCTGCTGTGTGAAATATATTAAAGTCTAATACTATGATGGATTTATAATAATAATAACAATATTAAAATGAGGATATTTAAAATAAAATAAGAATTAATTAAAATAGATAGAAAATAATAAAAAAAATAAAAAAAGGAAGACTTTAAAAGTGAGACCGAAATGACTTATTTATATATATATATATATATATATATATATATATATATAAAAAAAAAAAACTTTTATTCTTTCATTATTAATCGTTTGAATTGTCATTTTGTTGCTTTCTTTTTTTTTTTTTTTTTTTTAAAGGCCGGAACTCCATCACACTAAAAGCCGCTCAGCGGTTTTTCCAAAGGCTAATAGCCTACTGAAGACGTGGGAAGAAAGGAAGGAATGGAAAAAAAAAAAAACTCAGCCTGAATGAATGAAATGACGCCATCCAACGTGGCACAGAATGAAAAAAAAAAATAAAATAAAATAAAATAAAATAAAAAAAGGAGCCACTGTGTTGTCACGTGAAATGGCGAAATTTTGATAAGAAATTGTGTGAATTTTTTAAAGTGACAAATTATTTTATTATTTTATTATTTTATTATTTTATTATTTTATTATTTTATTAATAAATAATATGTTAAAAATAATAAAAAATAATTAAAATAATAATTAAAATAATAATTAAAATAATAAATACTTGCTCTACAACTCAATAATTATTATAATTGACACGGACTACCGAATAATAATATAGAAGATAAGAGATTGGATTATTAACAAAAGCCGCTGAGTTTTCTACTCAGAAAAAAAAAAATCTTTGATATCAATAATCAATCAAATCAAAATCAAAATCAAAATTAAAATTAAAAATTAAAAAATTAAAAATTAAAAATTAAAAATTAAAAATTAAAATTATAATTATAATTAGAGTAATTGTTTAGCTATGTGCAAAGACTGGATTTTATGGTTGCTATTTTTGAGTACCATATATATTTATCAATTACCAGCCACTAAATTTTGCTACGGACTTAGCATGCAATCTCTCACATAAAAAAAAAAAAAAATGAAAACAAACAATTTGTGCTTTTCAATGAGATACCCAATTAGAAATTCTTTTTTTTTTTTTTTTTTTTTTTTTTTTCAAAATAAAGTATTTTAGTTAGTTATAACCAATTAGTTAAATAAACAATTTGATTTTTTTTTTTTTTTCTCTCTAACTGTCAGAAACCATAGAGACTGTTAATAAGACTAACAAATAGCCGGATATACCCTCTTTTTCCCGGAAACATGATCTTATATTGATATTGTCCCACCACTAAATTTTTTTTTTTTTTTCCCTCTTTGAAAACAATAGGTACCTTACTCAAGTCTCACGAGTTAGTTAACGTGACTCTTTCTCACGACCAGAGCAATCTTGAACAGTAAAGAATAAAATAGAAGCCTGGCTATTACTATTACCGTCGTTATTTGTAATCATTCCTTCTAACAGAGTTTACCTCTAAAAAAAAAAGAAAAACAAAAGAAAAAAAGCTTGAGACATGATGACACGTGATTTAAATAAAAACCCTAGCCCCCAAGATGATATCTTTCAGAACTTTTTTTTTTTTTTTATAAGATACCTGCAACTTTCTCCTAAAAAAAAAAAGCTATAATAGTAACACTTGAACCATTTTCTACGTTTGACAATTCTCTGTATCAAGTATTGATTAATTAAAGAAACATTTCAAATTTTTTTTTTGCTTAATTTATAAATTATTTTATCATAATGAACTTATATTTGGATACCAATATGAAACCAATTCTTTTAAAAGTGTATTAACAAAAAAAAAAAAAAAATATCTTCATACCTAGCTGTTATTTCCAAGCTCTTAACTGTGCTACCAATTAAATTGTTTTTCAGAATACCAATTTCTTATTATGGTGGTATTTTATATATCACTAAATTTAAAAACCCAATCAATTCTTTTTGTCTCTGAAAAAAAATCAATACCAAAATAATAAAGTAAAAGTAAAAGTAAATCAATCAACTAACATCAAGATTACTAGCTGGTATCTACTTGATATGTAAACGGAATTAGTCATAGGAAAATTCCATGGTATCAATCAACAAAAATTATAATCTCTATAATAATTCTTTGATCATATATATTGATCAATTTACATTGGAAGTGATAGCAATGATGGTAGTATAAAAAAAAAAAAAAAAAAAAAAAAAGGGTTGTTAAAGTTGATAAGTCTTTTGAGAAAGGGGAGGACAATATTGGGAGTCAAGGTAGGGTAATTTTAATTAAACCACGTGACATTTATTATATAACCTTTTACTAGCCGAAAAAAGTGAACTGTGGGTGAGTCAAGTGTGTTAAAGAAATCCCTAAAATCAAGCTTATTTCAAATCTAAATCCCTTTTGAAACTTAACCAAAAACAAATCATAATCATCTGGGATTTGAAATCAATATTTTCATTTTTTTTTTTTTTCCATTTGAAAAACTTCCAGTTAACTTGTATTGAAACTTATAAAAACTCTTTATAATTAAATTGAATTACAATAAAGTGGGTTCTAAAACTCAAACATTTTGAATTTGACTTTTATATAAATATGTGTAAAAATAGCCACGTTAAAATATTTATACTTGTAATAATAAAATTATTATAATTCACATAAGAAAGATAATTAATTAATTATACTTACTATACAAATTTTTATTATGTCCCAAAATCGCTTGAAGGCTTTTTCGGTTATTACTTACTTACTTAATTAATTACTTACTTACTTAATTACACTTTTGGCTTCATTATCCTTTAAGTTACCAAATTTTTATTTTTTGTGAAAAACTATTGTAATCTAACTTAGAAGAAATCCCAATTCCTTTAATACTATAAAAATTTAAGAAATTTAAGATACTTAAAAAACAGAATATATAAATATATATGCTGATCCATCAATCTGTTTCATCCTCTGCTCAACTGTCACAGAATCATGACAACTTCATGATAAATAGTTCATACTTTGCAGATCCAAGATACAATCGGTTAGCTTTTTTTCTATTGGAAAAAGGTTTTTTTTTTTTTCAATCATTTAAGCAAACTTATTGTTCTAATATAAGTTTTGATAAATGTCAAATAATAGAGTACCCTTTTCAATTAAAACAAAAAACCGTAATTTTTCCTAAGAATATGATTCAAACCATGAACAAAAGTATTTATATTTGACTTAAGTAACATTTCAAACAAAGAAGGTCATTTATTGAATCTAGTTTTTAAGCAAATAAATAATGATTCATGATTGGGTAAAAATAATACCTGGATATTAAATTACTGATAGATACCAGACAAACCAAGGTATCGTCACTCTTTGAATGAAGAAACATAATATTAGAAAGTTCTTGTATAAAGAAACAGAAAGATAAAATATATAAAAAAAAAAGTAAATTGGCTTAAACCAAAAGAAAAAAAAATGTCATTATTGTGGATCGAGACCCCTTCTAAAAACCAACCCAAACATTGAATTAAGAGTTGAAAACAGACCATCATATTTTCTTCCTTCCATTTTTGAAAAGTGGGTAAAACCATAACAAAGTAAAAATGTTAACTTAACTGCAAGAACGTACGAGATAGATTCAAATGTTTCATAGCATTCTACAGTAGATCATTACTATAACGACAATGAAAAAAAAAAAAAAAAAAAAAAAAAAAAAGATGTGGCGATTTCTGTAAGGCTGTACCAACCAAGGATATAAAAAAAAATTTAAAAATTAGCTTTAAATAATAGCGAAAACAAACTCACATAGAAGTGATTTTAGAATAAGTTTAAAAAAATGGATAAATCATTCAACTAAAAGTTCCAGGTTTCTAAAATGAAACGAGATTATATTGAAAGTAATAATTGGTATTAAAAGAACGCTAAGGTTCGAAGTTTAGCTGGCAAAAAGAAATAAGGTATCTGTAAAACAACGATTATAATTCTAATCCATGGTATCTAACAACAAGAAGTGCTTTGAATAATTTATTATTTAAAAAGATGTAGTTGGATACAAAAAGAAACAGAAAAGAATTAAAATCACTTAGTAAAAAAAAAATATTGTAATTAAATAACTGAGTAATTTTGACGCAAAGAGCAAGACTATGAATACTTTAAATACTTAAGAAACAACAAATTGTTACAATTAATCATAATAAAATAAATAGTGAAAGAATGAGCTAAAGTAAGTAGAGAATTCCATCATAATGCAGAGTTTTAGAAGGAGATAAAATTTTTATTACAGATTTGGTGTGTAGAGAGCCAGTACATTATTCAAAAAAGTATTAAATACTATATCAATTCAACCCCACCCAAGAAGAGCCCAAAGACAAAAAAACAATTCATAATGTAGATTTAATGAGTCTAGTTCTTGTTAATACCTATACGAGAAATAATTTTTTTTTTATGGAGGAATGAGAGTTTGTGTAATCACATGGTTTCGGGTATTAGCATAACGGATAACAATGAACAAAGGCTTGACAATACTGGAGTTATCATCAACAATCCGAATCTTACCAAATTGGAAAATTATTTGACCCGGTGGGAAAATCATCTTACCCAATGGAAAAATAATTAAACGAAGATGCTAGAGGCATGCACTTAAACAATGTTGCATCGATAGCAAGGCACATCTTTTATATAGCGTGTGCTTGTTAACAAAAAAAAAAAAAATCAACAAAAAAAACTTGGCCTGTAAGAGAAATTTATGGAGATAAAAAAAAAAGTATTGATTTTTTTCATCGAATGATGAAATCATTAAATTTTTAATCAGGTAAAAAACAATTGAAAAGGTTATAGATTTGATTTAAATTGAAGATATTCATTTCAATTACTTTTAACCATTGTTAGAAAGAGAAAAAAAAAATGGTGGGGAGAAGAAAAAAAAAAAAAAAAAAAACCATCAAACGGTTGAAAAAGGTTAACAAAAAATGAGAAATTTTGAAGAAGAAGAGAATATAGTGGGCGATTGAGTGCAGCGCTTGTGCTGAAAAAGTGAGTAAAAGGACGCCCTAATTTTAGTGTCTATACCTTTTTTCCTTTCTTCTATTTCCCATTATCGTTATCAAAGAAAATGATAAAAATATGCCAAAAATAGTTTAAAGCGAACTATGATAATCTAATAATTTTTTTTTTTTTTAAAAGTAAGCAAGTTTAGACACTAATAAATGGCACTAGCTAATCAATTGGATCAAGTATAGGTGCTTTGGTTAAAAAAAATGTAAGTATTAATACAGAAATTAGTGTTAAATTAACATCTTTGTTTTAAAAAATTCAAGGAATGTTCAGAAGACCTAGGAATAATTGTCAAAAGAAAAGGGCTGGAAATAATTATGGTGATTAAATTGAATTAAAAAAAATAAAGCTTTGATGAAATCTTCTAAAACAAATTATAACATATTTTTTTTTTTTTGATTCTAAAGTTGACTTCAAATTCATAAAAAAAAAAAAAAATACAAGCTGAATGATTTGTGTGATGATTCGTAAAATGATCAATAAGGATTATCAGAGTAAAGATAAGATAATATCGATTTGATTTTTTTTTTTTTTTTTAAAACATAGGTCTTGAAAAAAAAATCAAAAGTGTTGCAACACTATATCTATATATATTGGGTTTGAATTGCAACAAGATTTTAAATGACAAACCGTTTTCAGATTGTAGTGAAATATGAAATAGACGAGTTTTATGTAGTATTTATATTACAAAAAAAAAAAAGTCAGCTCATTTCATAAAACAAAGAAGGTAATATTGAACCCCCATATTCGGAATAAATAAAAATCTTTTATAGTTATTCTATTATTATATGACAAAGAAATTGATTCACGAAAGTATATGTTCAAAAATGGAATTTCCTTGATTATAAGTGTCATTAGTTTTTTTTTTTTTTTTTTTTTGAAATAAAGATGGTGGTGAAAGTAATAAAAATGTTGCAAAAAAAAAAAAATAGTAAAAAAATCCCTCATTTGTATTCATTCAAATTAGACCATTTCTCTCCCCCCCCAAGAAGTTGTTAAAAATTTTAGCTAATAAAAATTAGGCTGGTTTTCCATTAAAAAAAAAAAAAAATTCTACTACTACACATGGGCCTGAACGTAAGGCTGAAAACAAAAATGCACCTTTCAAAAAAAAAAAAAAAAAAAAAAAAAAAAAAAAAAATTACGGAGTTTTCAAAACCCGAAACCCGACTAAGCTCCGGTGCACTTTAACTTTCAATCGTTTTAACAATTGTTAAGGTTCGGGTCTTCTAATTTTTAAATTCTAACTAATATTTGAAACTTTAGTTTTATTCCTTTCTGAATTGACACTACAAAGGGCGTTTTAGTAGACCCTGACACTGGAGCCTGGTATCGTTTAATGTTTGTTATAACTAAAGAAAAGGTGGAACATTAGAAATTATGTTAATTAGACTTTATTCATACATATAAAGCAAATGATTTCATATCACATCCTATTTAAAGCCTGGTTGACGTTGATTTAAATAGCACAAACTATTTGAGAGGGGCTTGAAAGATGCTGAAATTTAAAGTATAGTACAAGTATACTTCAGCCGCACATAATAATGTTAAATTGAATTGGCCCAAAAACTAACAAAATAATGAAGGTTGAATAAATGTAGCAAAAAAAAAAAAAATTAGAAAAAAACAAAATAACTACAATTGAAGTTGTACCAAAAAAAAAATTATCAATGGACATTACCGGAGTTGAACCGGTGACCTTCTCCATGCGAAGGAGACGCGATAGCCACTACGCTAAATGCCCAATTCATATTTAAAAAAGTAAAAGTTAGGAAATTTCAGAAGAAAGTAAATATTTTGATAAAATATCAAAAATTGTACTAAAAGTTGAACTTTTTGTTAAATTTAAGGTTTTGAAAAAACAATATTTATTTTGAAGTCATATAAAAATTATTATTTTTTAATAATAAAAATAAACAAATAACTTCAGTGGCAAACATTACTTTTTTTTTTTTTTTGGTAAGTTGGTGTCAGTATTTATTTTCGGGTTATTGGAGATGCAAACGTTGAAGTTAAATTAAAAGTTTATTGTTAAAACGGAAGGTAATATAGTATGAGCAACGGAAGTAGTATTGATGTTGAAGATATAAAGGTATATACTTACTACGTATAACCCTTGAATAAATATACTTACTGCTTATAACCCTTGAATAAAATAAAAGTTTTTTTTTTCCGCCTTGAATACAAATAAAACAAAAAAGAAAGGAGGGTGTAACGGAAAAGAATATTTCTTTGACTGCAAAAGGTACTATGGTTAACTCCCAAATGCTCACCTTTTTTTTTTTTTTTCAACGAGAGTGTATGGGAGTTAACCCTCCGCCTTCTCCCAAGGCTACGGTAGTCAACAGGCAAGATGACTCTTCTGTATAGTCTAATTAGAGTGCAGGTTTAATACAGACCATATTTTTTTCAAAAAAAAAAAAAGAAAAAAAAATAACAATTACACGGGTGTCGGTGAAGATAAGTAAAAACGGGCTAAGTAAAATTGGGAGAAACACATTGGTGCTCACTATTCTTTGTAAGGGGGCATCAGGGCCCATTTTCCGGGCTATCGGAGGCGCACAAATGGAAACCATTTGTACTGAAAAGGTACAACAAAATGGATGGCATTAAAATGATTGTGTTGATAGCAGAGATATATACTTTTTTTTCCTTGAATAGAAACACGTTTAAGTAACTAAAAACAGTAAGACGTATTTCTGACAAAGTATTTTATTATTATAAGTTTAAAATGATATATTGTTATTGTTGACTATATGTTTTTTTTCTTTTAGTGCTTAAAGAAAAGAAAAGAAAAGGAAAAGAAAAAGAAAAAGAAAATAATTAATAAAAAAAAAGCAATCACTTATTTATTCATGCACAGATCCTGAAAGCAGAAGCGAGATTAATACAAAATCATGATTTATCATGGAAAAAAAGCATTGGAACAATTAAGATACGATATAAATATGCATTAGACCTTAATAAGGTCTAAGCTTAGTTGGTAAATTTTTCTAGCTTTAGTAGCTTTTTAGTTTGGGCTTTTTTTTTTAAAAGAATCAGGCTTTTTTTTTACATACTTATTTACATACTTATTTCACTCCAAATACTCTTTTTTTCAAGTAACCAGGTAAAGTCAACAAATTAACAAATCGCCCCATAAAAATATAATTCAAAATAAAGTATTAAAGTTTGTTTTAAAACTTAATTTTAATTTCCTTCATCTCCGGTTTGTTTGGTGAGGCTCGGTTGACGTATATTTATTTATTTATTTATTTATTTATCTATCTATCTATATAAGTTAGTCACAAGGTAAGGCGGTCCGCTCAGCTCCCTTGCGCAAGAGAATAAAGCTTTTGAGCTCCACTGAGATGTATGGCTTATGCTGTTTTATCTTTATACTTAAATGTAGGGTTTATGCCTGTAGCGTGCTGGGCATTTTGTAGAATTACTTATTGTTTCTAAAAGGATATTAAGCGGATATCGTATTAAACAATTAACTGTATCCTTTATAGAATTTGTACAATTAAGAATAGACCTAACATTGGTATATATATATATATATATATATATATATATATATATACTTTTCTTATTTCTTTTGTAATATTGTCTACATCTACATTATCAGTGGATCCAATGTGAAATGTAATTACTTCAATATGCGCATAATTAGCTGCTGCAAAGATCTTGAGAGGGGGCTTGCAGTTAGGGAAGTTTAGAGGATAAGAGAAGAAGAAGAAGAAGAAGAAAAAAAAAAAGAAATGTAGGAAAGGAAAGAGATCATGGAGAAAAAATAATAATAAAAAAAAAATAAAATATAAATAAGGATTATCACCATTAGTCAGAAAAAGATGGAGAAACTGGGTTAGGTTTTTTTAATTTATATATATATATATATATTTGACCTCAAAAGGCGACTGGTTTCACTATGATTGGAAGCAAATAAATGTTGTTGTTGAGTATTAATATTTTACATATATCAAAAAATGGGCTTTTTTTTTTGTTTAAATGGAATGATTTCTATATAAAATCATCAAATATATTTAAAAGTATATGACAATATCTTAAAAATGCTTGAGCTTGCTTCTGCTTTCTGCAGGATAAAAAAAAAACAAAAACGTATGCCGTCCCGATTCGTATCGTTATGTTTTCCTTAATGTTGCTCTACCATAGAGATTTGAGCTCACTTTGCTTTTTTGGATTTCATTTTTTTTTTTTCTTTTTAAATAAAATCGTTTAAATGTTCATTTATATATATATGCTGTCACCTTAAATTGTTAGTGATAACACAGACTTATAACGTAAGAGAGAATATCTTGTTTTCAAAAATAAAAAAGAAAACATATTTGAGATTGAAATAACCAAAGCATTGGGTTCTGTTTTCCAAGTACTTCACTCCAAGAATGAACAAAGAATGATGGTCATTAATTATAACTTGGCTCAAACCCGAGTCCCGGACAGGGTCAAATCTACAAAAAAAATAAAGAAATATAAAATAAAACCTTGAAGGTTTAAAGTTTTAAAAGTTTTAAAAGTTTTAAAAGTTTTAAAAGTGTAATATTTTGTAATCTGGCTCAACAAATTCTAAATATAAAAGTATATATATGTTATATGGTCTAAGATAGGAAGAAAAGAGGATAGAAAACACAAAAAAAAAAAAAATGGTTTTTGGAGATTTCATTTGCGGGTTGTTCAGAGACACAGGGCGAACCCAACTTAAAAGGTAATAAATGAAACCGAAACAAAATGTATAACAGGAGCAAAAAAAAAAAAAAAAATAAATCAAATAAAATAAAATAAAATAAAAAAGGATACTTGTGTGTGATATATATTTCTATCCCTTGAATTAAAAAAAAAAACATCTAATATTGTAATGAACTTTATTTTCTTTTTTTTTTTTTTTTTTATCTTGTGTTTTTTATATGTCAGAAACTTTCTTTCTTTCTTTCTTTTTTTTTTTTTCTAATATTTTCATATCTAATCTAACAAGTCCTTGATCGACAGTTTCCCAGACTTGCGCCCTCGTGCACGCCCACTGGCACTTTCCTCTTTTTCTGAATCTCCTGCGGCCCCGGTTCCATCACTGTGTCTTCGGTGTCGTGTACCTGCAACTTGTTGCTGATGCTGCTGGTAAGACGCATGGTGGTGCTCTTGGCCGCCTCGTAAATGACTAGAACTGCTTAAAGGAGCAAGAACCGGATGTGACCCAGTAATGGGCGGCGGCTGTTTTTGTTGGTGAGTACCATAAGAGTTTTTATTATTGTCTCTAGGATCACTTGATGCTGATATAGTAGGTATTGAAGAAGAACCAACCGGTGTCAAAAGCATTGCTGAAGGAGCTGGTAGATGTTGTTGTGAAGTAGAAGCTCGGCGTGAAGGTGCAACTGAAGATGAAGCAGAAGGCGGCCCACTGCTAAGAGATTGGAGCGGCGGGAGCACAGATTGCGACGGTGAACGATGTAATGGAGGTAACGGCGGGACTGGCTGAGATCGCGATACGCGTAATGCTGGAGAAGCGTGTGCCGAATTGGCCTGTCCAGGAGAAGAATTGTGATGATGGCTATGTGATTGGCCGCGAGGAGGTGCATGACCATGAGACGATGGTCGGCGAGAATGTGCATGAGGGGCAGGCTGTGACAGACTTACGCCCATTACTGATGCCCCCAACGATGGTTGTTGATGTTGATGTTGATGTTGATGTTGATGTTGATGTTGATGTTGATGTTGATGTTGATGTTGATGTTGATGTTGATGTTGATGTTGATGTTGATGTTGATGTTGATGTTGATGTTGATGTTGATGTTGATGCTGTTGCTGTTGCTGTTGCAGTTGCTGATGATGATGCTGATGCTGATGTTGCTGATATTGTTGCGTGTCTGCGTAGCGCCACGGCTCTGCTGGTGCCTCTGGAGGCGGTCCTGGATAATAGGGATATTGGGGCGGGGACATTGGCGTGTAGGGCGGAGCGGCTGTGCGCTGTTGTGGTATTGGTTGCTGTTGTTGCTGTTGCTGTTGTTGTAATTGTAGTTGTTGTTGATGCTGGACAGAAGGGTAAGGCTGTGGAATTTGCTGCGGAATAGGAGGTGGAGGGGGATACCGCGCTCCATAGCCAGATGGAATTTGCTGGCTTGTTGGTGGTGGTGGGACTTGTTGCACAGGCTGCGGAGGAGGCTGAGGTATCGGTGGTGGTTGTGGGGGAGGCATATTCTGTTGGACAGGGTACTGTGATTGAGCGTAGTATTGTGGGTAGACGTTAGGAGGGTATGATTGACGAGGATATTGCTGAGCCATTTGTTGCGGTGGTAATGCCATATTTTGCTGAGGCTGAGGTTGATGCGGATGTTGCTGATGTTGCTGATGTTGCTGATGTTGCTGATGTTGCTGATGCTGCTGCTGCTGCTGCTGTTGCATAAGAGATAATGAATATTGCTGAGACTGTTGAAAATAAGCGGGATCTTGAGGATGAACAATAGGAATGTTTGTGATTGATGCAGTGACTCCCATGACTGGAGCAAAAATGCATTCTTGACTGAATCGCATGCAGTTTATGCATTTTTTTGTCTGGTCGTTAGCAGGAATGCCGGAACATCGTATCTGAAAAAAAAAAAAAAAAATTAAAATAAAAACGTTAGACTTTGATTTAATAAATATAAATTCATCATCTTCAATTTTTTTTCCCTTACCTTTCTTCGACGACAATAGTTACATGCAATTGCTGTACGCTGGCGGACTTTGGCTGGTTTATTGTCCTTGTCATCCTGACGATCACGATCCTTGTCACGGATGTCTTTTTTGTTGCCACCACTACTACTGCTAGAACTAATTCCAGACTCCTTTTTAGACCCTGCACGATATGAATTGTCTCTGGGCCCACTTGAAGAGGTTCCAGATCTATCAGGGCGAGAATGATGACCGGAGTGAGCTCGTGGTTGGCCAGATGATGATTTCCTTGATTTCCTCGACTCAGAGTGTGGACTGGAACTTGGTGTGGGGTAAAATGATGATGATGATGATGATGTACCGTGTTTATGCTGGGAATAATCTAGTCTATGAGATGTAGTAGGAAGAGTGGTGCTGGGGTTGAGTTCATAACTGAGAGTTGAGGATTGAGAATAAATTTCAGTCGATGCTGCTGGAAATGCAATGAGCTTCATTAATAAGATGTATGAGAAATAAATAAATGTGGTAGTAGTGTTTCGGGGTTCCTCCTCTCTAGTGAAAAGTCTATTAAAGTCATTAAGGAGAGTTATGTGATTGGACTTTTTTTTTTATATTTTTTTATTTTAAAATATTGATAAAGAAAAAAACCAGTGTATATATAAAGAAAGCATCTGGGACTGCTTTTATTATTATTATTATTATTTTTTATTGAACGTGTTAGTAGGAGGTCTTAAAGCTAATTTTAGTCTTTTTTTTTTCTTCTTCTTTTTCTTTTATTTCATATCTTTCATTATGGCACTTTTTAAATCTCTGAACCAGTTTTTGGGTCTCTGTAAATATAACCTAAAATTTTCAAAACCATTTTTGAAACCGAATATTTCAGATAGTATTTATTTGGTATTGCGGTTGGGTGTGGATATTTTGGAGGATAGAGAAAAAATAAAATAAATATATATAAAGTTTCATTCAACTATCCACAGTTTCTTTTACTAAACTGACTTCCAAATCTTGGATTTTCCAATGGTTGAAAAAAAAAAAATAATTGAATATCGGGTAGTTCCTTTATTATTTCAAATAACAAAAAATAAAATAATAAAAACAATTGATGAGAACAAAACAAGACGGAGAGTGTCTAAAACAAAGTCCTGATCGTTTTTACTAATAACGGTTTTACTTCAATTTTTTAGATCCGGATTGAAGCCGCAATTGCCAGTCGGTAAAACTCACCCAAGATCTTAATTGTCATTATTTATTTATTCAATTTTTTTGTAAAACAAAGAAATTGTGAAAGGAGAAATCCCATGAATGTCTTGAACAAGAGCCGCGGCCAAGGGGGTATATATAATATGGACTAACATGTTGATATGAAATACTGGCGATATTCAAGAGAAATAAAGTACCAAATTTGAAAAAAACAAAACAAAACAAAACAAAACAAAACAAAACAAAAAAAAAGAAAAAAGAAAAAAGAAAAATAAAATAAAGAAAACTTGAGGCACAAAATAGAGACACTTACCTTCAGTATAATATTGAAAATGTATGAAGATTGATAATAATGTCAACGAGAAACTGGATCAAAATATGGGAACCAATTTATTGCACCGTGATAAATAATAGATTTTGGAAGACTTGGCAGAGGAGTAGAGGGTTTATATATGTATATGTATATGTATACGAGTGAAAACTGGCCACCTGACTTAATGTAATGAATAATTGTTTGTCGAGGGTGAAGAAAAAAGTAAAAAAAAAAAAAAAAAGACAGAGGCTGAATAGGGTCGAAAAAAAAAAAATAGATTGAATGATAATAATAAAAAGATGAGGTGTTTAGAATTGAGCTTTATAATTTATTTTAGTTGTTTAATGAAGATTGCTGAGGTTGTGGGTATAAGGTGAGTGGCAATAGTAGATTTAATTCTGGACAATAGTAATAGTAATAGTAATAGTAGTGGTTGTGGTTTTGATATGAAGAGATAATTGGATAAAGGCGGTAAAAAAGTCTGTCAGGAGGCGTCAAAGAGTACCGAATTCGACAAGACTTGAGGTGAAACGAAGGTAAAAATGGTTGATGAGCAAAGAAGGTTGGTAAGTGGGAAGTGTGTGAGAATGTGTCTGTTGGTTTTTCTTGAAAGGAAGTAAGTATTTATATATATATATATATATATATAAATGAAGGTTTTAATAAGATATGATTAGCCAGTTGTATGTAATAGTAAATATTTAATATCAAGAGAATATATATATATATATATATAAATATAAACACTGGAAAGTTTAATAAGTCCGGGCTGTATATAAAGTATAAAAAAAAAAAAAAAAGAAAAAAAGAAAGAAAAAAGAGGATGTAGCTAAATTTATATACAAACGTGAAAAAAAAAGCCCTGTTAGAATTTCACTTTTTTTTTTTTTTTTTTCCTTTTATATACATTTCTGTTCATGCACATCAATAATAGTATATTTATATATATATATATATATATATGTATATAGTATTATAGTATATAGTAAAATATTGATAAAAGTAGATGAGGGACCTATAAAAGTTATAAATTCCAGTTAATGGCCCTGTGCAAAATAATTATTTTATAATAATAATATAATAATAATGAAAAAAAAAAAAACAATAACCAGAAACTGATAATAACTGCTAACAGAATACCTACAATTTTATATAATTATATGATTATATATATACTACTAGAGGCAGCATTGGCACGGGTGGCATGTTAAGACATGTTATATAGATATATCTCGGCAAAGATAGTAGAAAAAACAACTGACAGTGATTGAAAATGACTGTAACTCTTAGCAATTATCACCATTTTTATTAACAGATATATATATATATATATATATATAAATATATATATATATTATACACGTATCAAGACCAAAAAATCCCATTTCTTTCCCTTCCTTTCCCTTCCTCTTTTATAACAAAGACAAAAACAGCAACATCAAAGACTTAACAGAAAAGTTGGTTGACCCCGTTTCTGCAGGCGTGGAACCCTTTGGCAACCGTTTTTATTTTTTATTTTTATAAAAGTATATTGTATATATATATATATATATATATGACGGAAATGACGGGCAAGGGAAGAAAAAAAAAAAAAGCCTTTTTTTTTTTTTTTTTTTTTTTTTTCCATTTTCCACATAAAACTACAAACAAACGGAAGAGACCAACTAAAAATCTTTGTTCGCTACATTTAGGCTTTTATACATTAATAGGAAAAAGGTACTTGGTACCCGACATTTATGTATATCAGCTTATATATTGATGATGAAAAAAAAAAAAAAAAAAAAACTTCAAATTCCCGAGATAATATATACATGCTAAACTATACTAAGACTAGTATATTTATTAATAAAGAAGTAGAAAAAAAAAAAAAAAAGAAATAAGGAATACAATGGGGAAAGGTACGGAGGATTAGCGGGGATTTCTATATTGTTTTTCTTTCTTTTTAAATAAATTTTTAAGAATTTGAATTATGATAAAAAATATAAATATATATTTATTATATAAACAATTGATATAATAATTGAAAGAGAAAAAAAAAAAACTTTCTTTAATTTTTTTTTAAAAACAAGTACAGTATATATATATAAAAGACAATATATAAGCCAAAGGTTGAAATGCCACGGTGGGACCTCCTTCCTTACTTTTTTATTTTCCCTTTCTTTCTTTATTTCTTCTACACTTATTTTTCTACTCTTCTAAAAAATTAATTTGCAGTAAAAGGAACCCAACTGCGTGGACATAGTACGATTTCTTGGTTGTTGTTGTTGTTGTTGTTGTTGTAATAGGTGGTGTTGCTGCTGCTTCTTCTATTTCTACTACTGTTGCAGCTCCTCCTCCTGCTAATGCTGTTTGTTAATTCTACTACTACTACTATTGGGGAAATTTTAATTATTATTTTTATTATTATTTTGTAAATAAAAGAACTGTCGTAGATAATAAAAATTCCAAACCATCATTAAGGCTTTTTTCCCCCAATAGTTGACACTAAATGTCACTACTAATTATATTGCAACTCAAGATAGTGATTATTTTTCTTGAAAAAAAAAAATAATAAAAACTTTATTAAAGATTTATTAAAGAATCTTGCGTTAGTCTCAATTCTTCTTCTTTTATTTTTTAATATTTTTTTTTTTTATTTTTTTAAACTTCTTTCTATTTATTTTAGTCTTCTTCTTCTTTTCCAGATCTTTACTTTTAATACATATTTTCTGTCAAGCATTGTTGCGGGCTTTTAAATTGAAGTTAAAAAAGAAACTTTTTCTTTTTTCTGTTTCTTCTCCTCTTTCCAACATATGTTCTCTCTCTCTCTCTCTCTTATATATAAAACTTTTTATATAAAAGGTAAAAAATAAAAATAAAAAATAAAAAAAGCCAAAAAGCCCTTATTATGGGCCTTTTCGAAAAGAACAAGACAAAATTTACTTCTTTGATATTTACGTTTAAGCGGGTTGGCGCTCGTGCGTATAGACGACAAAAAACATTGAGAAGCGATAATGATTTAAAGTATTTGTGCGGACGGGGTCTTTTATATATATATATATATATATAATACGGATTGAAACATTGAGTCGAAAAGCGAGGTAGAAAAGATTGAGATTCAAATAGAGATTAAGTTTGCGCTAAATAAATAAAAATAAATAAATAAATAAATAAATAAATAAATAAATATATCCTCAATTTAGACTTTTTAACATAATTCTAAGAAGGTAAAGAATAAGAGGAGAGCCTTTGTTTCAATGCATTTTTTTTTCTTAACTTGAAAAAAACAAAAACTTTTAACACTTTTTTTTTTTAATTTTTCAAAGAATTAAAAGTTTTTTTTAAAGTCCACGGGTTTTGAAATATTTAAATATATTTCAAAAAAAAAAAAAAAACGTTTTTACGTGAAAATTGATCAATAACCTTTTCTTCTTCTTATTCTCACGACCTTGTAAGATCTAAAATCTATGGTCGAGCTTTAATTATGTATCTAAGACATACGTTTTCATCTTCTCCCTCTTTTTTTTTTTTTTTCATCATATCTAACATTATAATTCTTTTTAATAATTGACCGAGAATCTTGTTATTATTTTAATTTTTTTTTTTTTTTGAACTTCTTCCAGATGATTATAAATGATGGAAGTTTGAAATAAATTATTTAATACATGTGTATTTTTTTTAATATTTTTTTAAGACACCTTTAGTTTATAAACGGCACCATTATTTCTCTGTTCGATTCAGTTTTTCTCTTGAAAAATAATAGCAACTTTTTTTTTTTTTTTAATTTTAATTTTAATTTTAATATATACAACATGATGATATATATATGAAAAAAAAAAATAAATAATAGCCGCTGGTTGGTTTTGTCATCTGTCATTTTCTTCATTTTCTTCTTCTTCTTCTTCTTCTTCTTCTTCTTTTATTTTACAAAAAAAATAAATTATAAAAAAAAAAAAAAAGGTTTTCATTCACAATCCTTCAAAATATTGCCATTATTAC